CCGATCTACTCATTAACCAATCGATGGATCCAATTGATTCTGCTGAAATTCTTGGCCTTACTGTTGATGCTAAGTTGCAATGGGGCCCCCATATTAACGGATTGGCGAGTAGACTGAGTTCTGCGGCATTCGCGGTCAAAAAAAATTAGATTATGTACCGATGTTGATACGGCTCGCTTAGTATATTTCAGTTACTTTCACAGTATAATGTCATACGGTATTATGCTGTGGGGCAACGCAGCCGCTATCCATACTATATTTGTGCTACAGAAGAGGGCTATTCGCGCAATCTATAACCTAGGAGCTAAAGAATCGTTAAGGAATAAATTTAAAAAAATCAAGATATTCACTGTTGCTTCTCAATATATATTCTGCAATGTTATGTATGTACGAAAAAATATTAATGATTTCATGAGAAAATGTGATACTCATAGCATTGGTACAAGGAACAAACATAAACTTGGTACTCCTGTTACTCGACTACATAGAGACAGTAACTCCTTTGTGGGGCAATGTATACGGTTTTACAACAGGATCCCAGAAAGCGTTCAAAATGCCTCTGTTGCTAAATAAAAAAAAAAATATTAAGGAACGCTTGTGTGCAAAAGATTACTATACAATTAATGAGTTTATGATCGATAGCACACCTTGGGAATGAAACGCTCGCCTCCTGGCTATTTCATCTCATATTAAATTGTGTATATAATATATGAGACAAATAAAAAAAAACCGCTGAGTTTCTTTCGCCGGTTCTTCTCAGGTCAGGGTATTTTCTTTTCCGAACCGGTGGTAGTGTCTCAAATGACCATCAATAAGAAAGTGTAATGCTTCTATATTGAATAAAGTTATTTGAGTTTGTCAAATAACTTTATTCAATATATGTAGAAGCATTACTCATCACTATGTGAGATACACAGTAAGGAAGAGAGAGGTATACCGTTTAAATATTTATTACCATTTTCGTTATTATTGTCTTTCCAAGCGCAAGTGAATAAGTTTTAATTAGCAAACAGTGGATTAATTTATTAACGAATTATGGAAAATTATAGCTGTGAGATCTGTACTGGTAATGTGTGTTTAACGAAATTAATTACGAGTACATTTTCAATGTTGTCGCTTGATAATAAAATAATTACAAAGGGAAGGTGTGTGACTTGTTTTGAAGTTATTATGAACAGCAAAAAGTATATAGAAATACTGAAAATTGCGTCTATCCTCATAACCATTTTTGGGAACAACTCAGACGCAATCGTACTCCAACAAGACAATGCAATGTGTCATAAGTCAGCGACTCCGATGTTTGTTTGAAAAAGTAACATTGACTTGTTGAATAAGCCTGCATAATACCCAAAGCTTAACCCCATTCTGACTATTTTTGGGATATTTTAAAGCGTAGGATTGAAGAGCAGAATATAACATCCAAAACAGCAATAAAAATACGTTAGTGCAAAGCTTACAAGGGAGAAATGCACTGAGCTTGTATGCACCATGCCAGATAGTATTAGCGCAGTAATTACTCAACGTGGACCAATTACACTTAAAGATTATTTTGTTTGTTTTGTTTACCTCAATATTAATGTGGCGAACGCGACACTTACATATATAATAAAACATTATATATATATATATATACATGAATATAATATCTCATATGTATTTTGTTACATTAAATAATACTTTATATATATATAAAGTAGATAAAACTTGGATCTCAAACCAAACGCACGTCGCTTATCGCTTAAAATTTGCTACACTATATTGAACCTTATTCGTATTAGTAATAAGCTATACTTCCTATTTTTATCCATAACTTATCTTCATATTTGTTCTTCTCAATTATATTTCTATTCTGTGCTGTGCCTATCAACTTTCTACAAGAAATAAAAATTAGTAGTGAAGAAACTTTGTTTTACTTAACATCATTCATACTTCGGCTACATTAATAAATCCATTTTGAAAGTTAAGTTTTTCTTCATTATTTTAAGTAAATTTTAGGGCGAATAATACTTTTAGCAAAGACTGTACAGAAATTGTATCACATGCAAAAATACCGTATCCCTTAAAAGGCGATAGACTTGGAAAAATGTGTTGCAAATCATTCCTAAAAAGGTATTTAATAATGGTTGAAAATAGCACGATAATCGATACTAAGCTTGAACAAATGTATCTGAAACACATAAGAATGTGATTCCAGGAAAAAGTTCTTTTAGAAGGAAATTACTGAAAATAAATAATAGACCCAAAATCACGATTCAATGCTGACGAGAGTGGATATTTTTATCGCCAAAGCCAGGTCATGTAGCATAAAAAAGGTGATAAACAACTATACTTGGCATGTTGTGACAAAAAAGAAGTTCTCATAGTTTTATTTTCAATGCAGCAGGATGGCTATGCTAAGCTAAGCTTTAGAAGACAATCGCTTAAAGAAATAATAGGCCCAAAACGAGTGTTCATTTTTTGTTAGCAAAAAAAGGCGATAAGAAATTGCTTGTGCAGTAAAATAAGGCTGACAATTATAACAGACTATTCGAAATAGTCTTCCTTAGTTATGATATAGTCTTAAATAGTCTTTTTCTTTTGACAAAACTCATTTTTCTTCTCTAATTTAACTCCAGTCCTTATATACTTTACACTATTATATACTTGGTGATAATATATTGAGTTTGTATATAAGAAATTTAAATGTCTATAATTGTCTCTTCTTAATTATTATTAAATTTTTCTAAGTAACTTATTATTTACTACAGATTTTGTATTAGATTAAAAAAAAAATTGATATAAATTTAATAACCAAAAAAAAAGGTTTATTATGTTTGTATATTTACTAAATAACAAATTGAAGACTGTTATTTGAAGAAGTTATTGGTTTAAATACTTTATGAGTGAAATTTTGTTCAATAATTTTTTATTAATTTAAACTGTTTTTCATTTATATATCTCCTCAATATTTCTTATTAGTTCTTCAATGTCAATACTTTATATTTTACTGGTTATCTCTCAATGTGGACAACTTTTTCCTAGCCCTTCATAATTGTAGATTAAATTCTTCTATTATATAAAAATTCTATATATTCAATATATAATCCAGTTAAAATTTAGTGAGAAGTTTGTTAGTTATTTTCATAAATTTCTATTGATCTGTGTATTGTAATTTTTATTATAAACACTATGATTAAATGTCGATAATTGAATCCTTCACCTTGTATATATAACTAGTTTTCCGCCCGCGTGTTCGGTTATATCGCGTTTCCAAGAGAACCTTTCAAAAGTCTGAGATAAAAACTATCCTATGTTCTTTCTCAAGGACAACTCTATGTCTGTACGAAATTTCATTAAAATCAGTTCAGTGGTTTAGGCGTGAAAGACAGACAGACAGAGTTACTTTCGCATTTATGATATTAGTAGGAATATATATATATATATATATATATATATATATATATATATATATTCATAGTATATAATGTATACTAATATAGTACCGTGACTTCTGTCTAAATATAGTATCAGTATTTCCACAGTAACATTACAAAGATATAACCTTAATGTACATCACTATATGTCTTACAGTCAAACGGCGTAACACGAGTTTCGATAGTTAACTTCAATACTGTAAGTTTAAAGGTTTTCAGTGAGGAATTAGAAAATATTAACTACTAAGGTTCGTTTCCAAATTTCTTCATTAGTAATATATGTATATCTGACCGGGCGAACTATATTCCGACCTAGAGGATATAAATAACCAGATATTGGAATTTATTAACTATTTTTCTGTTTCGATCGAACAGTATTAAATATCCTATGTCCTTTCTATGTTCTAATCTATCTCTCCACCAATCTTCATCCACATCCATACAGTCGTTAGAGTTATAAATAGTGTAACTAACACGACTTTATATATATCTTGACCCTTCTTTGGGTCATATTTTTAAGTAGTGAACACATATTGTAATAATTTAATTTAACAAAACCTTCAAACTTACAGTTATTATGTTAATCAAAACTTACTAAGCAAATTGTTTAGTAAAAAATTGATTTGTAACTTGCTTACAATCAGTATTGAGTTAAATCATCAAGCAAGAAAGTAAAGGTTATTTATTTGATTTACTACAATACTGTCAGTAATCAAGTTTCCATCTCAAACGATTACTAAGGACGCCGTTTCCACTTAAAGCTTGCTATGGGATTCTTCACTAGAATTGTTTAAGGAGTAATTTATTATGTATACAATAATAATGAAAGGATTTTTTTTTAATTATTAGCCAATTTCCCAGCTTTAGCCAGGGTCTGCCTTACATGTTGTGTAAGTTTGACTACTGGTTTTTACGACAGGATGCCTGCCTGACATCAACCCTCTTTGGGAATACATATATATATTTTCTTTGAAAAATATAAGATCTTTGTTCCAGATATATAAATCATAATTAATTTACCATATTTTTTATATATATGGTATATATGGCATACATATTATTACTTAGTTTTATCAAGACAATTATCAAAAATAAAGTACCAAAAACGGATTTACCCTGCCGTTTAACATGTATTTGCATAAAAGTAATTAAATTGTACTATCTATTTGTAATTAAAATCACTTCTACATATATATAAATTTTTTATTTTCCAGTCTACCTGTAGTATTCTAGATAATCTTTGAATGATACAAACGTTTCTAACTCGGTAAAGCTACTTTGTATTAGCAATATATGTAATTAAATTCTAAACAAACAAATTGGCAGGTCAACCTATATACATAGGGTGTTAAAATCATGTAAATAATTTAAATGAAACTAATATTTTTCGGATGTATAACGCGGTTTATTTTTGTGAAAAAACTGCATATTTTTCAGCAACTTATGTAGTTTCACAAAAATATCCGAAAAATATTAGTTTAATTTAAATGAATACTCTTGAAAGTCCTAAATCTGATTATCATGTAAATAATTAATTTTCTCCTTAAACAATTCCAGTGATTCCCTTAATATTATCCACTAATCTTTTCACATGTATATCCTTCTCAGATGTTCAGCTGTAGTGATAGCGTTGCACTGAGGACAGATTTTCTTAGCTCTTAAAGATTGCAGCCAACATACCTGTAAAATATAAATATTATAATAATGTACTATATGCTAATCCCTACTAATATTATAAATGTGAAAGTAACCACTGTACTAATTTTAATGAAATTTGGTACAAAGATAGAGTGAGATAGACCTTGAGAAAGAACATAGGATAGTTTTTATCCTAGACTTTTGGAAGGTTCTCTTGTAAACGCGATATAACCGAACTCCACGCGGGCGAAGCTGTAGGCGTAAAGTTAGTATAAATATATTGAGGAAATCTGTATAAGATGTCCCTTTACAGGTTGCCGAATGCAGATTGTAAATTGCCGTCATTTTATGGATTCTAATAAAACATAAGTAGCGCATTTTAAAATATGTAGCGGCATTTTTCACTTTTTAGTTTAGGTTCGTACATAAAATGCCGAAGCCATTTATAAACGGATATATTATATATATAATATGAATACCAACCTCACAATATACATGCCAGCATTGTATTGACACTGCAGGAGATGTGTACCCTCCCAGACATATGAGACATTTGGCCTGGAAGATATATTAATTATATTATATGTATATATATATCTTATAGTAGTTACATTGTATAATATATATATATATATAATACAATGTAACTACTATAAGATATATATATATATATATATATATATATATATATATATATATATATATATATATATACTAGTTTTTGTCCGCGACAATGTCCGCGTTAATTTCGTCATTAGTAATATACGTACAGCTGACCGGGCGAACTCGAAATAGAAAAGCGCTGTTTGTAGGGTTTTCCCGGAAATTAATCAATTTTTTTTCCGCTTTTAAACCTTTCCTGAACCTCCATTAACATTTCAAGACTAAGATAAGATAAATCCGTTCAGCCGTTCTCGAGTTTTAGTGAGACTAACGAACAGCAATTCATTTTTAAGTATATATATATATATATATATATATATATATATATAATAAATCTCACCTCCAATGAAGAATTCTGTTTTTTCTCCAATTCTTTGATTTTCTCTTTCAATGCTTGTATTCTGGTCTGAAAAATATTGCACTAGATATTAGAGTGGTTTGTGTGAGATAAACGAAAGACATGATTTACATGTTGAGTACAGAAAAATCTGCTTATATGTATATGTGTAAGACTCATGATTTTGTGTGTGCATGTAGTATATGGTATTTACTTTATGTCACTTAATAAATTTCAAATACATTATATAAACAATATATCTTTATGAGCATATATAGTCGGGGATAGAGCAAATCCTCGTAACTATCATTGTATAATTCCACGTATATACATTGGAAGCAGATTATCAGAAGAAAGTTTGAGATGAAATATTTTATATATAAACGACTTTTAATGTATTTTTTTCACAATAAGTAATAAATTAAACACAAAATAATTACTGATTACGTGGAATTATCCAGTAGTTACGCGGATTTGCACTATCCCCGACGATATACTTTGTGTTATATTTCACATACATACAAAAATTCTCATTTATACAGGGTGACTGGTGAATTACTATCAATATTTAAGGAGAATACTCGGTACATGATTCTCATTCCAATTATGTGAACAAAATAGGTACTTAATTTTTGACCAAATTTCCGTATAAATAAATAAAGTGTTGACACGTTCCAAGTGTTCCATGTGTGGACGCGTGCGGCGGCGTGCTGATACAACAACACGACGCCGCGCGCGTATGTGTGAGTGTTTGTGTATACTTAATCTGTAGGGTGTTCATACGATGCGTAATTAATTACATAACTTTTGGTTAACTTTACTTAGAAGTTTATTAATATTTATGTTATATTAATTTTTATTTTGTCATATATGATCGTCAAATATCGATAGTAATTCACCAGTCACCCTGTATATACTAATGTTTTAGTATGAGTTATATTATTATAATATTTCACCTCTGCGCTGGCTTCAACTAAGCCGTTTGGTTTCATCACTACTTCACCGTCAGAATCTCGCTCTCTTGAGTCATCAGCTTCGGGAATTTCAGCCTGATGAATGAAATAATTAAAGAATACTTTTCATCGTACTAATATTATAATTGCGAAAGTTTGTGAGTGTATGTATGTTTGTTACTCTCACGCTCAAACGTCTGAATCGATTTTGATAAAATTTTGTATACGGGAAGCTGACGTCCAGGAATAATATAGGCAACTTTACATTCCGGAAATCCGCGGGTTACACCGCGGGGCGCAGCTAGTATTATAATAATTAATCTATCTAATTTAAAATGATGCGTTGAGATATTTATATTTTGCAAATTACCTTCATTGCATACATGTACATTTTTCTGGCAAGACTTTTAATATTAATTATGACGTCTTCAATTATTTGTTAAATAATAAATATTTTTTGTTGTTTTAGAAACAGAAATAGTTATATATAGAAACATAAACCACTTAAAGATTTAAGAAAATCCTATTTTCATAAGTATTACTTTATATTATACCTCTCTCCCAATCAAATAACACACAAAGTTATGGGTATGACCAATATAAATTATCTTCATCATATCTGTCCGGTGTAAGTTAAGCTTTACATTATCTAACGTACCTCAGGAGCTATTCTTGATGGTGAATACTGCGGGGGTCCGTATAATTCGGCGTCCTCATCACCATCTACGACCTGGGAATAAAGTTAACTTAATAATCATTGATAAATACGACTAATATTAAGCTATTACTCATATTACTGTACAAATAATGTCGTGGTGGCCTAGAGGTTAGCTCTTCTCTAGCATGAGGGCGCGGGTTCGATCCTGGCAAGTACCAATGTGATGTTTGAAGTCATATGTACTTTATAAGAGTATTTAGACATCACTGACTGATGAAGGAAAATATGTATGAGGAAACATGGACTTAATCTCTACTAATATTATAAAAGCGAAAGTAACTCTGTCTGTCTGTCTGTTACACTTTCACGCCTAAACCACTGAACTGATTTTAATGAAATTTGGTACAGAGATAGAGTTGACGTTGAGAAAGAACAAAGGATAGTTTTTATCACAGACTTTTTAGAAAGGTTCTCTTGGAAACGCGATATAACCGAACTCCACGCGGGCGAAGCTGCGGGCAGAAAGCTAGTCAAATTATAAGTTTGTAATCGCCAACCCGTCTTACGCGAGCGTAATGATTAATGCTTAAACCTTCTCCATGTGAGAAGAGGCTCAGCAGTGGGCTCTGATAGGATGATGATGATGATGGATAGCAAAATAAGATATTAATTATCAGTATAGATCTTACCAGCGCTTGATCAGTGGAAGCTCTTCTTACACTGGTTCCAAGGCGACCTTCTCCGTCTTGTAAGGCAGCGGCCCTTACCCTCCATTCACCACACCACTGATACTCAGACCCAAAGGTAGATGGCTCATCGTTCTGATAATCAAAACATAAATGTTTTAGTACTTGATCGGACATTTGAAATTATAAATAAAGAGTAGCTGTATTGACTTAATATTTAAAATAAAGGGGAGATGTATTGACTCAGGGACAAGGCATGGATTTGTGTAATGTAGCGAGGAAGGGAGGGGAGAGGTTATTTAACTCGGCGGGAGGCGCGCCCCATATACCAACACTGACTGTCGCTACTGGATAAAAAATACCACAATAATATTAATGTAAGAACTAGAGTTATTTTATGGGTAATTAAATATAACCAAATTTTATATTATATTGTGTTACATTTTCAATTAAACAAGACAGTTGGAAACTAATAACCCTTGGTATAATATGTAATATTTGACATTTTAAAACAAAGCCCAAAAGCTCAGCCATTTTGTGCACAAAACGAAATATTTGCTAGTGTGGCTGGAGTGCTCTTTCCTGTTGTTTATTCGGAATATTATTATTTTGCTCGCCATTACCGCCAAGTAAAAGTATTATTTTACTTTTCATAAATGTATGTAGGCAGGTTTAAGATTGTAAATTTATACTTAATTTGCGGCAATACAAGAGACACAGCCAACACCTTCAAGTAATCTCACGATTTTCTTTATTAGTCGAACCGTCGAACATCAATCGAAAGGTATCTAAAACGGCGCTGCACAAAATTACTTACAAAAATAAATATTTTCGAAAGTATGCACTATGTGGTAAATTTTACCCGGTAGCGCCTCCCGCCGAGTTAAAGAGCACGTTTATATGTAATTATTCATTATAGAAACTGGAAATAAAAAAGTGATTAACGAAGAAGTCATACTGTTTTTAAGTTATGTTTTGTAATTCAAGCAATAGAATGAAATATTCAACGTGTTGACTTAGGACGCGATAGCTCAATTCGAAAAGTTTCTAAATTCAACATACCAAAAGTAGCAGGTTCAATCCTGCTTGAAATTAAATATGTTTTTCTTGTATAGTAATTCTTAAGAAAAATCCATTAATCTGATTAATCCATTCCCAAAGAGGGTTGATGTTAGGTGGCCGGTCGTAAAAACAATTAGCCAAAACTATTTTCATGTAAGGCATACCCTGGCTAAAGCTGGGAAATTGCCAGGTAGAAGAAGTAATTCTTGAGGAAGTTAAAAATCTTAACAGATTTCGTTTTGTGCATTTTATTTTATTTATTTGAATGGCACATCAATAGTACATACATTAAACACTTTAAACTAAACATTTAAAACTGACACTCATCTAATGTAACGTACACAGCACTGCTGAAGATTATTGTCTAGCTGTATTATTTAATAAAAACAATATATGCATATACAGGGTGACTGGTGAATTACTATCAATATATTTTAAGGAGAATACTCGGTACATGATTCTCATTCGAATTATGTAAAAAAAATAGGTACTTAATTTTTGACCAAATTTCCGTATAAATAAATAAAGTGTGGACACGTTCCAAGTGTTCCAAGTGTGGACGCGTGCGGCGGCGTGCTGATACAACACTACGCCGCCGCACGCGTGTGTTTGTGTGTGTGTATACCTAATCTGTAGGGTGTTCACACGATGCGTAATTAATTACATAACTTTTGGTTAACTTTACTTAGAAGTTTATTAATATTTATGTTATATTAATTTTTATTTTGTCATATATGATCGTCAAATATCACGTCCTCAAGTATCGATAGTAATTCACCAGTCACCCTGTATATAAATCTAAAGAACTTGTTTTTTTGAAGTAGTATAAACCAATTTAAACTGACCTCTACATCAATACTTCCATCTTCTGAGCTCGTGTCTGGTACATCTTCATCTAGAACAGCCCCGGTTCGCTTCAGACACCTGAGAGCGTGTCTTTGTAGCCTCGACATGGGCAGTAGTTCATTACACACAGGGCATTCGCCCTGCTGGGGCGGCGGGCTACGCCGGCGGGCCCGAAGTCTCTTGAGGCGGTTTGAATGTATTCTCTGATAATGATTAAACATGATTAAGGATTATTTAAATGATAGCTATAGTTAATTTAAGTATAATTGTTAATTGGGAAGACTTTTTGTTAGTAAATAATACTGTTACACAAATTGTTAGGTAGAGAGGAGCTTGTACGGTGGAGGTGATCGTTTAACGTTAGATAGGGTCCCTTAAACCTACACCTGGGTCACAAGTCCCAGTCACTGTTGAAGCTCCTTTCACTACAACGATGGACCCGACACACGCACCGTGAATACATGGAATGATGAGGAGTTTCCTCTCTGTGTATACAGTAGACTCAGATCGTTCCACGGAGATGATCTCGACAACCAAATATACGACTGACTAGAGGTTTTTATATTCAATAGACTAGTTACATGGGGTAGGTTTATCAAACTATTAATATTGGACCATAATTTTAATTTTAGAGCCAGAAAACAATTCAGTACTGAAAAGCTCATTCAAAAATATTTGCACGTCAAATCGGCAGAATATGTTGGACCACTGTAAATGTATGAAATACCTTTGTTAACCCATATTCGAGCAAATAAACTATTATTATTATTAAAGCTGACCTTTTCACAAAGCTTTATTTCAATGGAAACCAGAAAAACTACGAAAGTGCATCTCATATATTTACGTTATATCTACGCAGAAACTAATATAAAACAAACTTAATTCAAGTAGTTTTAATAAAAACACAAACATATACAGGGTGACTGGTGAATTACTATCGATACTTGAGGACGTGATATTTGACGATCATATATGACAAAATAAAAATTAATATAACATAAATATTAATAAACTTCTAAGTAAAGTTAACCAAAAGTTATGCAATTAATTGCGCATCGTGTGAACACCCTACAGATTAGGTATACACACACACACATACGAGTGCGGCGGCGTAGTGTTGTATCAGCACGCCGCCGCACGCGTCCACACTTGGAACACTTGGAACGTGTCAACACTTTATTTATTTATACGGAAATTTTGTCAAAAATTAAGTACCTATTTTTTTTACATAATTCGAATGAGAATCATGTACCCAGTACTCTCCTCAAATATTGATAGTAATTCACCAGTCACCCTGTATATATATCCTTCTTGTGTTTTTACCAAAAGTAAACTGTGCTTACAAAGAATAACAAAAATATTTTCCACTTCCTAACCCTCATTATACTCGCCACATTCAATTAACGTGCCTATATCCCACTGCAGGATTGGTGCGTTCATCAATTAATTGTTAAAAACCAAATTTTTATGTTTATTTATAGTTAGGAGAACATATAGTTACTAGGTTGCCTATCAAAATTTAGCCGCCATGATGTTTAATTAAATTATTTTTGAAAAAGATTCATTTATTTAAAAAAATAATCTGTTATGAAGTGTTACCGGGAACTACACGGACTGAACGATACATTATACTATCTGGACACCAAGCTTTGCTATTATTAGTATTTATTTTGTGTTTTTTTTTTTTCGTTTAGGCATTGTTAAGTGAACACATTAAGAAGACACAAAACAATATAAATCTTCAATTAATTTCTTAGTCTAACTTCAAAACAAACACTCATTGACTTACTGTTACCTAATATCGCCATCTGCTGTTGAATCGTTAAAGCAATTAACAGAAAGTAGTATTACTATTCGCCAATAGATGTCAGGGAGAGGCATATTTTAAATTCCTCCTTTTTGTTATTTTTTTTTTCATAAAATAACATTTTCTAAAAATGCTTCCTAGCTAGATCGGTTTATCACCCCTGAAATTCCCTATATACTAAACTTCATGATAATCATTGGAGCCGATTCCACGATATCAATTTATATATGGATATATATATATATATTGCTCATTTAAATAGCATTAAAGATAATATGTTATTCTTACATCTAAGGTACAGATTTTATTGTTTAATTACATTCTTTTAATATTCTTTCATATTATTTAATACTTCAAATAAAAAATAATAATATAATGTTAAGTAAAATGTAACAAATACTTATTTTTCATATTAAATAAATTTTAATATTATAAAAGTCAAAAGTTCCTTCAATCTCTAGTTTCGGTGTTAAATTTTGTTGATCATGTATTTTATTAATTAAGACCATTTTATATGTAAAACATTTTTTTTGGCTGACAAATATAAGACATTACTTATAACACAAGAATTATCTAAATCTATTTCTAATAAATAGTAAAACAAGACAGTATAAATAATTTTGGGAATAATTTAAATATCCAAAAAAAATTGTTTTTCAATTTCTAATACATAATTACAAAAGGGAATTCTATATTTTAATATAATATAGTGATGATAAAATGAAATTAATTGGTTGGTGAAATGCTTAAAAACCCTAACATCGATATCTTGAAAACCCTTTTTTAGATACTAGATAAAAAACTATCTTTGAACATCGATTACTACTAAGAATTAATGCATCTTATTTACATTTATAATAAGAAAAAATATATTTAAAAAAAATTGAAAATATCTACAAGCATTTTTGCATAATTCAAAACTTATAACTAAGTAAAAAAAATCAGGCATTGTTTGTATTATGTACTAACTAATAAAATCTATTTAAATGACATAAACCTATATACAAAAAATGGAGGGAAATATAAATTTGAAAATGGAACACAAAAAAAAAGTTTGTTTACCTGGTAAGCATCACTGCCTGTACAGCCAGACACGTCAACTTCCTCTTGATTATCCGCGCTAGAACTCGACCCGGGCATCGGATTTGATCCGGGACTATTAGAACTTAACTTCCGTTTACTACTAGCACTAGAAAGTTTATTTAATCTCTCAACTTCCAACGCTAAGTGACTCTCCAATTCACCGTGGCGAATCGTACAGCTGCATACCGGACAGTTCGGTAATTCGCTCACTTTTTTCCTATTCCTGACACAATTTAATATTATATTGTCCTCATAACCGAAATTCGTGTTCGGTGTCACACCGTTAGTACTTTCATCCATATTAAACATCACCGCTGGTAACATTTCAACTTGTTGTTGTTGTACAAATCTGGAAACATCACAGTTTTGGACATATAAAACCTCTTTTTAGTGATGTGACAATATCCGTACAACTTCCACGCTCCCGTTAGAACTTGTCTTGTTTACACCGATGTCATAATAATTAATTTACAACAATTATCATTTGCGAAACAAAAATAAATAAAGCGTTCGGGCTGTTTTTATTAGATCGAAAATGACGTTTCAGTTGTGACGTTAGTTTGACAGGTGACACTTTGATTTATACTTTATGACGTTTCTAATATATTAATTTTTGATTCTTGATATTAGTAAAAAAATATTAAATATATAATTTATACTGATTAAATATTAAATAATTTATAATAGGTTTAAAACCTTGACGATTTTTATTTATTAATAAAAATATTGATGCCAGAATGGCCATAGACAACACTAAAACTATTGTTGAACCTTGGCATCATATTGCGAGATTAAAAACAATTATGAATGATGATGAAAAACATTGTAACTCAAATTATTACACTAAATACAAGGTGAATTATTCAAAGAATAAACCACATTTATAAATTTTTCACCTTTCTACGTTAATTTAGGCCAAGAAAACATTAACACATGCAGGTTGCTAGTTAAAAATCTTAAGGTGTGTAATTCTTTGATTTTCAAATTAAATCCTGTCTTTGAGAACTAAGTAAATTATATATTCATATGATTAAAATTTTTTATTAATATTTGGAACTTCATAGAGTAAGCAATTCGAAGAAGTGACATTGTTAATAAAAACTCTTTAACTCCTTTGTGTTTCCACACAGTACTCAAGATTATAATTCTTTCAACAATTAAATTATTTGATATCAGGAAAACATTCCACAATAGCATAAAAATAATATCACATTACAGGAACAGGAATAGTTCGAATACTTTAATCTTGAAAACAAAAATGTTATGTGAAAATACATCTATTCCTGTATAAACGTAAAAGAAAAGCAAAATTTAGGTAAACATATATCCTTGACTCACGTAGGGTTTCTTTTTAAAATTCATTAAGACAGTATTGATTATTCTATATATTTTTACCTATATTATTGAAATTTCATCTATCGCATGTTGCGTTACAGTGAGTGGAGAAGTGGGAATGGTAAGGGGTCAGCAAATCGGCCTACACCAATAAGCGTCGATAATTCTCAATAGATCGGGTAGTATTTATACAGAAATCCAAAGCATATGCTTAGTGATGTTAATTTTTTATAACTAATTGTTAACTTATTCATTTCGTATGCTACATAGATTGAAATTAAAATATGAGATGCCTTAGTTACGCCGGCAGTTACTGCATAGATAAAATCATGCCTCAGAATAGTTGTAGTTATAAAAAAATATGGAATCTTAAGAGTTGCTTTGTAATTTAAGCCGAATATGATACATCAAGATTTTTGTCATATCGAATACTAAGTCTTTGGCTAGTAGTTTAATCTAAAGGGTAGGTACTTTTAGTCAGTAGGATTGACCACTACTGGAATGTCTAACCAAATGTTTTATCCAAGGATTGGAGACCATATAATACAACCTAATCATTTTGGCGGAAATTCAGATCCTGAAGTCTCCAAACCAAGTTTACACTGTACTATGAGTCTGTTTTATTTATTGAAATATTATTTCAAGGTCCAATTTTCATCCTTTTTGATGTCAAAGCAGTGTTCTTCTCTCTCTAGTGTTGGTAAAAATTGTATATCTATGAACATAAAATAAACCTACTACTGCCATCTATGTTTAAATATTATCATTAAGACATTGTTACTTTCAGTTCAAATAAATATCGTGTGACCGCATTCAAATAAATTGTAGTTTTATTAGGTATGTGATGCGAAATTTCATTGTAAAGTTTCTAGAAGATGTGGAACTTTGTTAGCGTTTGTCGAAAATAATAAGTTACTTATCTAATACAATATACTTTTAAAAGCCATATTAAATTTCATTGTTTTTAAAATCCATCGTCGTACGACAAGTTTTGCAGTCACTAAACCTGGATAGTTTAAAATATATATATAAAAGAAAGTCGTGTTGGTTACACTATATATAACTCTAACGACTGTACGGATATGGATGAACATTGGTGGAGAGATAGATTAGAACATGGAAAGGATATATCATATAGGATACTTTACATCTGACTTAAAAAGAAAAAATATGTTGATCAAATACAAAATCTTGTCTACTGTCTTTAAGGAGGGATAGAATTCGCCCGATCTATGCATTTCTAATTCTGATTGATTTAGACGAAGTCGCGTTCAAAAACTAGTATATATATATATATATATAGCAGGCTATAGACTCTACGTTTACCGTTTTCACACATAGTAAGGATAAATCAAACAATATATATATGTGGTATCAGTTGTATTGTCCGTTGGTTTCTTCCTTTTAGTTTTAGGCATCTTGAGGTGCACCGTGTTAATGTGAACTTTGAGTGAGTTGGACTGACTGAAGCTCTTGCTGCAGAGATGACAGGCGTACGGCCTGGCGCCCGTGTGGACCTGGAATAGATGAGATAGATGAGATGAGATATAAATGAGATTGATGAGATAGGATGACAAATAAATGAGATATTTAAATAACATACATAGTCATAATGTTTTTATTCGTTTTTTTTTATAACTTTAATTTTTTTTTTTGTTTTGAGAGTGAACATGCAAAGAATGTTATTTTATCACAAATGTAAATGTTTACAACAAAGAATATTACAAAAATAATAACAAAAAGTAATCTATGGATAATGGATGGATAGTGTATATAATGTATCTGTATACAATATATATTTTGAGTGTTTTCTCAATCTTAATCAGATAATTTGTTACAAAATGTCTGCAGCCAGTATTAATAGTTTAAAAACACATGATACTTATGTTGATACATCACAATGGTTCAGTATTATCATTCATTATAATCAGTCATCATAATAATTGTAAGGATTAGTGTATATATATACAACACACATTTAATTTGAGCCGTCCCTTTAAACTCCCGAACGCACCCGAAGTGTCGTTAAAGAGATAACGTTTGGTTTGTTCACTTTTACGAGGGAAAGTATTTGTAGACACGACTTGTGTGCTTGTAAACTGAATACAACTTATTGAAGGTGTTTTGGTTTAATATGATAATTAGTTTGTTTTAGTTGAGTTATTTAAAAGTATTGGCTTTATAAATAAATAATTTAATTGATTCCCCATATCTGCTCAGTAATATTTTATTCAAATGTCCTCGTTTTAACGCTCGCTCTCAAAATACTTTTTCAATATCTATTTGTAAAACTAATTTTTTCAAAAATTCTTTTATTCTAAGACCTTGAAATAGTCATAAAAGAAAATACAACCACATTGATCTGTTCAAAAATAGTTAAAGTAAATTTTATAATCTGGTGAAAAATACTTATTAGTAATTAATTAATAGTTGTATTTTGTGTTACATCAAAGTTAGTCCACTTCCCTATTAAAACAGTAGTGGAAACTTAATTAGCATAAGTGTTAAAATATGATTATTATATTAAGTTGTAATATACGATATGCTGTATGTTTCCCTAATAATAAATAATATTTTTTAATCATTTTGTTAGAATCCCTAATGCATAGTATAACTCACATTTTTTTTTTTATGTTATAGGTGGCAAACGAACAGACGGCCCACTTGATGGAAGGTGGTTACCGTCGCCCATGGACATCCGCAACAAATATGTTGTGGATGCGTTGCCAACCTTTTTTTTTTAGGGATAGGGAAGGGTGGGAATAAGGAAATACAAGGAAAGGTTGGGAAAAGGGAAAGGGCAACCAGCTCTCTCACTCATCGGACGAAACGCAGTCATTACTGACTACTTCACGCCGATCTTCTGTGAGAGGGTGGTACTTCCCCGGTCGAGCCAGGCCATGTTCGAGCTGTAGTAACATAACCACAGCTAGGCTCTACCACCTATAAATTCATTAATATATTCTTGGAACGTACATCGAAGGCAGCCCTAGTAGGTTCGTTTCAAATTTGTTAGATAGAGGAGCTTGTACGGTGGAGGTGATCGTTTAACGTTAGATAGGGTCCCTTAAACCTACACCTGGGTCACAAGTCCCAGTCACTGTTGAAGCTCCTCTCACTACAACGATGGACCCGACACACGCACCGTGAATACATGGAATGATGAGAGGTTTCGTCTCTCTATATATATTAAACCTACACCTGGGTCACAAGTCCCAGTCACTGTTGAAGCTCCTCTCACTACAACGATGGACCCGACACACGCACCGTGAATACATGGAATGATGAGAGGTTTCGTCTCTCTATATATATTAAACCTACACCTGGGTCACAAGTCCCAGTCACTGTTGAAGCTCCTCTCACTACAACGATGGACCCGACACACGCACCGTGAATACATGGAATGATGAGAGGTTTCGTCTCTCTATATATATTAAACCTACACCTGGGTCACAAGTCCCAGTCACTGTTGAAGCTCCTCTCACTACAACGATGGACCCGACACACGCACCGTGGATACATGGAATGATGAGAGGTTTCGTCTCTTGATAAATATATACTGCAGACGTTTCGGTTACTTTTCAGCAACTATGATCATTAAGACGAGATGACTTGGCTTAGTATATACGAAAAAATGATTGAATGAGTCATTTCGTCTTTTTAATGATTTTGTTAGAATTCTTAATACGTCACAGATATCGCCACTAGTATTTCTCACCCGATAGTGTCTGTTCAGCGCGGGTTTCTGGCTGAACGCGTGTCCACACAGGTTACACACGTACGGCCTCTCTCCCGAGTGGCTCCTGCTGTGCACGCGCAGGTACTCCCGGCTGGAGAAGGTCGCGGGACATCGCTCACACGGGTACGGACGCTCGCCGGTGTGACGACGCTGGTGGTAGCGGAGAGTGGCGCGGGACTGGGGGGGAAAGGGGTTAGTACTATATGTATACTAGAAGACCCGGCGAACTTCGTATCGCCCTATATTATCAAGAAATCTGTTACGTTCTTTTTTATTTATGTTTGGAGTTTACCTATTAAAGCCATAAATCTCCGTGTTCCGAAGTGCGACAGAATGATTGACATATTATTTAGTTGTCAAATCTAGTGTCAAAAGAAAAACGTTTGTACAACAACTACTTACAAAATTAAAAATTAATTAAAAAAACATTATCCAGCGGACAAAATTGTGAATCTAATCCATTCCCAGATCCCCTTGAACACACACAAAAAATTTCACCAAAATCGGTCCAGTTGTTTGAGAGAAGTTCAGTAACTATTCCTATAATTCCATATATTGTGTATACAGGGTGACTGGTGAATTACTATCGATATTTGAGGACGTGATATTTGACGATCATATATGACAAAATAAAAATTAATATAACATAAATATTAATAATTTCTAAGTAAAGTTAACCAAAAGTTATGTAATTAATTACGCATCGTGTGAACACCCTACAGATTAGGTATACACACACACACGCGCGCGCAGGGGCGTGGTGTTGTATCAGCACGCCGCCGCACGCGTCCACACTTTGAACACTTGGAACGAGTCCACACTTTATTTATTTATACGGAAATTTGGTCAAAAATTAAGTACCTATTTTTTTTACATTATTCGAATAAGAATCATGTACCGAGTATTCTCCTTAAATATTGATAGTAATTCACCAGTCACCCTGTATATGTGTGTAATTTATATTCTACTCACCGTACACTTCTTCCCACAAGTCTCACACACAATATTCTTATTATATTTAATTCCCAGGTGGACCCTCTTTATGTGGTTTTGGAGTTGACTCCTACTAGAGAAACTTGATTCACACTGAAAACAACAAATATATAAATAATATATATTTATATCCTATAGAAGCTTATGTTAATAATATTCTATATAAAAAAAGGTAACCAAAAACGGTGGTGGCCTAGTGGTTAAAGGGCCCGGCTCTCGTTGACGAGAGCGCGGGTTCGATCCTGGCCCTGGCAAGTACAAATGTGATTTTTCCGAGTCATTTGTACATTATAAGAGTATTTAGACATCACTGATTAATGCATTCCCAAAGAGGGTTGATGTCAGGCAGGCGGCCGGTCGTAAAAACAATTAGCCAAAACTATTCACAACATGTAAGGCAGACCCTGGCTAAAGCTGGGAAATTGCTAGGTAGAAGATAAAAACGGTAACAAAAAGACCTAGTCATATGAATACTTTTATTGAAGAAACTTCTTCAGAAGCATGAGGGTAAAATTTATACAGATGTAACATCACGCCGGTATGCAAGGGAAGTGTCTAAAGAGAGAGAGAGAGAGAAAACGATTGAGAGTGAGTGAGACAGAGCAAACGTAGCATGAAGCAACTAGTATGGAGTTAAAGTAGAGAGCGAGCGAGTGAGATAGATTGAGAAAAAGAGTGAGACAGAACGAACGTTGTATCACGTTTTAGATTTGTATAAATAAAAACAATATTTATAAATTAGTTCGCCAAAGGAGTTTCACTTGTTACATGTGTACTTTGTACGCAAACATTAATTGGAACGAAGTTCCTTATCGCGCGTTGTGAAAGGGGGCTAGACGGGAAAAATTCTCACGAAAAGTTGTCACGACACTTTTTGCTATAGTAATTATTGTAAGCTGCGCGGCGTCGCATGTTTCTCTGTCTGTCTGTCTGTCTCTTATAGAAAGCAAGCCAGATATTTTCATTTCTATTTCGCATTGAACAGTGTGATTAGTGATTATTTCTGTTGAGTGTATACAGGTTTTTTGTAAATAATAAATATTGTAAATAATAAAATCATCAGGTAATATGATTACCTGCTGACATGACACCTTGAAGTCGCTGACCGTCCGGTAATTGTCACCACTCCTCTTTAACTGACGCGCGTGACTCCGCTCGTGGATCAACTGGTTGTTTGTATGTTGGTCACATATCTTACATCGGGAACTGAAATATTAAAAGTTATATTTAATTTTTAAGTCATGTTACACTAGAGGTTAAAAGTCCGCCTCTCATGCATGAGGACGCGAGTTTGAAACCTTTGCAATATTTAATTTACAGCTTTTCACTAAAATTATGTGACAATATACACAATAAGTACATAAAAAATACTTTTCAAAATTTTTTCTTTGTCTGTCTGTTTGTGTCGGCTAATCTCTGAGACGGCTTTGCAGGTTATGATTGAAATTTCATTCGAAAGTAGGTAGTATCATAAGGAGTGACATAGGCGACTTTTAACCGACTTCAAATAGGAGGAAGTTCTTAATTTGGTTATGTGTTTGTTACTGTATTATTTTATGAATTGAAGGTAAGTTCACAAAATCAATTACATCTACATGGCCAATATGTTAAGATCTGATGAAGTCGTTAAGAAAATCGAAAGAAAACTCATAAGGATAAATTGGTAAGTTGTAACTAAAAGGCTTAATATGCAGAAAAAGTCGCGGAAACTAGCTAGTATAATTTAAGTGATACTAATATTGATAATTAACTGAGAAGATTTATTATATACTAGCTGCGTCCCGCGGTGTTACGTATCTATCGTGGCGCGATCTAAAGTAGCCTATGTGTTATTCCTGAACGTCAGCTTGATGTACACAAAATTTTATCAAAATCGGTTCAGCCGTTTGAGCGTGAAGAAGTAACAAACATACACACACACTCACAAACTTTCGCAATTATAATATTAGTAGGATATATTATAAGTTAGTGTATCTGTACTTACTCCTCATTAAATAGTGTATGTTTGGTCGTTATCAACAGGTGCCTGGTGTAAGCGTCTATATTAGTGAATTGTATGTCACAGTCCTTACACACGCAGTTAGGAGGAGGTTCTGTGGTACTCTGAAAACAATTACAACTGAAGAATTAATAAGTCAAGTATTTAAGTAAATAAAATATGAAGAGAATATCAAAATATATATAAGTTCACACATATTATGTTACTAGCTTTCCGCTCGCAGCTTCGCCCGCGTGGAGTTCGGTTATATCGCATTTCCAAGACAACCTTTCAAAAGTCTGGGATAAAAACTATCCTATGTTCTTTCTGAAGTCAACTCTATGTCTGTACTAAATTTCATTAAAATCAGTTCAGTGGTTTAGGCGTGAAAGCTTAACAGATAGACAGAGTTACTTTCGCATTTATAATATTAGTAGCTATGACAATATAGCTTAAATTATGTCTTAATTTGAACCCAAACTAATCCTAACCCATTCTAACCTAACTATACATATGTTGTTGACCCATTTCCGCTTACCTGGTCCCTTCTATGCGTCTTGCTCACATGCATCATGAGTCCCCGCCTTTTGTAAAAGCTGTCTCCACACTGCCTGCATACATGCTCGCCCGCGTGGAGCTTCCTCATATGCGTCAAGTATGTACTTGGCTTGCTGCAACCATATATATATATATATATATATATATATATATATATATATATATATATATATATATATATATATATATATATATATATATATATATATATATATACACAGGGTGACTGGTGAATTACTATCGATACTTGAGGACGTGATATTTGACGATCATATATGACAAAATAAAAATTAATATAACATAAATATTAATAAACTTCTAAGTAAAGTTAACCAAAAGTTATGTAATTAATTACGCATCGTGTGCACACCCTACAGATTAGGTATACACTCACACATACGCGTGCGGCGGCGTAGTGTTGTATCAGCACGCCGCCGCACTCGTCCACACTTGGAACACTTGGAACGTGTCAACACTTAATTTATTTATACGGAAATTTTGTCAAAAATTAAGTACCTATTTTTTTTACATAATTCGAATGAGAATCATGTATCGAGTATTCTCCTTAAATATTGATAGTAATTCACCAGTCACCCTGTTCTTTCTTTGTTCTAGTCTTTGGTTCCTTCCAGAAAAATCAGTATGATATTATAATTACGAGATATATTAAGATTATATTACTATTAAATAATTAATAAGACTTCTCACTACAATGTATTAAACACGTTTAAATTATGGTAATTTTATGGCAAAAATAAGAGTAATATTATTATATTATTTCTAAAACTGCTTTCTTCTTCGTCCGTGTTAAATTCGGTATTTGTAATATGTGTATAGCTGACCGGATAACTCTATAGAGGCCGTAAATAACAAGATTTTGGAATTTATTAAGTTGTTTTCTGTTTTGATTGAACAGAATTAAGTATCCTATGTCCTTTCTATGTTCTAATCTACCTCTCCGCCAATCTTCATCCATATCCGTACAGTCGTTAGAGTTATATATAGTGTAACTAACACGACTTATATATACAGGGTGACTGGTGAATTACTATCAATATTTGAGGACGTGATATTTGACGATCATATATGACAAAATAAAAATTAATATAACATAAATATTAATAAACTTCTAAGTAAAGTTAACCAAAAGTTATGTAATTAATTACGCATCGTGTGAACACCCTACAGATTAGGTATACACACACACACACACACGCGTGCGGCGGTGTGGTGTTGTATCAGCACGCCGCCGCACGCGTCCACACTTGGAACACTTGGAACGTGTCCACACTTTATTTATTTATACGGAAATTTGGTCAAAAATTAACTACCAATTTTTTTTACATAATTCGAATGAGAATCATGTACCGAGTATTCTCCTTAAATATTGATAGTAATTCACCAGTCACCCTGTATATAAGTTTTTATTATTTATATTATATATGTTATTTCACCTGAATTTAAGTCCGCACAGCTGACAGGCGTATGTGTGTCCTTTGTGCCACTTCTCATGTTCCACGGCTTGATTTCTGTAACGTTATATTTGTCACCATTATATACACATTATTAGGAAGTATTAGCACTCGATTATATGCTCGTTCTAAATATAGGATTCCTGAATTGTATGTACTATATAAGACTAGCTGACCCGGCAGACTTCGTACTGCCTCGATCGATAAATAAATAATTTCTTATTTATCTTTTTGGAGTTTACCTTTAAGCCATAAATCTCCGTTTTCTGAAGTGCGACGAATGATTCACATATTAGTTAGTTGTCAAATCTAATGTCAAAATCAACGTTTGTATGTGAAATAGAAAGTGCTGTTTTTAGGGTTTTCCCGGAAATGAATCAAATTTTTTTCATCTTTTAAACCTTCCCTGAACCTCCACGAACATTTCAAGACTAAGATAAGATAAATCCGTTCAGCCGTTCTCGAGTTTTAGTGAGACTAACGAACAGCGATTCATTTTTATATAGTGTGTGTGTGTGTGTGTGTGTGTGTGTGTATATATACCTCGTATGAGCTCTGTAGACACACACATCACACTGGTACCTCCGGGAATGTGTGGCTGCTGTGTGCGCCCTCAAAGACTTGGTGCTGGGATAGCGGAGGTGGCAGATACTACACTTGTATGGACCACTGATCTGTAATTAGATAATATATATCCTACTAATATTATAATTGCGAAAGTTTGTGAGTGTGTGTGTACGTTTGTTACTTCTTCACGCTCAAACGGCTGAACCGATTTTGATAAAATTTTGTATACAGGAAGCTGACGTCCAGGAATAACACATAGACTACTTTACATCCCGAAAATCTGCGGGTAACACCGCGGGGCGCAGCTAGTATATATATATATATATGTGCATCTTTCATTATTGATACCCGCCAAAACACTTTTATGGGTAGAATTCCATCAATCCATTCTTAGCTGACCTATACTCGGTGGAAAGAATATTCTTACTTAGTTTCAGGTCTTTACGATTTATAATTCCAGGGAAATCATGATTATACGTAAATTGCCATCTCTTATATATAAAAATATATACATATATATTTTAAAACAAAAGTAATTTACTGTCATAAAACCTTATATTGTACTACATTTTTGGACACAATATAATATGCCCTACTAAGGAACAGTAATTATAATTATTATCAAAACAATGATGATCATTATCAAAAATCATAAATGTCAATGACCTTATCATGTTTCTCCTTGTGTTTGTCAAAAGCTGCGGGGTCAATGAACCCTTTGTAGCACAGATCACACTTGTACGGTGAGTTTGTGTAGTTCTCTGATTTTGATCGTTCCATCATCTCCTGGAGTTGTTCCTCGTGGCTTAGAATTATTTCCTTTGCATTGATTTTTCTTTCTGGAAATGTATGTGAATATATAAGAAGGGTTTTAACACTCATTGATGGTATAATTGAGATAATTATATACATTTGGAACATTCACACACACACGCACTCACACACATACAATAACACATGTATATCTATACACATAATAAAATTGTAGAAAAGTGCTGTCTGTACATTGAAAAAAAAATAAAAAAAATAGCAGGGGTTATTGTTATGTCGATGTCGAACCCAAAAATGTAATTAACTTTTTTTTGTCTGTTTGTCTGTTCACGCTAATCTCAGAAACGGCTGATCCGACTTGGATGCGATTTTCATGAATATATTGTGGTATGCTTCAGTTATGCTTTAGTGTTTGTTTCATGTCAATCGGTTCATAAATAAAAAAGTTATGTCAAATTAAAAAATCATGTCGAACGAAGTCGCGGGCACAGCTAGTATTTACATAAAAATGTGTGCGTGTGTGATATATTGAATTCTGTAACTTATCACCAACAAATACATAGATATATTTCTTGCGCTACTCAGTCTTACAAACAAAAATTCATAAAATTTATTAAATTCAATATAAAAAAAAGTTATTTCTGTTAGTCTTTTTCATTAAGACTTTGTTTAAAAAGAAATGTCTGGATTTACTATAAGGCCTCCTATATGAAAAAATATATATTGTTCCACTCTCTCCATTTCATAAAATATTTATATTTTCTATTTGGACTTACATACAACCAAACAGATATACAATAGTATTAGTGTTGGTATATTCCCTCTCTTTCTCTCGTTCTCTACAACCTACAGCTATCTCTCTCTAACATCAGAAGCTTAAAAATAAGTAAAATATTTTTATTATATTCCCTCTCTTTCTTTCATTATGTATAATCTATCTCCACCTCTTTCTAACACCATTAAACCCACCTTTCCTTTTACAGACTGCATCCTTATTCTTAGAACTAATATTCTTCAGGGGAATGTCATCTTCGGAGTCAGTTTTCTCGTTAACTTCTGAATCATTCTTAGTATGGATTTCCACATCGCTTGCATAAATATCTGCAATATAAACATAAATAAAATTAAAGTAAGTTTGTGTGTTGGTTACATATAATTACAGAGTTATTTTGACTTAATTTCAAAACACATGAATTTATTATAAAAAATTTCAAGTAACTTGCAAATATCTTAAATTTACAGCTCTAGTTAAAATGGCATATTAAACAAAAATGAGATGAATCCTCTCATCATTCCATGTATTCACGGTGCGTGTGTCGGGTCCATCGTTGTAGTGAGAGGAGCTTCAACAGTGACTGGGACTTGTGACCCAGGTGTAGGTTTAAGGGACCCTCGTCATCAGCCTATCAGAGCCCACTGCTGAGCAAGGCCCCTTTCTCACATGGAGAAGGTTTGAGCATTAATCACCACGCTTGCTCAAGGGGGGTTGGTGATTTCAAACTTATAATTATAAAACTATAAGTCCAGGTTTCCTATAAGGGACCCTATCTAACGTTAAAAAATCACCACCGTACAAGCTCCTCTATCTAACAGATATTATATAAAAACTTCCGACATGACAAATATATTTTGACCTACCTTCAAATTCCTTCTTAATCACTACATCATGGACTTCTGATTCAAATTCTGGTTTAATATCAACAGTCACTAAATTTGACTTGCTCAGCCTAAATGTATGATTGATCTGGAATTATTATATTAGTTAAAAAGACGTATATATGAAAGTTTTCTTTTATATCCCTACTAATATTATAAATGCGAAAGTAACTCTATCTGTCTGTTACGCTTTCACGCCTAAACCACTGAACTGATTTTAATGAAATTTGGTACAGACATAGAGTTGACCTTGAGAAAGAACATAGGATAGTTTTTATTCCAGACTTTTGAAAGGTTCTCTTGGAAACGCGATATAACCGAACTCCACGCGGGCGAAGCTGCGGGCGGAAAGTTAGTATCTATATATTGTATTGATAATTAATTAATTGATTATTTCATGTACAATATTATAATATGAACGTCATTATGTTTAACATTCAGTGACAACACACACATTGAGGAATGTTCATCCAGTGGCGGCGTAAGGCGTGGGCGACGTGGGCCACCACCTACGGCCTGGCGGTACAAGGGGCCTCGCGGCTCAAAAATTTTAGAGAATTAGAAAAAAAAATCTTCTTCTTGTTCCTAGGAATTTCCCAGCTATAGCCAGGGTCTGCCTTACATGTTGTGATTAGTTTTGGCTATTTGCTTTTACGACCGGTCGTCTGCTTGACATCAACCCTCTTTGGGAATCAGAATTAATTAAACCTATTTTGATAAGAATAGTGTGTTCAATGTTTTAATAATATTTAGCGAATAAATAGATAGTGTTTAAGTATATTGATTGCCCCCGAACAGTGACGTTTTTTAATTGTTTTTGTTTTCTTTGTGATTTGTAATACACCAGTACCTGTACTCGGCTATTTTACATAAATAGTAACAAATATTTAATTGGTGATAAGTACGTAACGCAGTAATTACTTGTCTATAAAATAGGCTTTATAAAATCTTTTGAAGGAATCCAAAGCTTTAAGTGTAAAGAAAAACATCGACGTTTAAGTTTTTAAAACTAGCTGGTAGTAAGAGCTTCAGGTTTCCATAGAACAGGGCCTCGCGAAATCTGTCTTGCCCACATCAAATTTAGGTCTTGCCCCGCCACTGTGTTCATGGATTGATGTATTATATACATATGTGTGTGTATTTATGTGTGAGTGTGTGTGTGTTAATATAATATAATTATATATCAAATACATTTTATTAAAAATATGTATGTTTATAAACATTTTATATAAACTTTGTCTTTATTAAATCTTTCAGTAAAGGATCCAAAGTCATCGCATCAAATTTCATCAATCATAGTACACAGAAAAATTGCTATCTAAGAGAAAGAAAAAATCATCGGAACTCTATTTGATATTCAATCTTCATATATATAAGTTGTCATATTATTGTATATATTAAATATATAATTATTAAAAAACTTAGTTTTCTTCCTATAAATATGAATGTATGTCTGTATAACTTACAACATATCTCCAAAACTTACCTCAATACCAGCATTGGCGTTTTTTAACACTTTTTCCGACCTTATGGCCTGTTGTTTTAGTTTTCTACATTTTCTTAATACAGTGTAACATAAAAAACACACATACTGATGGACATCGGTTGAGAGTATCTGTGAAGAAAACTACTTTTTAATATATATATAAAAATTGTGTGTATGGCAAAGGTACATTAGTATTAAACCATATAAAATCATAGTTTAAAAATTATACAACTTAAATCAAACATGCATGCACATAACATAATTGACTGTTTAAATTGTGGCAATAAAGAAATAAATATATATACATATATGATATTGTTTAATTAAAATTATATATGTATGACATTAATATACATTTAAGATTTCAATCTTCCGAAGTTTAAGATAATTGACAAATAAACATAGTTATACAAAAAAGCAAAGACATTCACTATACATACTTCAATAAAAACACATTAAACCTTTTTTGTTGTGTCAAAATTTAAATATAATTTCCTTACTTTGATGTCAGTTAGTTTTTCGTATATATCTTGCAGCTCTGTGTGTGTTATTAAATATAGTTTACTCTTCGAATATAAACATATCCGGCATAAATTTATTTTATCCGCGACCTCCATTTCATTTGATTATACATAAAAATATTGGTACACATCTATGCCGGCTTTTTGCAAATGTTACTTAAGCATTCTTCAATTATCCTTTATTTAAAATATTGATTTAAATCACAGATTCATGTCTACTGATATAAAATATTATTAAATGATTCTCATTTCATTTATAAGTATGTAAATATTACATATCGGTAGATTAACTGACCGTGACGATTGTCAAATAAAAATAAACAATGTAAGAATGTACTAACAAGAAACAGTACAATGAAAACCAATTCTTGAATGTTGCAGTCTATGGAAGTTTCAGGGTTGCCGTATACAAAATAAAATGTTACCGTATCTCATGAGAAATATAAGAAAAATTGCATATATGTATATATTATATGAAAATTTATTGTTAAAAGGATATTGTAATAATATAAGTTAAATAAAGTTATTTCGCTCTAATCGATATATATATATACATACAGGGTGACTGGTGAATTACTATCGATACTTGAGGACGTGATATTTGACGATTATATATGACAGAATAAAAATTAATATAACATAAATATTAATAAACTTCTAAGTAAAGTTAACCAAAAGTTATGTAATTAATTACGCATCGTGTAAACACCCTACAGATTAGGTATACACACACACACGCGTGCGCCGGCGTGATGTTGTATCAGCACGCCGCCGCACACGTCCACACTTGGAACACTTGGAACGTGTCCGCACTTTATTTATTTATACGGAAATTTGGTCAAAAATTAAGTACCTATTTTTTTACATAAATCGAATGAGAATCATGTACCGAGCAGGTATTCTCCTTAAATATTGATAGTAATTCACCGGTCACCCTGTATAATCATTAAAAATGTTAGAGTGAAAATAAAACTATGTTTTATTCTTCATCGTAAAGTTTTGGTTATGTTGATGATGTTTCAATCAATTATTGAATTATTATATATTTCTTAGAGCCGTAGAACTATCAAAATTATGTTTCATTAGCACATATTTTACACTTCGCTTAGGTAACCGATAAACTTTTTATGCATTATAAAAGTAAATATACAAGTGAGTAATAAATTAAAAAGTAACTCATTTTGACAGTCACATAATTAACATTCTTATAATTATTGTTCATATGTGGTGACAGTTTTGTTCTTTTTAAAATTATATTAAATAATAATAATTAGATAAATCTCTTTATTCCATTAGTGATTAGACAAACTCCTTCGTGTCTCCACACAGTACTCAACATTATAAGTCGTACAAAACATAAAAAGGTTGACAAATCTGAGTAATTAAGTAGTTTGTAATTTATTTTGTTTAGGATCAATAGAATATAAAATAATTAGATAAAGTTTTGTTAGAAATAAGTAAAATAAAAATGAAACCAAACGAATGTTGTGTTATATTTTAACTTTAAAAAAAATTAGTTTCTTGTGTTCTCTACTACAGTCTTTTTATAGTATTCTTGAAATTATCCAATAATTATAAACATTATTAGCGATGATACAATACGTAGCTATTTTGTTGTGTTCGCAAATTATTTGGACATACACCAACATTATAGATCTGTGTTCAGAGTTATAATTTGCCTTATTCGTGAGTAAGCTAATAAGATAGTTTAAATAAATTTAATCTTAGGAATATAATTGCTATATCGATCAAAATAAGTAGTCAAATTGGCCAAAAAAACAGTATTAGACTGCCTCTCTCTCCTGCCGCTCTGATGTCTTTTTTAGATAATATTTTAACACATTTCTTGAGGAAATTCAATAATGGTAATAATCTAGCTTTCTTCGTCTTGAGATACACAAACTTGACTTCGCAGAACGAACACCAGGCGTGTGAACCAGAAGATTCCTGATACACACAAGCTATGGAATGGTATTGATATACTAACATCGGGTCAATCATGTAGTCTTAGGTGTGGGTTATAAGTTTTAATATGTAATTCCTATTATATTATACATATAAGTAAGTTTCGTATGTAATTGATATCTAAATATTTATTAATATTTATATCTTCAATGTAAATTAAATCATTCTAAATCGTATGTATTAAGACTATCGTATAACCCATGTAAATTTATCGATATAATAAAACATCTTTGTATCGGTAAAATATCGTATAACTCTTGACGCCGCTGACTCCGCGGAACGAACACCAAGCGTGTGAACCAGAAGATTCCTGATACACACAAGCTATGGAATGGTATTGCTATCATAACATCGGGTCAATCATGCAGTCTTAGGTGTGGGTTATAAGTTTTAATGTGTAATTCTTATTATAATATACAAATTAATAAGTTTCGTTTTTTTCCTGGAAGCACCATATATAATTTACATTAAAGTAATTCATGTATTTAAAAATATAAGTACATATTAATTGAATTAATAAGAATTTTATATAGTTTATAATATTTAACTTCAGTTTCACGAATTTGTAATTTACCTCAACCTTGTTTATGGGTATGAATCAATATTGCAACACCAGCACCACTGTCAAGGAATTATTATAAATAAATACTCCCAAATGAAAATAATATACAATAAAATATAAATTAAATGGCGTCATTAATGGATTTACCTTTAAACGATGTATCCTTAGTTTGCCGCGGTTGTCTAGCTTCGAATGGTGATATGAAAAATATGACAGAATGGGGATACGCTACAGATTTTTACAAATTAACCAACATACAGGTAGGTTTTTAATTTTTGTAATGCTCATTCTGCCGGAATGTTCAAAAAGTTTCGTAACATTAAAACCTTTTTAGATAATATATATTTATTTAATGAAACCAAGGAGTTTCATTTATATTTTTTATCTTAAAGGAATTATTAATATATTAGAATTTGATTTATATGTAGCTTTAAGACACGACTTACGAGAAAACTTTATTTTCTTATTTAACAAACTTCTTTATTTTTAATCAATTCTCAAATTACTGAATATACAATTACAAAGGCAGCTTTTGTCATATTGAGGTGATTCTAAAAGGCCAAATCTCTATTGGAATATATATTCAAGTATTTACTGTAATAATGCACTGTTTATCATAAAATAATGTATCTCATTTATTTCCTACATATGAATAATCTAGTTATCTGGCAGATTTTTGTCTATAAGACTTCTGAGAATAAATTTGTTAAGCTTGACTTTACTTAAAGAGACACCCATGAAAGAACTTTGATTGGGCCTTGTTTTTATGTAGAATAAAGTACCCTAGTTTTTATGTAGAATAAAGTACCCTATTGTCAAAGTCCCATATTATTCTTTGATACCATAGTACATGTATGTGTTGTTCAAATATCATCGGAGATAGTGCAAGTAATAAATTAAATACTAAATAATTACTAATTGTGATAAAATTACCTTAAAAGTCGTTAATTTAGAAAATATTTCAGCTTAAACTTTCTTCTGATAATTTTCTTAAAATGCAGATATGCGGAATTATCCAATGGTAGTTATACAGTTTTGCACTATCCTCAACTATATACAGCCACGGGCAAAAGTATTAGGCACCCTACAGTAAGACAAGTTTTAGGGTGTTTTAGCATAGCGAGTGTAAATAAAACTGCATTTATGATTACAATGGTTTATTTTAAGAAAATAATTAATATTTTGTAGGTCCACCTTTTGACTTAATAACCGCAGCCACTCTTTTTGGCATTGACTCTACCAGCCTGAAACATTCTTCTCTTGATATATTTTTCCATTCCTGCTGTAACGCGGCCAATAGAGCTTGTTTATTGCTAATCGAGTGCCTGCGGATATTTTTCTTTAAAATGGACCAAATATGCTCAATCGGGTTGAGGTCTGGTGATTGTGGTGGCCAGTCCAAAAGATCAATATGATTTTCAGCAAACCACTTCATGGTGTGCGCGGACTTGTGGCAAGTGGCGTTGTCTTGCTGAAATTTCAGGCCATCGGTGTTTGTATCACCGAAAATTTGCGTTATCGACGTTGCTAGTGCTGTTTCCAGAACTTCAGTGTATTTAACACTATTCATTCGTCCCTCACACAACACCATTTCGCCCACTCCGTCGGCAGCCATGCAGCCCCAGATCATTATTGAGCCTCCACCATGCTTAACAGTGGGAACCACACATTCTGGGTTGTATTCTTCGCCAACCCTTCGCCTAACATAAGTCACACCGGGTGTTCCAAACACCTATGCCAAACGAAAAAAACCCATTTATTTTCAAAGTCATTATTTTTCTTGCAGTACGTTGTTTTAAAAACATTTATGTGTTTTAATATTGTACATAAAATAAATAACAATACCTCAAAGTTAGGTTCGTCTGACCACAGTATGTTGGACCAATCTTCCACTGACCAATCTCTATGTTTGGGTGCCCACTCCAACCGATTTTTCTTATTGGGTTCTGACAGCCACGGCTTCTTCCTTGCTTTACATCCTTTTAATCCAGCTTTAAGAAGTCTTCTTCTCACAGTATAAACACTCACTGAGCTGCCTTTTGCCTCAGATAATGCTGCAGTGAGCTCTAAAGCAGTTTTTTTCCTGTTTTGTAGAGACTGCCTAATCAACAATCGATCTTCCCGTTCAGTAGTAACTTTTCTTCTGCCTGTTCTTGGTCTATTTTCATGGGTGCAGGTCTTTTTGAAGCGATTTATAGCATATTGAACTGCACATCGCTAGCACTTTACTTCTCGGGCTATTTTAACCTGAGACATGCCTTGTTCATGTAAAATCTTAATTCTCAGACGCTGTTCAGCACTAAGTTCAGATTTTTTCGGCATGATTAACACGTTAAATGTTAGTCTTTAGAATTGTAAAAGGAATAGTTGCGTAGAAGACGTGTATGTTCACTGCAAGCACTGATAACACACTATAACCCGAAACGCAAAAAAAGCGAATTCGAAGAAACACCGCTTAGGAGCACACCTGGATGTCATAAATATTTTCTTTTATCTTAATTTGGTTAAAAATTGCCGCTAATACAATAGCTAAACCATAAAACACACACTTGACCGCTATCTAATGAGATAGTGGCTAACAATAGGGGTGCCTAATACTTTTGCACGCAGCTGTATATATATTTATATTATGTTAACATATAAATAATATTACAGGTAAATCCATCGGATAATATAACGGAACTGCTCTGCATCTCTTGCGAGGCTTTCGTTCTGAACTACAGAAGTTTTGTTCAACAATGTCACCAGTCAGATCGCTTGCTGAAAGAAATACGGGTACATAAATTATACATTTAAAAAACTTTATTTTGATATAAAATCAATTTAATAGTATAGAAAATTTAGACAAACTTGCTTTTTTTTAAATATTGACGATTTAATTTGATTAAATTATTGTCAATTTTAGGTATTTAAACAATTTTAATGATTATATATATATATGTTTATTATAAAGTTATAGTTTACGCATATATTTTTATTTTGAGACTATTTATTACAAATTATTTTGAAGGAAAAGACTAATATAATATTCCTAAAAGTTTTTTTATCATAATCTTTATTAATCATGCCAAGTTTTTAATTAAGTTTCTTTTACAGCAAAAACCGCTTACAACAAATACCGAAAAAAATATAGAAGAAAACTCAATAGCATCGGAAATAAATGAAAATGAATTGACATTTAAAATAACAGCTCCGGATATGGAATCAAAAATATATTTACCATGCAACCAGTGTTCTGAGACATTTGTGAAGAAAAATGATTTGATCGGTCACATAACGAAAAAACATAATCATAATAATATGATAATAAACATGAAGTTTTATTGCTCCTATCCCGATTGCTGCTACAATATATTATCCGGTAAAGAAAAATACTTCTCCGGCAGAAAATATCTTAATCAGCACATATTAAAAGTGCACAAAGCTAAGAACTTATTGTGTCACGATTGTGAGCTAACATTTAGTAGCGATCAGGACTTCAAACGACATTTGAAGACCTGTAATTATACATACATCTGCAAAGTATGTGATATACAGTATAGAACAAATGAGAAATTACTTGTACATTTACTCAGAAAACACCCAGATTTGCACAAACAGTACAAACTTGAACGTAAAGCTGAGAAAAGGAAAATGAAAATAGATGAACCGAAAAAATTAAAGAATAATAATGAAAATCCTGAATTAATATGCGATAGTCCCAAAAGATCATTTGCTACACAGACGTCTGAATTCAAAAGGCAGATCAAAAACGATGTAACTTTACCTTCATGGTTAGCAGATAAGCAGGATGAAACTAAAAAAGACGAAATCTCCACTCAAACTGTATTCGAAGATATATTATCAATTAAATCACAGAACAGCGAAGATGATCTTTTCTTTTCAGAGACCGTATCACTATCTGATATTCAGACTCAGACTATTCCATTAGAATTTGGACTCAGTAGATCGAACAAACAAACTATCACTTCAGAGACTCAGTCTCCGGATCTGAGCATAAAGGAAACTCAAACTTGCCTATGTTTATACGAAACTCACAAACCGAATAGATGCTATGACCCCATTTCGAATACAAATATGAATTACTGTACACTCACAAGCACTCAAACACAAACTCATAGATTTCATAGTCACGATGAACTGCTGAGTTTCACTTCAACGGAAACTCAAACCTGCGTCGACGATTTGAACAAATTATGACATTGGTTTTAATTTTTTTGTTTATTTTGACAATATTGTAAAAATGTCAATTTAATATATTTAATCTATGTATGTACCTAATTTACTAATTTCGATGACATTTGTTATAGATTTAAGTACACAAAAGTATTCATAATAATCTAATTTAGTTGTTATTTATTTTATAGGTTAAGTTTAAATTAAGATGATTAAAATATATATGAAAGTTGTGTTTTCTTTATTTTATGCATTCTCAAATAACATTATAATATATATATCCCTACTAATATTATAAATGCGAAAGTAACTCTGTCTGTCTGTCTGTTACGCTTTCACGCCTAAACCACTGAACTGATTTTAATGAAATTTCGTACAGACATAGAGTTTACCTTGAGAAAGAACATAGGATAGTTTTTATCCCAGACTTTGAAAGGTTCTCTTGGAAACGCGATATAACCGAACTCCACGAGGCGAAGCTGCGGGCGGAAAGATAGTATGTTATATGTCTTCCAAGCTTCCTTAATTCCACAACATACAATTACTTAGATTAGTTTTGTAAAAAATTTGTCATCTTTATAAGAATTTTATCACAAAAACTACGTACATATTCCAATTTCCAAGTCCTTCAAATTCATAAATATATGAGAAAAATAAACTTAAATAGTAATTTAATAGTTTTGATTATTTCTATCATTTGTAGCTTATAGATTTTTCTATAAAAAATGAGAAAAGCTTTAAAAGTTAAGCAATAATATTATTAGTCGTTCCTTTACGCCTTACTACACGTCAATTAAAGGAAGTTTTATTCATTATTGCGAGTCTTGAGTTAAAATAAAATAAATACTGAAATTAACGTGAGAATTTAAAGCAATGTCTTTATTTTTTAATTTGACAGTATAAATTTAATTACATGTTTTATATTATAGATTCAATATTTATTTTCAAAATGATATACATACTATATTATTCTATAGCTCGATAAAAAGACTTATTAATTAATTGTTTGAATAGAATTAATGTTGAAGATTTTTTGTAGTGAAACTTCTAATTCGATTTCCAACAAGGTTGCGTTAAACGTTTAACGCCCCTAGAAAGAATAGAAAGAGACGAAGCGAGAGTATATGGTGGGTCGATTGTGTATTGTAAGCAATGTTAATAAATATTGTCTTAAACAATATGAGTTCATTCAAAAATTATTTCTATATCTTCCTATTTTCATTTCCTTACGAAGTTTCATTTCTTCCGCGCGGAGGGAATCCACACACATTTTTTTTTATTATTACTGAGGAAAAGAATAGCTTGGAAAAGTGTGTGTAAATTCTAAGTTATAATAAAGGATAAAATATTTTATCCTACGATGCTATTTAGTTTTTGAGAGGTTTATATGAGAAAGTTAGTTACCTATGCTAGTTTAATATTCGCTTAGAGACCAATAAACACGAACTCAAGGTCTTACGTAATGAAAATATTAGTATTAAAGGAAGAATAATAATTATTTTTCTATAAATATCAAAAACTTCATTAAACTATATGTTTGTCGATTTGAACAGAAAGTATGACGTAAAAGGGGAAATTAATTCTGATTTGTCTCAAAATTGACAAGAAATAACTTATCTGTTATTTAATTAATAAAATAATGTTGAAAATATTATAAAATGAAACTATTATCTTGCGGATATACTACGCGACTTTATTTTTGATAAAAACTATCTCGTCTTAATGATCACGGTTGCTGTAAAGTAACCGAAATGTCGGGAGTATGTAGTTTCTCTCATGAATAAAGACGCGTATTATATTCGAAAAATATTAGTTTCATTTAAATGATTCGCGAAAATCTCAGATCTCATTATTACAAAATGTTTAAATTAAGATATATTAAAGAGATTATAATCATTTACATCAGGTATATTATAAAATAATGTACCTAGGTGGTGGTTTGTGAAATGACAATATTCGTTCTTTCATCAATTTGACGTATATTGATTCCTTACACTGCGCATGCGTGAGAAGCTTCCAGGCAGAATTACTTCGCATCCGCCGTCCAACGCTCGTGTGGAACGCTAAACTCATTACCTGGCCCTCGCGAGATGTTCAGATCTCCATAATTAAATTTAATATACGTTTTATGTTGGACAGTGTTTATAAATTTGTTAAAACGGCTCCATTAAGGTATTACAACGCAAAACCAATGCATCTGGCGGCGAATGCCGTTCGGGAGAAAAGATTCGTTTTAAGGCTCGAGTCAACGGAAGCCGAGGATAATTTTAGTCGCCTCTTCTCGTTACCAGCCCCACCGGATATCTTTACACCATGTCGCTGCCAAGAGAATTCATTTTTAATAAGGTTAGTACTTCAATAATATATCAGGCAGGATGTACTTTAAATAAAAAAAAGTCAAAAATTGCACTAACTTCCGGCTTGATAGAAGCCATTTTTTGCAAAAAAATGTTTTGATTAAATAGCTTTTGATGCTATACATTATTACAGCATAGTTTGCGTGACTTGTAAAAGGATTTGCGAAATTGAAGAGACACGCAAGCCAAGCTTTACCGGATATCCTGTGCAAATTTAAAATGTCCGCGTATTCCGTTGTAATGAAATAGATTTTAACTATCATTCTTTATTATTTATAATTAATTATAGTCACTTTAAAATGTGATTTAATAAAATATAAACCTTGAAATATTAAAATTCAAATGTGCAATATTTTTACAGTTGCATTATTTTTTATCTATGTACGCGTTTCAACCTCGGATAGGTCATTTGTGTGACCTGGATTCTAGTGTTTTAGGTCATATTGTAACTGCAGTAATTATCTTACTTTATCTATCTCTTTTTGAGTTATTTTGAGATTTTTAATCTATATTCTTCTACAGATACACTCTGGATGTAAAACAATTATAATTTATGTCAAAAATTTGAAATAACTTTCGTTAAATTTTCTTTGGTAGCGAAATAGTATGAACTTTCGTCCTATTTTAGAGCCATTTTTGGAGGTCATTACCCTTTCCATCCAGAACTAGAGGTTATTGCTCTGCTTTTGAGTATTGCGCATACGTATATCTTCTATATAAATATATAGATATCTGCATTGTCTGCGCATCACGAAAACTAATGTACCTACTACAGTTATATCTTAACATTTGATCGCTTTATAAAAGTATTAAAGCATTTTAAAAAGAAATTTTAATATTCTTGACGTATGAGACGAAACCTCTCATCATTCAATGTATTCACGGTGCGTGTGTCGGGTCCATCGTTGTAGTGAGAGGAGCTTCAACAGTGACTGGGACTTGTGACCCAGGTGTAGGTTTAATATATATAGAGAGACGAAACCTCTCATCATTCCATGTATTCACGGTGCGTGTGTCGGGTCCATCGTTGTAGTGAGAGGAGCTTCAACAGTGACTGGGACTTGTGACCCAGGTGTAGGTTTAAGGGACCCTATCTTAATTTATTGTGTGATATATTAAAACTTTGTTAATTCAGTCGGACGAAGTCACGAGTATTGTTTGGTAAATCAAGGTTTTGTTTCAACATAATTATAATAAGGCTAGTTCTTGACATAATTATCATGTACACAAAAGTATTAATTGATATTTTTTATATATTATGTAATTCTATTGTGCGTGTGTATGTCACTGAACTTTTAAATTGTTTTTGAATGTAAGTGGCCTACAGATGGTTTAAATTCACAAACCAGTCTGGCAGATGGCGCTGTTGTCGGCGTCTAAATTTACAATGAAAAGATGCAACTTCGGCTACTATATATATTGATTTAACAAACTTTATGCATTTCGTTCTGCGCGCATCTTTAATGTTTACGCGGACGGAGTTGAGGGCGAAAACTAGTATATATTCATTTGTAACCAAACAGTAATTAATGGGAAAAAATAATATAAATAAAACGACGTTTAAAAGAATTTGTTTGAGGTAGGTACTATTTCAGTCTTGATTCTCAATATTCGTTACTTCCAGTAATGTGTTACAAGATGTGTGAAGCCAGTATGTATAGTTTACAAACACATGATACTCATGTTGATACATTACAATGGTTCAGTATTATCATTCATTATAATCAGTCATAATAATAATTGTAAGGATTATAGTATACTAGCTGCGTCCCGCGGTGTTACCCGCGGATTTCCGGGTTGTAAAGTAGCCTATGTGTTATTCGTCAGCTTCCTATATAATTTTTTTTATCAAAATCAGTTCATCCGTTTGAGCGTGACGAAGTAACAAACATACACACACACACTCACAAACTTTCCCAATTATAATATTAGTAGGATAAAGGCGAAATTAAATCCTTCAAAATTTAAACAACACAAAAATTACAGATAAAAAATAATACACTAAAATCTGTCACAGATCTATCAATTAATTTTGTAATAAAAGAAAATTTCTATTTATAATTTAAGGACATTATTTATGTTAATTTTAATCTATATCACTTGCCCAGATCGATTAATCATTTAATATTATCAGTAATTATGTATTTAAAACCTACCAGTAGTTATTTTATATATAATAAAAGCTAAATTTCAATATATTTACATACATGTAATATAATACATTATGTAACTATACGATTCAAGTACAACGACCCGGTAAAATCGATACGTGGCATCCCTACCGTCTACCGGTTTATACATATACATCTCTAGCTATTACTAAGTACTAACTACTAGTAGACAAAAATATAAATATCACTCATATTTTAAAAGAGTTTTATGAGTGAAATATAAAAAGAATGCTCTCTATTTTTCACTATTATTTTTTTAACAAAATGGCGGATATTTGAAATAATGAAATAATGATTTTGTTTGATAATTGTACTTTAATTTATCATCTGTCGTTCTTGGTAATAATAATACGCAAAAATTACGTTTTATTTACCTTTACTATTTATTACATATGTATTTTTTGTTATATGTACTTTATTTTCCGTACATCAGTAATCAGTATAATCATGACATATTATTAATGTTTTTATGTAATAATTATAAGCCAAGCGTACGTTACCTGGACGCCATTTGCAATTATCTGACGTAGCGTCGAAACAGATTCTAAAATAATGTTTCTGATTAATTCCCTGTCATAATATAACTGCTTTTCACTACACTAAATTAGGAATAATAAAGGAAAGAATTAAATATGTTACAGTGGCTAGTGATTTGTATGTGACCCCAAATTGCTTTGTAAAACTATATCCAGATATTTAATAGTTTTTTATTCATATACTCGCTTATTGTAGTATTAACGTAGGTTTTTGAGTGAAAACTGGAACTTATATGTCAGGATATAACTTGTACTTTACATACTGTCCTTCGTTGAAATAGAAGCTCAAATTTTTGTAAGCGTTGCTTTCTGTGATGTGTTACAAAATGTCTGAAGCCAGTATTTATAGTTTAGAAATATAATTATACTTCTTCTTCTTCTACCTGGCAATTTCCCAGCTTTGGCCAGGGTCTGCCTTACATGTTGTGAATAGTTTTGGCTAATTGTTTTTACGACCGGCCGAATGCCTGAGATCAACCCTCTTTGGGAACCCAAGATACTCATGTTGATACATTACAATGGTTCAGTATTATAATCAGTCATAATAATTGTAAGGATTATAGTATATTATAATTAGTATGACACACATGACGCCACTGATACGTGTCAATGAGAAGACAATTGACATTTGTCAAAACAGTATGTCAAAAATTCTATATATGACATTATATGACGTCAATTAGGGCTAAAACGCAATTTCTTTTAAATAAATAAATATATTGATTTCTACCATAAATACAGTGAAGGTAAAATCAATTTGAACAACCTTCGCCTATTGTAACAATTTGTCATTACGGCGTAGGTCGTATAGAATAGTTTTGTTTCGAAATTATTAGTTTTTGTAAAGGTTATCCCATAAGTGCTAAGTGTTGCTAGAATTATATATTTGTTGTATTTAGGGAATATTTAGATTCGGATATTAATTTATTTTTTAGGGTAATTTTCTTTGGCGTTCCAAATACTAAGTCATTACAAAAATTAACTCGAAACTCGAATCGAAAAATAGACAAAATTATGATCGATGAAAAAAGTTCAAAATGAAGGTAGATTAAAACCTCTTATTTTAACCTCTTTCAGAGTTATTTGAGAGTAGTTAGTGTTAAAAATATTGAGAAATAGAGATAGCAGTAAGATAAGAGTCTTTTACCGATAACTGTCATACATATATGTATATCTGTCAGTGAAGGAAAAAAATTAAAAGGTTTGAATAATAAGCTGTTAAAGCAAGGAAGGATAATATACAGGGTGACTTGTGAATTACTATCGATACTTGAGGACGTGATATTTGACGATCATATATGACAAAATAAAAATTAATATAACATAAATATTAATAAACTTCTAAGTAAAATTAACCAAAAGTTATGTAATTAATTACGCATCGTGTGAACACCCTACAGATTAGGTATACACACACACACACGCGCGTGTTAGGGCGTAGTGTTGTATCAGCACGCCGCCGCATGCTTCCACACTTGGAACACTTGGAACGTGTCAACACTTTATTTATTTATACGGAAATTTGGTCAAAAATTAACAACCTATTTTTTTTACATAATTCGAATGAGAATCATGTACCGAGTATTCTCCTTAAATATTGATAGTAATTCATCAGTCACCCTGTATATTTATTAATCGTATATGTATAAATATAAAAATGCTTAGATTTATTTCAATTAGGTTTATTTTTTGAAAAAGGAAGAACAACACTAAAGAAATAGTTAATATTTTTTAAATTAAGATTTTTAAAACATATATCTTTAAAACGAATAGATTATCTAGGTATCTTTGACAAATAAAATCACTCTTTTCTGGCATTCTATTAACTTCAATTCAAATTATTCAACCGTTTTTTTTCTTAGGAATAAATGATAAATAACTTTGTATTGAAATGTTGTTACATAAAAGGCATTGAGTCAGTTGAAGCATAATAACTAAGGAAGCCATTATATTTCTGTTATGTAATACATAATATAATATTCAGTTGTGATTACATACAAGTTGAGACCGCGGTTTTACTCGCAAGTTTTGTTTTATAGAGAGTAACAGAAAGAATAAATCAGCTCCCATGTTTTTGTACAAAAAGTAGTAGATTTTAGTAAGAGCTGAACAAAAGTTAAAATATTTTTATAATACTTATTGTCATACGATAGTGACAGTTGTGTAATTGTTCTAGCAAATTTTTCTTAAATATTTACAAGGTATAATGATTAATAATTTTTGTCTACCCTCGATTTTTTTTTACATTTTTAATGAACGAGTAAAATACGATTTGTTGAATTATTATTAGACTGAAATTTTGTGATTGGAGAATTTATTGAAATTATTCGACTAGTTTCGGAACTTATTCGTTTCCAAATAGAAAACTTAGTTCCCCTTTTCGTGATAAAATGATTCGTGCTGTAACAATGTTGATCAAACTTCTGACAGTTAAGTTCTGTTTTGACGGTAATTTATAATTTTCGTGTTTCTGTTTCATTAATTCGACTTGAAAGTAGGAAGATTTTGCAGTTTTTTCTTTTTTTATATAATTTTTCTATTTCAAAGTGTACCGATAAATAAGAAACTCGTTTATTGGAAAAGTCTTTATATATGAGCTCTTCTTTTTATTCATAAAAAAATAGACAAATCAAATATTTGTTTTAACATACGATGTACCTTTAAATTAAAACAATTTAAACCAAAAAAATAAGTGTAAAATCACTACATATATAGCGAAGACAATGAGATATTGTGCTTGTACTAATAATGTAGGAATTGTGTAATAAACTGCAAGTAAATAATACTTCAATGTGATTTTTCCTTCAACAAAGGCCGCAGCGATAGTACTTCCAAGGATAGGTTGATGTGTCAGCTCAAGGGCTAGAAAGCTTAAACTACACCTATAATTGAATCAAAGATTATTTATTACCTATACAGTTATGGTATAAATGTATGAAGCTTTTTTGTCTAAAATCATAGTATTTTTGGGCCATCCATATCATAATTTTTTTGCATATAGGATATTTCATCACAGATTTGTGCCAAAAAAGTGGTGTAAGTTTAATTATCTGAAAGCATCTATTCTTTTTAAACTCTCAATTAGTTAAGGACCTAATTATTTGGAAAACGTAAAACTTATCTTTAGACTGTTTTGCTTAAACAATTCTATCTTTAACTGGAATATGTATCAGGATTTTGTAATAATTCTGCTGTTTTCAAGGCCCATTATCTTGTTTCAGGAGTTGTCAAAGTTGGATGCACAACTCCTGGGCTCTTCAGCGCCACCGACCTCAACAGCACCAGTGTCATGTTCAATTGAAATGGCAGCGGATCCAATCGCAGAGGTTTGTCAAATAATTTATTTTATTTATTTACTTAATAGGAAGCCAACGTGATAGACAAAAACTTATAACTAAATTATAACATCATGGAACTTAATTTTACAGTTGCGTATAATCACTTACAGGCTAACTCAACATGGATTACATAATGTTTAGATCTTACTCCAATAATTACTAGATACAATAAAAAAAAATGGTGAAAAAAATGTATATAACAACAAAAAGGAATAAAAAAAATAATAATCTAGAAACAGTTATAATATAAATAATATATAAATGTTATTGTTTCTAATGCAAAATATAAAGAAGTTGGGAATTTAAGAAGTTTTTTTGGGTAAACTTTAAATATTTGGTGAGAAATGATTCCGATTGTTAGTTAGTTGTTAGCCAAGAACTTTGAAGTTTAACGTCAATTATTCATATTTTTTTTACTTAATAGACTTTCAATTCGACTTTAATTTTAAAATATTTACTTTATATTATAATAATGATGATTATTCTAAAAATTTTAAACATCATTTTGACATCCAGTATAAATATATGTATATATTTATTGTGAAATACGTAAAACAAGAAAGTAATGATGCAAGACAATTCCTTTCAAAATACTCCTATAATATAGTCCTTTTATTTCTGGCAAAAAAATTTGTTGCTATTACTAGACACAAAGAGAATTTGACATAGTTATATAATATGTAGGATAGATCCATTTTTGTTGATGGTCTTCTTGTAAAATATGGAAAGACTGTGTGAGCAATTTAAAAAACCTCACCAATTGAATTGAAGACTCTGCAAAGAAGAATGGATATTTCCAAAACATGAAGCATTTAAAATGAAGTAAAATCTTCAAGAAAGATAATTCCAAGAACCTTTATTATTAACTAGATATCCATTTAAATGCAACTATGTTTTTCGAGTACTAAGATTTTTAGAAAAGACGAGATAACGGTGAGTTTCATCTGATCTGTCCATAATCACGATTGCTGTAAAAAAACTGAAATTTTGGGTTTATGTAAACATAAAATACCTAATAAAAAGTGCGTTAAATCCGAAAAACTTAATTTCTTTTAAATGAGCACCTAAATCTTAGAAATCATTATCTATATACCCATATGAGTAGCAAATTTAGATTTGAAATACAAATGTACCATGCTTATAAATTAGCGAATAAAATTGCCTTGCATCGAAGGAATTAAGAATCCGTAAAGGGTTCAATTTGTTTTATTCAATGGACGATTACTTTAAACTGCACTACTGCTGCTTCTCTATATCTAATAATCTTTCTTTTTCTGTATTTATAATAAATATCTTGAATCGACAGTCAATTATAGTTATATGAGAAACTAGCTTTCCGCCCGCAGCTTCGCCCGCGTGGAGTTCGGTTATATCGCGTTTCCAAGAGAACCTTTCAAAGTCTGGTATAAAAACTATCCTATGTTCTTTCTCAAGGTAAACTCTATCTCTGTACCAAATTTCATTAAAATCAGTTCAGTGGTTTAGGCGTGAAAGCGTAACAGACAGACAGAGTTACTTTCGCATTTATAATTTAGTAGGGATATCTTGAATTGATAGTTAAAAGCCACTTATAGTAATATAAGAAGTACATTATGTCTTACACTTCAGTTGTCAAATATTTGATGAGTAACATATTATGTTCAATTTTCTTCCTCAATATTATTTTTGGGATCATTGCGCCAGCTTAACAATAAATCCGAAGTCTTTGAAAATCAAGCAATTTGACAAAATGATCGGCATTAATTAACACGCCTTTATTAGCTTGGGTTGTATGTATGTAAAGGAATTTTTGAGCTAAATTTACACCAGTTCTAGAAGTCTAAATAATTTGAAACTTTGCATACATTCAGGCTTAATCAGTATAATATATATTTGTCTATTTTGCAAATAAATATCTTTGTATTTTATCAACTGCAAAACAGAATATCCGCAGTACACATCGACCGATGAGTCATTCTGTGAGTCATGCTGTGAGCTTACAGTCTTGCTTAACGGGAATTAATAAAGATTATGTCATACTTTAAACAAATAGGTTTCCTGAAAATTATTTGAAGTATTTTAAAGGTTTTCTTTATAATCGTAAGATTGAACAGATCTTTATAGTTTTAAGTTTTTTGGACTTGTAATATAAGAGACAAAAAAGGGAAAGATTCTTGAATTACACGAATTTAAGTGTTTGTGAGATCAACTTCTCAGCATTCCATGGGTACATCGTGGGAGTGCCAGGTCCATCACACCTATTAGTGCCTGATAATTTAACAAAATTGACTATAGCATCTAAAAATTACGTAATTAAGAAATATTCTTTTCATAATGTTTAGAAACAAATACAAAAACTAATGGTCTAAATAATGCAAGAAATATTATTAAAGAACTGGAAAAGTTGTTAGCTATTAATACTGGGTTCTTCTCTGCCAAAAAACAAATACAAAATTGTACTGAAATAGAATCTGAGATAAGCAATATTCATTTAAGTTGAAATAAGTTACCTATGTCCTTATTTAGTTTGGGAAATAATATAAGAAAATTTTTCGTCATCACTTGAATGTTCTAATGATATAATTTTTAAATTTAAAAATGTATATCTAAGGCATACGGTGAAGGAAAACATCGTGAGGAAACCTGGACTTATAGTTTCACAATTATAAGTTTGAAATCACCAACCCGTCTTGAGCAAGCGTGGTTATTAATGCTCAAACCTTCTCCATGTGAGAAACAGGCCTTACAGCAGTGGGCTCTGATAGGCTGATGATGATAATATCTAAGGCTACAATAAATGGCACAAAGAGGTGCATAGTCAGTATTAGTGACGGTGTCATTCAAACCTTTCATCTTCCTTTACTCTTTATGTTTAAGTCGTTATTCTTGCCATATTTAGGTACTTTCTTACCACCTCGTTCTTTAAGTAAAGATTTCAGATTAGCTTGTTTGATTGATTATTTATTCTAGGTTATTGATCAGGGTTTTTATTCCAGGTGTTATCTCCGGACAAGGCGGGTTCACTCCTGTCCATCCAATCCGCGCCCCCAGAACAAAGCGAGCGGTCAGAGCCACGCGAGCGACCAGTCACATTGCTGTTAGAACTACCCTTGGCGACTGTGAGTATGGATTTAGAGAATTTAAGCTCTATGCCCTATATAATTCAGTTTTATTCACCTTTTTGGTGCTAAATTAGCATAATACGTCATCCCCAAAAAATTAATGAAGTTTTTTTCTTGTATGTATCATATTACTTATATTTTTGAACAAAATAACTTTGAAGATATAGTTTTTTGGTCGCAAAAACCATATGTAAATCCATATGAAGTGCATCGAATTTATAACTTATAAAATAGTATTTTAAGTGTAAATCATATCCAATATAGTATCTGCTATATCTTTCATATAGTGACTACTCAGTCTGCGTCATACTGAACGCGTAGGATTGTAAGCATCACGTTTGGTATCGACACAAGATCTAGAAAATAATATCAACACGTAATTATACAAAAGGTTTTCTTGAAATTTATAAGAAAAATGTTAACATAGTAACTATTTGTGAAGTTTATTTCCTTTAAGCGGGTTCCTAATTTGTTCAGGCTGATATTTTAGAAGGAAAACTGTTGTTTATGTACGTGCTTAATTAAGAGTAGATTAAGTAATAAATATCTATAATATTCAAATATATGTATGAGGTAGGAGTATTATATATATCATAATATCTATTGTTAAAACAACTGGAAAAGAATACTTTACTATGCTTAACTGCGAACGAAGACGCAGGCTTAAAAGTACTTTTGTGGCCCAGAGGCTTTAATAACATCATAAGCTATTACGAAGCTTCTATAAAAATTGTACCTACATTTTGATTTAATACACCAAACTTATAACATTTTTTCACCAAAGGATTGTTTCTTTTTTATACTTTCTTTTCACATTTCTTTTCTTTTATACAGCAAGTCGGGGCGTATTTATCAGCCATGTCGCCTACTGATCAGGAAGAGGACTCCTTGTTGACTTTGTCGTCTGTGACCGCGCGCCCTCTGCTGGCAGCTTCGAGGAAGTTGAGGCCACATTCGGACTCCGCTGAGTGAGTTTGGATTTGAATTATAAAATCATAGAAATCGGGAATGTACATAAATGTTCCTCCTATATATATAAAAATGGATTGCTGTTCCTTAGTCTCGATAAAACTCGAGAACAGCTGAACCGATTGGGCTAATTTTAGTCTTGAAATACTCCTGGAAGTCCAGGGAAGGTTTAAAAGGTGAGAAAAATTGGAATAATTGCCGGAAAAACCCTAAAAACAGCAATTTATTATTTCCCATACAAATGTTTTTTTTGACATTAGATTTGACAACTAACTAATATGTCAATCATTCTGTTTGATTGAAACAGGAAAACCTGATTATTTATAGCCTCTAAGACGGAATAGAGTTCGCCTGGTCAGCTATACCTACCTACATATACTACTCTTGACCAAACTGACGCGGACGAAGTCGCGGGCAAAAACTAGTATACAATAGAAACTCTATTAACCGGACTAATTGTTGTCGATAGGCATTCGGATAATCGAAAAACCGGGTAATCGAATGTATGAAGAAAAGACGGTTTTGTGCATATGTAATACATAATATTATATGTTTATTTAAAAAATAAATTACAATATGTATTTGGTAATTTGCAATTGGTAATCATGAGTTAAAATAATAAGTTTAATTTGGTTTAGAATATTTGTTAATTGTCATTTGACGTACGCCACTCTCAACACCACTCTCTTACGAGGGCCGGATAATCGAGTTTCTACTGTATATGTATTTATATGTTAGAAAAGAAAAACATTAAATTTTAAACAAACGTTTTGCCAGCCAATGGTCGACTTATTATTATTCAAGACTAATTAGTTCATAGTTTCTTCTCTTAACAATAGTTGAGAACAAACTGTCAGATTGTCAGTAACGGAACTCCTTATATACGTAGCTTGAGGGTTGATAGATTAATAAATGATTATCATTTAACTATATACATTGTTTAAATAGCATGAAATCAATTTCAAATTATTTAACTTTTTACTTGCATTAAATGTAATCTCCTATAAGTCTATTTTTCCTCCATTTTTTTGGTACTCTAATTATTATACTAAGGTCATTGACCCTGTCTCTTCCCTGGCAAGTTTCTTAACTAGTATCTACCCCCAGTCTTTCTCCCCCTGACGGCGGGTACGGCTGGGTGGTGGTCTTCGGTGCATTCATGGTTCAATTCTGGGTCGCCGGTCTATTCAAGTCCTACGGAGTCCTATACGTAGAGATCATGGAGACATTCCCTGACTCATCAGAAAGCGTCGCTTCATGGATTCCCGCGGCTCTGTCTACTTTGTGCTTGGCGCTTGGTGAGTAGCTTACATACTCGGAAAAATCATATTAGTACTTGTCAGAACGAACCCGCGCCCTCGTGCATGAGAGACGGGTCTTTTAACCACTAGGATACCACTGACATAACACAATATACATATACAGGGTGACTGGTGAATTACTATCGATATTTGAGGACGTGATATTTGACGATCATATATGACAAAATAAAAATTAATATAACATAAATATTAATAAACTTCTGAGTAAAGTTAACCAAAAGTTATGTAATTAATTACGCATCGTATGAACACCCTACAGATTAGGTATAAACACACACACACAATCGCGCGCGGCGGCGTGTTGTTGTATCAGCACGCCGCCGCACGCGTCCACACTTGGAACACTTGGAACGTGTACACACTTTATTTATTTATACGGAAATTTGGTCAAAAATTAAGTGCCTATTTTTTTTCATAATTCGATTGAGAATCATGTACCGAGTATTCTCCTTAAATATTGATAGTAATTCACCAGTCACCCTGTATAAATAATACTGACTGCTAATAGAGCAAGCCAATCAGATATTTGCTACGTCTCATCCTAGACACTGAAAATTAATATGAATATTGAGTGATCTATTCCCAAAGAGGGTTGATGTCAGACAGGCGGTCATAAAAACAATTAGCTAAAACTATTCACTACATCTAAGGTAGACCCTGGCTAAATCTGGGAAATTGCCAGGTAGAAGAAGCAGATATATTTATATATATTTCTCTTTCATCCATAACTACTGTGCAGATTTTAATAAAACTTTTCATTGCAATAATTATTATATATTATGATATATTTATATAATTCCGATTTAAATCTAAATTGATTAATATATACATAAAGTCAGTGGTGACCTAGTGGTTAACGGTCCGCCTTACATGCACGAGGGCGCGGGTTCGATCCTGGCCCTGGCAAGTACCTAAATTATTAAAGTAAGTAAATTGCCAGGTTGAAGAAGATTTAAGTTTAGATTTCACGATACAAATTTACTAAGAATAATTTTATAATAGTAATTAAAATATATTGTTTATTTTCAATGTTCCTATATACATACATAACCATAGATCAGTAATCAATGGTACAATAAATTAAATTGCATTAAGCATTCGGAATATATCATTCTAAAGATTGCAGTGTTATTCCTGTTTGAATCGATCTATAGAAAGTTCTAGAAGTTTATAGAAGGTTCTCGAAAGTTCTAGAAGTTTTCACTATTCTCCCCCACTATATTTTCCTATTTCCACCAGCGCCCCTCTCATCAGCTCTATGTGAGAAGTACTCTTGTCGTCTGGTGGTTTTCGCGGGAGGCCTATGTTGTGGCGCAGGCCTGGCGCTGTCATACTTCAGCAATGGACTTTTGCATCTATTGCTCAGCTTCGGAGTATTGACGGGTAAGGATTCAAAGATTTATATATATACTAGAAGACCCGGCGAACTTCGTATCGCTCTATAATCAAGAAATATCTGTTACGTGTTTTTATTTATATTTTTGGAGTTTACCTGTAAGCCATAAATCTCCGTGTTTTGAAGTGCGACAGAATGATTGAAATATTAGTTAGTTGTCAAATCTAATGTCAAAAAAAAAGTTTGTATCAACAACTACTAATAAATTAAAAAAACATTGTCCAGCGGACAAAATTGTGAATCTAAACCATTCCCAGATCCCCTTGAACACACACAAAAAATTTCATCAAAATCTGTCCAGTCGTTTGAGAGAAGTTCAGTTACATACACACTCACAGAAGAATTATATATATAAAGATGGATTAATCCTGGTTTGGGGAGATTTTGCTGTGATTTTGGGATTTTCATGGTCACCTAATAGATTACATATTTGTTGAGATTTTGCTAAATTTTTGGTCCTTTTATAACTTTTTGTTGAGAAATTGATGGTTTTTGATGATTTAAATTAGAAACAACTGATAGACATTCTCATCTCTTGTTTGTAATCTCGATTATAAAGTAAACGAAACGTCGCGAGTATGTACATAGTTAAAATAATAATAACGCGTAGTATAAAAAAAATATTAGTTTCATTTAAATGAATACTGACTTAGATCTTATTATTTGTATCTGTTTGTTTTCATTAATTTTGTAACTAGTGGTTTATCTAATCAGGTACTCAGTATAATCTTTGTTTTACTTTAATTCAGAAATTAAGTTCCATAATGTAAATATTATTACTGAAAGTCAAGGTACGGAGTACATGACGTTTTATCTTTTGAGTTTTATTCAAAATTACAGGTTTTTAAGAATATATAATAAATATATGGGATGTCATGACTTAGGAACTCACAAACCATTCTAAATTTCTGAATATCCTTACAAAAGTTTGCCAAAACTGTAAGGCATGTTTTTTTATGTTAAATTTTTAATTATGTAGTTGACATGATTATACAAAAGTTTTTTATTTTATGACAATAGACGTATATGTGGAACCTTATCCGAATATTTAATTATACATTTAAATAAAACTAACATTAGAACTTAATATAAAAATTATTTTAATGTATCGTAGATCCATACTAATATTATAAATGCGAAAGTAACTCTGTCTGTCTGTTACGCTTTCACGCCTAAACCACTGAACTGATTTTAATGAGTACAGAGATAGAGTTGACCTTGAGAAAGAACATAGGATAGTTTTTATCCCAGACTTTTAAAAGGTTCTCTTGGAAACGCGATATAACTGAACTCCACGCGGGCGAAGCTGCGGGCGGAAAGCTAGTTTGTTATACAGGGTGACTGGTGAATTACTATCGATATTTGAGGACGTGATATTTGACGATAGTATATGACGAAATAAAAATTAATATAACATAAATATTAATAAACTTCTAAGTAAAGTTAACCAAAACTTATGTAATTATTTACGCATCGTGTGAACACCCTACAGATTAGGTATACACTCACACTCACACATACGCGTGTCGTGACGTAGTGTTGTATCCGCACGCCGCCGCACGCGTCCACACTTGGAACACTTGGAACGTGTCCACATTATTTATTTATACGGAAATTTTGTCAAAAATTAAGTACCTATTTTTTTTACATAATTCGAATGAGAATCATGTACCGAGTATTCTCCTTAAATATTGATAGTAATTCACCGGTCACCCTGTATAATATAATAAGTAAATAATAATATTTTATATTATTATGCATACTCAACCAATGTGGACAATACATTGGAATCGTTAAAATATTAGGCTCAAAAGGACTCGTATCCAGAGCCGTAAAAATATTTACAAAAAAATTATATAAAATTTTGTGTGTGACGTCACTAACTCTGAGCTGGCAACACTAAAGTTAGAACCAAAAAAGATTCTACTCTACAGATTATAAAAATTCATTACTATTCTAACATTGTCAGAATAAAAAGGTTTTAATATTATACCTTTACTTAAATAATGTAATTAAATATATGGTTATTAAATATTATACGTAAAATTATATGAAAATATTACCAGAACAGCATAAGGCTATCTTTTATGGTTGACTCTCAATAATACGTGTAACTTCCGATATTTTAGCATTTCGGAGCTAAAACACAGCTATTAATAATAAGATTACGTTTTTCCTCCTATTTTTCGATAATATTGTGGATTGACATATTTTATTTATAAAATATGAAAGTTAATATGTCTGTTACATCAAAAAAAGTGAACCGTGAAAAGAACATATGCTACTTTTTACGAAAACGCAGATGAAGTCGCGGGGAACAGCTAGTATATAATAAAATAGTAACTACATAAAGCTATATATACCCAACTCTATTATGATTAATACAAGAATATACAAAAACTTCGAAAACCTAAGACACAATATCTAGATTCCAATGTATATAAATTATTAAATACTAGTTTTTGCCCTCGACTTTTTCCGCGTTAATTTCGTCATTAGTAATAGCATAGCTGACCGGGCAAACTCTGTTCCGTCTTAAATAACAAGGTATTGGTATTTATTAAATTTCTACTGTTTCTATCGAACAGAATGATTGACATATTGGTTAGTTGTGAAGTCTAATGTCAAAAAATCGTTTGTATGGGAAATAGAAAAGGGCTGTTTTTAGGGTTTTCCCGGCAATTATTCCAATTTTTCTCACCTTTTAAACCTTCCCTGGACTTCCAGGAGTATTTCAAGACTAAAATAAGCCAAATCGGTTCAGCCGTTCTCGAGTTTTAGCGAGACTAAGGAACAGCAATCCATTTTTATATACAGGGTGACTGGTGAATTACTATCAATATTTAAGGAGAATACTCGGTACATGATTCTCATTCGAATTATGTAAAAAAAATAGGCACTTAATTTTTGACAAAATTTCCGTATAAATAAGTAAAGTGTTGACACGTTCCAAGTGTTCAAGTGTGGACGCGTGCGGCCGCGTGCTAATACAACACCACGTCACGACACGCGTATGTGTGAGTGTCAGTGTATACCTAATCTGTAGGGTGTTCACACGATGCGTAATTAATTACATAACTTTTGGTTAACTTTACTTAGAAGTTTATTAATATTTATGTTATATTAATTTTTATTTTGTCATATATGATCGTCAAATATCACGTCCTCAAATATCGATAGTAATTCACCAGTCACCCTGTATATAGAAGATAGAAGAAGAAGATACAAAACTATATTGTCGATAAAGTACCAATAGCTACTAAGTGTTGAGAATCTAATTTTACACCAGAAGAAAAAACTGTTAAATATATACGGATGAATGAATTCTGCCACTTAGTACATATTTTCACAACTCAAGAAACTGTTTGGTAAAGAAATATTGTATAGAGTGAATTCAATCTATGTGAATGAGTTTTATGTGTATTGTAATAAAAAAGTACTTTTGGACTAAATTGTCAGTCAGTTAAATATAGTCCGTTAGACTTAAGCTGAGCTTTGCATTTATGTGAGTGAAAGTAAAAGTATAGTTAGACAAAAAAGTTTTAAAATTCAGTTTTATTGTATTTTAAATAGATACATCAACTTTTAAAATTCAGTTTTATTGTATTTTAAATAGATACATAACATAGGTGCGAGAACTATTCTAGATTAAAAATAAAATAAGCAAACTTGTAAAGGCCAGATGGAAATATTATGGAAAAAAAATTATTATTTAGTAAAAATTTTGAAAAATTACATATTCTTCTTCACTTGACGTTGCATTTTCAACATTTGATGTTGCTACCATTACAAAGGGTGAAGTGAGGAAGGTGCGGGGCGGAGTAAAAACAGAATAAACCGGCTCAAAACTAGAAAAGAATGTTTCATTCAAAAATTTGACATCACACCTACACTATCCGTGTACACTCACATAAATGCAAAGCTCAGCTTAAATCAAACGCACTATAGTTAGTTAGTTAGTTAGTCTTATATATTCCGGTATGATCGTGAGCAGCATATATATTTGTAATGGAGTATATTTCCAGGTATTGGTGGAGGATTGTCCACAACGCCGGGTATTGTGATCGTTTCACAATATTTCGACAAACACAGGTGAGTTTACAAATAAAACTAGTAGTTTCTTTACAAATTTGGTAGAGAGAGGAGCTTGTACAGTGGAGGTGATTTAACGTTAGATAGGGTCCCTTAAACCTACACCTGGGTCACAAGTCACAGTCACTGTTGAAGCTCCTCTCACTACAACGATGGACCCGACACACGCACCGTGAATACATTAAATGATGAGAGGTTTCGTCTCATCTAATCACGGTAGTTACAAAGTAGCCGAAATTTCAGAAGTATGTTGTTTAAATTTAAAAATGAGTAGTATACGAAAATATTAGTTACATTTAAATGAATAGTCGTAACTCATTATTTTTAAATGTCAAACATGAATGTATTTAGTGATTTCTTTGGCTACAGCTGGCGCTATTATAATATTTACAAATGTGCTGGTAATAATGTAATAATAACAAAATACACGCTACTCTGTCGATATTGTTCGTTTTAATAAAATACTTTAATGTAATGTACGAGAGAGCGCGCGTCACCGAACACGCGCCGCTCATACAGACAGACGTGTCTTAAACTATGATAACTATATATTGTATGAAGACCGACATATATATTATATATATGAGATACAGGACACTGTATATATATGTAATAAAATGACATTTCATTAAATTCAAATTTGCCGCGCTTCGCGCCTAACTTGTCGACCAGAGATGCGTCACTATTCACTAATGGCGAATTATGTTTAAGTTTTTGTGCACTTTATGATTATTAAAACGTGTAGAGAGATAAACTAAGGGATTTATTGGACTTTAATGTCTTTTATTTGTATTTTCAGGTAAGATAAAAGTGTTATAATATTGTAAAGGCGTGTTAAGTAAAATGAATCTCTGTATTTTCAGAGAAACAAATTTAGGTTTGCTTTGAAAGCCCTCGATAATATTCCTTATAAAACGATGTATATATTATATATGTATAACATATATATAATATTACAATGTTCAATGATTTGTTTGTTTATTTTTCGTAACCGATGAGGGTAGTTTGTCAAAAGCTATAAAAAGTGTTGGCATAGTAATTCATACGCTAATCTTCCATCTCTTTCAGGGCGTTGGCTAACGGTATATGTGTGAGCGGGACGGCTGTAGGCAGCTTCGTGTTCCCGATGCTCATAGAAAAATTAGTTGGAACATACGGATTTCACGGCACTGTACTGTTATTGGGTGAGTAGAAATAAAAATAATAGTACACATTTGATAGGAGGGCGCGGGTTCGATCCTGGCAAGTACCAATGTGATGTTCCGAGTCATATGTACTTTATAAGATTTAGACATCACTCACTGATGAAGGAAAATATGAGGAAACATGGACTTATAATTATAAGTTTGAAATCACCAACCCGTCTTGAGCGAGCGTGATTAATGCTCAAACCTTCTCCATTTGAGAAGAGGCCTTTGCTCAGCAGTGGGCTCTGATAGGATGATGATGATGATATAATAGGACCATGAAATATTACTGAATCTCATATTTAATTTCATTCAAATTTATTTTCTTTAAACATTTACATAAAAATTTTATTCATAGGTACTTATAACATGTTAAAAATTCAAAAACAATAGTTTCGCTTTCTCTAACAAGTTTGCAAATATAGACTAAATTCAAATAGTTGTAAATTTTAACTTCAATCTTCACACAGGAAAGTATTTACGATATTGGAAAATTTTAATAATGATAATAGAATTTCAAACAAACTGTACTTGCATGTAGTACTGAGAAAAACAAACAAAATATACTGACTTTCATTCTTTGGAGTCGTATTTGATTCAAAGGTGCGAAGTTTTCTCGCTCTAACAAAAGATACATTACATTAAGTCTCATTCTGACATCCAAGCTACAATAAAGCAAAGTTTCATCAAAATCTCTTCAATATTTTTCACGTGGTACATCAACAAACATCCTAACTAACTCTCCAATAATAAACTTATGACTACCTTCAAATTTGATTTATATATATGGTCAGTGCCGGCGGTAGAGGGACTGACGCCCTAGGCAAGAATATTTTGACGCCCACTTGAAGAAATCAAAATCGAGTATTAATTTTTTTCTAAACCAATGTGAACACTGAACGTGTATTAAGAATTCTATATTCCATCTACCATCTTTCATTTTTCCTTTAGCGTGACCCAGAGCTAACGACGTGGACGTAGAAAGTTATGTAGCTCCTATTTTTTTTATTTTTTCATTTATAAGTATCCTACCTCCACTAATCGCCCCCCAAATTTGACGCCCTGGGCCGTCGCCCCCCCCCCCCACTAACGCCGGCACTTAATATTCTATATGAACCAGGTGCTGGCATGCTTCACGTGTGTGTCTCTGCCACGTTGTACCGAGCTCCACCAGCGATAAGAGTAGCTTCACCAACGGCCACCACTACCACCACAGAAAACACCACGCTACTAAACGATATACAGGAAGGTGGGTAGATTGAAATATCACGAACATAAAGATAACCTTCTCCATGTGAGAAGAGGTTTTGCTCAGCAGTGGGCTCTGATAGGCTGATGAAGCTAGTCTTTGAGATCACAGCTGAAAAGTAACCGAAACGTCAGAAGCATGTAGTTAAAAGGGTAGAAAACGAGTAATATATCGCAATTACGGTGCAATAACGTCACTTGTGCGATTTATTCCAAAACTTAACTGATTATGAGAAAATACCTCTTTACTTGGTTATTGTCATTTGTGTCGTACGAAAACTGTCCTGGTTTCAATATTATTAAATTATTGTTTTAGTCGAATAATACTATACAATTTTCAAATGCTTCTGAAAAATACGTTGCATACATACATAGGTGACATTATAGTACCGAAGGTGCGGTATGGAAAGTATTAGTTTCATTTATATGTATAGAATACTTCATGAAATATGACGAAGAAACATAAGATCATAAAAATAAAGAGATATATAAGATTTATAGGATTTTTATATAAATTTCTCATCATTTTAAATATCTAATTCTGTAATTAACCTAATTATATAGGACGGCAATCTGAGGTTGCAGAAAAACTAGGAAACTTATATATGTATATTATAATAAGAACTACAAATTAAAACTTATAACCTACACCTAAGACTACATGATTGACCCGATGTTATGATAGCAATACCATTCCATAGCTTGTGTGTATCAGGAATCTTCTGGTTCACACGCTTGGTGTTCGTTCCGCGGAGTCAGCGGCCTCAAGAGTTATATATTATACATACAACGATATGTTTATATATTTTTTTATATGTTGCTCTTATATAACAACCTACATTGGACTAAAATGTAATAATAATAATTATAGAATGATACAATAACTTAATTTTACAAGTGATGATTTCCATTACCAGGTAAAACAGCGATCATCAATTCCAAAGACAACAAGCTACAGAACCTGTTCCAGCCGGAGACCGAGCTGACTTTGACTCTGAACCAAAAGAACAATATACTGAGTGAAGAAAAACGAGCCAACCTACTCAGCGAAATCATACACCCTAGTCTTATAGAGGTAAATATATAAATAAGATTATTGAGTTTGTAGTGTTTGATCTATACAATACAAGCTGCGCCCCGCGGTGTTACTTGATTTCCGGGATGTAAAGTAGCCTATATCTTATTCCTGGACGTCAGCTTCATGTATATAAAATTTTATCAAAATCGGTTCAGCCGTTTGAGCGTGAAGAAGTTACAAACATACACACACATACAAAATTTCGCAATTATAATATTAGTAGGATATATAATACACTGTCTCACGTACCCCACTAGAGGGCGCGGCATGCGCTCGGCAGACTAACGACTAGTGCGTCGCTCTAGGCGGGGTAGTAATGAGACAGTGACTAGTTATACTTACATGTAGGACCAGGTCTTACAGAGTTAAAGTTTACTTATTTAATTGAAACTAACATTTTTCGGTTTTATTTTTGTTAAAAACTACATTGTTTACTTACTATTTATTACTACACTACAAAGTCGCGTAGTATAATCCGAAAAATATTAGTTTCATTTAAATGAATAAAATTCGCGAAAATCTTAGAACTCATTAAAATGTACTTAGTAAATAATTATGGTACAAATATATGCTTCAAGGAAAAGTATAGATAAATAACTAAGCTTTATAACTTACATGAGAATTACTTGTAACAAAAAATTTATGAATTTACAGTACAATAATATTTGTAACAAAAATAAAATGACAAATAGTATATAGAAATATTATATTAAGCAGACTGTTAAATAATTTTAACCTAATATTAAAGTACTGTTCATAACTACTAGCGCCATCTGTTATTGTTCGTAGTTAAACTGCTATGGAATGAATAAAATTTAATCTAGGGGCTGTCCATTAATCACGTGAGGCTTGAAAGAGGGGGGAGGGGTTTGATAAAAATCACGAAAATAACACAAGGGGGAGGGGGGGTGTAGTATGATATCTCGTGTATTTATTTTTTCGTCTAACGCGCGATTTTTAAATAAATATTAATTTATTATGGTCCTTAATTTCAGAATAAAATAAGATTATAGTTTATACCTGTATTTAAATTAAGTTAATATTCAGAAAATTTTAAGATTCGTTGTAGGTACTAAAAATACACGTGATGTTGAGAAGGGGGAGGGGGGGTGGTCTTAAACCTCACTACGTATCACCAATGGGGGCGGGGGGGTTAAAAAATGCTAAAAAAAGATCACGTGATTAATGGACAACCCCCTATGTATGTATTTGGTTACAACTATTATAGTGGTATATTACAGATTTAAGGATACGTTTTGCTTGTTCTATTACGAATATTTTCGTATAAACTTCTTTCAATTATTCGACAATAGGTCATGTAGACTTTACGAAACAACTTACCCAAAAAGAACAGAAAAGAATTTAAGAGCGGATTCATTATTCTATATATATGTAAGAATTACCTGCAAGTAGCATAACTGTCTAATTCTGGCCCTGGCAAGTACCAATGTGATTTTTCCCAGTCATATCATGTACTTTATGAGTATTTAGACATCACTGACTAATGTGTGCCTACGTATTATCTTTTATTAATGTAAGCAAAAATCACTGTCCATAATGGCACCTAGAAACAAGTCGATATTCGATATGCTACATTGTCAATTTAATACATTATAATATGTTCTGGCGCGGAGTCGCCATTCTACCATCGAACTGAGATGTCGTCATAACAATTAAATATTGTAAATTATATTACAAATAAAAATATCTATACTCAATTGCCTTTCATTACATGATCCACAAAGAGGGTAAAAACAATTAGCTAAAACTGTGCACATATGTAAGGCAGAGCCTGGCTAAAGCCGGGAAATTGACAGGTAGAAGAAGAGAAGAACTTCTCTCCGTGGAAGTAGTATATCTAGTGAACTCTGTAGTATCTAACTTCGTCGGGATGATATGTGAATAGTTCTCGGTGAAGTTGGATACTACAGTGTTCCTAGGTGGACCAGCGGTGTGAAGATACCCTGCAGATATGATGAAGAAATACATAGCGCCTTGGATGTGAAGATACCCTACGAATATATGTGCTATATGTATATAATTATAAATATATTGTGCAATTGTTATTTAATTGTAGTAACTTTAAGATCTGAGATTTTCGGATGTACTATGCGTATTTTATTATTATTTTAAACTACACACTCCCGACGTTTCGGTTACCTTGAAAACGTGATCACGGACAGACAATATGATATTTTTTTGTATAAAATAATAAAACTCGTAGTAAATCCGAAAATATTAATTTTATTTAAATAAATACTAACGAAAATCTTACTATTAGATGTCATACATTCTATATTTATTTAGGAAGACTAGTAACTAGAGACCAGATAAATTATTTTGAAATGATGAAAGCTAATCGAAAATCTTAGATATTATTAAATTTAAGACCTTTTTTTCATATGTCAAAAAAATCTTCGTTTTGGTCCTTTTTATTATGTATTTCAATTAAAAGTTTTAATGTATCATTGTAATATTTAAATTGTCTTTAATACAGTAGTTTTATATGTTAATTGATATTCTAACTCTATTTTTCAGGTCACAAGTCGTCCTCTTCAAAGTCAAATGTCTGACTCGGAAGATTCTGAGGGTATGGACGTACTAGGAGTAGTAGGTAAGACATTTTTCCTACTAATTACGTTTAAATTATAATAATATTGTTTTGTGATTATTATAGCAGTGCTTAAATAAAGAAAATCTATGCCAAAATTAATTTATGGTCCTCGCATGTAAATTTATTCTAAACTAGCTTTCCGTTCACAGCTTCGCCCGCGTGGAGTTCGGTTATATCGCGTTTCCAAGAGAACCTTTCAAAAGTCTGGGATAAAAACTATCCTATGTTCTTTCTCAAGGTCAACTCTTTCTCGGTACCAAATTTTATTAAAATCAGTTCGGTGGTTTAGGCTTGAAAGCGTAACCATAATCCATAAACGTGTATTTAGATGACCTAATGAATTTCATTTCTATATCCCGCAATAAATATTTCTGTTCTCCGTTTACTTCTATGTCTAAAATTTCTAGTCATTGCAGTCAAATAGAAGTTTCAACTATTCCCAAGAATATTTTGACCGTTGTCATTTTGAGAGTACTATATAGATTCAAAAAACTTCACGTCCAAGTATAGAATTTTAAGTAGTGCCTACTAATGAGAAACCTAATTTCCAGTACCATTGATTAATTTAATTTGCACAGAGCAATATTCTTTTTCTGTTAACGTGAATAGTGATAGAAGTATAGTCCGTTAGTCTTAAGCTGAGCTTTGCTTTTGTGTGAGTGAAAGTAAAAGTAGAGTTAGACAAAAAAGTTTTAAAATTAAATTTTATTATATTATAAATAGCTACATAACATAAGTGATATATAGTACGCAAAACTTGTAAAAGGTCAGATGGAAATATTATGAATTTTATTGAAAAATAAGATTACTAATTAATAAACATTTTCAAAAAAACTATACAAATTCTTCGTCACTTGACATTGCGTTTACAACATTTGATTTTGCTACCAGTACAAAGGGTGAAGTGAGGAAGGTGCGGGGCGGAGTAAAAGCAGAATAAACCGGTTCAAAACTAGGAAAGAACGTGGCATTCAATAATTCGACATCACACCTACACTATCCGTGTACACTCACAATGCAAAGCTCAGCTTAAATCAAACGCACTATAACAATAGTTTAAGTTTATTGTATTCGCCAGGTCTGCCTCGGGATGTGGTGAAGCTTCGTCTCCGACCCACGAGGTCATCTTCTATCCTACACTCTGTAGAAGATCTATCTACAGACAGTACGTGTGTTTACAAAGCAAGAGGAAGGATTCTAAGCCGGTAATTATTGTTTAATATATCACTTTGTTATCTATACTAATATTATAAAGCTGAAGAGTTTGTTTGTTTGAAAGCGCTAATCTCCGAAACTACTGTTTCGAATTGAATAATTCTTTTTGTGTTGGATAGTCCAGTTATCGAGGAAGGCTTTAGGCTATATAACATCACGCTACGACCAATAGGAGCAAAGATATAGTGGTAAATGTGTAAAAAACGGGAGAAATTATTTTATCTTTGAAGCCTTCCGTTGCGTGCTCCGTGAAAACGGTTCAAGATACACAAAAAATATGTGTTAAAGAATAATAGCTCTTTTAATGATCTAAAAAACACTCCGCGACAGTATATGTCTATCTTTTAAGATTAACTCACAAAAACCGTTTTTATGGCACCTAATTTGGTCGAAATAATTTGTTAAAGTTGTATCAACATAATAATATTAATCATTATTTAAATAAATAAAGAAATATGTTGTTGGTTAAGAGTACTTCATTGTGAATAAATAAAAACATAGATTTTATCCTGAAAATTCTACGGGAACTCGACCATTCCAAAAACCCCACAAGAACGGGAACTATGTGGGAACAACCAAAAATCTGCCGTAAGTCACTATTCCACGCGGACGGAGTCGCGGCAAAAGCTAGTATATTATATACTAGTTTTTGCTCACGACTTCGTCCGCGTTAGTTTGGTCATTAGTAATATATGTATAGCTGACCGGGCGAAGTCTATTCCGACTTAGAAGCTGTAAATAACCAGATATAGGAGTTTATTAAGTTTTCTTTCTTTTTCGATCGAATAGCATTATATATCCTATGTCCGTCTCCTTGTTCTAATCTATCTCTCCGCCAATCTTCATCCATATCCGTACAATCGTTAGAGTTATAAATAGTGTAACTAACACGACTTTCTTTTATATATATCAAAAGTTGTGTTTTAAAAGTATTAAACAGTTTTCCGTAAACAAAATTTTGGATAAGAATCTTGTCTTTATGTCCGTCATATAAATATGGAATTATAACTTCATTGATTAACTCAACACTCGTTAGATTAGTTGTGTAAGTAAGATATCAGTACGGTCGTAGGTTCGAAATTTGATAAATGAAACTAATATTTACGTATATTACGCGTTTATTATTATTTTAAGTACATACTCCCTACATTTCGGTTACTTTGCATCAACCGTGGTCATTGGCACGAGATGTGATAATCTGAAAATATTAGTTTTATTTAAATGAATACTCGCGAAAGTTTTCGATCTCAAATCTCATATATTCATTTAACTTTTTCGAGTTGTATATATTTGTTACTCAATTTTAAAAAGTACATCAGCGTTTTAAATTATATATATCGGATTTATTACACGATTTCGTTGTTTTAAATGAGAGAGACGCCAGCCTCGCTGACGTTACTAATGTCACTTCTTCTAGTACGTTCCATGATATTTTAAAATGAAACTTCAATTGTTCTTAATGTGCCTGTATTTCTCTTCATAATCACATACTTCAATGGTCCACACTCACTGAACTCTGAACTCTGCCGCCGTGCGTCCAGACGTCATATTTATACTCAAATTCAAACATAGTTCTATTCTCCTTTTAAACACTTTTTGATCTCGTTTTACTTTTAACAATAATCATGAATACTAATGAGTTTTAATAATAATTGATGACAGGCTCTAGTTATTTTCATGTCGCATCCGTTATTAAAGCTGATAGCGCCGATATATATATGTAATTAATAAACTCATATACAATTTTAAATAATCTCCTAATATATATTCTCTTATCTATCTTTTACTGGTTATCTTTTTACATTGTATATACTAAAAATTACATAGAATTCATTAGGTATGTCATAATTTTTCAGATCTCTCTACATTAAGCCGCCTCTACCGAGCAGAATAATACAAAGCAAGCTCTCCGAACCGGTGAGCATTAAGAAGGAAGAAGAATTAAAAGAAGAAACAGCAGAAGTTAAAGTAGAGAAGAGAGGATGCGTTGAGACGATATCTAGGTCGGTTGTACGGCGACATTAATATATAATAATACTAGCTGCGCCCCGCGGTGTTATCCGCGGATTTCCGGGATGTAAAGTAGCCTATGTGTTATTCCTGGACGTCAGCTTCCTGTATACAAAATTTTATTAAAATCGGTTTAGCCGATTGAGCGTGAAGAAGTAACAAACATACACACACTCACAAACTTTCGCAATTATAATATTAGTAGGACTAATTAATTGAATAAATCATATAGGAATTTATAGGGAGGTTTAACCTTTTCTCTTCTTTTTGACAAATATATTTCATACTACAGTAATACCCCGCTTAACGCGACCCCGTTGTGCACGGTTTCACTATAACGCGATCTTCAAAAATTTGTTGCAGAGTATAGACCAGTAGTCCCCAATCTTATTTTTCTCGTGGACCACTTTCAAAATTTTACTGGTTTCGGTGGACCCCCTGCTGCTACATTTCTACCACATTCCTAAAGTCGCCAAAAAATAAAAATTGTGTCACTTCTGAGTTCTGTCTCTATATTCCGATAGGTAAAATAAAATTTTAGAAATTTTGGAAACAAATGAATGAGTTTGCCTTTGGCATCAAGTATTTATAGTGGTGATCAAGTTCATGTCTGAACAAGCACTAAGCATTGTCGGGCGGATAGCGCTTTGCAAGTCTGTACACGAAATTGTACGTAATATCGAATACTCAAGTTTGGACAAGTAACAGTCGCTTGCTTTATTAAAATATTATCTGCTTAGTTAGGTACTTAAAACAATGTAGGTAGGCCCTTATAAAAACTATGTTTACATTTTTGCTCTTTACTATCAAAAGCAGATAAATTTTCGTGGACCCCCATTTTTTGTTCATGCCTACGTAGACCCCCAGCAAGTCTTCCGTGGACCCCTGGGGGTCCACCTGGACCACTTTGGGAATCACTGGTATAGACAATAATGATGACCGTGTCTTGAACGTGTGTCAAACGATTAAAAACAGTGTTTGGTGTTATGAAATTATTTTACAAGAACGTAAACAAAACGCTACCCAAAAGACAATACATGTATTTTTTCGTAAAAAATAGGAGTACCTATGTATTGTATAGTGTTCTTAGAATTAAAAATTTTGACTGTGTTTAATCATATCAACCTTGATATACGCGAATTTCAGTTAACGCGATTTTCTTCGGAACGTATCCCTCGCGTAAAGCGGGGTGTTACTTTAAATATATAACACATTACAGTATTAGCTTGATATGACTGGATTTTCCGTTAAAACAGCGACAGCTCATGTCTTCTTTTAAGATTATTTCTTTGCCGTGATCTATCAATTAAAATAAAGATATTCTAATTCAATTTTCCAATCACGTCAAAAGATTTCAGCATCCTATCAATCAATCTACATATATATATGTAGAATATTACAAAACTATTATAAGAATTTGGTTGTCTCATAAAACCACTAACTTTAAATAATAAATCAAACCTTAACAGCAACAAACATGTCTTAAAGAGTTTTAAGTAATTATAATTTAGTATTTAATTTATTGCTTATCTTGAAAAAATATCGTTAAAAGCCGTTAATTTAGATAATCGCCTGAAATACAGGTTTATACCTAGCTCAAGGACAGTAGATTTTATTTACATATATGTAATACCTTTTAGCTTTATGCATTGTGATCAGATTATGTTAATGTCTATACTATTGTAATGCGTTTGAGATAAATAAACATTATTATTATGAATATATCCGCAGGTATCTCGACGTGTCATTATTAAAGTCCTGGCGCTTCGGTCTTCTGTGTGCATCCGTTGCCCTCATGTCATGTGGCTCGCCCTACGCCCTGTATTACTTACCAGCTTACACAGTCGCCGCTGGACATAGTAAAGCGGCCGCCGGTTAGTATAAATAATATTTAAATTAATATTTAATATCAGTGGTGACCTAGTGGTTAAAAGGACCGCCTCTCCTTGCCAATGGTGCGGGTTCGATCCTGGCAAGTACCAATGTGATGTTCCGAGTCATGTGTACTTTATAAGAGTATTTAGACATCACTGATTAATGACGCGGAACACATCGTGAGGAAACCTGGACTTATAATTTCACAATTATAAGTTTGAAATCACAAACCCTTCTTAAGCGAGCGTGGTGATTAATGCTCAAACCTTCTCCATGAGAGAAAGAGGCTTTTGCTCAGCAGTGGGATCTGATAGGCTAAAGAAAGAAAATTAACTTTAATTCTTCTCTCTAATTGGTAATAATTTAATCATAGTTCTCTCTAACTGGTCATAATTTGAACATAGTTCTCTCAAGTTGGTCATAATTTGAACATAGTTCTCTCAAGTTGGTCATAATTTGAACATAGTTCTCTCAAGTTGGTCATAATTTGAACATAGTTCTCTCTAATTGGTCATAATTTGAACATAGTTCTCTCTAATTGGTCATAATTTGAACATAGTTCTCTCTAATTGGTCATAATTTGAACATAGTTCTCTCTAATTGGTCATAATTTGAACATAGTTCTCTCTAATTGGTCATAATTTGAACATAGTTCTCTCAAGTTGGTCATAATTTGAACATAGTTCTCTCAAGTTGGTCATAATTTGAACATAGTTCTCTCAAGTTGGTCATAATTTGAACATAGTTCTCTCTAATTGGTCATAATTTGAACATAGTTCTCTCAAATTTTTCATAATCTAACCATAGCTCTCTCTAATTGGTCACAATTCCCAGGTCACCTGGTCGCTATAAGCGCCATCCTGGACCTGTGCGGCAGACTCGGCCTGGGCTGGCTGTGTGATCTACATTTGTTCTGCAGACGGAAGGCGTATATAGTCAGGTAATATTCTTAGATAAATTACTTGATGAGTACATTAAGTATGAACTAGTTTTTATTTTGCTTTGTTTTATCTTAGTTTTATACCATTTAGTCTGTATTTTAATTAAAAAAATAATGTTGTATACACCTACCTGTAAAGGCTAGTCATACTGGATTGAATATTTAGTGCATATAATATTGTGTTAGTTATTATGATAAGTCGATGGTGTATCTTAATAAATTAATAAATAAAACGATATATCCAGGGTGACTGGTGAATTACTATCGATGATCGGTGATTCACACGATGCGTAATTAATTACATAACTTTTGGTTAACTTTACTTAGAAGTTTATTAATATTTATGTTATATTAATTTTTATTTTGTCATATATGATCGTCAAATATCACGTCCTCAAGTATCGATAGTAATTCACCAGTCACCCTGTATATCACTAAAACGGACAGACAGTACCAAATATTGTCTGTTCGTACATATTTATTGTATCCTAACTATTAGTTGTAGTGTAAACACCAATAGTTTCAATGTATTCATATATTCAAACTTGTGTTAAAGTTAAATGTATCGTGAAAAACAGTATTATTCCAGTTAATTTATAATTATATATTTATAACATATTTATTTTAATTTATTTTTTCTGTTCGTCAGTATTCTGGTGGCGGGCGCTGCTGTCTTGAGTCTGCCGAGTCTAACTTCGTGGTGGAGTTTGGCCATCGCTTCCGGTTAGTTAATCTTTGATATATAATTCTTCTGTGAGTGTGTATGTCACTGAACTTCACTCAAACGACTGGACCGATTTTGATGAATTTTTTTGTGTGTGTTCAAGGGGATCTAGGAATGGTAGAGATTCACAATTTTGTACACTGGACAATGTTTTTTAATTAATTTTTAATTTATTAGTAGTTGTCGATACAAACGGTTTTTTTTGACATTAGATTTGACAACTAACTAATATGTCAATCATTCTGTCGCACTTCAGAACATGGAGATTTATGGCTTACAGGTAAACTCCAAAAATAGAAATAAAAAAACGTAACAGATATTTCTTGATTATAGGGCGATACGAAGTTCACCGGGTCTTCTAGTAAGATATAATATCTAAGCTTGAGAAACGTATTGAACATATTGTAGTGCCTGTCGTCACTACAAAGATTGTAGGAGTTCCGAAGTCAATAAGAATAAAACATTAAATTTCATAAATCAAATAAGAAAATAGTACAATTTCTTAATAATGATCAATGAAAAAAATCACTAATAAGAGTGAATATACATTACAAGTATAGTTAGCTTATACATTTAAATAACAAACTAATTATTGTCTTTAACTAATTTTTATTAATATTTTGCTAAAAACATTGTGTGTGTTATATTCCCAAAGAGGGTTGATGTCAGGCAGGCGGCCTGTCGTAAAAACAATTAGCCAAAACTATTCACAGCATGTAAGGCAGACTGGCTATTGCTGGGAAAATTGCCAGGTAGAAGAAGAAGAAGATTATAATTGCGAAAGTTTGTATGTGTGTATGTTTGTTACTTCTTCACGCTCGAACGTCTGAAGCGATTTTGATAAAATTTTGTATACAGGAAGCTGACGTCCAGGAATAAGACATAGGCTACTTTATATCCCGGAAATACGAGGTAACACCGCGGGGCGCAGCTAGTATATATATCTGTCGTATTTCTCCAGGTGCCTACGGTCTCTGTCTTGGTTGCTGGTTCCTTCTCGTGCCAGTCTTGTTAGCGGACGCCTTCGGCACCGCCCGCATCGCGTCCTCGTACGGCCTCGTAAGAATGTTCCAGAGTCTAGCTGCTGTTTCTGTACCGCCGACAGCTGGTTAGTTATTTATTATCCTTATATCAATATAATACTCTTTGTAAATGATAGTAAATTGATTATTTCATGTTCAATAGTTATGTCATTATGTTTAACATTTAGTGATATACATTGAGGAATGTTCACGGATGAATGTATTGTGTGTGTGAATCATGGTAATGTGTGTGTGTGTGTGTGTGTGTGTGTGTGTGTGTGTGTGTGTGTGTGATATGTTTTTTTTATGTAAAAATAATGAACTCTAACATTCTCTTTAATTCATTTTTTTTTGTGTATTTATATTTTTATTTATTTTAGAATTAAGATCAATAATGTTCTCGACATAAGTGAGCACACTATCACAAAATAAACTATTAGGTCAATGACCTTAGTGTAATTTAATTTCATGTTTTTAATGTGAATGATCTTTCAAATATACTGTTACATCCAAGGTTTGCTTCGTGACGTCACCGGTGGCTACTCGTGGTGTTTCTACGGCATGGGCTCCTGTATGGTCCTGGGTTCGATTCCCGTCATAGCTTTCCACCTCAGCACCAAGAACGAAGACAACGATTCATCGGTAGATTGAAATGTATACAAATATCATATGATAATATTATGCCCGACTAACGTCTAAAATTTGAACAAACTACAGGCATTTAAAGTGGAGCTATGAAACACATATTTAAAATATTCTAACTGTTAAAATTATATTCGATACATCATATCTCCTCTTTAATAATGTACAAGTCAAAAAAATGACGCGGAAAATTATCGTATTTTTGTAATAATAAAAATTAATGAGTTTTAAAACTTATTAATAACAAAAATTTTATCTTTACAAAACGTTTATCTTAAGGAATGTGGCAAATGGCAAATTTATTAACTGTATACAGCGGTGCAATCTATTTTGTACGAGTAATATAAGACCTAACTTTTTTTTCACGGCAATTTCGTTTTATTTTTAATCTGCTTCGTATGAACTAAGGTATTGTGTTCATAGCTACAGGTATACTCCGATGTTGGATTGTAAATAATCTTAGCTATAGATAATAAAATAAATGTATTCTAAAATATTATTAAGTGATGTGAGATTTTTAAAGTGTGATCCATTTAGACTCCACGCTTCCTTATGGTGCAGATTTCTGAACGGTTAAAAACTGTCATCATTCAAAATGTCTGACGTCATACGTCGTATATTTTACTGTAAAATGTGATTTGTTTTTATTAATATTTTGCTTAAGTGAAATGAAATTATCGCCAAATTGTACGCGTATGTCGAATGTAGTTTGTTTTCAACACCTTAAAGTTATTTGTCCAAAGTGCATGTCATAGAGAACAAATGTTCCTCCTATCATTATGTAACGTAGGTAAGCAATTGTATTGATGTAATAATATATATGTACATAATATTATGAGTTTTATTTTAACGGTGTTTATAAAAATGCATTCCCAAAGAGGGTAGATGTCAGGCAGGCGGCTGGTCGTAAAAACAATTAACTAAAACATTCACAACATGACGTAAGGCAGACCCTGGCTTTTTTTTGTAAATATTTTTTACGGCTCTGGATACGAGTCCTTTTGAGCCTTATCGTTACAAGCAAACCCTGGCTAAAGTTGGGAAATTGCCAGGAAGAACAAGGTGTTTATACATAAAAAATCTTCCATAATTAAATTGCAATATATATGGCTACTAATACTTAATTTTTTAGTGAATTAAAATAACAATAAAAAGAATGAGTCATAGTTAAAAAAGTTAATTTATTTTTGATTAGGTCAACTTGGGATTTTTATTTTTTTCCAGGATAATAGTTAAAACAACTTATTATCTAATATATAAAATTCTCGTGTCACAGTTTTCGTGCCCATACTCCTCCGAAACAACCTGACCGATTTTGATGAAATTTTTTGTGCTTATTCGGTAGCTATGAGAATCGGCCAACATCTATTTTTCATCCCCCTAAATGTTAGGGGTAGTCCACCCCTAAATTTTTATTTTTTAGACAAAATTTTTAATTACTATTTTTTTATGATACAACGTACAAAAATACATACAATCCTAAATTTTCACCCTTCTACGATCAACCCTTATTTTTTAAAAGCTATTTTAGTAATTTAATCATTTTTCATCTCCGGTCGATAACTGATCAATCGTCATTTAATAAGTTATCCCCGCCAGATATCTACAGGTGTCACTTCTGACCCAGTAAACAGCACGGAGTAGGGATGAGAACGAAGCCGGTCTTCTGTTTCTCTCACACAATTAGACTTCTCTCACTCCCTACACAGTTGTCGGCCATCGTTATTGTTTGTGCATCAAGTGTAGTAGTAACGTTGACAATTATTATTTTGCTAGCTCAGTGTAACTCTCATATTAACTATTAATCATTCCTAATCACTTCAAAACACGGAGATTTATGGCTTTAATAGGTAAACTCCAAAAATATAAATAAAAAAACGTAACAGATATTTCAAGATTATAGGGCGAAACGAAGTTCGCCGGGTCTTCTAGTAAATATATAAAAAGTAGCTTCTAGCATTAAATTAAAATATTACTTGTACATACATACCATACTGAATTCTTTTCTATTGTATTTTTTTATAACTGATAAATAATTTTGGTTTTGAAAACTCTTATCTTACAAATTTTAAGGAAAGCCTCATTTATTTCTCTCGTCATTGAGACAATAAAACAACAAAAATTCATAGAACATTTTATTGAACATATCAACAAAAATACATCTACATTATACAGAAGTTTTTTCATAATACAAAACAAAAAAATAATAATAAATAAAAGCAACGATAATTTACACCAAGAAATGCCCAATTTGAGCGAAATTCCCATCTTTTATTCCCAACACAGCCTTACCAAAATCGTGACTAAGTTATGCCCATTCGTGGGCACAACTAAACCTTACAACATGTCTTGCCTCCACACTTTCCACTCTCATTCTGTTCATTCTCATTTTGTAATCTTCTTCCTTTCCCCGCTAGAGGTCTATCCTTCTCATCCCACACAACAACGCCGTCACAGGCGCATATTCGTTTAGTATTTTGGAAGATACCCGCAGATCTAGCTATTATGCCGCACGCGATGCTGAAATATTATAATCATCATCAGCCTATTAGAGTCCTCTACTGAGCCTCTTCTCACATGGAGAAGGGTTGAGCATTAATCACTCAATTAATTGCTCAAGACGGATTGGTGATTTTCAAACTTATAATTGTGACATTATAAGTCCAGGTTTCGCGAAAAATCTTAGATCTCATTAAACCTATTGTATTTTCTTTGGCTATTTATAATTGTATATTTTACACTATATTGAATAATATAAAAACCGTTTTTAAAAAATAAGGATGGAATTGTCAAGAAGTTTCCCAAAATCCAGAAACGATAAAAATTTTTGGGGCTTAAGAGAAGTTATTTGCAGAAAAAAGTTACCATAGGTTTTATTTTGGCAAACCTTTAATAAATAACTTTACTACTCACGGCGGTCCCGAATCGCCGTTGATTTTTGAACAGGGACTCGAACCTCGACCCAGATCATCGGCTCGTTGTGTGACCGCTACCGATCTACCGAGAAGCTCGTCTATCTGTTAGAAAAAATACTTTGAACACCAAAAACATATATATGAATCAATATATAAAAAAGTCGTGTTAGTTACACTATTTATAACTAAAGAACGGCTGTACGGACTTAGTTAAATATTGGTGGGGAAATAGATATACATGGTGACTGGTGAATTACTATCGATATTTGAGGACGTGATATTTGACGATCATATATGACGAAATAAAAATTAATATAACATAAATATTAATAAACTTCTAAGTAAAGTTAACCAAAAGTTATGTAATTAATTACGCATCGTGTGAACACCCTACAGATTAGGTATACACTGACACTCACACATACGCGTGTCGTGACGTAGTGTTGTATCAGCACGCCGCCGTACGCGTCCACACTTGAACACTTGGAACGTGTCAACACTTTACTTATTTATACGGAAATTGTGTCAAAAATTAAGTGCCTATTTTTTTTACATAATTTGAATGAGAATCATGTACCGAGTATTCTCCTTAAATATTGATAGTAATTCACCAGTCACCCTGTATATATATAATATAAGTAGAAAAAAATGGAAAAAATCGATTCAAGGGAAAATGGAATTTCTGTACAAAGAAATATTAGATCGACAATTTAAGCATCACTAAGCGAAACCGATTTTGTTTCAATTTTTATAATCAGAAATAGGACTTAATAAGGCAGGCCCTTAAGGCAGACCCTGGCTAAAGCTGGGAAATCGCCAGGTAGAAGAAGAAACTGGACTTAATATAGTGGTCCATTCTTGTAAAATATGGTATACCTTGTAAATTATAAAAGTTATAATAAAATAGGTTTTGCTTAATTCTGCTTCAATGATCGATTTTATTTCACTGAAAAGAAATAAAATTTTCCTGGGAATGGACTTTTTTTGCTAATTTCCTACTATGTTGGGCCAACAAATACAAATAGAATTATAATTTCCTATATAGCTTTTGTGTTTTTTTCCACCTACCTGCAGCAAGCTATCGAATATCCTGAACCTGGCGCGTCCCTGTTCGTCCGCGTGTATGTTTCCGAGATCGCCCGCGTGCCTCTCACACGGCGGGTCGGCGGGTGATCCGTGAGGTGACGACAGAGGGTTGTAGTGATCACCGATAGATGAACAACCCTGGTTGAAGGTAGTTTTGTATTATAGACATGTGTACGACCGGAATGACGTCAAAGAATATACAGTATTTAATTTCCTGTTTATACAGGGTGACTGGTGAATTACTATCAATATTTAAGGAGAATACTCGGTACATGATTCTCATTCGAATTATGTAAAAAAAATAGGTACTTAATTTTTGACCAAATTTCCGTATAAATAAATAACGTTTTGACACGTTCCAAGTGTTCCAAGTGTGGACGCGTGCGGCGGCGTGCTGATACAATACCACGCCGCCGCACGCGCGTGTGTTTGTGTGTGTGTATACCTAATCTGTAGGGTGTTCACACGATGCGTAATTAATTACATAAGTTTTGGTTAACTTTACTTAGAAGTTTATTAATATTTATGTTATACTAATTTTTATTTTGTCATATATGATCGTCAAATATCACGTCCTCAAGTATCGATAGTAATTCACCAGTCACCCTGTATACGCAGGTGTAAAATAAGCACAATTTTACCATGAGTATTTCTTATATTTTTATGAAGTTTAAGATATCTTCATAATTTTAATTTAATGAAGTTTGGTTGTAAAATTGTTAAGAAGACAAAATTTTTAAATTAATGCCACTCCGAAAGGTTATTTTAAATTATGACTAGAACATTCCATAAAACTCCTTAATATTTCTACTTGTTGACAAACATTAACAATTCGAATGTTTCAATAAACGTATAGCGAATAGTTACTTCCACTCGTCACTAGATGGCGCTTTCAATAAATATCGAGAATTTTCTACAATATTAAATTCGTTAATATAACATATACTCACCATACTCAAATCCCCGCTCTCGTGTACATGTAACCCGTGTAGGCCAGGAGTAAGTCCGTCAACACTGCCATCAGCTATCAGAACGCCATCTGTCTGTGTGAAGCGTATAACTCCGAGCACTTGCTCCGAAGTGCACTTACTCGAAATCATAGCTACGGCTGACTTACTATCTGTAAATATATCATCATCATCAGCCTATCAGAGCCCACTACTAAAGCTTCGTCTCACATGGAGAAGGTCAGAGCATTAATCACCACGCTCGCTCAAGACGGGTTGGTGATTTCAAACTTATAATTTGATATAAGTCCATGTTTGTTCACGATGTTTTCCTTCACCAGTCAGTGATGTCTAAATACTCTTATAAAGTACATATGACTCGGAACATCACATTGGTACTTGTCAGGATCGAACCCGCGCCCTCATGCATGAGAGGAAGGCCTTGAACCACTAGGCCACCACGACCACTTATTACTATACTTACATTGATTAATACATGATTATTAACCAATTATTTTTACCAAACAACAAATATAGTGTATCAGCTATCTACGTCATAAATTTCAACTAAATCGGTCCAGATGTTCTTGCATAAAAAAATAACAAACATACATCCATACATTCTGACAAAACTTTCACATATATAAAACTAGTAGGATTTTAATATAAAATTTAGTAAAATATCTGCAAAAAAATTAGGGTTTTATACCACAATTATGGTTATATTGTTTCAGTAACTTTGTCAACTGAGCCGTCATCTCCTGAATGGATTTGGTAAATTACTTATTCTTTTTCTCTTAATTTCATTGACAAAAATAAATTTTACAGAAACAACCAACTATACAGTTCACAGTTAAATAACCACAAATATTATGCTTATCCCTACTAATATTATAAATCCGAAAGTAGCTCTGTCTGTCTGTGTGTTACGTTTTCACGCCTAAACCACTGAACTGATTTTAATGAAATTTGGTACAGACATAGAGTTGACCTTGAGAAAGAACATAGGATAGTTTTTATGCCAAACTTTTGAAAGGTTCTCTTTTAAACGCGATATAACCAATCCCACGCGGGGAAGCTGCGGGCGGAAAGCTAGTATAAAATATAAATTTCAAAGAAAATTCTATAAATTCATGATTTTTGTCTCAAAGTATTTAATACTTTATTGCTTTATCTACAGTTACTCAACTGCTGTATTCAATAAAACTATATTAAATTCGTCATTTATATATAGTGGTAAGTATCAAACTGAATGACAGCTACTAATATTATAAAGTGATCTACCTACATTACACTTGACATCATATTATAACAATATCGAGCAAGTATAACTAATACATAATATCAACTATGTTCTTGGTCTAATTTCTTCAAAATATAACAAATATTCACCGACCTCCAAATCCTTGTAGAACGGCCCTCTTTCCCGATGTCTTAATCACCATATCCAAGATGACCGAACTTGGTAGGACTGTCTCAACCATTACTGCACCATTCTTAAATACTGCCTGTATATTTGAAAAAGTTTCACTTTTATCATATATGTATATATGGGAATAAGTATTTGTAAAATTCTTCATAATAGTTAAGTTTACTAATTTGGACTGCAACTTGATCGAGCAGAGTTTTAAAATTTTTCTTATTTATACTGGTTACAACATATAATATTTCTTAATAAAAGTCTTCAATTACCACTAATAAATTATCTAACAGTAAAATCTTGCAAAAATCGGTTGAATTATTTTAGAGATTAACCAGTACAAGAAAACGGACAAAATAAAAAATTATTATATGATATACAAAATCAAAATACAATTGTTTCTTTAAACATTACCTGCTGAACATCGTCTTGAGCGTTCAGGTAATTGAGGGTTTTCTCAACAGTCAGTTTATCTGGTGTCGGGCCAAAGTCAACAAGCACTTCAAGCTAATAGAAATAATTGTTATAATTATGTAAATTATACATATATATTATATATAATATATACATATAAGTTACAATGGTTTAAATGACTAATCATAGACTTTTAATTTTTATATAAAAAGGAATATACGTTTGAGAAAAAATATCTTTTATCATTTAAGGTTAGCTGTGTTTTAAATAAATTACGATCAGTCTCAGAATATGTCGATCAAATAAATAATATAATTAATTACCATTAATGGTCTATAATAATTATAACAATAATCAATTAATAATTTCATAATTAATAATACAATTATAATTAAACATCCTCAATAGAACATTACATCGACCTTGCACTTTAAACATTTTTTTACGCACTTGATTATACCGATACATTTATTAACAACTATCATTTGAACTTACCTTAGATGGTATCATATTTCTATGTTGAATTCTAGACTCAAAAATACGTTTTTCTGAAACTATTTTATTAAAATATAAATTGCACTTTCTGGAAAAAATTTAAAAACAAATTTATCAGTATTTGACAAACTACAATAACAGTGTGATGTCAAAGTCAAATTGGGTCTTGTATTTTTTATCCATAGATTATTATGACAGGCAAAAGTTTATACACTCAAATCATCTGCACTACACTCAAAAATAAAAATAAATATCTTGATTTATTCATATGTTTGTATATATTATTAAATTACGTTAAAAAATTTATTACTAGAAGACTTTACAAAATCCGTTAATAATAGATAGGTCTATTTCATTTAATTACTGAATTTGATACTTGATATGAAAGCATTTATATTTCATTTTTGTTTATTCATTAAAAACTTAATAAAACTACATTTTATATTGTGCCACATTAAAAAAAAGTTTCTTTTTGTATATTTTTATTAATTTATCAACAAGTTAAGTTTAAATTAATATTATTATCCCAAAAAGCTCGTGGAGTACCCTATAGATGAAATTGTATTTCTTTTTGCAAGAGTTACATAAATTTAATTAATTTCTATATTTTAATTAAACTGTGATAAGAAGTCAATCCTGATAGTATTAATAAAAGGCAATGAAAATTGATACTTTATTTTAATATTATAACAAACAATTCATTTTCAATACATAAATGATGTAACACAAACATTTTCAAATTTAATTATTTATATTCTGAGTACATTGGTATTACTTATGGGTTTTTTAAACATCCATGATGCCACAAGGGGAGTAAGTAGGTAAAACTTTTTTCGGACTGAAACAGTCGAGTTAATTAGTTTTAATTATTATCGAAGGATAAATTTTGGTGATTCAATATAAAACATTTTTAGATTTTATTCCGGATTTTATAGGTATAACAATGAATTAAAAACAAAGTAACGAATTGTCCGAAACAAGTATAAATTCATACAAATGCAGTGTGAGAAATTTAAGGGTTTTGTTCATATATAAAAAATATTAGTCTCTTACAGTATTTAAGAACTATAGGTTAAAATAACTTATTTTATTTAGTGGTTTTTGACACATTTTTTCCATAGAAGGAACTTAAGCCACAGATTATATATATCGTCGTAAGAATTCACTCTTAACCTCCTTGTATCCAACCTCTGATGGAACAAGTCTTAGTGCTTAATGTTCTTGCTCGTGGATAGCTTTGAAGACTTCTGAATTCTTCAAATGATCCAAGGGTGGTGGCGGCTTTTGAAATTTCATGAAATTTACACTGAAATCCATAAAATAAAAATATATTTCAAATTTGGTTAGGTAGAGAGAGGAGCTTGTATGGTGGAGGTGATCGTTTAACGTTAGATAGGGTCCCTTAAACCTACACCTGGGTCACAAGTACCAGTCACTGTTGAAGCTCCTCTCACTACAACGATGGACCCGACACACGCACCGTGAATACATGGAATGATGAGATGTTTTGTCTCGTCTAACATATACGTTTATTGTCCTGGCAAACCCAACTATGTGAGTTTTTTGATATATGTTTGTTATTGAATAAATTAAAAACAAAAACCCGATTTTGATTCGATATATTAATAAAAATTAATAAATATTTCGTTAATTCCTGATAATATAAAACCATATAAAAGATTATCGCAAAATATTAATAAAAATTAAAACAGTTCGACGATAAGAACTATTTCTGAACGTCACAATAATATTGTACATATATCAACGAAACCCAAAAAAAAAAAAACAAATGGGGCGAATAGGGACATAGATAATAATATTTTTACCCAATAGCATTCCCTTTAATGACCTCCGCTTGTCCAAGTAAAGCCTCGTTTATCATATCTTCGTCGTATACCTCGTCAGTATGGTACCATTTCCTACGAGATAATATTCTCGATTGTTCCTGAAGTCTACCAAAAGATGGCGTTGCTTTTTCGGATTGACGTGATTGTTGATTTGTCTTCTTAAAATCCATTTCCTGTAACAATATAAAAAAAATATTACTGAATAATGTTATTTAAACTTAAGAAATTGGAATAGATGTTTATATATTTATATTTTTCTAAAAGTCAATGTAAAACTTTTCTTCAATTATTAAACATACCAAAAAGTCTTACGCCTATTACTGTTATAAAATTGTTATATGATAAAAATATATCTTTTAATTAAAAAAAAAATATTAAGTATCAAATCGAGATAAAGAAATAAATACTTAGTAATATTTCTTTATTTCGATATTCTATTTGGAGAGAAGAAAACGTTGTATCAATACATTTTATAAAACAAAGTCCCCGCCGCGTCTGTCTGTCTGTATGTTCGCAATAAACAGAAAAACAACTGCGCCAATTACCAAGCGGTATTCACCATTCCATAGCGTGATTCTCGAGAAAGGTTTTAATATATAATTTGTTAAAGTTTTGTATTGATTTGTGTATACATTAACAATATTTGTTGAAGATGACGGGAAAAATGAGCCTTTTGGTATTTTAACTATCAGCTAACCACAGATTAATGAAAACCTCACCCTTTTCATCTTCTCTTCTTTCATCTTTGTGTTCAATATCTTCTTCACTTCTTCCTTCTTCACGAAGGCCAGGTCATCTTCACTCACGCTAGGTTTAGTGATCTTTATTTGGACCGGATTTGTTGTGCTTGTATCTTAGAAAATAAATTCAATTATATATAAGAAGAGTAAGGTAAAGAAATATCGAAAAATTTAAAATTTTCTAGTCATTTTTGCTTATCCCTACTAATATTATAAATGCGAAAGTAACTTTGTTTGTCTGTCTGTTACGCTTTCACGCCTAAACCACAGAACTGATTTTAATGAAATTTGGTACAGAGATAGAGTCGACCTTGAGAAAGAACATAGGATAGTTTTTATCCCAGACTCTAGAAAGGTTCTCTTGGAAACGCGATATAACCGAACTCAACACGGGCGAAGCCGCGGGCGGTAAGCTAGTTTGTAATAAATAAAAAGGTTTCTGCAATGCAAAGATTTTTCTACTTTTTTAAGTCTTAGATAGACAATTTTGTGCTGTCCAAATTGTCGTTTAATTATTTTTTTTTACTAATTTCTATTAGTTCCCAACAATATATCTATAAATATATGAAATATAAAGCAAAAGCAAATTATATATTTCAATTTCAAATTGATTCTTAAGTTAACTAGTTATGAGCGAACATACATACATACGTATAAAAAAAATAAGAACTTCTCTTTATTTAAATCGGTAGAAAACTAAAGAAAATCTTTATAAGTATATCTGAGTTGAACAACCTACATTGGTGAATGCAAGAATTTTTATATATACATTGAAAACTCTTGTGAATAGTGCAATTAAGTTCTTATAAGTATATTTGACTTACTTTGTACTTCCATCCTTTTCTGTTGTTCCTAAAAGTAATAAAAAAATATATTTAAATCTTTTATCATTTCATAATCATAAACATAAATTACGATAATGATTAATTAATTAAGTATTAATAAAATATATTATCTATTTCTTCTTCTTTCTTTTTAAAGAAAGTCGTGTTAGTTGCACTATTTATAACTCTAACGACTGTACGGATATGGATGAAGATTGGTGGAGAGATAGATTAGAACAAGGAGAAACATAGGATATTTAATTCTTTTCTATTGAAAAAGAAAAACAAAAATACTTAGTTGATTCCAATATCTGGTTATTTATATCCTCTAGGTCGGAATAGAGTTCGTCCGGTCAGCTATACATATATTACTAATGAAGAAATTATCGCGGACAAAAACAGTTGATTAATAAATAAACAATTAAATCTGTTGTTACCTTCTGAGTTATACTGTTGATTCTGTCGTTAACTCGCTGCACAGTCTGTTGTATGATCGAGGGTAGTTGAGAGAGTGCTGCCAGCTGGGATTTTAACTGTTGTAACTGTTGTTCTGGCGATGCGTTCACATCTAATGATCATTATAATATACTTTAGCGATATGCTTACCACAAGTTTCAAGTTTGTAACGCTAAACGGAACTTTTCGAGTTATTACTATCATGTGTGTACATTTATAAATAATAAACTTATAACTCCGTACATATTCTTCTTCTACCGAACAATTTCCCAGCTTTAGCCAGGGTCTGCCTTAGTTGTGAATAGTTTTGGCTAATTGTTTTTTACGACTGCCTGAAATCAACCCTCTTTGGGAATGCATTAATCAGTGATGTCTAAATACTCTTATAAAGTACATATGACTCGGAAAAATCATATTGGTATTTGCCAGGATCGAACCCGCGCCCTCGTGCATGAGAGGCGGGCCTTTTAACCACTAGGCCACCAATGACTTAACTCCGTACATATTGTAGTGAAGAAAATGTTTAACCAGCGTGCAATTATTCATTGTTACTTCAGCAATGGCAGAGTCTTGTTACTATTTATATTTTTTGTATACAGTTATATATAATTTTTGTGTATTGTAATATATAAAAATATATGATTTTAATATTTAGAACTGACTTAAAAAGACGATACTCTGAACAAATATCTACGAAGATAGAAAAAAATTAGATTTCAATTTAATATTGGTTTATAAATTTTTAATACTTAATTCTGCTACCTTACAAAATTTTTGAGTTTGTATGTATGTTTGTTGCACTTTAATTCAAGAACTACGTAATTAATTTTGATGAAACTTTGCATTAATGTAGATTAGTCATCAGGATAGGACATAGGCTAAGATTTAAGCTTAAGTAAAGTTACAAATCAACAAAACAAAACTATTGTATTGTATGAAATAACGGAAACATTTCGATTGGATCTAAATTAAGAAATCTAGACGAAGTCGTGTGCAAAAGCTAGTATAATATATTCGAATTTATTCATTTTCCTATGAATCCCTCGTTAATATTACGTCAAATACAAAAATTATGTTCTCATTATAAAAATAAATTTACTCACCAATAGTACTTTCAATGTTCTTGATCAACTGCTCAGCGAGATTTGATTGTGACATGACTGTTAAACAATTAAAGAATTATACAATTTATATTTGAAAGAAAAGTATTTATGAAATCTAAATATGTAAATAATTAAACGATTTCTAAATGGAGTTATGTATTAAACGCAATTCCTTTTTATGTGCGCGTGATTTTTGGATCTTAAAACCATTTTTATCATCCTATCAGAGCCCACTGCTGAGAGGTCTCTTCTCACATAGAGAAGGTTTGAGCATTAATCACCACACTCGCTCAAGGCGGGTTGACAATTTCAAACTTATAATTTGAAATCGTAAGTCCAGGTTTCCTCATGATGTTTTCCTTCATCAGTCAGTGGTATCTAAATACTCTTATAAAGTGTATACTGACTCGGAAACATCACATTGGTATTTGCCCGGTTACGAACCTGCGCTCTCATGTATGAGAAGCGAGCCTTTAATTACTAGGACATCACGACTTTCAAGCATATAAATGTTTAATTTTCATATATAATCAATTATTATCTAATAAGTATCTATATCTAAATAAAATTTAAATTTAATTTACTGTAACCTATTTCAAATCGTTTTGAAATTAATAACTCAATACTAATTCTTATATATTTTCTTTGACAATCTTTTTTCACGTCTTTTTCATCTTCATTCATCATATTTAATTTCTTGTGTACTTAATTCATTTATTATTAAAATATCTCACCTCAACTCAGAATCCAAACGATTCGGCTCTTAGGCTTCAATTATTTAAATATTTATATAAGTCCTGAAAACATAATTTATTAAACATATTTATAATATTCTAATAAAAAGTATATGTGTATTAAAAATCCGATTTAAGGGTCTTTCAAAATAAGTATTTTCATTTAATAAATCATTATTTTAAATAATTTGTTAGAATTGTACATAAACAAATAATCTTCTAGAATTATCTTCTAAAATAACAATATCCTTACTAATATTATAAATGCGAAAGTAACTCTGTCTGTCTGTGTGTTAAGGTTTCAGGCCTAAACCACTGAAATGATTTTAATGAAATTTTGTAGAGAGATAGATTTGACCTTGAGAAAGAACATAGGATAGTTTTTATCCCAGATTTTTGAAAGGTTCTCTTGGAAACGCGATATAACCGAACTCCACGCGGACGAAGCTGCGGGCGGAAAGCTAAGCTATGTATAATAACCTATCGAAGTTAAGATCATAAAATTTATTAAGGATTTAGCAATCATTGCGTTAAAATAATGTTTAAAATAACAAAATTATCCATAAAAATACAATAATTATATTATTATTATAAATAACCTCTTTTCAGTTATAAATTAAAAACTTACATGACACAACGTATTGACCAGGCGCTGATTAGGCACTAAACTTATAGCTGATGATCTTGCCAAATTAAAAAACATTGAAGAGGAGCCAGCAATGCTTTGAATGTCTTTCTAATGATTCCGTTTATTAATAGATAAATAACATTGTTAATTTAAACTAAATTTATATTAAAAACTAGTTTTTGCCCGCTACTTCGTCCGCGTTAATTTCGTCATTAGTAATATATGTATAGCTGACCAGGCGAACTCTATTCCGTCTTAGAGGCCATAAATAATCAGGTTTTTCTTGTTTCAATCGAACAGAATGATTGACATATTAGTTAGTTGTCAAATCTAATGTCAAAAAACCGTTTGTATGGGAAATAGAAAAGGGCTGTTTTTAGGGTTTTCCCAGAAATGAATAATTTTTTTCAGCTTTTAAACCTTCCCTGAACCTCCACAAATATTTCAAGACTAAGATAAGATAAATCCATTCAGCCGTTCTCGAGTTTTAGTGAGACTAACGAACAGCAATTCATTTTTGTTTATATAGATAGATATTGTATGTAAGTTTATTATTTGTAAAGAATAGAAGTAGGATTACAATCAGACTATGTTTTTGAGATATTACATCTTACGTAAGCGATACATATGTAAAAAGAAATGAACATCGCCGGGTAACATCGTTGTATGTATAATATATAACTCTTGAGGCCGCTGACTCCGCGGAACGAACACCAAGCGTGTGAACCAGAAGATTCCTGATACACACAAGCTATGGAATGGTATTGATATCCTAACATCGGGTCAATCATGTAGTCTTAGGTGTAGGTTATAAGTTTTAATATGTAAATCTTATTATAATATACATATAAGTATGTTTCATAGTTATCCTGGAATCTCCGGTTACCACACTAATTTACGCATTTTTATTATTTCATTATTATTTGTTTTATTGATTGTTTTACAGTAATTGACCACCACAGTCGAGGTGAAAATGTCTGTAAGTAATACATTCTATTTGTTGTTTATCTTACTGACAAATAATTTCATATGGTTTTTCGTGACAACGGTTACTTTGTCCGGTCAAATTAGACATTCGAAGTTACCTAAATTCCCACCAAGCTGAAAATCGATAAATTGTTTGAAATATCATTAAAACAATATTTGAAAGGTCCCCATCTTTTTCCTCTAAGGAAAATATTTTATTCAAGGTCAAAGGTAAACAAAATGAGTTTTTCGTGATTTTCATCAAAACGGTAAGTTTTATCATAAAAATATCTCATACAAAAATTGTAGATCATAAAATTATCTACAAAGAATTTATTAACACTTTTTTTTCTACGAGCCACCGTTTTTGAGATATAACGATTCAAAAAGTTGTAAAAGTTGTTGTCTTATTTGACCGGACTATACCTACGTCTGGAGTGTGTATGTATATAATAAAATACGGGTGGTATCATAAAAACTAAGTTTCTTTTTATATATATTAACGATAATCGTCATCATTAATTAATTAATTAATGATTAATGTTGATTCCCAAAAGAGGGTTGATGTCAGGCAGGCGGCCGGTCGTAAAAACAAATAGCCAAAACTATTCACAAAATATAAGGCAGACCCTGGCTATAGCTGGGAAATTGCCAGGTAGAAGAAGAAGAATCGTCATCATTAATATTTAGTTCTTGTTTTAAATTTAATACGTCAGCTTCATTTTTTTAGTCGTACTATTTTTTACACAGAAGTTCTTTAGATTCGGTTCGTGATATCCTTATTATTTTATTATCTCCTACATGAGATAAGGCAATATCGGAAGTTATTTTTACTTAAACACATGAAACTATAATTTTTAATTTTCTCTCTACGTATGGTTATATTATGAACCTACATGCAAGTACGATTGTAAATTATTCCGAAAAAACTAATTGGGACTGGGTATGCAAGTTACATACTATTTATAAATAATTAACTTATAAATGTAAAAATATTATAATTTTATTATAGTATGAAACCTAAAATTTAGCTTTTTGTCTTTTCCAAAATTACAAAAATATGTATACCTATTTTTCACAGCACTAAGACCCAGATTCACCAAACTCTATTTGTTAAATCTAAACAAGGCATTTCTTAACAAACCATCAAAATTATTATTGTCCGTTAAAATATTTACGTTCCGCGGTCATAAATTAACAACGCATTATTAAATGTCATGATAAATTCCCGACTACCAAATTCGTTCTTGTTATAAAACGAAGAAATTTAAGTAGTCTCGTTGCCGAGGGCGCGGGTTCGATCCTGGCAAGTACCAATGTGATTTTTCCGAGTCATATGTACTTTCTGAGAGTATTTAGACATCACTGACAGACGGTGAAGAAAAACATCGTGAGGAAACCTGGGCTTATAATTTCACAATTATAAGTTTGAAATCACCAACCCGTCTTGAGCAAGCGTGGTTATTAATGCTAAAACCTTCTCCATGTGAGAAGATGCTCAGCAGTGGGCTCTGATAGGCTGATGATGATGATGAAATGTTTTTACGGCTCTGCGTACAAATCCTTTGATCCTTGCCATAACAAATAAATCATATTTCTGCCTTCATTGTGTATTTGTTTTGTTAAAATTTGTTAAATTTCTTCCTTTTTATCCAAACTTCTTTTTATTCAGACTTTTTTAAACCGATAATTTCACAATCTTTCTCGAAAACCACATGTAAGATAATTTACATCTCAGGGAAAGAAAAAATCAAATTTCATTTGTAATTTTTGCTCCTTTTACCTGATAGTGCCATAGAGAATATTTGTTTTTTATTTTACATTAAAAATATACAACCACAATATAATAAATTATACAGAGTGCTTTTCATAGCTGCCAGAGGTTCCAAGAAAACTACGAAACATACTTATATGCATATTATAATAAGAACTACATATTAAAACTTATAACCTACACCTAAGACTACATGATTGACCCGATGTTAGGATAGCAATACCATTCCATAGCTTGTGTGTATCAGGAATCTTCTGGTTCACACGCTTGGTGTTCGTTCCGCGGAGTAATAAATTTATTTTTGAATATTTTACCAGTACGTAACATGTTTTTGTGAAATTTAATTGTTCTTAATTTTACGATAGACTGTATGTCTTAGTTCTTACTACAAGTTTGCACCACACTACATACGTAGCGTTTCCCGTTTCATTTAATAACCTACCATAAGAGACCAATCCTCTCATCAGTCCATATATTCACGGTGCGTGTGTCGGCTCCATCGTTGTAGTGAGAGGAGCTTCAACAGTGACTGGTACTTGTGACCCAGGTGTAGGTTTAAGGGACCCTATCTAACGTTAAACGATCACCTCCACCGTATAAGTTATAATGTGAGAAGTTATGGATAAAAAATTGTCAACGCTACGTATGTAGTGACGATAAAAACTGGACGTACGGACTTTGATTAAGTTAATAATAAATTTACAAAAATATTAAGCTTTTATCTTGTGCGAGCACATATTTGTGTAAAGTACATATACATATTGGGTCTCATTGTTTTAAAAATTATTAGGGAGACTGTTAATTTGGTAATTAACAACTATGACTACTGATAAGAGAATGATTAGTTGAACATTGAGATGAAAAAAATATACAGTGTAAACTCTATATAACGACACTGAAGGGACCGTGCATTTTAGTGCGTTATAGAGAGTTGCCGTTAAATAGAATGAACAAAAATCAGAATTAGAAAAAGACAAAGTTTATTTCAGACTAGTGTTAGTACTTATGTACATAAAAAAGAATGTTATTCGAACGCTATTGCGTATAGTCAGTTATTTTTGTTTGACGTCTTTTGCTGCACCAGTACTGTTGTTGTATTTTTTTAGTTCTTTTATTAATATCTTGCGATATTGAGGCATCTTGGTGATAAAAGAAATAATTTTCCAGTACTTTAGCTGCTTCAAAAGCTTCTTTAATGCTCGGCGGAGGCTCAGGCTCATCTGTCTCATGTTCTTTATCTTCTTGCTGTTGATCCTCAGTTTTTCTCACTGAATCTAAAATTTCTTTGTCTGTGAGTGAAGCCGTTGTAAGGAGGCAGTCATCTACTTCCATGTTGGTTTGAAGATTTACCGTATTTCCTGCCATGTTAAACTGTTGAATCCACTTAGTTAATGGAAGTTCGTCGTCACTATCAAACTCAGGTTCTGTTTCCACCTTATCACTCGTAGAATTGGTACAAAGTTCAGCATGTCGAAGAGAGTGCTGTATAGTTGTGGGTGTCACTTCTTCCCAATCTTTAGATAAAAAATTTACTGCATGCAGCATATTAACAGTAGTTTTACCCTCAGATTCGACTAGCTCCATCAATAATTTCTTTCTGTAGTGACCCTTGAGGCTTTTGATCACACTCTGGTTATTTTTCCATATTGTAGACACGGTAGAGCGACTAAATCCAAAGCGTTTGCCAACATCGCTTATCTTCTCTCCCGTTTCTATTGCGCGTATCAGTAACACTTTTTCGTCAACACACAGTGATTTTCTTTTACTAGCCATGTTTACAGTTTGAGATTTTGTGAGCAACTGAGAATATGATAACGTATAAGTAATACAAGACTCCTACTTATGGTCAAAAACCGTCGACACGTGTAAGCAATTTGTAATCGTAAACAAAAGAACGAATTTCTTAGAAAGTTCGGTATGCATGATAGGGACAGTCGAGTTTATTGCGGGCTAGGATAACAAAGCGACAAAGGAACGTACACAGCTGCACAGTTTTTACTAATTTTAGCAACCTAAAAGGTACTTTTTATTACTTAATTGTTGTCGTTATTGAGAGTGTGTGTGCCGCTATGTAGAGTGTATCATTGTATGGTAAACATGCTAAACCAACCAAAGACAATTGATTTCGACGCTTTAGAGAGTTTGTCGTTAAATCGAGTGTCGTTATATAGAGTTTACACTGTATATGTACATTCCAAGAACTTAACCATCGTTGTAACTTGTAATTATATATATCGGATTTATTAGAAATTCGTTGTTTTTAAAGTGAGAGACGCCAGCCTCGCTGACTTAACTAATGTCACTTCTTCCAGTACGTTAAATGATATTTTAAAATTAAACTTCAATTGTTCTTAATGTTCCTGTATTTCTCGAAGGTTCTTCATAATCACATTCTTTAATTATACGCACTCACTGAATTCTGCGTCCAGACGTCATATTTATACCAAGATTTAATCATAGTTCCATTCTCCTTTTAAACAATCTTTGATTTCGTTTTACTTTTAACAATAATCATGAATACCAATGAGTTTTAATAAGAATTGATGACAGCCTCAAATTATTTTCCAAACGCATCCGTCATTAAAGCCGATAACACATATATATATATGTATATTGAAGTTGTTTTCTCTATGGAGGAATATTATTTATTATGTCTTTCTCCATAACAGATAGATGGTACCTGAAATTATATTTAAGATATGTGTTTTTTATAAATAAATGCTCTTTGCTTGTTGCTGTCTGTCTTCTGATTCGTGAAGAAAACGAAAAAAACAGGATTAGGGCAGGAAATAAATTTGCAGTAAGTCAAGCACTTTCTTTAACCGTATGCAGTTATAACTGGATAAAGCAATGCTAAGTTAAATAATTAAAGCTTTATAGATATATGGTCAGTCTATTAGCCAATTAGAGTTGTAAATCTAGTTACTTCTATTATAAATATACTAGCTTTCCGCCCGCAGCTTCGCCCGCGTGTAGTTCGGTTATATCGCGAGAACCTTTCAAAAGCCTGGAATAAAAACTATCCTATGTTCTTTCTCAAAGTCAACTCTATGTCTGTTCCAAATTTCATTAAAATTAGTTCACTTGTTTAGGCGTGAAAGCCTAACAGACAGACAGTTACTTTCGCATTTATAATATTAGTAGGGATTGTTACAGTGAGCAAGATTATTTGATAATTTGAAAGTTGACTATTCAACAATGGCCATATATATGTATATATTCTTAGAATTCTTTTGACTTACACACAAATACTACATTTGATAATGAAAAAGTAATAACAATAGTGCTTGGAGTCCCTCCGCGTTTAAGAAGTGAAACTTCGTAATGTAGAAATGGAAATAGGAAAAGATTTTTAATGATTTTTCAGTGTTACTTTAAGACAAGCCTTATTAACGTTACTTACTATTCAATTGACCCATCAATTTAGGTACTATCGCTCCGTTTCCTTCTATCCCCTCCAGGAGCGTTGAACGTTTAACGCAACTTTGTTGACGTTTCATTAGGAGTATAATTTCAAAAAATAATAGACCGAATCTGGCAAAAGCAACATGTATCTAAATAAATATTTTAATATACCGGAATTCATTATTTATTTATTTTTAATGTACTTATTCCATCTTAATTTATTTTCTATTATTTTTTTTTTGTACCCTATGGACTATGTGTTCGAAATAAAGATTTATTATTATTATTATTTTAAGTTATTAGACAATAAAAAAAAGGCCTCTCATGCACGAGGGCGCGGGTTCGTTCCTGGCAAGCACCAATGTGATTTTTCCGAGTCATATGTACTTTATAAGAGTATTTAGACATCTGATTAACGCATTCCCAAAGAGGGTTGATGTCAGGCAGGCGGCCGGTCGTAAAAACAATTAGCCAAAACTATTCACCACAAGTGAGGCAGACCCTGGCTAAACCTGGGAAATTGCCAGGTAGAAGAAGAAGAAAGAAATATTATGAGAGTCAAATTAGGGACAAAAATAAAAATGTTCTATGTTCATTCTAGTCATTTATTTATTTAAAATTGTAAAAAGCGTGTGTTTGATATTATTTTATTTAGTTCCCTGCTTCTTGACGTGACTCTGAAAAGAGATTGTTTTTATTTAATTTTTCATAAAAAAAATTAATATTAAAACAATGTTAGAAAGAAATTTTAATTTGTTTATAATACATTAGAGATTAAATTTGCAAGTTATAAAATCTGTTATATTATTATTTGGATGTATACTTTTATTTACGTAAGTGCTGTGCCAATAGGCGTACGAACTTAAAATAAAACACTTGAATAGGTTAGTTTGTTAAGACCCAGCTTCACCTGTCATTGTTAAATAAGTAACATCGGGTTAATGCGTTTGATGCTCTGTTAGATGTGTCGAGCGTCCCACCACGCACAAATGTCCGTTTAAATGTCTTAACAAGCCACTAATATTAATTCCTGCTCTGGAGCTCCGTCTAATAGCTAACAGAATGTTAATGGCATTATCAAAACTCAATCGTCCAATCACAGCCCTGATTTCTTGTAACCATAGTAACGTCATCTGTTTTGTCAGTTTCGACTATTTCCTTGTACTTATTAATAAAATGAATTAAAATTTCATTTAGTATGATGATTTTGGCTCCAGATTTTCTATGACATTGAAAATTAAGTTTTCTTTTTATTTCTTATAATTTGAACACAATTTATGTCTATATTTATAACACAATAATATATAACACAATTTATTGACAACACGATTTTGACAAGTTACACCTAGTAAATTGAAAAGAAAGCTTCTTGTGTGCTAAATGTATGCAACCAACGATATATAAAATTTGGTCGCATTAGCTTACAAGTGACGTATCGAGGGATATATACGATCAAAGTATAAAGTGGTGCACCGTGGCAAACGTGCCGTATTAAACGCTACAGTTTCCATTTGGTCGTCTTATAACAAGAACGAATAATTTGGTAGTCGGTCATTTGACATGACGTTTAATAATGCGTTGTTAATTTGTCATCGTGGGACGTAAATATTTTAACAAACATTTTTAATTTTGAAGATTGGTTAGTAAATACTGTGATTAGACTAAATAAACATTGATTGATGAAACTGGGTCTAAAGCTCATATTATGTTTGATGTCAGAGCAATAGATGATAGGACTTAAGAAGAATTGACGAAGTAAAAGAATAATTAAAGAAGATTTTTAAGTAATTTTATATTGTTTGAGAATTTTTTATTGTTTGAGAATAGCCTACTATTTTATTATTAATACGAAAAAATGTAAAAAATTTAAAAGGTTATTAAGATTGTCTAAATTTAAACAAAGTCTAAAATTTTAATGTAATTTCTATTTTTATGTAAAAATACCTAATACATTTTTCATTGCCATATATTTACCCGATAGTTTGTTTATCACTCATTGTCGCTTCTGTCGAATCAGCTGTAGTCTGTTCTCTGTGTTCTTTTTCTGGAATTCAAATAAAAAATGGATTACTAACGGTTATTTTTTCTTTTGTAACATAAAGTTTTTACCCTCAAAACCCATATTTTAGGGACTCAATAAGAATTTCAAAACTTACATAATCATAGAGAAATGCTGTTTTTGTATCTACCAGCTAAACAACCCGATAAAAATACATATAAAATTGACATTAGGAAATTTTAAAAACTTTGTTACTCATAATTAATTAAACAAAATTGTGTTAAATATATAAAATATTTTTTTGTTTATATTAAGGTAAAACTATTGTTTTTTACTTTTTCTTCATCTAATCATGTATACAATTAAAGGCTTAGTTTCTATAAGGAGTAATAACATTTCTCATTTAGAATTTATGAGTGCAACAATCTCAATATAATGACATGCATGTCGTACCTATTTTGTCAGAATCAGAATATTTTTCTGTTGTTTCGTCACAGCTGACCTCGCTCCATATACCAGGTTCCAATGCCGTTAATTCCTGGAAATATTAAATATAATATAATAAAAGAACAAATATCACAACTTATTTACTTTTAAACTCACTTTTTTGTGAATATTTTCTGTATTCAAATCTATTGGTGCTCTTCTTAGTTCTGCCTTAATTCTTTCCATTTCTATTTGAGTAATATAATCTGAATTACTCATTCCTTCTTCTACTTCTTTTCTTTCTTCATCTTCTGTCAATACAGTCACAGTTTCTTTATCACCATTATCTTCATTAAGAATAGTTATTTTTATACAATCGTCTGTAATTTCACAATTTTCTTCCTTTATATCATCTTTGAATTCTTCTACGACGTAAATCGGAGTTTCCGTCATCCTTTCTTTGTCAATCTTTTCTTCTCTATTCTCTTCTGAGCTCTTTTTGTCTTCTGTTTTGTCCCTAACTTCTTTGTTACTATTTGTGTCATCAGTTATTCCTACAGATGCTTTATATTCTTCTATCTGTCTCAATGTTCGATCTATTGCACGTACAAGCTTTTTGTTACGTCTAAGTTCGAGAAGCTCTTCCTGTAAAATATTGTATATAAATAATAAGTACTTAAAATATTTGAATTTTGAATACTATAAGAATATTATGCGGAGACACGAGCTTATTAATTCGTTGGAATAAAAAGATGCTCAAGTTATTTGAGATTTTTTTTTGTGAGTATTACTAATGCAAATACCGTTTAGGATTTGTTGGAAAGGGAGAGTCTCATGAATTACAAAATGCGTTAATAATTGCTAAGTGATTGTTGAGTATATATATTTTTGATATACATAAGTGACTCATATGTTTTAATTTATTAAATATTCAAGCATGTATGTAGGAATATTAAAATGTCTACCTCAGTCATTTCCAGTGTATTTGAACCACCTTTTAAACCAGGTTTGCTATACGCGGGCTTCGTTTTCTCGGGGGACGTAGGCGGCGTTGGAAGAGGAGGGCTGTATAGTATTCTTTTTCCAACTATGGTCTTGTAGTGAGTCATGAGACCATTTACAATGATTTCTTCGTGCATACTGTCAGGACTGATCGAACAATCTCTCTGGACGAAAGGAGTTTCTTCAGGCATATCGGTTTCCAATCTAAATACGTATTCGTCGGTCAAAGGGGTAGGAGGTACGAGTGGTGAAGATATAGATCCGTTTGTAATCGCTCCTTGAAGATCAGTTTGTAGTGTTAGTTGGTCTTTTGAAGCTTTTTGTGATACGCCTTTCATTATTTCAGCTGAATATTCTATCGCTCCAGATTCATCGTAAACTTCTAAAGATTTACCCGCAGCTACATGAAATTCTGAATCATGTAAGCCTAGCTCCATTTGCTGTTGGTATGTTCCTGTTGATAAAACTTCCTTCGCCGATGATTGATGTAGCTTTGAACTGTAACTGGCTTGTTCCGTGCGTTCCATACTGGCTTCTAACGACCCAGTTTGGGCAATTTGAAGTGATAAATCTTGTTTTTTTGCTGATTTACTCGATTTAACTTGTCTAGTTCTGCTTGAAGATTGAGATTTGATACCTTGGCTTGACATTGTTTTTTCTTCCATCTCTCCATCAGTTACCTGTTGTATGGAAAGTTTGTAACTTGCATCATGACCCGAAGCTTCAGAAGATAATTGATGGCTGCTTAATGACACATTCATGTCAGAAGTAGTTTGTAGTGACATTTGATTAGATTGATTCATAGATTCCTCCGCAGTTATAGCTTTCTTTAGAGATAGTTGGTAGCTAGCTTCATTGCTGATTGCTTCGGTATCCAAGTCTTGAGCCATTTCTACTGACGACGTTTTAGTTTTAGAACTCATACCCGTTACAATATCACTACTTTGCAGTGTTCCGCTCTCCGAATGGCTGATTATGGATTCTTTGCCCGCCATTGCTTTCTTTACAGAAAGTTTATAGCCAGATTCATTACTAAGGGCTTCTGTAGATAAGTCTTGAGCTATTTCTACTGAAGACGAATTAATTTCAGATGATTTGCTCGATTCGTCTATGCCAAATCGTACTCGTTTATGCCTTGTCTCATTTGACAATGATTTTTCTTGCATAGCAGCTTGTTTTTGCTTTAATATTTTTCGACTTACGTTCAAATTGTGAGTATCCGCAGAAATGTCTTCAACAGAAACTGAACCAATATGAGAAGATGCTTTAGTTTTTTGTGTTTTAGACGTACTAACAGACGTATCTTGAATTTCGATTAAATTTTTATCTAAATATATATTTTCCACTTCTTCGATTTCCTCAATTTGTTCTGAATCGTCCTCAATAGTACTTTCGATAGCTAGTGTGTAACTTGTGTCAGCACTCTGTATCTGATTCTTCTGGGCTTTGATTCTAAACAAAGCATCTTCAGAAACACCAGGTTCTATAATATAAGGATGTTCTAATTCTGCTTCAAGTGAAAACATGTATTCCTCAATTTCTGGTGTCATTGGGGATGTTGCAACATATTCATTTCTATATTTGTTCTTTCTAAGCTTGAAATTCTGGTATAAATCTACTTCTCGTGCTTGGGCTTCTCTTCTCTTTAACTGTTCAATACCGAAGTTTGCTTGTACATTACTCTCTTTAAACTTGAAGTCCTCCTTTTTAACTTCAGTAACTGCTAGTACTTCTTGAATGGCAGTAGCTGTGGACTCGACGATAGCTAGATTAGCTTTATTACTAGAATGCTTAGACTTTTGGGTATCTTTTTCAACAACCTCCAATGTTATTACTGATTCTTGCTCTAAAGGAGCTATGGCTTTTAATACTACGCTCGCTTCCATTACTTTATCTTTTGATTCGATGATTTTATTTTCAGCCTCATTTACATGAACCTCAGTTACTTGCGCAACAGATTGAACTGTTTGTTCAAGTTTACTTTGTGTTTGCTTTTCTTCTGGTGCTAGTAAAGTCAGTTTTTTACATGACATATCTTTGAAAGTCTCTTCTGCTTCAACGGCCTTACGTTCTTCAAAAGTAAAGCTTGCTTGTTGATCTTTCATTCTCCTTTCTTCTAAAATTTTCTTTGAGGATTCTGTAACTGTGGTCGCTGAAACTTCCGCAACAGATAATTTTGATAGTTCTATAGATTCTTTTGACTTCTTTTCGTCAAATGATTTTAAAGTTAATCGTGATTCTTTCGCTTCTTCAGATGAAACAAGGCTTACTTCAGCAGTTTTGAATTCAGACACTCCTATCTTAGCTTTCTGATCCTTTGTTACTTTAACTTGAAATTCATTTCTTGATTCTTGCGGTAAAACTGTTATGGTTTCTACTACGGTTAAATTAGGTTTTTCTATGACTGTTTTAGATTGTTTTTCTTTTACATCGGACTCTGTAACAGTATGCTTCGTAGCTTCTAATACTGTTGTAGTTTGTTCCACGCTGGCAGCTTTCGACTCAACGACTTTTAAACTAGCCTCGTGAGTGAAGCTCTGAGTTTTTTCACTTATATCACCTTCAGTAACTTCTAGGGCTGTTATTGTTTCTTGTTCTATCGGCTTTATAGAACTAAATTTAATGTTCGCTTCCTTTCTTACGACTTCAGGTGCTCTAGGAATAGGAATTCCAGCTTCAGTAATTTGAACTTCAGTTTTTTGGGCAACGGATTGAACTGATTCTTCTATTGCTGTTTTAATTTGTTTAATTTCTGTATCTGGTATTGTGATTTTCTTATACGTTAGATCGGCAAGAGCTACTTCTGTGGTTTCTAGAGCCTTATATCCAGTAACTTCAATATGAGCTTGTCGATTTTCAATTTTCTCCACTTCTGATATTTGTTTTGAAGATTCCGAAATGTTAGTTGTTAAAATTTCAGCCACTCCCAAATTTGACGGTTCTATAATTGCTATAGATTCCTGTTTATTTAGTTTTTCTAAGTTCAATTCTGGTTGTTTTGACTCTTCAGCTTGTACAACTAGAGAATTAGCAGCTTTTAATTCTAATATTGAAATGTTAGCTTTATGCTCAATTAATTCAGGAACTTTAAGCTCAGTTTTCTCTTCTCCTGTCGTCGTAGACTCAACTTGAGCAACAGTCATGTATGGAGCTACAACTGAAGTTACGGATCTCTTTTCGTCTAATTTTTCACATTCTAAGCTTAAAAACTTTGGTTCTTCCGATTGAATCACAATAGTTTCAACAGCTTTTATGTTAACGACATCAAGAGAAGGCTTACATTCTTCTATTTTAGATATTTCTAAAATTTCATCTTTAGGTCCACTAGATACAATTGCTGTTGTTTCAGCTACAGTTAAAAGAATATCTTCTGTTAATACTCTTTGATCTTTTTTAGAAATCTGGGGCACATCAAAATCTTTTGACGACTCAACAATAGTCATTGCTAATGTTTCTGGTAAAGACAAACTGATTGATTCAATGTCTGTTTTCGTATGCTGCTCTTTAGGTTGTTCAAATTTAATTTCGACTTTATTCGATTCTTCTGGCTGAATAACTGTAGTTTCAGCAACTTTTAAATCTATTACTCTTAAATCAGCTTGCAGGGTCTTCAACTCAGGTACATTTAACTCGCCTTTTCCTTCATCAGGTATTGTAGAAATTACTTCAGCTAATGTTAAATGTGGTTCCTCGGTTGAAGTTGTACCTTGTTTTTCTTCAACTTTAAAATCACCCAACTTTTCACATATAGGTTCTTGTGGTTGTATCATAATAGTCTCAGCAGATTTTATTCCTATAATATCAATGGAGGGCTTACATTCTGTTATTTCCGGTATTTCAAGAGGTTTGTCTTTCGGTCCACTCGGTACAACTGTAGCAACTTCAGGAACCTTTAAAACAATTTCTTCAATTAAAATTTGTTGTTCATTTTTAAGAACTTTAGTTATTTCCAAACTATCTCCAATTTTCTCGGAAGATTCTACAGTTGTTGTTGATAAAATTTCTGGTACAGTTAAATTTGATAATTCTATATCAGTTTTTGGAAGCTGTGTTATCAACTGTTCCGGTTTAAGTTCTGCCTGTTCTGATTCCTCAGAATTTACAACGAGGGTCTCAGCAGCCTTTAAATCTAATACTTTTAATTCAGCACTTTGGCTCTGGAAATCTGAAATTTCAAATTCTTCACGAGGTTCTTCAGATATAATGGTGCTCACTTCTGCTAAAACAAATGAAGGTGCTTCGATTACGTCACCAGATTTTTCTTCAGCTAGTTTTACAAATTCTAAATTGTTAGCTGTAGTTTCTTCCAAGCACACTGTTGTAGTTTCCGCTACCGTCAATGGAGCGGTTGAGATAGTTGTAATCGGTTCTTTTTCTATAATTGGAGACACTTGCAGACTATTGAATTGTGGTTCTACTGGGGAAGTAGTAATAGTTTCAACAGCCCTTAATAAGTTTACTCCAACGTTAACTTGTTGCGTTTTTATTTGAGTTTCTTCTATTAATTCCTTAGATTCTTCGGGTATGACTGTAAAGGTTTCAGGCAGGGCTAAATAATTATTTTCAACTTCAATAATTGGCTCTATGCTCGTGGTTACATCAAAAGATTCTTCTTTCTGATCCTCAGTTACAGATATTTCTGTGATTTCAGCTATTGATCTTGTATCTTCTATTTGGACGTTAGATCTTTCCTCAATCACTTCGGTTACATGTACATCTTGATTTGCATTTTCATCTGCTATGATTTCTGTAATTTCTACTACTGACTTGGGCTGCTCCAAAGATGGATATATTTTTTGACTCATTACAGTTGTAGCTACAAAATACTGTTTAAATTCTTCAGTGGTGATATCATTATTTTGAACTAATAAATTAAAAGGCTCCACAATAGTTTGTTCTTCTTTTACTGAATATGATTTGTCCACGGAGATTTGAACAAAAGGTTCTAAAACCTCACTTATCTTTTTCGCGGCAATTTTAATGGACGCTTCCTCTAAATCAGTTTTAATATTTTGTATTTCGCTTGTTTCATCGTATTTTTCTTTGATTGTTACTTCTTTAGTTTCAGGTATCACAATAGTTTCTTCAAGAGATGACGTTTTTGTATCTTTAATTATTGTATCTACTTCTAGCGTTTCTTTTTCAAGACGTTCAGATTTCATTGAACTATCACTTATAATTTTTTCTTCGAATATAGCATCTTTATTCGTATAAACGTGAGACTCCACAATTGCAACATAAGTTAAATTATCGCCTTCAACTTTTGTCTCATAAACATAAGGTTTTGATTCTGTCTTCGAAATAGATTCAGAAGTACGTTTTTCTGTTTTGATTTCTTTTATTTCATATGATTGTGTTTTAGTTTCAACGTAGTCTTCAACAACTTTTCTTCTAGCATCGTCTTTATCGCTACGAGTGCCACTGTAAAACGAATCGTCATCTTTCATTTTACTTCTTGATTCACTCCGTGTCCGAAAAACCTGTTCAAAATCATCCCGACTATGTTCTTCGCAACCAGTTTTCTTCTGAAATTCAGATATCACAAGATCCATTCTATCTGTTAAGTCTGCTGGTAAGCCTCCTTCTATTTGTGCTATTTTCGCGCCTGTCAATTTACCTTTTCGTATTAATTCTCCTTCCGATACATGAGAATCGTAATCATACTTATATTTACTCAAGCCCTGTCCTTCATAATTATAAGTCTCCCATTTATTATCTTCATCTTCTTTCGCAATATCTTTTTGTTCATTTTTTGTGTACTCTTTCTGAGTTACATATGCTACTGGTTGTGTCAATATAATCTTGGAAAGCGCAATCATTATATTAGTTAATTGCAAAAAGAAAGTTGTTAGCAGCTTCAGTCTTGAATTAACATGCATCGCGTCAACCTTTTCTTTAATATTGGGTATTGTTTGAAGTCCTATTGAAAATACTCGTCGTTTTGCTTCCGAGTCATTCAAATTTTGATCTTTATTAATAGTTTTTGATATTACACTACTTTTTTTATATACTTTTATAGGTTCATTAATTTCTATATTTTCTTTTTTAAACACTTCAGATCTTCTATAAACGGTACCCGCTTCTATAGCTTCCTGTATGTCTTGTTTAGTACGTAGTTGTCTTTCTTCAACACTTTCACTTCGATTATCAATATTTTCAAACTTCTTAATTTCTTCAGATACTTTAACATCATATTGTTCTTTGATAGATTCCTTTTGAATGTTTACTTCTTTAAATTTGACGTCAGAATCTTTTAAACTGTCTCTTGCTACCTTTGATAATAATAAGTTATTTTTTTCTAATAGTAGTTCATTTTTAATACTTTCTTTGGCCTCACTCGTAAATGTTACAGCCCTATTTATACTGTCACTGACAATTTCTAATGCCTTTTCCTTGATAACATTCAAATCAGTAGCTTCATCCTGTTGGAAGGAAATAGTTGCATCTTTTTTAATTGCTTGTTCTTGAACAAGTTTAGATTCCATAATAAAGTCACTGATAATCCTCTGAACTTCTTTTGATTTATCATTTTCTCCGAAATCTTCATTTATTATTTGCGTGAGATCAAATCTGACTGCTTTCTTTCCATTAATTTTACATAATTTTACCCGTTTTCCATCAGGGTCATATTGTTCAGAAATAGGCAGCTTAAATTTACCTTCTGGAGGTATTTCATCAAGATTTACCAGAAAAGGTAAGTTACCAACATCAGGTTCTATGGTCAATTTATCTACAGGTTGCACAAGTGTACCTAAGTCCATCTGATAAGGCTCAATTTCCATCTTTTCCCGTTGAACATTCTCTTGTAAATTTACATTTCCTAACTCATCAGGGTTTATTGGAACGTAAATTACTTCTGTATCGTCAAGCACTGGGTCGTATAAGCCACTGGAACGAGAAATTATTTACTTATTTATTTAAGTTAATTATAAAAACGAATAACATTTAAATAGTTGAATATAAGTCAGTAGTGGCCTAGTGGTTAAAACGCCCGCTTCAAATGCACGAGGGAACGGGTTCGATCCTGGTCCGGGCTGTGATTTTTCCGAATCATATGTACTTTTTAAGAGTATTTAGACATCACTGATTAATGCTGATTCCCAAAAGAGGGTTAATGTCAGGCAGGCGGCCGGTTTTAAAAACAAATAGCCAAAAACTATTCACAACATGTAAGGCAGACACTGGCTATAGCTGGGAAATTTCCAGGTAGAAGAAGAGAGTTGAGTTTTAGTTGTAATAAAATATTCACTAACACATTTTGAAGTCTTTTTTATAACAAACGTGTAGAATTATCACCAAAAACACTAAAAATATCCATTCTTTTACCACAATTGAACTCAATAATGCACATTTTCTAGTATTTTCCACAGTAATATTATAATTTACTTACTGATTTTTATAAGTCAAATAGAACCTCATTTCGTTGAGAGTGGCGCGATGAATGCTATTAAGATGTACGTGGGATGTCCCGATATTAATACTAAATTAGATTATTAGTCAAAATAGGGTTCCGTATAAACGCATGTCAAAAAAACAACATATGCATATAGTTTAATTAATATAATATATTGTATAACAGGTATTATTTTTGTTGAATATAAATATTAAAAATTCGTTACATATCTTTTTCTTTATTTAAATTAAAGATAATTTTTGAAGTGAAACTTTTATGCGACTTTAAACAAGGTTGCGTTAAACGTTTAACGTTACTGGAGTAGGAATAGAAAGAGACGGAGCAAGAGTAAATGAGAGGGTCGATTGTTTATTGTGTGCAATATTATTGTGTATAACTGTACTAAATAAATAACTGTACTACAGTTAGATAATTTGTACACTTTCTATTGAAGTTATTAACTGAGCATATTAATATACTAAAAATTTACCAGCATATTAAGATGCTATTTTTGTAAATTTCAATATAAACAGAATTTATAAACTTTTGACTTTAAAAAATAATGAAGAATATCTTTCTTTTAGTATTAAGGGAACAATAGGATTATTTTTACTTTTCACCAGCTTCTAAGAGCTAGAAAAAAATATTTAGAATTGCCAAAAAAAAAATTATAATGAAATGTATCAATTCACGTTTACAGACTTTTTTTGTAAATTTATTAAATTTTTACTCTATTTACTCCAAAACAACTAACTAAGACGAGACGAAACCTCTCATCATTCCATGTATTCACGGTGCGTGTGTCGGGTCCATCGTTGTAGTGAGAGGAGCTTCAACAGTGCCTGGGACTTGTGACCCGGGTGTAGGTTTAAGGGACCCTATCTAACGCGTTAAACATTCACCTCCATCGTATGGCGCTATAATATATATTTAAAAAATGTCATAATAATATAATATAAATTATTTTATTGTACGGAACCCGTAATCAAAAAATATATACAACTGTCAATGATAGGAAATTGGCTGCATTCATCAAGTCGAATCATTGATTGACATATTATTTTTGTTCGGAGGTGACAAAATTTGTTCCTATAAACATGACATACAGTTGGGCCCTTTATATCATACTAGTTTGTGTCCGCGACTTCGTCTGCTTTAATCAGAATTAGAAATATATAGACCAGGCGAACTCTAAGTCAGTGGTGGCCTAGTGGTTAAAGGGCCCGTCACTCGTAGCCGAGGGCGCGGGTTCGATCCTGGCCCGGGCAAGTACCAATGTGATTTTTCCGAGTCATATGTATTTACTTTCTAAGAGTATTTAGACATCACTGATTAATGCATTCCCAAAAGAGGGTTGATATCAGGCAGGCGGCTGGTCGTAAAAAAAAAACAAATAGCCAAAACTATTCACAACATGTAAGGCAGACCCTGGCTGTAGCTGGGAAATTGCCAGGTAGAAGAAGAGACCAGGCGAACTCTGGAATTCCTCTTTAAAGACAGTAGATAAGAAGATTTTGGATTTGATCAACTTTTTTTTCTTAATCAATCGAATGTAAAGTATCCTATGTCATTTCCATGTTCTAATCTATCTCTCCACCAATCTTCATCCATATCCGTACAGTCGTTCTTGAGTTATAAATAGTGTAACTAACACGACTTTGTTTTATATATAAAGATTAAATGCTACATTTAGCTTCTTTGTTACTGAATCTAAGTTTTCTTAACTCGATATACTTTGGAGAAGATTTTCAAGCTCTTATCCTCAGTTACATACGGTTTGGAAGCCACTGAAGGTAAGATTTGAATGAAAATTAATACAAATGTACTATTAAAGGATTCTTCAATGATAAGTCTATAATAAAGTAATATATGTGTATATATATTATGATCTGTGTATGAGTTACGATGTTCAACCAAAATACTGTAGGTTTAAAAGTATTTTTAATTATCCCTACTAATATTATAAACGCGAAAGTAACTCTGTCTGTCTGTCTGTTACGCTTTCACGCCTAAACCACTGAACTGATTTTAATGAAATTTGGTACAGAGATGGAGTTGACCTTGAGAAAGAACATAGGATAGTTTTTATGACTTCCCAGACTTTGGAAAGGGTCTCTTGGAAACGCGATATAACCGAACTCGACGCGGGCGAAGCTGCGGGCGGAAAGCTAGTAATATCTATAAATGCAACGTGTCTTTAAACCTTTAAAACATTTCTTTATATCATTAAAACTCTTTATTTTATAATAAAGATGTATAATTATTTTATTTCATACATATATATTTAATTCTTTCCAAATTAAATAAATTATTCCTATGTCTGGAATAATTATAATTGCAATTATATAGTAAAAATGTGCACGTTAAATAGAATATAAATCTAGTCAATTGAAAATGCAAAAAAAGGGTTTTGGTTCTGTCAGAAAGAAATATGAAGTTTAAGATAATATTTTACTGACCAATATTAGTTCTCATATACTTTTAGGATATAAAATATATTCCTACTAATATTATAAATGCGAAAGTAACTCTGTCTGTCTGTCTGTTACACATTCACGCCTAAACCACTGAACTGATTTTAATGAAATTTGTTACAGAGTTGGAGTTGACCTTGAGAAAGAACAAAGGATAGTTTTTATCCCAGACTTTTGAAAGGTTCTCTTGGAAACGCGATATAACCGAACTCGACGCGGGCGGAAAGCTAGTATATATATTCCTTGAATATATCAAACATATTGTCTACATTTTAATAATACATGAAACCAATAGCTTTGATAAAACTTCCACGGAAAAGAAACTCATTCAAAATCATATAATTTCAAATAGTTTCTCCAAGTTTAAGTTTCCAAACTTTAGTTTTAATATTACAAATTTATAAAAATAAAGCGTAAAACATAACCATCGTCTGCGATGTCGGATTATTCACGATCAAGTTAAAAAGCAATTATTGAATTAGCTGGCATCAGTTCAAGATATGTTGACCTTACTGCCATTGTCAATAGTTGGCACTGGGTAACGTAGTGAAACAATTAATGTACTACAATACAATTAAAATGAGATATTATAAAATATATTTTTTGATTGAGACGAAAAGGAAAAATAAGCTTGTTCCAAACTATGAAATACAACGGATATAATAAGATATCTTCTATATATATAAAAATGGATTGCTGTTCCTTAGTCTCGCTAAAACTCGAGAACAGCTGAACGGATTTATCTTATCTTAGTCTTGAAATGTTCGTGGAGGTTCAGGGAAGGTATAAAAGATGAAAAAAATTGATTCATTACTGGGAAAACCATAAAAACAACCCTTTTCTATTTCCCATACAAACGATTTTTTTGACATTAGATTTGACAACTAACTAATATGTCAATCATTCTGTCGCACTTCAAAACACGGAGATTTATGGCTTACAGGTAAACTCCAAAAATATAAATAAAAAAACTTTATAGATATTTGTTGATTATAGGGCGATAAGAAGTTCGCCAAGTCTTCTAGTATATTTATAATTATGTAGGGTGGCAATCAGAGGTTCAAGGAAAACTACGAAACTTACCTATATATTATAATAAGAAATACATATTAAAACTTACAAGCTACACCTAAGACTACATGATTGACCCGATGTTAGTATATCAATACCATTCCATAGCTTGTGTGTATCAGGAGTCTTCTGGTTCACACGGCTTGGTGTTCGTTCCGCGGAGTCAGCGGCGTCAAGAGTTATATATTATACATACAACGATGTCGCCCCGGCGATGTTCATTTATTTTTTAACATGTAGCGCGTACGTAACATGTAAGAATGACTGTTTGTATTTGTAATTTTATTGAAGAAAGTAAAAGAATGTCGAATTCTTTTATTCTTATTACAAATATTGATCTTATTTTAGCGTCCCTTAAGTGTACGTGACTGCAATACAGTTGCGCTTGCGCATTTAGACACGTAAGCGTGAGTTTAAGTACGTGTTTGCATTTTTCTATGCTCTCGTGTAAGTTTCAGCTTAATAAGATTGTGACTCTATAAAACTTTAAGCGTTTTATTAAAACAAGATTTAAAATAACCCAAGAAAATTGTTACCTTGTTTTATTAACAAACGAAAATCATGAATCCCAACTAATATTATAAACGCGAAAGTAATTCTGTCTGTCTGTCTGTTGCGCTTTCACGCCTAAAACATTAAACTGATTTTAATAAAATTTGGTACAGAGATAGAGTTGACCTTGAGAAAGAACATAGTATAGTTTTTATCCCAGACTTTTGAAAGGTTCTCTTGGAAACGCGATATAACCGAGCTCCACGCGGGCGAAGCTGCGGGCGGAGTGTAGTTTAAAATATACGCTTTTTAGCAATTACTGTTCAAGCCATCTATATAATAATAAATTATTATTTAAATACCAACCTCCTTATATTTATAACAAAAATCGCGACGCACGCCAAAGATAGATATAAATTTAAATAAAATCAGGTCGGTTTAGATTTTACTTAAAACGGGACAAAATAAAAATGCGTTTTTTCATCCTATTATTGTTTGCTATTTGTGTTTCTGCTAAAATAAATCCTAAAGCTCTGACTGAGTCGAGGGGACAGGAGGTGATTGAAATTGGAGCACCGATTAAAGGTAAAAATTTCAACTGTAGTCCATCAACTTGTAGAATAGAGGAAATTTCTGATACTTGGTAATCTTTTTAATAAGAATTTCAGTTATAAAAGATGTTATTATTTCATTGTATTTATACTAAAAAATAAGGTCTTTGAAGTAGCTAATGTAATAATTATATTGAATTCCCACCAGCTCTGAAACAGTCAATAGCTTATTATTTCAATTAGTTCAAAGATCACGATAATTTTTTATATATCCCTACCAATATTATAAATGCGAATGTAACTCTGTCTGTCTGTCTGTTAAGCTTTCACGCCTAAACCACTGAACTGATTTTAATGAGTACAGAGATAGAGTTGACCTTGAGAAAGAACATAGGATAGTTTTTATCCCAGATTTTTGAAAGGTTCTATTGGAAACGCGATATAACCAAACTCCACTCGGGCGAAGCTGCGGGCGGAAAGCTAGTTAAATAATAAGTCTTAGATATGAAAACAAACATTTTATCAAACGTTTGAATAGATTTTCATGAAATATTATCTGATGAAAATATTTAGAGTTTGTTTTATTTAGAGAAGATTTAATTCATTGTTTAATTGATGGGATAAAAGCATAATTAAGATTTCTCATTATATTCACAGTTGTTTTGTAATATTATGTATATATATACACAGAATGTTATTTTTTAACACGCTTATATTAGTTTGGGCTGTATGTATGTACATATGTAACGGAATCTTTAAGCACGATTTTCATCGGTGTCTAAACATCTGATTAACTTGAATCTTTGCATATGTCTCAAGAACCAATGACAATACAATAATTCGTTAATAATTTCCCATTATCCTTGTTAGGGCCGCCAGGATTGATATATTCTTTTCATTGATCCTCTATGAGAGTGAAAGGGACAGAGCTAGTGTGTTATCTGCGCATGTCCATAAAAACTAATTGATAAATCGTACTAAAAAATATAAATTACAAGCGTGTTTTTTAGTTTTTTAAACCAATATTTATATCTTAATAATATAGGGTGGCAACCGGGGGTTCCAGGATAACTACGAAATATATTTATATGTATATTAAAATAAGAATTTCTAATTAAAACTTATAACCTACACCTAAGACTACATGATTGACCCGATGTTAGGATAGCAATACCATTCCATAGCTTGTGTGTATCAGGAATCTTCTGGTTCACACGCTTGGTGTTCGTTCCGCGGAGTCAGCGGCGTCAAGAGTTATATATTATACATACAACGATGTCGGCTGGCGATGTTCATTTTTTTTCTTCATATATAACGCGTACGCAACATGTGTTTGTTTGTTTCGTCTATTCTTTGAAATGACTGTCGATTTTGGCATAACTTCCATTAAAAATAAGTATAACTTATAAGTCGTGGGTACAGATAGTTATAAGTATGTTTTCCATTCCAGAATTGTCTCCGGATTTGGAAGAAGAACCGTCTGCTGAGAATGAAGATGATAAAACTACTACCACCATCCAAGTAGCTACTACTAAAGACACCAGGAGAGCTAAGGTAATGTTATTTGTAAAATGTCAGGCACTCTTGTGCATGGAGAATTGATTTAAAATTTTCTGTTTCTATGTCCATAAGTGAAAAATAACCAAAAATCTTATGCCCATAAATTTGTTTTTTACTAAGCGTGATAGTTTTTTTCACGCCTTAAATTTTAACACTATCCAGGGACCATAAAAAGGGGGGTATTTTTACAACACTTTCATTAAATATATATATTATGTCCTAAAATATATTCTTATATAAATGCTGGGGTATTATCACGACCGTTCGATATTATATCGCATATTTCGAGAATTCAAATTAAATTAGTTAAGTCTAAAAATGAGCTTAGATTTTTCTTCCTGGCAATTTCCCAGCTTTAGCCAGGGTCGTGAGTTTAGATTACTTATAGGTATAAAAATTATTGTTCCAATGGATTTTAATACATATTATGTTCTATGTTGTTATTTTTCTTATGTATATTATTTCGTGTTTTCGAAATTATCAAAAGAAATATATATTCATTAGAGTGACCAGTCCAAAAGAATGAAAGATAATGACAGAGTAGACGGAAAGAAGCAAGATGAAGAAGAAGCTAAGATTGAAAAAGAACTCGCTGAATTATATAGAGATTCTATTGGTAAGAAAGTTAACTTTACCAAAAACAGTAGAAACTCGATTATCCGGTCAGTACGTATTCGCAATTGTCCGGACTACGGACAAGTCCGGATAAGAAAGAATATCAAAGTATAAGAGAGTGGTGTTATTGAGAGTGGCGTACGTCAAATGACAATTACCAAATATTCTAAACCAAATTATACTTATTATTTTAATTCAAGATTAAATCTGCAGTTTATAGTACATATATATGTAATCTAAGGAAATGTTTCCTTTAATTATTTATTAATAAACATTGATTTTCGTTGATATGTATTTGTTACTTTTTTTATATAAACATATAATATTTTGTACTATAAAAGCACAAAACCGTCTTTTCTTCATACATTCGATTATCCGAATGACTATCGACCACAATTAGTCCAGTAAATCGAGTTTCTACTGTATATATATCTATGGATCTATCTGTATAGATACAAAAACCGTTACTTTTTTGGATTTAAATTATTTTATTTCTACAATAATAGTAATAATTACTTTAAATCAAGTTAAAAGCTATATTTTATGCTTAAATATTTGTTGATATTTTTGTTGGCTATATTTTTATTTCAGATTACAAATCGGAAAGTGCTGACATAACTCAGCAGGTTAATATCACTGAGGAAACAGAAAAACCAATAGCACGAGCTAGAACCAAGTAAGCTACTATTTTAAGCTAAATCATTAAAAGAGCTGCTTAATTTATTCATACACAAATATAGCTAAGCTAAGCTATAAAAGATTTAAAAGTTTAACGAGTATTCATTTAAATGAAACTAATATTTTTGAACTGGTTTGCTTAATTAAACTGAAAATGGTTTTAGTATTTGATTTAATTATGGATTTTAATTTATTTTTAAAACAATAATATTTTTCAGATAATTAAGCGTACTTTATTATTTTAAAAACTACGTCTTCCCGAGGTTTCGGTTACTTTGCGGCAACCGTGATCACATCTGGTCTTAATGACCACGGTTGCAAAAGTAACCGAAACGTCGGGAGTATGTAGTTTTAAATAATAAAATACGCGTAGTATACGAAAATATGAGTTTCATTTAAATTAAACTATATATTATAACTAGCTTTCCGCTCGCAGCTTCGCCCGCGTGGAGTTCGGTTATATCGCGTTTCCAAGAGAACCTTTCAAAAGTCTAGGATAATAACTATCCTATGTTCTTTCTCAAGGTCAACTCTATCTCTGTAATAAATTTCATTAAAATCAGTTCACTTGTTTAGGCGTGAAAGTGGAACAGACAGACAGAGTTACTTTTGCATTTATAATATTAGTAGAGATTAGCCTTTTGCTAAGAACATCTAGTTAGTTATATAATAAAATTTGTATTATAATAATATTTAAATGTTTATTTTTTTCAGTTTCAAGTTTCAACCAGACTCCAGTGACCCCAAAGACGTGGAGAGATTTAGAACTTCCGTGGATGATATTAATTGTGATCGCGTCAAACTTATAGGAGTGGTAAGATTACAGAATTTGCTGAGGAAGTACTAAGAATGTTTGGTTATATGAGAAAGAGAGAGAGAGAAAGACAGAGAATGTGAGAGGGAGATAGAAGAAGATTTTAAACTTAATTCATCCCTACTAATATTATAAATGCGAAAGTAACTCTGTCTGTCTGTTTGTTACGCTTTCACGACTAAACCACTGAACTGATTTTAATTAAATTTAGTACAGACATAGAGTTGACCTTAGAAAGAACATAGGATAGTTTTTATTCCAGACTTTTGAAAGGTTCTCTTGGAAACGTGGTATAACCGAACTTCACGCGGGCGAAGCTGCGGACGGAAAGCTAGTAAAGAATAAGAGAAGAAAATATACGATAGTCCTTAATAAAACATAAAATTTTGATAAGCTACAGTTTTTAGGAATTACTTTTTGAGAAATATTTTTTTGGCAAATAATTAAATAAACTGTTTTATTACAGTAGAACCTTAAATAAGTAAATTTTCTTTGATTTTATTAAAAGGATATTTTTTGTTACAGACCGATGAGCCGACAGCAGCCGGTAGAAGATTAATTCCTAAAATAACATTAATTTTTCTGTTAACCACCATGTACTTCTAGATTTTCTATTGAATTAATAAAAACATGTTTTTAATATGTTTATTGTTTAATTTATACATAAAAGATTATTTTATAATGGCTTTCAAGTACATATGGACTATTTTAACAGTGTCAATATTTTTATTTGTTGGATAATATAATCTTGAATACTGTAAATTATTATACATATAAAGTAATGATTGACAAGTTGACAATGGAGCCTAAGTCAAAAGGTTTCTACTGATTTTCCTCTGAAAGCAAAGCCGAAGTATTTTCTTATATTTCCTAATAATATTTCTGGTTTCCATATATTTATTTATGCTAAAGACGGCAAAAAGTGGAGGTAGCACCGTCGCCCATAGACATCTGCAACAGTTTTACAGATGCGTTGCGAACTCTGATTTGGAAAGAGGGGGGAAAAGGGTGGGAATAGGAAAGGGGCAAGCAAGTTGCTATAAATATTTTATGAATCACTTCTCAGTATACTTTGATAAATATTGATATGAAAGATAAAAAAAACTTTCAAGGCGTAATACAAGTTTGTGATTTTGAATTCAGACAAATTTTTTCTTATATATAATTTTGTTATCATAAGTTTAAGCTGTGTAATTACGCAGAATTTTCGGTTTTTCACTCATAAATCTTTGTACAGTATAGTAATAATATTGAACAATAATATTTGCAATTGATTATTAAGTTTATCGTTACATACTTATAGTAAGGGAACTATTAATTCTAGGTATATTATATTCTCATGAGTAAACCAATGTAGTAGTGACAAAATTTACATAAATAAGTATTTGATAATTGATATAATAGTAGTTATAAAAGTTACTGAGTTGTTTCAATTTTATTCAGACTCACGGCCATATGAAGGAAGAAACAATTGATTTAGAAGATGAAAAAGAAATCGGTATATATGGAGATCGTCATGGTAAGTTAATTAATATTTCTATGTCGAATATATTGAAAAAATGTTATAAATATGAAAGAATAAGAAAGTATAATGTATAATTAAATCTAAGATGAGGATTTTAAGAAATAGATGGCGGTAGATGACCAATATATAATAGGACCAACTGACAGACATTTACATCACGTCTTAATGATCATGGTTGATGAAAAGTAACCGAAAAGTCTGTAGTATGTAGTTTAAAATAATAAAAAACGCGTAGTATACGAATATATTAGTTTTATTCATGACAATCAATTGTTAATATGACATGTGACGTGGTTATACATATATACTAGCTTTCCACTCGCAGCTTCGCCCGCGTGGAGTTCGGTTATATCGCGTTTCCAAGAGAACCTTTCAAAAGTCTGTGATAAAAACTATCCTATATTCTTTCTCAAGGTCAACTGTATGTCTGTACCAAATTTCATTAAAATCAGTACGGTAGTTTAGGCGTGAAAGCGTAACAAACAGACAGACAGAGTTACTTTCGCATTTATAGTATTGTATTAGTAGGGATTGAAATGCCAAGATAAAACTTGTTTTTAGAGTAAAAAGACTTGTATGAACTCAGAATCTTCAACTTCTTAACCATTATCGGGAAATAATATAATATAATTTACAAATTGAATGTAACCAATTACAAAACATATGTATTTTTGTAATTTATGTAAAATAACTAAATACATATAATATTAATAAACAAATTATAAAGTAACTTAAAATATAAAACATCAATATAAGAGTTCAATTGTTTTATATTATATCATGTCTTCTTCTACCTGGCAATTTCCCAGCTTTAGCCAGGGTCTGCCTTACATGTTGTGAATAGTTTTGGCTAATTGTTTTTACGACCGGCCGCCTGCCTGATATAAACCCTCTTTGGGAATAATATATCATGTATTGTATGCTAAAACTGTTTATATGAAATATACATATATACTATATAACAGTTTTTGAGTTAATTGTTAACATATAAATAATCAAAATATAATAATGAATTAATGCCCGAATCTCATAGATTACAAAACTGCCAGTGATGAAGAAGGAAATGTAGACAATACAACAATAAAAGTAAGTCAAGATTTTGCCCGAGCTAGGACCAGGAAGAAGAAATCTAAAACCAAACGTGTGTAGGTATAATTAACTTAAAAAATTGGTAAATAATCAAGTTTTGTTAAGTCACTATGGCCTAAAGTTTAAAGGTCCGCCTCTCATGCATGAGGGCACGGGTACGATCCTGGCAAGTACCAATGTGATGTTCCGAGTCATATGTACTTTATAAGAGTATTTAGACATCACTATAATGAAGGAAAACTTCGTATGGAAACATGGACTTATAGTTTCACAATTATAAGTTTGAAATCAAAAACCCGTCTAGAGGGTGTATGGTGATTAATGCTCAAACCTTCTCCATGTGAGAAGCGGCCTTTGCTCAGCAGTGGGCTCCGATAGGCTGATGATAATAATGATGAAGTTTAGTTTATATAATAAACCTTGAAATTGAAATTTAAATAAACAACTAAGCATATAATGATTTAGACTATAACATTTTAATCATCATATAACTTGATTATAAGTCCATGTTTCCTCACGATGTTTTCCTTAATCAGTCAGTGATGTCTAAATACTCTTATAAAGTACATATGACTCGAAACAATCACATTGGTAGTAGGTATAACAGTTTATCGTCCTATTAATAACATAAGTGAAAATAGCAAATGTCATTTTAGCAATAACAAAACTGTCTTGTCAAGGCCATAATTATTCATATATTTCACATTCCAACAGCATTCTTTTATAAATACTTCTTAATTATTCTTTTTGCAGCTGGAAATTCCAGCCTGATCCGAATGACCCAGAAGATATAGCCAGATTTAGAACTTCCCAGGACTATTTGAACTGCGACATGTTCAAATTGACTGGCACGGTAAGGCCTCGGCCTCGAATTTTGCGGGCAGCGGAGCGGCGGCGGCGGCGGCACGGAAACGCATACTGTTCTCCAAACTAGCGGGCAGCGGGCACCGCTGTATTCGAGGGTCGGTCCATTTGATTATACGCGTAAGATCCTGCCGCTCCCGCTGCCGCTCCGCTGCCCGCAAAATTCGAGGCCGAGGCCTAAGGTTTAAGAAACAGAGAAGTATAAATGACGTAGGTAATATAGTTCGAGATTTAGCTGTTATTGGCACTAGTTGAAGATCTTGTTTTAATTGTATTAAGATAGATTTGTTAAGAAAATTATTATATTAAGTTTGACATATGAGTAAAATGATTTAGTTGTAATCATTGTATTAATGAAGAAATGGACATAGAAAGGTAATGGGACTCACATTTTGAAAGGCAGTTTCGAACTATGATATTTGTTGAATTACTCTCTTTATTTCTCTTTCTCTCCTTTTCTCTCTCTTTTTCTTTCTAAAAGTTAAATTTCAACTAAGCAATTGGAATTAAGATACTCTACTTATAGAGCAAAATAGTTGTGGTGCTTACAAGTTATAAATCATGTATTAGCAAAAATTTATATAAAAAATAATTAAATAATACACCATTTTTTATTATGGGGGTCCATTATAGTCACTTTATTGTAAATTTCTGAGTAAAATTACTTAAGTAAAGTTATATTTATACCTTTATCTTTCAAACCGTGTTGATACTTAAAAGAACGGTTATATAAAACTATTTGCATCTCAAAATCTATCTAATTTCATCATAAATTATTGAAACAATTAAATTAATATTGTATGTGCACTAAAAAGGTATGATTGCTTACAATATGATTCCAAATACATTTCTGGTTTTTAAAATTATATTATTTCAATCTGTTACAGATGCCAACACTACCTGATGTAAAAATAGAAGATAAAAATTCCTGTGGAACATCCAAAGATTTTATTCCATTATTATTACTTTGTATTGTTGTTTATATTTAATAATAAAAGATAACTAATATATTAGAAAAAATTTAAATAAACTAAAATTACAGATTAAAATTATAAATGACAAATCATTATAATATATTTAAGAGAGGTTTAATTGACATACAATACTACACATTTATGAGACGAAACCTCTCATCATTCCATGTATTCACGGTGCGTGTGTCGGGTCCATCGTTGTAGTGAGAGGAGCTTCAACAGTGACTGTGACTTGTGACCCAGGTGTAGGTTTAAGGGACCCTATCTAACGTTAAACGATCACCTCCACTGTCCAAGCTCCTCTCTCTACATAACACAATTTAATATTATATGTTTAATATATGTTACACATGTGTTGACACAAATAATGATTATAGATTTTAATCAAGACTACAAATTTTATAGCTTGCTATGAGTCACATTATCTTTCCATATAGGTACATAGATATCAAATGATAAATGTATACAGCGTGATCAAATACTTACAATATTGTTAATTATTAAATTTATTTATTATTTCACACTAAAGTTACGAAACCGATTTCGATGATACTTTTGAGGAATATAACTTAAACTTTACATGTAGTAATATACTTAAAGAATTGTGTAACCTGAAAATTTTAGTGAGAATTCTTTAATACTTACTTACTTACTTCTGTTTTTCAATGAATACTAAAAAGATGGAATATAATATCTGTTACAAAATATAGATCAATATAAATTGAAGACATATATTGTATATATATTTATCGTCATCATCATCATCAGCCTATCAGAGCCCACTGCTGAGCAAATACATCTTCTAATATGGAGAAGGTTTATATAGGAAGTAGGTATATAAAAAGATAAATTTATACATATATATAAAAGTAATAAAGGCCCTTAATTATATTCCTACTAGCTGCGCCCCGCAGCGTTACCCGCGGATTTCCGGGATTTACGGGATGTAAAGTAGCCTATGTGTTATTCCTGGACGTCAGCTTCCTGTATACAAAATTTCATCAAAATCGGTTCAGCCGTTCGAGCGTGAAGAAGTAACAAACATACACACACACACACAAACTTTCGCAATTATAATATTAGTATGATAAAGAGAAAGAGTATTTTTTGTTTTGTTACTCATAATTTGTATTTTAAATCACAATACTGATGCATCTAAAAGAACACTCTGTATAAAATCAATATTGTAACACAAAGGTATCAGTATTTGTTGAAGCTAGTCGTGTCATTGAAGTTTTACCTAAAATGGAGCATCCGGCCTTTGAAGACGCTGGTCAGGAACCCGGCCTTGAGATTTGGACGATCGATGTAAGTCTGTTTGTGTATTTAGAAAACTATATAACTCTTAAACTACATCTTCTTCTACCTGGCAATTTCCCAGCTTTACAGCCTGCCTTACATGTTGTTAATAGTTTTGGCTAATTGTTTTTACGACCGCCGCCTGCCTGACATCAACCCTCTTTGGGAATGCATTAATCAGTGATGTCTAAATACTCTTAGAAAATACATATGACTCGAAAAAATCATATTGGTACTTGCCAGGATCGAACCTGCGTTTTCATGCATGAGAGGCGGGCCTTTTAACCACTAGGCCACCACTGACTTAGTACATAAAAATCAATATCTTTTAAATTATCTAAACTACTTGTATGATTTAAAGGTTATAAAGTTTACCTAAATCAATTGTGCAAAAACTACCTCATCTTTTATGATCTATCTTGTGTTCATCAATTTATAAGCAGAACCGTAGTCAAAAAGTAGTTTTGTAATAGTTAAAAAAGTGTAGTAACATAACAACAATGTATTCGATCTAAATAATTACGATAAACAAATTTTTCCTTTTCTTTCATGTCAAACTTTTAAGTAAATTAAAAATATTTCACGTAAGATATTACGTTTGAAATAATTTTGCGATTTATATAATTCCTTAATTATTTTATTGTATTATCCCTGAAACATTTGTTTCCAAATTTTTGTATAGTTATTGTTCCTGAGTTATTGTAGAGTACACCAATTTAATGCAACAATGTCTAGATAAGATCGAAGATACCTTTTTCGACAATCATCGTTTATCTACTGATAATATTTAAAAGCATACGAGAATATATATTTACGTTAATACTGTTATGTAGGAAGTTTTATTAATGAAAAACTATTTACTCTCCGTATGTAGTAAATATGCAAATTTCAGATAGTATGTTTTATATGGGTTATTGGATGAGAAGCTGGAAACTCTTCGTACGTACTTGTGGTTAAGATACGAATGAACAATTTCTTTTGTATAACAACATCAGTATACTATTATTACTGTTGATTAAACACGGAGTATTTCAAATCTCTATTTATAACAGCACATTTTTAATTAGCACTAGCTTTCCGCCAACGCCTCGCCCGCGTGGAGTTCGGTTATATCGCGTTTCCAAGAGAACCTTTCAAAAGTCTGGGATAAAAACTATCCTATGTTCTTTGTCAAGATCAACTCTATCTCTGAACCAAATTTCATTAAAATCAGTTCGTTGGTTTAGGAGTGAAAGCGTAACAAACAGACAGACGGAGTTACTTTCGCATTTATAATATTAGTAGGGATTATACTGATTTCACTTGTAAATTAAGTTTAGACTTCTGTTACATATGCTTATTTTAAGCACGAGAGTATGCTTTAATTGAGCATTGCTGTTTACCAGCATGTGTGTAGAAGTATTGCTTTAAATAAGCTAATATTTGAAGCATGCTTTAAAATCGACTGGCATGCGATTTTTAAGCATGCAAATCATTATCTTCCTTTTATTTTTTTGGCGACCTGACATAAGCTCCTGAATGCATAGCATCAGCAAAAAGATATTCTTATTCATTTCCATACAGATAACTGTTTGGTGATTTTGTTTGAACTAACACAGAGTGAGAAAGAACGCTATAAAAGCATGTATTTGGAATGTTTTATTTAAGCATGTTTATTCAGGAGCATAATTAAAACTAGCATGCTTATTGCTCGCAATTTCCTTAATAGCATGCTTTTCAGTATGCTTATTTAAAGCATACGTAACGGTAGCCTAAATGAATGCACTAGTATACGATATTTTTCAAATCAGGCCAAATTCCATAATTATGTATATAACCATGCAAAGAATACTTAATTTATAATATTTTTAATATATATATCAGATTTATTATATATCTTTTGATAAGTATCGCATATTAATGCTTTCAAATTAATCTGATAACTGGCCTATCTGGGTTCGATATACGGTTATTAGAAAAAACGTTTTTTTATCATAATGACATCAGATTTAATTTTAATACAATTTTTCATATAATTAAGTAAATTTAATTATAAATATTATTCAGTTTAAAGAAATTTTCGTTTCAGAAAATCAATATTTTTTTTTTGATTTTTGGCATTGATGGTATATTTTTTTTGAACAAACAAAAAATATTCAACACTTAAAATGTTATTTAAACTTATTAGAACAGCTTATTTTTTGGGAACATTGGCCAAATATTCTCCAAATTTTTATTATACATAATTAGAATTACAATATGCAATGCCAATTAATTTTTTCCTTATATTACTGTGACCGAAATTTTGTCTCAAAACTCTCATCATTTAAATCAACAAATACATTATATATATATATATATTTAATTTAATTAAATACTAAATAGTAAATAGAGTAATCTATCCTACATTATAATTTTATACATTTAATTCCAAATAATATTGATTTTTTGTTTCTATTTTTTATAGAAATTTGAACCAGTACCAATTCCACAGAAGATGTATGGCAAATTCTACATCGGTGACTCCTATATTGTTTTAAAGGTAATAATTTACTATTGTATATCTTCTACTTCTTCTACCTGGCAATTCGCCAGCTTTAGCCAGGGTCTGCCTTACATGTTGTGAATAGTGTTGACTAATTGTTTTTACGACCGGCCGCCTGCCTGACATCAACCCTCATTTTGAATGCATTAATCAGTGATGTCTAAATACTTTTAGAAAGTACATATAACTTGGAAAAATCACATTGGTACTTGCCAGGATCGAACCCGTTCCCTCGTGCATGAGAGACGGGTCTTTTAACCACTAGGCAATAACTGACTTGAATTTACAATTGTATCTATATAATCTATAATATAAAAATGAATCGCAAAATGTGTTGGTAAGCGCATAACTCAACAACGCCTGGACCAAATTGGCCAATTCTTTTTTTTAAACGTTCGTTGAAGTCTAACGATAGTTCTTACGGCGAGAAAAAATCGAATAATTGCCGGGAAAACCCTAAAATCAAACCTTTTCTTTTTCACATACAAACGTTTTCTAACTAAAACGTAGAATCAATTTGAGCTTTATTGCTGTTAAATAAAGTTCATATTCAATTACAAGCACTCACTGTTATCTAAGAAATGCAGGTGTGTTCCTAACGTCAAAAAGTAAATTTCCACTTTCTTACCGCTACACAAAGTTCAAATTCAATCATACATATATATCAAAACAGTGTGCGTGTGTACGTTGGAGCATATAATACGTCGTTGGAGGATTTAATGTCGCCAGGTAATCAAACAAAAAACATCGTTTATCACAAAGCACTACATGAAAATAGAACTGATTTTTTGTTAATAATTATGATTTACATGATTAAAATAACTTACTTTTAAATGCGCGATACATAAGCTGAGCTTGACGTTTGTGTGACTATATTAGTCTATGGTAAACTATTGTCTCTGTCTTAAAGTTCAGTTATTCTTTCAAATTGTTTGCAAACAGTAAATACTAAATAGTTTATTTTGTGTGTGTTTGTACGAGTACATATTCAGTTTTACTATTTGTGGCCGGAGTTATAATAAAAAATACCTACACAATTCATTTACCACGTCTTAGTGAAATTTTCACATTGGTTTCTACAGGATAATTTGTACTGTGTGTTTTTTCTGAAGTGTTTGTTCAACAAGGTAAGTCAAATTATTATAGTGTTGAAAAGTTTTGATAGACCATTTTGATACTATTACAAAAGAATAGGAATAGAATAATGGTATTTTTTATTTTCAGTTGAATTTTTGTTCAAAACATGCCGGCAATTAAACATACAAACTTAAGTCGCAGAACCCGTAATGCCTCAAGTCAAAGATATAGAAGAGCAAGTCTAACTGATGAGCAACGTGAAACACGGAATGAAGTTGAACGGAATCGATGGAACCGAAACTAATAATATAGAAGTGTTGCTTTTAACCCCTATAGAGCTGCATTTGATTATAACAGAAATGGACTACAGTACAATCAATTTTATGCCAACTTTTGAGGTAAGTGTATTGAAAAACATTTATCACTATTGTTGACAGTTTTCAATTGCAATGTTTTATCATTTGAAATGGCTTAAAGTACATTTGTAGCTCTGTGAATTACTTTTAGTAGCCAGAAAGAATTGTGTTAAAAAAGTTGATGGGGGAAATGGTAGTGCTCACAAAGTATTTTGAGTGTCACTTGGTGGTTTGAACAATTCACTTTACAATATGTATATGTAATACAGGAATGTTTATCTTTACAGATTCAAGGACAAATATATCATTGAACTTATTAGTTATCACCAGTGCTGGTCAGTGACTATAAATTTTACTAAATTAATTTTCATGGGTGATTCAGGAAGACAAGTCGATTACTGTTGTGCACACAACTATTCTGTGAAAAGACCAGTTGTGGAACAGTTCCAATTATTATTCCATCAACACAACCCATTGGTTGCATTATTCAAGACCGCATTAGATCACATGCCATCTGATAATCACAAAATTGTTATCAAACACATAAAAACATTTTAATGCCCAAAGAATCAATGAAGTCGCTATTGTCATTGTGGGTGAAAATGTGGATAACAGAAATATTGTTTTACAGTGGAGTAACAATCAACTGCAGCGTGTGTCCGAAACACATCGAACATGTACATATAAATATATTTTATCTTATTTTGGAAAGGTGAAGATGGGTATTATTTTTAATGTAGATGATAAATCCGGTTACAGGGAAATAAAAAATTTAAGTTTTTAATGTTTATCATAGCTTTAAGTAATTTATATAATTTTATCACAAAAAAAGGTTTTTAGGTTCTGTAACTAACAAAAAAGTTAGTTAAATGAATTATTGTTCATACAGGCTTATGGTTGGAGAAGTTGAGGTCAATCACATCTTAAAATGTTGACGTCTCTGTCACCAATATGCTGTTGATATGTATGTAAAAGTAGAAACTGAGCAATTAATGTTTATTAGGTTGAACCAGGCAAAACTCTATTGAGGAATAAAGAAATTAACTTGATTCAGATAAAAACGCAACAGATATTTTTTCATTATAGGGTCGTACGAAGTCCGTCGGGCAGCTAGTTAAAATTATAAAACTTAATATACCTATATATTTTTGACGTCAATCAGAAAGTTATGTTAAGCCAGAAAACATATTTAATTTCTTAAAAATGGTTAAAATTTTCCGCGACAAGCGGACACCATCTTTGTGACAATATATATAAATATTATAAATACAACTATGTATTATAGTTCAACATTTTTGTAAATGTAATTTTCTGACAGAAAAATATATACAAAATGTGAGATCTAAGACTTTCGCGAGTATTCATTTAAATGAAACTAATATTATTCGTCTTACTACTCGTACTTTATTATGTAAAAAAAACGTACATCGATTTCAGCCCTGGTAGGTTCTTTTCAAATTTGGTATAGAGAGGAGCTTGTTCGGTGTAGGTGATCGTTTAACGTTAGATAGGGTCCCTTAAACCTACACCTGGGTCACAAGTCCCAGTCACTGTTGAAGCTCCTCTCACTACAACGATGTACCCGACACACGCACCGTGAATACATGGAATGATGAGAGGATTCGTCTCTGTACAAAAAATACGAGTACCAATCCGAATAATATTAGTTTGTTATGAAATTACTTTGTAATAATATTTCTTTTTCTTATCAAAACAGACAACTGGCGATAATTCCTCAACGCTTTTCTACGATATTCATTTCTGGTTGGGATCCCAATCTACTCAAGATGAAAGGGGAGCAGCGGCGATATTGACAATAACTTTGGATGACAAATTAGGAGGGAAAGCAGTCCATCATAGGGAAGTGCAGGGTCACGAGACTAGCAAATTCATGCGATACTTTCAACCAGGTAAATATCAGTATTTTATAGTCCGTTAGACTTAAGCTGAGCTTTACATTTGTGAGGGAAAGTAAAAGTAGAGTTAGACGAAAAACTTTTAGAATTAAATTTTATTATATTTTAAATAGATACACAATGTTAGTGCTATAAAATAAGCAAAACTTGTAAAAGGTCAGGAAATATTAAGAAATATTATGGAATTTTTTTTATTGATAAATAAAATTTTGAAAAAATTATGCATATTCTTATTCACTTGACATTGCGTTTTCAACATTTGATTTTGCTACCAGTACAAAAGGTGATATGTGGAAGGTGCGAGGCGGAGTAAAAACAGAATAAACCGGTTCAAAACTAGAAAAGAATGTTGTATTCAAAAATTTGACATCACACCTACACTATCCGTGTGCACTCACACAAATGCAAAGCTCAGCTTAAACCAAACGCACTATAGAAATATCTTTTTGAAGTGAAGTTTAACGCCACTTTCGATAATGTTGCGTTAAACGTTTTACGCTTGTGGGGGGATAAAAAGAGACAGAGTGAGAAGGAATGCAGGCATTCAATTGTTACTTGTAAGTAATGTAAATAAAGTTTGTCTTAAAAACACTAGAAATTCCGTAAAAATCAATTTCTATCTCTTTTTGTTTTCATTCCAACATTACGAGGTTACACTTCTTGTATGGGGAGGGACGTCACTAACTATTAATTTTCTTTAAGTTAGGATTCCAAATTCACTTTGAATCATTTCTCTAATAGTCTAAGACTTAATGTGACTTTATTGACAAAGAAACGACAATTTACCCTATTGATTGTACTATAACTCATGGCAATTTGGGGGGCTAATTAACTTTGAACTTCTGAATGTATGATTTTTTTGTAAAAATACAAGAGCAGGCGATCCCTACTAATATTATAAATGCGAAAGTAACTCTGTCTGTTATGCTTTCACGCCTAAACCACTGAACTGATTTTAATGAAATTTGCTACAGACGTAGAGTTGACCTCGAGAAAAGAACATAGGATAGTTTTTATCCCAGATTTTTGAAAGTTCTCTTGGAAACGCGATATAAACGTACTCGACGCGGGCGGAAAGATAGTAATTAATATATACCTATTGCTTTTTTTTACCAGGAATGTACTTTCCAGTCAGATATGTATTATAAATTATGGAGGGCTTTCCTTATGGAGGAACTACTTTCTACTTCCTTCTTCATCAGTCATACAACATAATGTTGGTTAAACAGATATACTACACTTACTATTTTTAGCAATTATTCCACAATAGTTCTTTAACTTTTCGCAAAATTATTGAAAAAAATTTGAAGAGGGTAGTTAGTTACTAGTAGTTAGCACATTTTTTACACAATCCCGTACAGACTGACTCGTAGAACAAATATGTTGTATATAAGTATATTATAATGGAAAATTAATATGTGTTTTAGGAAAGAAATATTAGAGTAACTTATAAACTGTTTAAATCTTATTTTTCAGCCATCAGGTATCTCGAAGGTGGTAATGATTCTGGTTTTAACGAGGTTGAAACGAATGCTGGTGCTGAAAAACGTCTGTTGAAACTATCAGGATGTGAAAACATGAGAATTGAAGAGGTTTGTCGTTCATATAACACTAACTATTTATTTATTTTAGTAAATTTTACCCTATATTGCTTATTAACTTATAAAGTATTTTCAAAAATCTAAATTTTGTCATCATAAAATAGACCCAATATATTTTGAAAAAAGTTTTAAGCTTATTAAGATTGCACTAATAATATCTAAGATTTTCGGGAGTACTCATTTGAATGGAAGTCATATTTTCGGATTTACTAAGCGTTTTTTATGTCTCGTCTGTCCGTGATCACGATTACTGTAAAGTAACAAACGTCGGGAGTATGTAGTTTATAGTCGAAAAAAAAAACGCGTTGTAAATCCGAAAATATTAGTTTCATTTAAGATGGCACTGCAAAATCATATTCAAATATTTTTAGTACAACCAGAACTTAAAGAAACAGGCCTATCTTTATATATATAATTCTTCTGTGAGTGTCACTGAACTTCTCTCAAACGACTGGACCGTTTTGATGAAATTTTTTGTGTGTGTTCAATGGGATCTGGGAATGGTTTAGATTCACAATTTTGTCCGCTGTACAATGTTTTTTTAATTAATTTTTAATCTATTAGTAGTTGTTGATACAAACGTGTTTTTTTTGACATTAGATTTGACAACTAACTAATATGTCAATCATTCTGTCGTACTTCGAAACACGGAGATTTATAGCTTTAATAGGTAAACTCCAAAAATATAAATAAAAAACGTATCAGATATATCTTGATTATAGGGCGATACGAAGTTTGCCGGATCTTCTAGTATACAAAACTTCAATAACAAACTTAATAATATTCCCATAATATTCTTATAGGTGCCGCCAGAAGCTTCATCACTCACACGAGACCACTGCTTCATTTTGGAAGTAGATCACGACATATTCGTGTTGATACCAGATGGTGCGAAGGCAACTCAAAGAAGAAAAATCATAAGTGTGGCCAACACATTACGAGATGATTACCACAACGGAAGAGCCAGCATAGAAATTATTGGTCAGTATCAATGTTATGTAAAGAAAGTAAATTTAAATGAAACTAATATTTTTCGGATTACTATGAGTATTTTATTATTATAAACTACATGCTACCGACGTTTCGGTTATTCTGCATCAACCGTGATCACGGACAGACGAAAAGTAATAGGAGTATGTCGTTTTTTAAATAATAAATATTCATTTAATAGTTGTAATCCAAATAATAGTAGTTTCATTTAAATGTATTCTTCTCTAATTCATTCGGTGAAGAAATCATCGTGAGGAAACCTGGACTTATAATTTCACAATTATAAGTTTGAAATCGCCAACCCGTCTCGAGCAAGCGTGGTGAATAATACTCTAACCTTCTCCATGTGAGAAGAGGCCTTTGCTCTAATGGGCTCCTATAGGTTAAAACAAAGAATTCTCCCAAAACTTAGATAATTTATTAGTGAATATTTCCTATGTTAAGAAAAGTTTTAGAATAAATATAATTAAATTAAAAGATGCTTTTTGGTCGTCTATTGTAGTATAAAGTATCGTGGCACATTTTATTAAAACTGAAAACTAATGGATATTTTATTTGACAGATGAATTTTCCTCGGACAGTGATTACTCAGCGTTCTTCGAAGCCCTTGGTGACGGATGCAAAGATGATCTTGTTGCTGACGAAACATCTGATGTAAATATATACAGAAATACTCATTATTCTCAATAGAAGTTCCTAAAATACGTTTTGGTAATAAAACTATGGGAAATCCCTACTAATATTATAAATGTGAAAGTAACTCAGTCTGTCTGTCTGTTACGCTCTCACGTCTAAACCACTGAACTGATTTTAATGAAATTTGGTACAGAGACAGAGTTGACCTTGAGAAAGAACATAGGATAGTTTTTATCCCAGACTTTTGAAAGGTTCTCTTGGAAACGCGATATAACCGAACTCCACGCGGGCGAAGCTGCGGGGAGATAGCTAGTTGTTGTATGTCATAGACAGTCAAAAATTGTGATAATTTTTGACACCAGCATAATTCTAAACTGGCTTACTCTTCAGTATTAAAATCATTGATATCTTATTTCTCTTATTCATGTTAATCAAATCTTAATAAACTTCTTTGCAGACATATTCACGACCAAGTATTTCAGCGGTGTACTTGTACAAGGTGCTGTTAGGAGAAGAAATAGAACTTCTAGACATTAGCAAACCTTTCAAACAAAACCAGTTGACGTCCGAGGTGAGAATTATCATATAGAAACACAATTCTTCTGGCACATAATATATCAAGATTTTAAATTAATATTACCTACACCTGGGTCACAAGTAACAGTCACTGTTGAAGCTCCTCTCACTACAACGATGGACCAGACACACGCGCATTGAATATATGGAGTGATGAGAGGCTTTGTCTCATTTTGATAAAATGTTTAAAATTCTGACATTTATATAGATAACAGAATTTGTATCAAATGATTATTATTATTGGTTATTTTTTTAAATTAAACCCCTAGTGTAAATGAAAATTTCGCCTATCGTTATTGAAGCTTTATTATCTATATATACTTTTAATATTGATGGTACCGAAAGTAGAATAATTACGATATTCATACTTAAGACGCTATAATTTAAAAATTATATATTTTTTTATATTTACATATGCAAAGAGGTTTATTGTGTTAGATTGAATCATTTTTATTTTGTACTAGCTGCGCCCCGCGGTGTTACCCGCGGATTTCCGGAATGTAATGTAGCCTATGTGTTATTCCTGGACGTCAGCTTCTAGTATACAAAATTTTATCAAAATCGATTCAGCCGTCTGAGCGTGAAGAAGTAACATACATACACACACACTCACAAACTTTCGCAATTATAATATTAGTAGGATTAAAAAAAATATGTTATCTTTAAAATAAATCCATAATTTCCAGGACATATTCATCTTAGATACTCCATGCTCTGGAATTTACATCTGGCTCGGTAAAGACCTGGATTCAGAAGTAAGGAAGACCTATAACGACATCGCGCAGCAATACGTGGATTTGAAGGGATATCCAACTTGGGTATGTTTCATTAAAATTTCCTTTTTTTCTCAATGATAAGGGCTTTTTAGATTTTTGTTCTTATAATTTCATTTATTTATTTTCGTGTGCACACATTTGTGTTTGATACCCAATATTCAGGGGCTATCTGAAAATCAGTGCTGATATGAACCTCCTTGCTACACTGTATTCTTTAAATTTAATTATTTTCTTCTGTGTAACCTATGTAATGTATGTGTAGCAAATAAATGGTTTGAGTATCACAATATTTTGGTATCACTTTAAGTATAACATTACTTTTTTATGAGACCTAAGATTATAAATCTTATTGCTTTAAATGATACTAATATTTTTCGGATATACTACGCGATTTATTTTGATAAAAACTACATACTAGGCAGACCCTGGCTAGGGCTGGGAAATTGCCAGGAAGAAGAAGAAGAAAAACTACATACTCCCGAAGTATGACTCACATCTCGTCTGTCCGTGATCACGGTTGCTGAAAAGTAACCGAAACGTCGGGAGTATGTAGTTTTTTACACATATAAAGTCGTATAGTAAATCCAAAAAATATTAGTTTCGTTGCTTTTTATTATTTTTGGTTTTTATTAGTATTGGTTTATATATTTATTAAGATATGGTATGATAATTGTACCTTTTGTACTTTAATAAGTTAAAGATAATTTACAAAAGATTAATTATTTATTATCATTCTAGGCAGATTATAAGGTATATACATATGTATTTAAATAGACTTATGACTACTAGTATCATATTATTACTTGTATAACGCTTTGCAGGTTTTAATGTAATATGTAATAAAACTAGATATTTTCTTGAAGAACAATATAGGCTTCTTTTTTGCATTATATAAAAGTATCTTAAGCTCAAATTTTCTACAAATTTCCTTAGTTTTAATATCGCTTCCATGATAACAAAGACTTCTGCTTATCTATCTTTTTTCGCCTACAAAGTTCATTGAAATAATTTTTACTATATAATATTGTGTCTTGCCAAGGTATTGCTGTCAAAATTTCTTGGGATAGGCTCACATTGACAGAAAATAATATTGTGTCTTGCCTTTGCAAAGAAATTGCTGTCAAAATTCTTTTGATAGGCCCATATTGACAGAAAAATCTCTATCATATTCTCATTTCTATCTAGGTACCCGTGACTAGAGTTTCAGAAGGCATGGAAAGCAGCGTGTTCAAACAATACTTCCATAGATGGGACACTGCTACTACTACTATCAAATCTGTGAAAGATATCGCGGCTGAGATTGGTGAGTCAATTTAACCCAGTATTGACAAATTCTGTAATATATATGTAGTATGCTGTGTCAGACCTGAATGTATAAGGGTTATTTGGTTGTTAATCCTTCCAGCATAAAGCTACAAATTAATAAGTAACCAATGTGAGAAGGTCTTTAGAAATAAGTTATAATTGTTTTTTTGCTTTATAGCAAAAAGAAGTGTTATAAAGTCTTATGTACTATTTCTGAATTTTATAATATTGTACAGATAAGAAAGGTCACGTAAAACGTATTTGAAAGAAATTTCACCTTAAATGGACGTGTCCTTATTTCCTTGATTTAAAACTCTCGTTGGAGTTTGTTTTCTGTGACCTATGATACGAAGTCTTTATGCAAATTTATAACATGTGCTTAGGTTTTTTGTCAAAGAATTTTTCCATGAGGATGTCGTGATAATTTATGATCTGCCTGATTCCAGATGCTGGCTATTTCTCTGGAGACGCGGATGATGTTGAAGCCGTCGCTCGCTACATCGGAAAAAGTGCTGTCGTGAGAGGCTACATGCCAGGAGAAGATGGTGCTTTTACTCTGTACAGGTAATTAAAATACAATACTTATCTAGTTTTAATTAAAAAGTCAGTGGTAGCCTAGTGGTTAAAAGGCCCGCCTCTCATGTATGAGGGCGCGGGTTCGATCCTGGCCCTGGCAAGTACCAATGTATTTTTCCAAGTCATATGTACTTTATAAGAGTATTTAGACATCACTGATTAATGCATTCCCAAAGAGGGTTGGGCCAAAACTATTCACAACATGTAAGGCAGACCCTGGCTAAAGCTGGGAAAATTGCCAGTTAGAAGAAGACTTATCTAGTCTTAATAATCACGGTTGCAAAGTAACCGAAACGTCGGGAGTATGTAGTTAAAAAAAATATATTGTAAACGAGTAGTAAGTGCGAAAAGTATTAGTTTTACTTCAATGAATACTAGCGAAAGTCTTAGTTCTTATTACAATTCGTAGTCTGTTGGATATTTGATGCAAACAATTATGTCAAATCGTTGTAAATAGTGAGGATGTTTTATTTTTTTAGAGCCAATAGCATACGTGAAAGATAATTTTATTAAAACTCATAAAACAGTACTACTCATAAAAAATAACAAATTTAAGTCCATTCAAACTTGTTAACTCCTCTTCATTTATATTAAAACATTTTCTATTAAATTCCTAAATAGCTGCACGATTGATTTATGGAATACTAGCTTTCCGTCCGCGGCTTTGCCCGCCTTGAGTTCGGTTATAACGCGTTTCCAAGAGAACCTTTCAAAAGTCTGGGATAAAAACTATCCTATGTTCTCTCTCAAGGTCAACTCTATGTCTGTACCAAATGTCATTCAAATCAGTTCAGTGGTTTAGGCGTGAAAGAGTAACAGACAGACAAACAGAGTTATTTTCGCATTTATAATATTAGTAGGGATTAGTAAGTAAATGGAATATTAATTAAATCGTAGATAAAAACTTATGTTCAAAATTCAGTTATCTACCAAGTGATCAAAAGTTTTTTACAAGCATAGGTCAACAGGCAGAACACCTAACTTTTGAACACATTTTAATATAATCTTAAATTATATGCATTAATATTAATATTTAGTATTTATTTGTTTCTATTATGTATATTAATTGATGTTTCTTTTTTTTTCAAATTTATTTAAATGTTGTATTTAATTTCTAATTTTTATATAGACATTACAGTCTGAAATAAATTTATTATTATTATTACTATTATTAATAGTTTTAATGTAATTTTTTCATCAGAGCTGGCGAAGAACCCGAAGATTTAACTGACCAGGAGACAACTAAACTATACACCAGCGAAGTTTACGTCGCCAAGTATCAATATAAGAACGATAATGATGAAGACATTACTGTTGCCTACCTCTGGATTGTAAGTTTGATATTAATATAAATATATAGATAACTAGCTGACCCGGCAAACGTTTTGTCATATAAAAAAATAGGGGTTGATGATAAAAAAAGTATAAATTTTGGGTTATGTGTATTTTTAATGCTACATTATAAAAAACTAAAAACAAAAATTAGAGTGAACAATCCTTATGACTTAGGGTTATGAAAAATAGATGTTGGCCGATTCTCAGAGCTATTCAATATGCTGACAAAATTTCATCAAAATCGGTCCATCCGTTTCAGAGGAGTTCTCTGTCTAACACAACGACACGAGAATTTTATATATAAGATATACATGGGAAAGTATCACCCTCTCACAGATGTGCGTGAAGTAGTCTTTAATGGCTGATTTTCGTCTGATGAGTGTGAGAGACGGTTGCTCTGTCTCTTTCTCACACTTTTACTCTAATTCTTCTTCAATGAAGGGTAGCAAAGCATCCGCAAAACTATATTGCAGATGTCTATGGGCGACTGTAACTATTTCTATCACCTAGGTCTGCTCGTTTGTCCTTTTAGCATAAAAGAAAACAATGAAAAATTCACAAAATCGATAAAAATTTGACCCTACTACGATCTTCAAAACAACGTTTCATAGAAAGGTCATTGACCCTTTAAGGCTTTAAGTGTATGGTTAATAATCACTGCTATTATTTATGATAATATGAGTATTAAATTAAAACTATATTTTTCATATATTTATTACATATAAAAGATAAAAGATATAGTTTTATAAGTTACAAGATTTACTGTATTATATGTTTTTTACTTTCATTTATATTTTCCCCCATATATACAACCATCAACATAACATATTTAATACTTCATTGATATTGCTCGTTAGCAACAAGACCTGCAAGATTATATATCCTTATATACCATAATTGTAATAATTGTTAATTATGCCAACATAAATATTAAAAACATTAAATTATATGTTTAAATCATCTTGTCAAGTTTAAATATGTTTTGTTAACACATATTTTATTCCCAGGGCAAGGACGCAAGCAGCGATGACATAGCGGCAGGGATAAATCTCCTAGATTCAATCGAAGAAGAGTCTGAAGGGCCAGTTATTAACGTGAAGTTGCCTCAAGGAAAAGAGAATAAGCACTTCTTGACTTTATTTAAGGGTCAGTATATATAATAATAATAATAATTTATTTATTAACAGTCATGAAATAATGTACATAATTTGTTTTTTTAGCTTAATAACTAAATCTAGGGTTATTTGTTTTTTTTAGCTTAATAACTAAATCTTTTACTACATCAATATCAATACAAATTACATATATATATACATATTTATATATATGTAATTTGTATTGATTCCCAAAGAGGGTTGATGTCAGGCAGGCGGTCGTAAAAACAATTAGACAAAACTATTCACAACATGTAAGGCATACCCCGGCTAAAGCTGTAAAATTGCCAGTTAAAAGAAGATATGTAATTTGTATTGTGTTTGTAGTAATGAATACACTCAAATTCATTATTTGTATAAGCACTCACAGCCTTAGTACTAAGATACAACTAACGACTAGTACTGCCATTTAGTTACACTTAACTACATATAACACGATTCTACTTAACTGTTACATTATAAGTCAGTGTTAGACTGACAAATATCATGTTTAAAACTGCTTTTAAACATTTATTTATTATATCATTCATCATATTCTATATTATTATTGTCTTGGTGGGTAAAATATACAGGGTGACTGGTGAATTACTATCAATACTTGAGGACGTGATATTTGACGATCATATATGACAAAATAAAAATTAATATAACATAAATATTAATAAACTTCTAAGTAAAGTTAACCAAAAGTTATGTAATTAATTACGCATCGTGTGAACACCCTACAGATTAGGTATACACACACACACACACGCGCGCGCGCGTGGCTTGGTGTTGTATCAACACGCCGCCGCTCGCGTCCACACTTGGAACACTTGGAATATGTCTACACTTTATTTATTTATACGGAAATTTGGTCAAAAATTAAGTACCAATTTTTTTTACATAATTCGAATGAGAATCATGTACCGAGTATGCTCCTTAAATATTGATAGTAATTCACCAGTCACCCTGTATATTTTAATTTAATATCATTACTGTTTATTATTTGTAATATCTTAATTGTAGTTATAATTTTTAAAATTTCCTTTGTAAGCGAACCTTGTTCTTTTTGGAAATAAACTTCTTTAAAGCCTATTTTTATACATCACGCAGGAAACCTCATTATTCTCTGTGGTGACAAGGAAAACGAATACAAGAGCCAAAACTACACTAGCAGCTTCGATGACAATGGAATTAGATTGTTTAAGGTATTTTATGGTGCCAAAGTAAATAATTGTAATTCGATGTTCATAATATGTCCAAGAGATGGCGCTGTTAATAATTAAAATTATTAAGAATTTTTTGCGTTAAATCGTGTTTTTCTAAATAGTTCTGTTGAAAATACTAATTAAAATTAAAATATTCTTCAGGTTGAAGGTACGAAGGTTGGTGTAGACATGAGAGCGATGCAGGTTGAGGAGAAATCTGATAATTTGGAAATCGACGATGTCTTTATATTAGAAACTCCGGATATGGTGTACTTATGGAATGGAAAGGTAAATACAATTCTATATACTATACTAAATACCCTTTCTCTTTCCCACCACCAAAATGGCGGCTTCGGACCAATATTATTGATGTAAAAACAATAATACACATGTCTCTAGAATGGAAGAATATTTTTTCCTAAAATGGCTGGTGTGTCCTTTAAACAAAATTATATTTACAGGATTCATCCGAAAAAGAGCAAGATGCTGCTAAGAATTTCGCGTCTCTTCTATTTGAAGAAAAGGAGGTGACTGAAGTAAATCAGGGAGATGAACCTGATGAATTTTGGGAGGTTTTAGGTAAGGGACAGCAAAAATAATGATATTTAAATCCTATTGCTTAAAATTAGGTGGCCTAGTGGTTAAAGGGTCCGCCTCAAACCTGGCAAGTACCAATGTGATTTTTCCGAGTCATATGTACTTTATAAGAGCATTTAGACATCACTGATTAATGAAGTAAAACATCGTGAGAAAACCTGGACTTATAGTTTCACAATTATAAGTTTGAAATCACCAACCCGTCTTGAGCGAGCGTGGTGATTAATGCTCAAACCATGTGAGAAAGAGGCCTTTGCTCAGCAGTTGGCTCTGATAGGCTAATGATGACGCTTAAAATTAAATTTTAACCGCAAACCTTTTATTTGTCATTTCTTAAATTAAGATATATTTAAATTTTGTTGCAAAACATTTATCATATCCTTGTCAAATCCTATAGTTTCTGATCCAATTTTTGTCTTAAAAAAGGATTTATAAATCCTATAATACTCTTATTCCTTCTTATGATTTTGAATTGAGTATTTTAACCAAAAACAAAGATTGTTAAGGCCTATAACATTGTTACTTCTTGTTAGGCCTTTGAATAGAGTATTTCAAGCAAAAAATCATATAAAGATTTTCTAATATTAATAAACTATTCAAGGAGGGCCTCCCGAGGAAAAGGAGTCTTCTTGGAAGCAGGCCGCGAGTAGACGAACGAACGTACCAACATCACTCAGTTCAGTTACAGTGAGGTCCAATGGAAAACTACGGTTTGAAGAATTGGAGGAATTCAGTCAGATGGTGAGTTTAATATATGTCGAAAACATGTATTATTTTAGAAGTGGAGCAATTACTGATTCTGATGGAATAATAATAATAAGTCATTTATTCTCTCTTCACAAAATACTTGATACACATCAAGATTGATTGATACACATCATCATACACATTTGAGCATTTAAGGAGCAATTTTTTAAGATATAAATAGTTAAAAATAAAAAGACTTGCTTTGGGTTACGAGATCTTGAAATTTTTATAACAGTTTTCGTTATAATGTATTGAATTTGGTGATCAAATAGTTTGATTCATATTTGATGAATGTACTGTACAATATACTGAGATTGATTTTATATATAGTGGAATATATTATGAGAGTTTTATAAAAGTGCAGGATTAAAAAACATATATAAAGATAAATATATAATTTCTATTGAAATGGACTATCATTTATATTTGAACCAGCGCATCTCTTAAGCGTAATTTATTACTTAAGAACATACTCTCTTAACAAATTTTACGTAATACTTCTGTTTGCTAGTAAGTTGCCAGTAATATACTACAAAATACTTCTGATATTCAGATCATTTTAGAATAATGTCGCTACATATCCATTTTATGCCTCCCCTGTACAAATTACTTTATTTCTTTTTTATATCACTACATAATCATTAATTATTTTATCATCCTCTACTTTTAAGATTCTATCAAATCTACGTGTATTAAATAAATTAATTTGGTAATATATCAGTATAAGTATTGGTCAATAACTTAGATATTCACATTTTATTTCGCCAGGATCTGTCTGATGATGGAGCCTTCATCCTCGATACAGGAGAAGAACTTTATCTGTGGTTGGGTAAAAATACACCGGAGAGAGTGAAGCATGCTCGCCTTAAGATAATAACGGTATATATATAAAGTCGTTTTAGTTACAATATATATAACTCTGACTGTACATATATGGATGAAGATTGGTGGAGAGATAGATTAGAACATAGAAAGGACATAGGGTACTTTTCATCTGATTGAAAAAATAATAATAAGTTGATTAAATCCAAAATCTTCTTATCTACTGTCTTTAAGGAGGAATAGAATTCGACCGGTCAGCTATACGTTTCTAATTTTGAAACTAACGCAGTCGAAGTTGCTTGCAAGAACTAGTGTTATATAAAATTAACCATTTCTTATGAATCTGCCTGAATAAATTTAGACGAGTCTAAAAAAATAAAAATGTATCCCATAGTAGTTTTAATAAACAATATGTGATGAAAATTTAATAGACATGAGCAGGCATTGAACCTGCTACCTCTTGGACATCTTATTACATTCTGACCTCACATATAAGTAGATTATCATGATTATCATTTAATGAGACTTTCGCTAGTATTAATTTAAATGAAACTAATATTTTTCGTATTACTACGAGTATTTTATTATTTAAAACTACATACTCCCGATGTTTCGGTTACTTTTCATCAACCGTGACTATTAAAACGAGATGTGAATGTCTGTCAGTTGGTCCTATTATTTATCTACTGCCATTAATTTCTTAATTTTCATTCATACCGGTCTGTATTATTATAATTTGTTCTGCAGGATTATATTGAAGATGATGGTTTAGAGAGAACTGCGGAATCAGCGGTAGTAGTGACTCTCAGACAGGGCGGGGAGCCACAAAACTTCAAAAATCTTTTCCCAGAATGGGATGACGAGTATTTTGAGGTGAGAATTTAAACTTAAATCACTTTTATGTGTGTTATTTTGTTGAAAATACTTTGTTAGTATTATTAATACCTTAGAAACCAAATATATATACTACTAGCTGCGCCCCGCGGTGTTACCCGCGGATTTCCGGGATGTAAAGTAGCCTATGTGTTATTCCTGGACGTCAGCTTCCTGTATACAAAATTTTATAAAAATCGGTCCAGCCGTTTCAACGTGAAGAAGTAACAAACATACACACACTCACAAACTTTCGCAATTATAATATTAGTAGGATAGTTATGTTATAATCTGTGCAACAAGGTCAGTAGTTGTCACTGCGTTCATAACAGATAGTATTCTTAATTAATGCGTAACTTGATGTGTATGTGTGTGTAAGTTTTGTGTATGTGTGACAAAAACAGGAATATAAAAAAAAAGTCATAGATTGTATCTATTCAGCTTAAATAACTAAGGCAATTGATTGTCTAAAATAAAGAGCATTACAGCAAAAGTATTGTGAAAGTAATAATAAATTAATTAACATTATCTGTATAGAAAAATAAAATGAAAGTAATGTTTTTAGGACAAATTTATATATTTTTACATCGACTACAAGGCGTATAATATGTATAAAATTATAATTTCTTTTTTTGCAGAAGCAAACATCCTACGAAGACATGAAAAACGAAACCAAAGCGGCTAATTCAAAATGAAATACTGTTTGAAGAAACTAAATATTTAATATTTTTTTATATCCACATAATATAACATTATTTATATCACAATGATGTTTTATTTTAAATAGAATTTGCAATGTGTGTATGTGCGTACGTATGTGCGTATGTGTGAGTGATGTTAACTGCATATCAAATCATATATTTCGAATATATCTTGTAAATAATATATCTATATTAATCTCTTCATATATACTCCTTCTTCTACCTGGCAATTTTTCCCAGGGTCTGCCTTATATGTTGTGAATAGTTTTGGCTAATTGTTTTTACGACCGGCCGCCTGCTTATTAATGCCTCTAGGTAGGAATAGAGTTCACCCGGTCAGCTATACATATATTCCTAATGACCAAATTAACGCGGACGAAGTAGCGGGCAAAAACTACTCTCTTATATACTTATCTTCTATATATATAAAAATGGATTGCTGTTCCTCAGTCTCGCTAAAACTCGAGAACGGCTGAACCGATTTGGCTAATTTTAGTCTTGAAATACTCCTGGAAGTCCAGGTAAGGTTTAAAAGGTGAGAAAAATTGGAATAATTGCCGGGAAAACCCTAAAAACAGGCCTTTTCTCTTTACCATACAAACGATTTTTTGACATTAGACTTGACAACTAACTAATATGTCAATCATTCTGATCGATTGAAACAGTAGAAATTTAATAAATATCAATACCGGGTTATTGAAGACGGAATAGAGTTCGCCCGGTCAGCTATACCTATATTACTAATGAAGAAATTAACGCGGACGAAGTCGCGGGCAAAAACTAGTTATTAAATAAAACACGTATATCGTCAACACATTTATTCACCACCGCACTCTAGTACGGTACTCGTCACTGAGCGACACACGTTTGATGCTCTCATAGCCGAGTATGATCGAGAAAGAGAAACAGGCGCTCTGAACTAGTCTAGCTGACAGGCCCTTGGCGTAAAGGCCCGTGAAGCCTTCCTCACGCCACAGCTCCTTGAAAACCTGCTTCATAGTGCCCACGCCTTCCACCTGGAGAATATATTAAATAGATGAAGGAAAAAGAGTTAACATTTAGATTGTGGAGAATATGTTAACAACTAGATTGCATCTAATGATATGTGACTTCCGCGAGTGTTCGTCTAAATGAAACTAATATTTTCGGATTAGGAGCCCTCATAAAGTATGTCACACCAATTTAATCATTTTTGAACCCCCCCCCCCCCCCTCCTGATCTGACGTTACACATTTTGAATGCATTCACATTTTTATATAAATATAAATGAAGTTTTGGGGTTGCATATGTTTCAGAATATAATGTCAAAAAATATCGAATCAATGATGGAAACAGTTTCGTTTGAAACATACGATAGTTGAAATTTTGCCATTATGATTGAATATATTTTATTACTAGCTTTCCGCCCGCAGCTTCGCCCGCGTGGAGTTCGGTTATACCGCGTTTCCAAGAGAACCTTTCGAAAGTCTGGGATAAAAACTATCCTATGTTCTTTCTCAAGGTCAACTCTATGTCTGTACCAAATTTCATTAAAATCAGTTCAGTGGTTTAGGCGTGAAAGCGTAACAGACAGACAGAGTTACTTTCGCATTTATAATATTAGTAGGGGTATCGTACTCACTTGTAACCTCGCCCGTACAATATCCAAGGGATTCGTGAGTATGGTTGTAGTGAACCCTCCGAGTGTACCCGCCACGCACTGGATGAATAAGTGCGACACCCACGAAGGACTTATCTTGAACAGTTCATCTGGAACATATAAACATCAATATATTAACTTGAATATACATACTATTAGAGGAAGAAAAATAATTGCCATCACTAATATAGATAATAAATAAATATAATACTGGCAACATTGAAATTATTATTTCTTCTTCCTGGCAATTTCCCAGCTTTAGCCAGGGTCTGCCGATATATACAACAACATATATATGTATATAACTTTGATTATTTAAATATTTTTTTAATTATTCATATATTCAAATAACAAGGATATCTATTTTACCACAAGTTAAGACAAAGAAAACAAAATTTTTCATTCATATTACAATATTAAGTTATATACATATATGTAAAATTATAATAAATAAATCTTATTAAATATTTCAGTTAAAAATTCAATATTTAAAATTTATCTTAGTTAATATAATATTTGAAACAAATATTTGTCATTTAATTTTATGTATATCATCATCAGCCTATCAGAGCCCACTGCTGAGCCTCTTCTCACATGGAGAAGGTTAGAGCATTAATCATTACGCTTGATCAAGACGGGTTGGTGATTTCAAACTTATAATTTCATAAATCCATGTTTCCTCACGATGTTTTCCTTCATTATAGTGATGTCTAAATACTCTTATAAAGTACATATGACTTGGAACATCACATTGGTACTTGCCAGGATCGAACCCGCGCCCTAATGATTGAAGCGGTTCTTTAACCAAGCCACCACGGACTCATGTAAGTTATATCTTCTACCTGTCAATTTCCCAGCTATAGCCAGGGTCTGCCTTACATGTTTATAGTTTTGGCTAATAGTTTTTACGACCGGCCGCCTAACAGCAACCCTCTTTGGGAATAAAGTTTTTGTGTATTAATGGGAATAAAATGTCTTAAAGAAGATATTTTTAACTTACCTTGGTAAGCTGTATATAATGCCCACCATAATGCTGAATTAGGTACATAAGCTGCCAAAGAGGCTGTGTAACCTCTGTAGTATCCCAAAACACCATGTAGACGGTATACTCGAGCCGCAACCTCCTTGGCGAGTGCTATTTTTGACATTGGCTGTTCAAGGTCTAAACCCAATGGATTTAGTTTCTGTTGAAAATAAAAAAATAATTAAAAATATATATACTATAATGATTAGGAGAATTTTAGTGTTATGTATTTAATTTGTGGGTGTTAAATAATTATGTCAAGTAGGTAGATGAATTATACATATAATATATAATTATATTTATATAGTTTTATTGCATATGATATTTTTTTATTAACTTATATTAAGAGAAAATTCATATAAAAAAACTAACTTATTCGGTGTCATACAGTCAAATTATATAAAATGAGGTAGAAAGAGAAAAAATGAATTAATAAAATTATAATCAGTAAAACAGAATAGACTTATGAAAGAAAAGTTTAGAATCCAGTAATATATCTACAAATATTATAAATAAGAAAAATTGTGAAAATATATGAATATTATATGATCTTTCACATGAAATATACTGAATTGATTTTGATAAAACTCTACCATAATGTAGCTTAGATATTAGGATAACTATTTATTAATAATACTAATATTCATTTGTATGGAATATACATTAAAATAGTTATATGTGAATTTACGAGTTATTTCTAATAAATGGCGCTAGTTGTTAGTCTATATGTTATTAAAGAATATTTTAAAATTTTCTTTAAATATTATTAGAAAATTAAAAGAATAATATAAAGCATTTAAATAATACTTAATAAGAGATAATATGAACATTTTAATTTTTAATATATATTAATTCGTGAAATATTCAATTAATTCAGCAATGTATTGATAACAATTCTTTATATGTATATTTTTATATCTAACAATATATTAAAAAATACATATATAAATCTATTACTTTGCAGCAAAGAACACGAACAGATGATATTAAATAAATATATTATTCCAAAAATATTAATTTATAAATACAAATATTTCTTACATTATTTATTGAATTGTATGTATTAATTGTCACAGTTGCTGTAAAGTAACCGAAACGTCGGGAGTATGTAGTTTATAATCCCTACTAATATTATAAATGCGAAAGTAACTCTGTATGTCTGTTACGCTTTCACGCCTAAACCACTGAACTGATTTTAATGAAATTTGTTACAGACATAGAGTTGACCTTGAGAAAGAACATAGGATAGTTTTTATCCCAGACTTTCGAAAGGTCCTCTTGGAAACGCGATATAACCGAACTCCACGCGGGCGAAGCTAGTATACATACAGCGTGACTGGTGAATTACTATCAATATTTAAGGAGCATACTCGGTCCATGATTCTCATTCGAATTATGTAAAAAAAAATAGGTACTTAATTTTTGACCAAATTTCCGTATAAATAAATAAAGTGTGTACACGTTCCAAGTGTGGACGCGTGCGGCGGCGTGCTGATACAACAACACGCCGCCGCGCGCGTATGTGTGAGTGTGTGTGTATACCTAATCTGTAGGGTGTTCACACGATGCGTAATTAATTACATAACTTTTGGTTAACTTTACTTAGAAGTTTATTAATATTCATGTTATATTAATTTTTATTTTGTCATATATGATCGTCAAATATCACGTCCTCAAATATCGATAGTAATTCACCAGTCACCCTGTATATTAATACTATAAAATAATATAAATATTATACTTACAGGATTCATTGAGTTCTCAGCAGAACCTTTTACAAGCCCGAGGACCATCAAGTGTTGGCTTAATACATCGAATGGCACTATCACTGTCTGACCGACCAGTGATGCACAGCCACCCGCTATGAAGGACTGCAACCAGGTGATGAGATGAATTCTGGTGAAACCTGCCATCACGGCAGGTGATGATGATGATGATACTACTAATATTATAATTGCGAAAGTTTGTGAGTGTGTGTATGTTTGTTACTTCTTCATTCTCAAACGGCTGAACCGATTTTATATAAAATTTTGTATCCAGGAAGCTGACGTCCAGGATAAACACATAGGCTACTTTACATCCCGGAAAGCAACGGGTAACACCGCGGAGCGCAACTAGAATGATATAAATTATATTATGGTTGTTCTGTACATTATAATAAGTTTATACATGGTGTTGAAAATACAAATTATAATGTAACTTTTGGTGGAAATTAAATGATTGTGATAAAAAGAGAAAGACAGACAGAAAGAGAGAGATAGAAGATATAAATGAAGCTTCATATATATTTAAATGTTTTTTATATACATAAATGTAATTTGCAGGATGAGAATATGATGTTGAAGTAATGATTTAAGATATTACTAATTTAAATTATATGAGAAAATATTATAAATAATAATTATTAGGTATAATATATTTGATGTATTAATAATAATTTTAATAAATGTTTTTTTCACCTCACCTTCAATCGTGGGTTTATCTCGTGTTTGCCAAGTTCATGTCTTACCCCTTCGTACGTTGTTATATAGAAAACTCCAGATATTATCTGAAACTATTGAGAAAATACCAATTATTAATAAAAGTACATTGTTTACAATATTTATCTTGTTTTTTGACGAGAATTCAGTAACAAAAATGGTAGATGCTAGTAGATAGTAGAACGACTTTAAAACTGAACTATGGTGTGTTTATAGTAATAATATGTCTAAATATGGTACACATACAGGCAGACCCTGGCTATAGCTGGGAAATTGCCAGAAAGAAGATGGTACTACATATATGTCCAATATATTACTATATACCTATAACTTATATACAGGGTGACTGGTGAATTACTATCGATACTTGAGGACGTGATATTTGCCAATCATATATGACAAAATAAAAATGAATATAACATAAATATTAATAAACTTCTAAGTAAAGTTAACCAAAAGTTATGTAATTAATTACGCATCGTGTGCACACCCTACAGATTAGGTATACACTCACACACACATACGCGTGCGGCGGCGTAGTGTTGTATCAGCACGCCGCCGCACGCGTCCACACTTGGAACACTTGGAACGTGTCAACACTTTATTTATTTATACGGAAATTTTGTCAAAAATTAAGTGCCTATTTTTTTTTACATAATTCGAATGAGAATCATGTACCGAGTATTCTCCTTAAATATTGATAGTAATTCACCAGTCACCCTGTATATGTATATATATAATATACTTACATTAGACAACCAAAATCCCCTGTACAACCCGGAAACTCCCTCGTTAGCGTAAATCTTAGATATAGCGTCGTACACTCCTTTGTACGCATCCTTTTTCCGTTGCACTTGGATTTGTGTCTTTATTAATGTTAGCGGATAGAGCGCGCAACGAACTGAAAGAAAAATAATATATATATATATATATATATATATACTAGAAGACCCGGCGAACTTCGTTTCGCCCTATAATCAAGAAATATCTGTTACGTTTTTTTATTTATATTTTTGGAGTTTACCTATTAAAGCCATAAATCTCCGTGTTTTGAAGTGCGACAGAATGATTGACATATTAGTTAGTTGTCAAATCTAATGTCAAAAAAAACGTTTGTATCAACAACTACTAATAAATTGAAAAATTAAATAAACATTGTCATAACAGCGGACAAAATTGTGAATCTAAACCATTCTCAGATCCCCTTGAACACACACAAAAAATTTCATCAAAATCGGTCCGGTCGTTTGAGAAAAGTTCAGTGACATACACACTCACAGAAGAATTATATATATACAATTCTCATGTCGCGGTGTTAGACAGAAATCTTTTGTGAGCATATTCAGTAAGTCTGAGAATTGACCAACATCTATTTTTCATACCCCTAAGTCATAATTGTTCAATCTTAAATTTCTTTTTAATTATTGGACGAAAAATGTTGTTATTTTTTGTTTATCACCAACCTATATTTTTTATATGGCAAAAAACATTTGCAGGATCAGCTAGTAATTGAGAGTGGGGGGAGTATGGCCACTGAAATGTATGTTATTAGTGATGTTTAAAAATTCCCCAGACCTCTCACTTAGTAAGCTAGTACTTAGTTACCCGGTTTGTTCATAATTAGCTAATTATCATTTAGATTGACTGACATTTAGATATACTAGCTTTTGCCCGCGATTTTTTTAACTAGTTTTATAATATGTAGCTGACTAAAAACTTTAGAATTTTATTACCAATTTCTTTTTCTAAAGTATCCTGTGTCCTTTCTATGTTCTAATCTATCTCTCCACCAATCTTCATCCATATCCGTACAGTTGTTATATATAAATAGTGTAACTAACACGACTTCCTTTTGTATATATATCAAAAATTTTCATATTTTGAGTCTTAAATACTATAATAATGATTTACCTGTGAACCCACTCAAGCTATACAATGGAAAAAACTTGCTTTTATCCATCATACCCCACTCGATAGTGGTGATTAGCTCCGGTGGAGGCGTTTCAACCATTGTTGCAGACATATCGCTACCAATTATACTTTTCAAGCTGTTCCATAGATTAATAAGCATCTATTTTTCTTTGGTTTTTAGTATTTTTTTTAAATTTTAAATAAATTATATTTATATATAGATCTCTATGTTAATATGTCATCGTATTTAATACGATGATTTTAAATTAAATTGGACTAATAATTTGTATCAATTTTTCACATATATTGCGGTCCGGTTCTTCCATTTTTTAATTTACAGGTAGCTGTAACAAAATTAATAACTTTATATATGAAATCTATGTTTGAACAACTGTTCCAATAGAGTACATAATATATATGTATATATATATTACTTATCAATAATACTACACATGTAATTGTATAAAGGCAAGACATTTTAAATATTTTTAATAATTTAATATACTAGTTATATTACATGTACAAAAAATTTTACATTTTTTATCATGAACAGACAATAATAGAACCAATTGGTAATTATTTAAATTAATTACCAAACCTGATAATGGAGCTTGGAATACATAATTGTAAAAAGTATGATTCATTAATTCAAATGAAAAAGTTTTTATATAAAATTATTAATATTCATTGTAATTCATTTCTGTTTTAATTTGTTAGATATTAAATTGTATTTTACTGTCTAATTATATAATTTAAATTTTAATGCAATAAATAGATTATTGTAAAGTTTTACTCAAAAACATACTGGTCTTTTTAAAACAATTATTGATTGATAAAACCCAGATATTCAATATCTATAGGTATCTAAATAAAAAAACTTCCAAATCACTCTGTTTTTTGTGGTATAAAGTAACAAAAACATTTAGAAAAAGCTTAGCATTGCACAAGAAGTAAGATAGCACAAAAAATAGTTTTATCAATGGGAACTAAGTAAATATATATTAGATTTTTGCAAGCTGGCAATTTATGCGCAATAGTGTTTTAAAACGATAAAAGTTATAATGCACCAAAATATAAAAGTTTTAGTCAAAAAATCAAAGGCTCTGTAAATCTATATGATATTTTATCTAAATACATATACACAAACTAAATTCTAATAAGAATATCGGTCGCGATGTTTTCTGACTCACCATTGGTAACTATTGGTATCCATTGTAGTGTGCTACACGTTGACTGTACGGCATGAAACAGGAAGGTTTGATTTGTTTTAAAAATGTTTTATGTAATAATTTTCTTAATTTCTTTAATTACACCATGGAAAAATAAGTCCGTGAATGTCAGTCAGCTGATTGGTGGCCTTTTATCTTATCCGAGGTCACAGTGTATGTAATGATGACAGTAGTCAAATTGTTCAATGTTAAATAATATGTCAAAAACATTGTTAATATACAAAAATATATTTATTATTTAACTTTATCTAAAAGATATTTTAAACAAATCATACGGATTTATAGTTTTTGTATTTTTATATAATCTTTAGTTTAATAAAAAAATATTTTAATTTACATAATACATATATAAATATTATATATTAATGTAATATTAATAATAATAAAAATATAAGAATGTTTTCACCTAAATTCATGTCCGTCGTTTGGAGATATAAGTTTATTTTTTACCATTTGCAACCTTTTAACTTCTAACTTTCAAGTTTCAAGTAAGAATCTGACAGCAACTAAATACTAACTTTGTCCACAGTCCAATACATCTACAAACTATTTCATAACTTTATACTTAATATTACTTAAATAATGGTAAAAATAATATAATTCTAATAATTTCTTATAGTTTTTAAATATCGTGATATTAAATTTGTGTTTAATTGTGTTACAGGCTCGTTATTTCAAAGAACAGGATATCGATGGTAAATATAAAAATAATTTTGTTACAAATATCTAAAAACATATTAAAATTATATACTTATAAATATTTTAAACAAATAAAACATATTCACGCACCGTTATATCCTATGGCCTACTTTCACTTATTTTGTAATTACGTATTTAAATCCGATTGAGTTTAAAGAAAGTAGAATTGTTAAATAATGTTTTATCGATTATTTCAAGTAGATTGAGACATTATCTCCATTCAATGATAAGACAATATAATAATTAGAAAATTGATATAAAAATGCATGATTTATAATCATTTATGTTTTTGTATTGCTATTTCGAAGTTATACTAATCTGTTTAAACAAAACTTCATAATTGTAGTGGAAACTATAAATATTTATCTATAAAGTCATATATACGACATTCTCATAGAATTTTAGTAGATTCTTTTAGATTTTTAATACTTTAACTTAAAAAAACAACTATAATAATTTTTAGAAAGGATTTAATTTCTTTAATAAAATTAAATATAAGAATTAACTATCGTCTAATTTAATGTCTAAGATACCTTAAATTTACATATGTTCCGATTTTAGTTTAAACTAGCTTTCCGCCCGCAGCTTCGCCGCGTGGAGTTCGGTTATATCGCGTTTCCAAGAGAACCTTTCAAAAGTCTGGGATAAAAACTATCCTATGTTCTTTCTCAAGGTCAACTCTATCTCTGTACCGAATTTCATTAAAATCAGTTCAGTGGTTTAGGCGTGAAAGCGTAGCAGACAGACAGACAGACAGAGTTACTTTCGCATTTATAATATTAGTAGGGATTTAACACCTATGTAATTCGATGTTACAGAGTTCAGGGAATGCTTCTATTTATTCGCCCGCTCCGGCCAGATCACCTCTCTGGATGAGTTGACGGTCGTCATGAGGTCTTTGGGCATGAGTCCCACTATACAGGAACTAACAGGTATGGGGATAAGATATAGAATATTACACAAGTTTTAAGTTGGCAAATGCACTTTTTAAAGCTATTCTACTGAGATGAAACTTCTCAGCATTCCATGGATTCACCGTGTGGGTGCCGGGTCCATTGCGTGGCAATGCACTTTAAAGCTATTCTACTTATCCCTACTAATATTATAAATGGGAAAGTAACTCTGTCTGTCTGTTAAGCTTTCACGCCTAAACCACTGAACTGATTTTAATGAGTACAGAGATAGAGTTGACCTTGAGAAAGAACATAGGATAGTTTTTATCCCAGACTTTTGAAAGGTTCTCTTGGAAACGCGATATAACCAAACTCCACGCGGGCGAAGCTGCGGGGGGAAAGCTAGTAATTGTTATATATATGTATATATACACTCATATCTGTCAGTATGTGTGTGTGCATGCATGTGAATATATATGTTGTGTTTTCAAGCTATGGCTTCATTAGTACTGTATTCATGGTTACTGCCGATGCAGTATTTTTATTTCTGAATGATTAATAATATGATTACTGTGTGGAGATACCTCAAAGTAGTTTGAATCAAAATAGTTACATACTTAAAACTTTTTTATACACTCAAATTATATGTATATTTATTAACTCCAATAATATGATAATTTCTAAAAATAGAGATAATAAATTTATTAAACTTCAACAACTTTGTTTTGTATGAAGATATTAATCCCTACTAATAATAAATGCGAAAGTGACTCTCTCTGTCTGTTACGCTTTCACGCCTAAACCACTGAATCGATTTTAATGAAATTTGATACAGACAGAGTTGACCTCGAGAAAGAACATAGGATAGTTTTTATCCCAGACTTTTGAAAGATTCTTTTGGAAATAAATTTTAATCAGTTCAATACTTTGTAATGTATTTATATTCATTAATATTATCTGTTTCATATTGGATTTCAGGTTACTTGAAGGGTAAGGGTGGTAAAATGTCATTTGCCGATTTCCTCGAGGTCATGCACATACATTCAAGAGCGGAGAATTTACCTCATGAGGTGAGATGATGAAATAATCAACTCTAACACACTATTAGATATAGTTACAGATTTGTTAGATAGGGGCCTAACTCGAAATAGGTTTGTAGTGGATTTGTAGGTAGAAGTGGAAGCGAGAGGCATAACATCTAAATTTCTCTACCACCTATTAAAAGACTTGGGCTTGTCCAGAACTAATATAAATTCATTCTTGGAACGCACTTCAAAGGCAGCCCTAGTAGGTTCTTTTTAAATTTGGTAGCGAGAGGAGTTTGTACAGTGGAGGTGATCTTTTAACGTTAGATAGGGTCCCTTAAACCTACACCTGGGTCACAAGTCACAGTTGCTGTTGAAGCTCCTCTCACTACAACGATGGACCCGACACACGCACCGTGAATACATGGAATGATGAGAGGATTCATCTCTAATTTAATGTTCATAGTTACTTCCAGTAATGTGTTACAAGATGTGTGAAGCCAGTATGTATAGTTTACAAACACATGATACTCATGTTGATACATTACAATGGTTCAGTATTATCATTCGTTATAATCACTCATAATAATAATTGTAAGGATTATAGTATATTATGAGTACGGCACAGATGGTGCCACTTAACAAGACATTATTCTGTTTTTCCTAGAACAATTTTGCATGAAAGGGTTTGGAATTTTCATCTCCATATCATGAAAACATATTAACTAACCATATACCCATTATTCTCTCGAAAATATAAAACATAATCTATAAAATATTTCAACATATTTATGCTTATAATAAAATAATTATGAGAAAAATTTTTAAACCACTAGTAAGGAGAGATGACACCCATAGTAACTTATATACTCTTTTATACCAATGGAGTATATACTAAGATGCGCACGCATTTCTTTATATCTTCGCTCGTAAAAAAGCTCGATTCTAGTTGAGTGCAGTGACTTAATACGTGACTTAATATAATTTATTTTGATAATCACCACTCCATATAACTGGTGTATGTAACATAAAGCATCGCCTCAATCGTACATTTTGGTATCGAAATCATCTCAAGATGAATTACATGAGTCGACAGTATAGCGTTCCGCTCGCTTCATTCGTTTCGTTCGTTCCATACGTTTCGTTCGTTTCGACTACTTACATCAGTGAATCATCTAATACTTGATTTTCCAGGTGGTTGATGCGTTCAGAGCTGGTGATTCAGAACGTAGAGGAACCATTCCGGCTCGACAGTTGAGACATTTACTACAGAATTGGGGAGAGGGATTATCTTCTAGGGAGGTAGGGTTGAAACTTAGAATATTTATAGCTATAGGTTATTTTGAATTAAAACTTGGAATGAATATTATTAAAGACATTCTTAACGATCGAATCGAATATTATAAAAAAATGTCGATGTTTAGTGAAAGCGCTATCTAGTGTCGAGTGGAGTAACTATTTGCTATACATTTACTAGAACATTCGTATTGTTAATGTTAAATATTAAATTAACCATAATCCAATTGATGTGATATTTAATATGTTTTCAGATTGACAATATCTTCCGCGAAGCGAACGTAACGAACAATGGAACAGTCCGTTACGAGGATTTCGTTAAAATAGCCTGCGCCCCCGTACCAGACTACTACTGAATATATATGTATATATAATTCATGAAATCTTATAAGATTTCATTTTGCATATCTAAGAAATCTTTAAAGATTTCTTTATTTTTTTATATATTCGTATAGTACATTTTAATATTTACTGATTTCATACATATATATTAGAAATCTTAATAGATTCCAATCATTATATACTAATTAATTACAATATATTTGATTAAATCATATTGTGCTTATTACAATCTGCAAAGATTTGAACTTTTTGTGTAGCAATACTTATTTATCTTTTTTAATATATGTATATTTTGATCAAATTTAATATTCTAAATAAATTATGTAGTGAAGATAATATGTAGATAAATGCAGAAGCTACTTAAATTTATTTCGGTTAAATATAAGATATAAAAATTTAAAAAAAATGTTAACAAACCGTCATCGTAATAAATATTTTTTTTATATATTTCTTTTTTTAATACTATGGCTTCATTCAATCGTCGTATTTTTATTGGAAATACATTTTTATTTGTTTGACGAATTATACATCATTTTGAATATCTGCACACATGCAAAAAAAATACGAAGGAAGGGTTTTGTTATATATATATATATTAAAATAAAACGAACGCATTAGTTATTATTTTTTTCAAAACGTCATTATATTTATTTTATATAACATGATATGGCACTAAGTGGTCCTTCTCTACAACACACCGTTAAAATAGATTGGAATTAATAATTTAAAACGCCTCCATCTGACGGCTCCTAGACTATAAACTGTTAAAAGGCGGCAATTACTGGAGTGACGTCATCGTTGTCATGGCAACCGGCGAAATTATTACTGCCATTTTTAATAGGAAAAATTACGTCGCGGTTGCCATGGCAACGTCAATATATTACCCGCCTTTTTAGAACGATTTGAATCTTGACGAATTGTAGAATTTTATTGGGATTTATGAATACGCAATTTATGATTTGCGTAATCCCGAATCCGATTTGGGATTATAGTCTAGGAGACGACGGATTAACATTATTGGCAATACACACGGTACAAAAACATTAAAAAGTTAGCACATCTAAAACTATATATATAAAACAGTTAGGTGTTCGTTCGTGTATAGTGTTGGCACAGTAGCTTACTAAGAGAAGAGAAGAGATTGTTCTGGAAAAATTGTTAAAAAATACATCATTTATTGAGGTAAAATCGTCAGATAGAATATCAAATATGTATTGCTGGTAAGTAAGCATTAAATGTGATATCTAAACTACTCTACATTAGAGAAACCAGCCCATAAACTCCTTATATTAATCTACTATCTACAAAGCATCATAAGAAATACGGCTTCAAACTCAGATCTATATAAAACTAAAAAAAACTATATAAATAGGATTAAAGTTATTGCTTCACATTACCACGAGTTTCAAACGAGACACGTTAAGTTAAAAGTCATCGTTAATCATATGTATAACATAGATATGTGAAAACAAAACTAAACTATCAGTTTTTCGTTAATGCAAACTCGTGGTCAGCTATGTCAGATAAATAAAACTAAATTTCTCGATAATTATTATAAACCATAATATACAGGGTGACTGGTGAATTACTATCGATACTTGAGGACGTGATATTTGACGATCATATATGACAAAATAAAAATTAATATAACATAAATATTAATAAACTTCTAAGTAAAGTTAACCAAAAGTTATGTCATTAATTATGCATCGTGTGAACACCCTACAGATTAGGTATACACACACATACGCGTGAGGGGGCGTGGTGTTGTATCAGCACGCCGCCGCACGCATCCACACTTGGAACACTTGGAACGTGTCAACACTTTATTTATTTATACGGAAATTTTGTCAAAAATTAAGTACCTATTTTTTTTACATAATTCGAATGAGAATCATGGACCGAGTATTCTCCTAAAATATTGATAGTAATTCACCAGTCACCCTGTATATATGTATATATTCTACTAGAAATATATACGACGAAAACTATAAATATACCACAGGTAAATTGTTATAAGAAAGAATATTACATATGCTCTGTAAAAAAGTACGCGAACCACAAGTTTAGAAGTTCACACTACATACGTAGAGTGTTCAGTTTTTCGATCCTCTATATTTCACCTATAAGAGATTTTAATATATATATATTATAGTATTGATATTGGTAACTGAGAAACACAAAACATTCCGTATTCAGTATGAAGAAACTTGTACTTAGCGCACAGATTTGAAAATATACCAAATATTTATTATAATAATAGCTGAAGCAAAAATGACAAAGAAACTAAGTTTTTCGTAAAATATGCGTTTTTTTTTTATTTATATATATTTACGTCCATTTACAGCAAACACCACGACAGACGAAATAAAAATTGAAAGTTATCATAAATATAATAAAAAGGGGAATATCCGAAAAACTTAATTTCATTTGGATGTGTAAACGCGAAAATCTTAGATAATATAACAGTTACTTGTTAAAAACTAATTAAATTTAAAGTGCAGTTCAAAATACTGAAATACTATTTCTACATAATATATTGAAGAAAAATCGCGTTATTTTCTCGTGGAAACATATATATAACCTCAAGTTACCTTTGAATAACATATTTTATTTACTAACTAGGTTCATTTTCGATGTCCATTAATAATTAATATTGCGAGGATCTAAGAAAAATTCTTAAACACCAAGAGAAAAAAACAAAAAAGTTTAAGAATTTGAAATTGAGATGCCAATAAGGCATTACGAAGAGAGTAGAAATATTCCAATTATAGAGCTATAATGTATAGAGGGGACTTGTTATACAGAAAATGTATTATGGAACCTCTAAATCACATGATATTATATAAGCATATTCTTATGCTATATTACAATCTAATAGCTTATAAAATGTTATTAAAGCATCGGTTGGCTAAAGCACTTGAAATTTTAATGTTTAAGTTTAATTACCACGTGTTTTCATTGTCACAATCAATACGGATAGTTTTGAGTCAATTCTCTTTGTATAATTTTACGTCGATATCAATGTAGTATAGACGAAAAACTATCCTATTTTTGGATGACGATGTAAGCATCGCGGTATATTTGTGACAAATTTTTGCACTACAATACCATGACTACTTATAAATATATATATTAAAACCAATTATTTAAATAACAAATATATACATATTTAAAATCACAATCTCTTTGACTATAATCCTGCGAGGAGGATTACCTATAATTGATCATGTTCTATAGGAAACTAAAAATTTAACAACTCTCAGACTATAATACTATTGTTAAAACTCATCAACATATTAAATCTTGGTCTGTAATGTACCTTTTGAAAACTTATCAACACTTCGACAAAAATTTGTCAACAATTCATGAATTATATACCTTTTGCAAAAAAACCTATCACATCTTGCACTAAAATTGTACTGTCAAAAATCATTAAGACTTGTACTTAATTTCTACAGTGAAAAACTCATCAACTTCCGTACTAAAAACCTACTGTGAAAAACTTATCAACTCTTGGACTATAATCCTCGTGCAAGAAACTCATCACTAATGGTCTATAATCCTATTGTGAAAAACTCATCACTCATGGCCTATAATCCTATTGTAAAAAACTTCACTCCTGAACTATAATCCTATAGCGAAAAACTGATCACTATTGGACTATATTTCTATAGTGAAAAACTCATCAGCTCTTGGCCTATAATCCTAGTGCATAAAAACTCATCAGCTCTTGGCCTATAATCCTGGTGCATAAAAACTCATCATAACCCCACATTAATACTATAAGGCCCCACAGACTTCCATACTTCGGTCATACATGTTTGTTCTTGATGGTAGGTTTCCGTCTTCTGAAGTTGCCCATCTGCCTCAATATCTGAACGTTTTCATCATCCAAATCTCTATCCATACCTGACGTACCTGGTATAGTGCCGAATAACTTCAACTTCGAGGGCAGATATGCTAAACCTAGTAATGTTAAAACTGAAAAAAAAAAGAAAAAATTATATATAAATACCAATAAATCATAGAAAATCTTCTACTACCTGGCAATTTCCCTGCTTTAGTCAGAGTCTGCCTTACATGTTGTGAATATTTTTGGCTAATTGTTTTTACGACCGGCCGTCTGTCTGACATCAACCCTCTTTGGGAATGCATTAATCAGTCTAAATACTCTTATAAAGTACATAGGACTCTGAAAAATCACATTGGTACTTGCCAGGGCCAGGATCGAACCCGCGCCCTCATGTATGAGAGGCGGGCCGTTTTAACCACTAGGCTACCACTGACTCAAAAATAAATCATAGAAAATGAAACTATTATTTTTCTTATATGTATACTACGCGGTTTAATTTTTGATAAAAAACTACATACTCCCGACGTTTCGACAACTTTACAGCAACCGTGATCATTAAGACGAGATGTGAATGTCATATCATAGAAAATTTATAAGATTCTTATCTACAAAACGACTTGACCAATTCTGATGAAATTTATAAAAAAGCATAATCCTATAATATTAAGAAAAAATCTATATCTTATAATTTATTTTTATTACCTTCAAATAAAACTAGCAGAGATTTCTTTAAAGACTCATTTTAAATACATTCTTTACATCTACTTTTTCTTTATTTATTTGACACACAAATGAATAAATAATTAATAATACTCACTGTTTAATATGCAAGGAAAAACCACATAAAAATTGAGTGTGGTCGAATGAAAATAGAATGCTTCAGTCAAATACAATATTATTGTAAGTATGAGAGACCAATATCCCATTGATACAACTCTGGAAATAAAAATACACAAATTTATATATACTAGCTTCTAAAGGTGGCATTTCCCTTGGCGTATTTGGAGCATTTGTCCAAATATTTGTACGCAGTTCAAATAGCGCAAAAACGACATCCACACTTGGCATGCCAACACATCTTTACGCGTTTCCATTTATTTATGTATGTGTGTTATTTGTGCGAATATGTCAAATGAAGACGCATATATCATCCACACATGGTCTTAATTGGCCGAACAACAAATAAACGCCAAAAAGTGCCACTTTACGAGCAAATATTGTGTTTATTATAATATATTTGTGAACCAACAGTCAGCGCCATCTATCGTGTGTCGATACTTCACACAATACATCTGTTGTGAAGTGTTCCCGGGAACTACACGGACTGCACGATACATTATACAGGTGACTGTTGAATTACTATCGATACTTGAGGACGTGATATTTGACGATCATATATGATAAAATAAAAATTAATATAACATAAATATTAATAAACTTCTAAGTAAAGTTAACCAAAAGTTATGTAATTAATTACGCATCGTGTGCACACCCTACAGATTAGGTATACACACACACACACACACTCGCGCGGCGGCGTGGTGTTGTATCAGCACGCCGCCGCACGCGTCCACACTTGGAAAGTGTCAACACTTTATTTATTTATACGGAAATTTTGTCAAAAATTAAGTGCCTATTTTTTTTACATAATTCGAATGAGAATCATGTACCGAGTATTCTCCTTAACTATTGATAGTAATTCAACAGTCACCCTGTATACTATGTGTTATTATAATACATTATATCCTTCACAGTAAAAAGTATATGAGAGTCTACTTATTCACAAAACACCATATTATTTAAAGTCAGTTATATATAGGTAAATCAATACTTACGGCCTGTAATGTATGTATAATGTACAATGTATCAAAGCCAACGCTTTCAAAACAGAATACATTCCGAGCATTCTTGATATCGTGAAATCACCTGAAAATAAACATAATTCATTATAGTAAACTATGAACAACTATGTACATTCTTCATAGTGTACACTATCCCTACTAATATTATAAATGCGAAAGTAACTCTGTCTGTCTGTTACGCTTCACGCCTAAACCACTGAACTGATTTTAATGAAATTTGGTACAGAGATAGACTTGACCTTGAGAAAGAACATAGGATAGTTTTTATCCCAGACTTTTGAAAGGTTCTCTTGGGAACGCGATATAACCGAACTCCACGCGGACGAAGCTGCGGCCGGAAAGCTAGTTCTTAATATAGAATGAAGTATGGCATGTTAATTAACATTCACAAAATATTTTTGTTAGAAATGTTTGATATACAAAATATTATTACTTGTTTTCTATATATATATATATATACATCGTAATTCTTAAATGGATCAACCAATTTTGATGAGGATTTATCATTTTGATGTCAGATTTATTGTAACTGTTCTCAGATGTCTGGTAGTGTAAGAATATCAGCTCTTTACTAAAAATATTAAGACATGTTCGGGTAAAATTAGTTGCTCAAGTACTTCATGACAGCCACCAAATTAGTTAAATGAATATGATGTAGGAATTTTTATTATTTTGCTATTGAAAAATATATATTTTAATTCATTAAAGATCTATTCACAGAAAATAACTCTGTCTGTCCGTCTGTCTGTTATGCTTTCATGCCTGAACCACTGAACTTATTTTAATGAAATTTGTTTTAGAGATAGAGTTGATCTTGAGAAAGATCATAGGATAGTTTTTAATCCCAGACTTTTGAAAGGTTCTCTTGGAAACACGATATAAAAGAACTCCATGCGGGCGAAGCTGCGGGCGGAAAGCTAGTTGTATATATACATATATTAATTTTAATTAGTCTTGGTATAAAATACTGAAATAGAATAATACTTATACCAATTAATTTGTTACAAAAGTATGACAACTTTATATTATTCTCTATCTTAAAACAGTATGAGACATATTTGCAAAAACAAATTTATAATAAATACATATTTTTCTGATTAAATTCAACTTATGATAAATAATATTAGCTGTAGGTTATTTACAATAGAGATAATAAAAAAAATATAGACATCCAAATTGTCGGTTGAAAATTATAATTTGACATAGAGGTTTTATATAATATAATTATTATACTTTTTTAACACAGGTGGCAGTTCACCAATAAATCTTTGCTTTTCTTGGCAAGATTACAAGTTAATGCATCAAAGTGTATTGAGAAATCAATCATTCAATTTGTGTTATTATGTCAACAATCTAATTATCTGAGACTTATGACAATGATACACTTCAAATGAAACTAATATATTTCGGATTATACCAAGAAAACATCGGAAGTATGTAGTTGTTTACAAAAATAAAGTCGCGTAGTATATACGAAAAATATTAGTTTCATTTAAATGAAAATCTTGGATCTCGTTAATTAGAGACTTACCGTCTAAGTGTTCCTCGGCATTATTGCTTAGAAAAGATCGTCTTTCAATGTACGAACGTCCAGCAGTTCCTAAATCCATGAAAGCCACAAAAGCTATCCATCCTCGGAACGCATATAAAACTTTGTTTTGAACTGCCATGCTTTATTTATTTGATTAACCTAACGATCCATCTATACTCCGAATGATGAAGCGACTTTTTAAAGCGTCTTCCAGGTCGGTTCTCATAAAAACATATCCAAAACTTTTTTAACATAACCAGCCTGTAATTGAATTAAGCGGGCGTTTTGTTACCAACTAGATAAAAGCGCGTAAGTTTAAGCGCGCATCGCACTGCGGTATTTTACCTGCATTATACATTGCTATGTAAATTTTATAATTAGAAGTTAGCATACGCCGTCGCAGTCGCTAGCCGCGCAAGACATATAAACTGTCTAAACATGATATAAGTGTTATTGTCAAAAATCATTTTGACAGCTTTCGTTCAGAAAACACATAATTTGTTTTCTTCATATTGATTTTGTATACAATGAGCTTTAACTATATTATATAAAAAATAAACATTTCAGAAAACAACTGTACAACAAAACCTTATAAGGAATAATTTTAATAGTGACGTAATATTGAGAAATATCATTAAGTTAACATTATCAAAGTGTCTGCTAGTGATGCCAGTATAAAATAAATATCATTTCCACGGCTGGTCACAAATACCTAAAAATACCGTCGCCATATTGGTATTGTCAAAAATTTCGGGATCTATCGGTTGGTTGGAAAAATGATTTTTTCTCTCAACACAAAGCGTATTGGAATAGCACGTAGTATCTGATTGAATGATCTGTGACTTTAGATGTTACGTTTACTGCGTCCAGTGCACGATTACTTTATAGAATAATGTTCTGTTCGTTGGGAAAATGCAATGAACGGTGTGGAATTGGGAGTGATACGGAGACCGGTGAAGGTTTGGATAAGTCTTTACCAGTGGATGAGGTGGCTTCAGCCGTTGCTGCTGTCTCGGATGAGATCGGAGACATCTTGAAGGATGAATTGGGAGACGCTGATCGCGCGGATAGAATCGGGGCTGAGCTAGCGGACCTCACTGCGGAGCTAGGCCGCCTAGCTGGTCTCACAGGCGAGCCCCAACAGAAACTTCCCTCCCTTTTCGAGCTCGTGGTAAGCATAGCACTAATTGATTTTCGACTCAATGTCATTGACCTTTGGTTTCTGTTGACATATACGAGGAAGCTGACTGCCAAATTAATTAGTTGACTACAACCTTCCTATTATAGATTTTTGATGAATTTTTATCTAAAAACATTATTATTACTGATTCCCATTTATAAGTAGATAATATAAGAAACGCCATAAAAATGGCATATAATAAAAAGTATAAAATATATGAAAACTGTCTCATTACAAAAACAATTTGAATATATCAATGCAAATTGTCTTAACAAAAAATAAACTTCATTCATTAAGAATACAATTTTCTTATTGTACTAATAACATAGTGTTTCTTACTATTATCTAATAATTGACAATTTGGTATACTCATACCCTCTAACTTAAAACACTACATTTATCTTTAAACAATACATTGTCTTAAATCCTTGTAGTAAGATATTTATATCAACTAAATAATAAATTAACATAGAAAATTTATATACATTACCAAATACAGTGTAAACTTGATGTAACATCACTTGATTTAATGACAAACTCTAAAGCGTCGAAATCATTTGACTTTGGTTGGTTTAGCTTGTCTACCATACAATGATACACTCTACATAGCGGCACACCCACTCTCAATAATGACAACAATTAAGTAATAAAAAGTACCTTTTAAGTTGCCAAAATTAGTAAAAACTGTGCAGCTGTGTACATTCTTTTGTCGCTTTGGTATCCTAGCCCACAATAAACTCGACTGTCGGAATCATGCATACCGAACTTTCTAAGAAGCCTCAATATCGCAAGATGTGAATAAAATAAGTAAAAAATACAACAACATTCCTGTTGCACCAAAAAATGTCAAACAAAAATAACAGACTATACGCAATAGCGTTCGAATAACATTCTTTTTAAAGTACATAAGTACTAACACTAGTCTGAAATAAACTTTGTCTTTTTCTAATTCTGATTTTTCTTCTCTCTATTTAACGACAACTCTCTATAATGCCATAAAATGCACAGTCCTTTCAGTGTTGTTTTATAGAGTTTACACTGTATATATAAGTAAGAAATATTAATAACTAGCTTTTTACCTCTGACTTTGTCTACATACCTTCAGAATTAATCTTAGAGAAAAAATTATTAAACAAGTTAAAACTATAAGCATAATATCCAAGCATAACAATATTTTTAGTATACCCAGTAACCATGACCCGATGTAGAAATTTTTGGCTCAAATCACAAATTACAGTCTCACGTTGAAGCTATAAAAAATTTCATCGAAATCGGTTAAGCAGTTTTTATTTTAGAGAAATAAATATATATCCTCTACATTCAACAACTTTCTTATTTATATTATTTATGTATGGAAGTATAATTTGCAAATATAATTCTATTAAAGTTTATACTTTCATATACTTTTGAATTTATTGTTGAATTTCATAACTATATGTATATTGTTTTGTGCAAGATCAAATTTGATATTAGTGTCTGAGACATGACAATTTCTTATGTTACCTGCAAGTAAATAGAATAAAAAATATTTTTATATAAAAATATCCTTTTTACTAATTGTTGTGGCTATATCTGTATATATATAAGAAAGTCGTGTTAGTAACAATATTTATAACTCAAGAATGGCTGTAAGGATATGGATGAACATTCTTGGAGAGATAGATTAGAACATAGATAGGACATAGGATACTTTACATACGATTGAAAAAGAAAATAAGTTGATCAAATCCAAAATGTTCTTATTTACTGTCTTTAAGGAGGAACAGAGTTTGCCTGGTCAGCTATACATTTCTAAGTTTGAAAATAACACAGACAATGTCACAGGAAAAAACTTGTACATATATAATATGTATACCAAAGACAATTTTGTGACTTTCTCTTGGAGTTAGTAAGTGTATGAAAACTAATTAGGGCTACCTTTAGTGTAATAATTATATTAAGTTTTATTTATAACAAAACTATTTGATGTAGGTGAAGTCGCAGGCACAGCTAGTGTTTCATAAGCATATATGAAAGTAAATTATAGGAAAATGTTTGAAATTATTATATATTATATCGGAGAAACTTAGTCTTAAAGACCAAATATTAATAAATCCAATTTTTTCATTCAATAAACTACTTCGTGTTTCCACATAGTACTCAAGATTATAATTTATCCAACGAATAAAAATCTTAATATAGGTGTTATATTCGACAATTCTAGTGAGAATGAAGACATAGTATAAAATAAGTAAAAATATCAATTGCTAAATATATGTAAAGAAAGGTTTTTATATCTGTTTTTGTCCAATAATATTTTGGTCAAGAAAAGGATGTATTATGTATATTGTATAGGCTTATTCTGAGATAGTGTGTTCACCTTCTTCTTCTTCCTGGCAATTTCCCAGCTTTAGCCAGGGTCTGCCTTACATGTTGTGAATAGTTTTGGCTAATTGTGTTTACAACCGGCCACCTGCCTGACATCCACCCTCTTTGGGAATGCATTAATCAGTGATGTCTAAATACTCTTATAAAGTACATATGTCTCGGAAAAATCACATTGGTACTTGCCAGGATATTATATATATGAATAAATTATATATCTTATATATGAATGATAAATATATATATATAAGATATAGAAAAAGTCATACTATCATATATGTATATATATAAAGATGATGCAATATTAATTCATTGTAAAAATAGAAGATAATTGTTATAGTAAACTAAACAAGAGACGAAACCTCTTAGCATTCAATGGATTTACCTTGCGGGTGCCGGATCCGTATTTATATATATTAGATTCAAATATTTAAATATGAAAACATATTTTATTTATTATTATGCATTATTATAAGTGGATTTATGTTTGATTTTGTTGATTGTAAAGTTATAACCAAAGTGTTCTTTAAATTTGAGAAATATTATCTTTGGACAATGTGCTTTTAATATTAGTAAAATGAATGGTAATTTATAATATGTGGGTGTGGCAAAAACAGATGATACACAGCCTATATATATGTATATTAATTTGCACATTTCCAATTCTACAAAAAACTATGAAATTTTATATTTTTTGCTCTCCTAGAAGTCCATTCATGATCTGATGATGAAATATTTCATATAAAGTAATATTACTTACTATAAAATATTATAATGATTAGTAGATAATAACTTTATAATAATTGTAAGAAATAGAGAATATAAAAATTAGTCAGTGGTGGCCTAGTGATTAGAGAGCCCGCTTCTCGTTACCGAGGGCGCGGGTTCGATCCTGGCCCGGGCTAGTACCAATGTGACTTTTTCGAGTCATATGTACTTTCTAAGAATATTTAGACATCACTGATTAATGCTGATTCCCAAAGAGGGTTGATGTCAGGCAGGCGGCCGGTCGTAAAAACAATTAGCTAAAACTATTCACAGCATGTAAGCAGACCCTGGCTATAGCCGGGAAATTTCTAGGTAGAAGAAGAGAATGTAAAAAACTTTTTTTTAGGGTAGTTGAATATTTGTATCTAAACCATGCTTGTGATCACACCGTCATTATTTTTGTTCTATCAGATCGGTCATCAAGTTGTGGGCGGGCGTGGGTCGAGCGGTTCTTCATCTTCGTCATGGTCTGGGCGGGGCCGAGCCAGGCGACCGACCAGGCAAAGGCAGGCTAGACGGCGACCGATCGCGAAAGGAAAAGAGGTGAGATTGACTATAAGGCAGAGGTCAACATTGATTAGTCGGGAATGTATGATAGCTCTTAATATTAAGATGAACCTAAATTACTATATTATTCTCTTTTATTTCGTCATCATCCTATCAGAGCCCACTGCTGAAAGGCATCTTCTCATATGAAGAAGGTTTGAGCATTAATCACAACCATATATAAATAAAAAGTCAGATGTGGCCAAGTGGTTAGACGCGCCTCTCATGCATGAGGGAGCGAGTTCGATCCTGGCAAGTACCATTGTGTTTGTTCCGAGTCATATGTACTTTCTGAGATATTTAGACATCACTGACTGATGAAGGAAAACGTCGTGAGGAAGCCTGGACTTATATCAAATTATAAGTTTGAAATCACTACCCCGTCTTGAGTGAGCGTGATGATTAATGCTCTAACCATCTAACATGAAGAATCATGTGAGAAGATTCTCAGCAGTGGGCTCTGATAGACTGATGATGATGCTTTTAAGATCCAAAAATTAGGCGTAATTGCGGTACTTTATACACAACACCATTTTGAAATCGGTTGATTCCTAAATTCCTTACATATTTAGATTCCATAGATGCATTTCTTTCAAATATAAATTGTATAATTCTTATTGGTTTAATACATTCATGGCGCTGATAGGCTGATATGGCTGAAAAATATCGTCGGGAATAGCGCAGTTTAGTGTCTAAATTATTACTAATTATGAAAAAAATACCTTAAAAGTAGTTAATGTAGAAAATATTTCATCTCAAACTTTCTTCTGATCTGCTTCCAATGTAGAAACGTGGAGCTATTCAATGATAGTTACGAGGATTGTACTATCACCGTCTATATATATATATAAGTAACTAGCTTTCAAGGTCAACTTTATCTCTGTACCAAATTTCATTAAAATCAATTCAATAGTTTAGGCGTGAAAGCTTAACACACAGACAGAGTTACTTTAGCATTTATAATATTAATAGGGATTTCCTCTTTAATGACTACTCATATAATGTATATCTATCCTCTCTCAGATATCTCGTCTCCGTAACGCGGTGGCACGTCGCGTCGCGATGCGTGTACGTCGTGTAGAGGTCGTGTCGGACGCGTCGGATGTCGGAGCCGACTCGGATTCAGATGACCAGTGGACGGAGATGGATGAAAACTGTAAGTATTGTATAATATTGATATACAGGGTGTGGTAGTTGTAATGTTGGCATTACACAGGGTGTTAATCTTTTTATATTTGACATTTGCTGAAGTAACTGTGCATATTTATACCCATGGAGGCCATATATAAATGATTAAAATTAATTTATTTAATATGTATGCTGTCTAATTTAAAATAAATCTGAAATATAGTCATTCTCTTTTAATATTTATTTGTGATCACAAAACCTTGAAGTAAAACCATATTTTACTCTTATTAATTATGAATGAAGTATATATTTGTTTTTCTCTTGATCAAATGCATTACAAAGGATTGTAAGAGCAATTGCTATCTATATCTTTTCATACTAAATTTGGCTTTCTTCAAGGCAGCTACTGAAATATAGCTTTTACTGCCATTGTCTTCTCTTCTTCTACCACCAAGTGGAATTGTAGAAAAACTATACAATTCATATTTAAAATATAAAATCTACAAAAACACTAACATGAAAATGCTCAATCCCTTAGGTATGTAATTAAGACATCTTTGTGGTTACTTATACAACATTATATCAAAAATACGAAAAGGCTTCCCAATATAATATTATAAAGATTTCTTTTTGAAAAAAAAAAATATATACTAGGATACCCTGCGAACTTCGTATCGCCCTATAATCAAGAAATATCTGTTACGTTTTTTTTATTTATATTTTTAGAGTTTACCTATTAAAGCCATAAATCTCCGTATTTTGAAGTGCGACAGAATGATTGACATATTAGTTAGTTGTCAAATGTAATGTCAAAAAAAAACTTTTGTATCAACAAGTACTAATAAATTAAAAAAAAACATTGTCCAGCAGACAAAATTGTGAATCTAAACCATTCCCAGATCCCCTTGAACACACAAAAAATTTCATCAAAATAGGTCCAGTCGTTTAAGAGAAGTTCAGTGACATACACATTCACAGAAGAATTATACATATACATATTTTTTTCTTTTAGCCGGCAGCACAGACAGTTCTTCGGGAAAAGATGTTGGAATGGATATGGACTGTCCTTCGTACCAACACAAGGGATCGGTGAGATATTTACATACATTATTTGTCCAACGAGACATGATAAAAAATAGTAGAAACTCTATTAACCAGACCAATTGTTGTCGATAGGCATTCGGATAATCGAATGTATGAAGAAAAGCGGGATTTATGTATATGTAGTACATAATATTATATGTTTATTAAAAAATCAATGTTTATTTATAAATAATTAAAGGATACATTTTCTTAGATTACATTGAAAATTACAATATGTATTTGGTAATTTGCAATTGGTGATCATAAATTATAATAATAAGTTTCATCTGATATAGAATATTAGGTAATTGTCATTTGACGTACGTCACTCTCAACAACACTACTCTCTTATACTTTGACATCTTTTCTTGTCCGGACTTGTCCGTAGTCCGGATAATCACGAATCCGTATAACCCAGGGCTGGATAAATGAGTTTCTACTGTAAATACATTTAATAGACACTTGATTATACATTTTATCTTGTTTCGTTGTCCTTTCATAAATTCTATTATAATTTACATAGACATCAAACTTAAAATAAGCAACCTAAGGTCTATATATTCAAACTATCAAGCAATAATCAACCTTGATCCTATATATTCAAAGTTCATTATTATCTCAGCAGGTGGAGCCGCCAGCGATGGGTCAGTTCCTGTTGCCGCTGCTGTCCGGGGCCGAGCATGGGGCGGCTCCCGAACACGAGCAGTTCCTCATCAGACACGAGGATATACTGCAGGTTGGATAGATACACACGCACACACACACACATACACAAACACACACACAAACACACACACACACACACACACACACACACACACACACACACACACACACACACACACACACACACACACACACACAAACATATAAATAAATGCATAAAATTTCCATTTCGTTCCATGGTGTATGCAAAATAACCGAAACGTCGGGAGTATGTAGTTGATAATAATAAGACATTTTTTATGAATTCGACTGAATATAGTCTATTTAGTCCATTGTATTAAGTTTTTTCTGAGTTTAGTTGCTTTTAACTCGTCAAATTCACATACAGTGACCAATATTCGAAGTAGTAGTTAAGTCACCAAATACACCTAGTGTCCCTAATATTCAGATACATAAAGATCAATGACCTTTCTTACAGTTGCTGGCTTCAGCAGAAGAAAACATGAGCGAGGAACAACCTGCTCGTGACCTGGAGTCACCTCATGATGTGTAAGAAAATATTATATATATATACTAGCTGTTTACAGTGACTCTGTCTATAATAGTGGTTATCATATATTATACTAGTGATAGGCCCTGGCTTTACACAGGTAAAATGCTTATACTAAATATAGTATAGAAAAACTGAATGTTGAATATGAAAATGTAGCACAAATAATTATATTAGAGATTTCAAAGAAATAGTATTTTTTAACTATTTAATGGATGTTATTATGTATATAAACCTGCCTCTTTAATCACTCTATGTATTTAAAAAACAGCAACTAAATCTGTTGTGTAGTTTTAAAGATTTAAGCATACATATATACATTATACATACATGCATTCAGGATATAGGCAGAAGGAAAGTGACTTGTTTTATGCTATGTAGTGATAGTAGTGGTGACCTAGTGGTGAAAGTTCCACCTCTCATGCATGAGGGCGCGGGTTCGATCCTGGCAAGTACAAGTAATGTCCCGAGTCATATGTACTTTGTAAGAGTATTTAGACATTACTGACTGATGAAGGAAAACATTTAAAGAAACATGCACTTAATCAAATCATAAGTTTGAAATCGCCAACCCGTCTTGAGCGAGCGTGGTGATTAATGCTCTAACCTTCTCCATATAGAAGAGGCCTTACAGCAGTGGGCTCTGATAGTATGATGACTAAGTGATGCCACCTCAGCTATAATAAATATGTATGTTTGTATTCCACAGTGTGACAGAATTGTATGATTCTGAACCGGTCGTGACTCCTGATGATGAAGCAGCCTTGCTACACTATGTCTGTGGTGAGTGAAACATTTATATGTATATATATAAAAGAAAGTCGTGTTAGTTACACTATTTATAACTCTAACGACTGTACCGATATGGATGAAGATTGGTTGAGAGATAGATTAGAACAAGGAGACGAACATGGGATATTTAATTGTATTGTAATGTTGGAATGGAAATAGGAAGGAGTTCAAATATATATATAATTTAATCCTATTATATTGGTAATTACTTTATTTACTTTGGGTTATAACAAACTTTATATCATATAATAATTTGTTTAAGATACTATTTCTCTATTTTAATAGACTGTGACCAAAAATACATAATATACTTATGATTGGCTTTGAGAAATTTGAATGTATTTCTTTAAAAAGATTAATTTGATACAAGCCCTTGTAATAAATACAAAATTCAGTAACTATCTTAAAACAAATTAGAGACGAAACCTCTCATCATTCCATGTATTCACGGTGCGTGTGTCGGGTCCATCGTTGTAGTGAGAGGAGCTTCAACAGTGACTGGTACTTGTGACCCAGGTGTAGGTTTAAGGGACCCTATATAACGTTAAACGATCACCTACACCGTACAAGCTCCTCTCTCTACCAAATTTGAAAAGAACCTACTAGGACTGCCTTCGATGTATGTTCCATTTGATAGTTAGTAACCTTATAATATATTATGTTATTTATATTTACAGCAGAACCACCATCACCTGAGCCGTTCAAGCCTGTCGAAGAGTGGCTATTAGGGGTCTATCACTCCTGGTGTGAAATCAGCGCTCTCATGTACACACTCGTGGGAACTAACATGTAAGATAGACACATACAATATATGCTATATATAATCTACTATAACAATATTATTACTATAACCAATAGATTTAATATATATATACTTCCCAAAGAGGGTTGATGTCAGGCAGGCGGCCGGTCGTAAAAACAATTAGCCAAAACTATTCACAACATGTACGGCAGACCCTGGCTTAAAGCTTAATTAATTGCCAGGTAGAAGAAGAAGATATCTATATTATTTTATGTCTAAAATAGCAGTCACTGATATACTAAATAAATCTATCATTCCCAAAACACTATAAGTATAATTAAGACACTGGTTACAATACATGAACTATACATGTCTTTAGTAAACAAAACATTGTCTTTTTGTATGACTAAGCACAGTAATAATAAGACTTAGAAATAAAAACAAAATATCAATAAATATCCACTATTTTAAACTATATCACTATGTCATAATAATAGAATATGCATGTCCATAGTAAATATATATGTATATACTATGTATTGTCTCTCCCCCCACATAAACATATAATATGTTTATTTTCTACCCCCCACAGGAGTTCAGAGATGTCTAAATCGCCGTGGTCGTACGTGGCCCGCTTCGGCTGTCACTGCCGCCTGTGTCTGTCGCTGGCCAATAACGAAACGGCCCTTCAGACATGGATGCACGGACTGGTTGCCGAGTTAGCTGGTAGGTGGTTTATATAAAATAATTAACGTAACTTGTGAAGGATTTAATCCATGTGCTAAAATTATACTTTAAAAGAATTAAATGAAAGTTGTAGAAGAATTACTTACTCAGTATGATGATTGTTTTAAATTAAATTGGAAGCATATTAACTTGACAAAATAGATTAATTAGATTAATTCCAATGAATACTCGCGAAAGTCATAGTCTTTAAAATATGAAGCATACACATTGCATATACAATATAAATCAAAATTTTATTATTTAACTAGATTTCCGCCCGCAGCTTCGCGTAGAGTTCGGTTATATCGCGTTTCCAAGGGAACCTTTCAAAAATCTGGGATAAAAACTATCCTGTGTTCTTTCTCAAGGTCAACTCTGTCTGTACCAAATTTCATTAAAATCAGTTCAGTGGTTTAGGCGTGAAAGCGTAACAGACTGACAAACAGAGTTACTTTCGCATTTATAATATTAGTAGGGATAATAAATGTTTATTTGGTAAAGTACTTTCTCTCTCTCTCTATATATATATATATATATGTCTGTATGTATACAGGTGGTAACACAGCAGCGTTGGGAGCCAACATTGTCCGAGCCCTGGGCCTGTCACCCGGAGAACATCTACCACCTACCAACTGGGATATAGCTAGGCTACAGAGAATAACTGTCTGTGATGACGGTAAGGAAAATATTGAATAAAATCACCATTAATATACATTATTATATACAATTATTACATTCAGTGGTGGCCTAGTGGTTAAAAGGCCCGCCTCTCATGCACGAGGGCGCGGTTCGATCCTGGCAAGTACCAATGTGATGTTCCGAGTCACATGTACTTTATAATAGTATTTAGACATCACTGATTAATGCATTCCCAAAGAGGGTTGATGTCAGGGAGGCGGCTGGTCGTAAAAACAATTAGACAAAACTAATTACAACACGTAAGGCGGACTCTGGCTAAAACTGGGAAATTGCCAGGTAGAAGAATTATAATGATGAGAATTTTGTTTAGTAATAGTTTTTATCTGTGATTGACTATTCTTGATTTTATAATAATAGGGATACTAATTTTGTACACAAAATACTTTTAAATATTAATTAGATATGCATTGTTTCTATCAAGAGCTGTTACTGATGCAATTTTAAAATTATATGTCATTTTTAGACCGACTTTTAAATAGGAGTAAATTATTTTTTTCTTTCCATCAAAATTCAAGATTATTTATTTCTTTCAGTTCATAAATATCTTTTTGATTGGGACATTAATTTGTAATAATACTTTTTGTATATTTTATAGTTTTAAATAGGATCTCATTATTTTGCAAATTATATGACGAAAATTCTATATCGTTAACATTAAATAAAATATAAAAATCAATACAATTCTTTTATTAGTAGTAAATTCATTAGTAGTATTATTAGTTTATTCAAAATATTTGCAGGCCAAATCGCCAGAATATATTTAACCGCTGTAAATGTATGAAATACCTTTGTTTACCCATATTCGAGCAAATAAACTATTATTATTATTAATAGTAGCTTTTATGTGACATACATACATACATGTTTTAATCCATACACATATATTTCCAGGTCTGTCAATAATCCAGAATCACCTAGAACGTCTGTCCCAAGAGAATGAAGTCACCAAACAGATTGTGAACAACATATGTCTATGTAGAGTGTACGATCGGCCGTTTGAAAAACAGTTAGTATTGAATACTATATAAAAATGTTCCTTGCACCGACTATTCGGCCATATTCGGCCGACTAGCCATAAATATTCGGTTGCTATTCGGCCGAATACCGAGTATTTACAAGGATTATTCGACGTAATACTTTAGTTATATATTATGTTGTAAATAGGTGGTCTAAAGAGAAAAAATCTATTATGTATAGTTTAATTTTCTTATATAAGTCTTGGTACATAACACAGGTACAGAATCAACTTCTGTATAAAAAAAGAAGAGTTTTATCTATGCATTTGAATTTTTAAGGGGACTTATATATATAAAGATGTATACTTCAAAAAGACTATTCCCTCTTCATTTTAGGAAGATATATTTTTAAAATTAAGACCATTTTATGACAATACTTAAGCCTATAATTCAATTATTATTAAATAGTTCAAGGAATTTTGTTACAAAAACTTATATTATTATTAATTATCTTATAGATATGCGATGGAAAGATTCTGCAAGCTGCTAGAAAACTTCAAGACTGCCTCTACTATTACATTTAAGGTAAATATTATAACACAATTTAGCAAGGCCAGGCAGACCCTGGCCAAACCTGGGAAATTGCCAGGAATAAGAACAAGAAGATTATAAAATAGCAATTATTTAAGACCATAAAACTTTGAAACTACTAATAAGGGAAAATTTAATTTAATTCTGATTTAATGCTAAATTGATCACTATCTTATGTATAAAATACTCGTGTCGCGTTGTTAGACAGAGAACTTCACCAAAATGGCTGGACCGATTTTGATGAAATTTTGTGAGCATATTGAGTAAGTCTGAGAATCGGCCAACATCTATTTTTCATACCCCTAAATCATGAGGGTTGTTCACATTAATTTTTTATTATGTAGCATTATAAAATACATACAAACCGAAATTTTTACTTTTTTTTATCACCAACCCCTATTTTTTATGGCAAAACAAAGTATGCAGGCTCAGCAAGTATATATGTGGCCATCAGTGGCGGCTGTACCTTAAGTGCACTCGTGCGCTGAACCACCAATTCAAAAGATTTAAAAATTACAAAATATTATTTCATCTTTATTTTTAAATTACCATTTCAATATTTATTTTTTAGCCATATAAAAACGTATACAAAATTAAATTTCCTAATTATGGTCAAAAAGTTTGAGCGCTTTACTAAACTAATATCTCGTGCGCTTCGTCGAGTGCACGAGGCCTGCTAATACATCTTGTATGAGATACGCATTAATACGCCTGACGCGTGAAACAAAAGATAGTTCATAGAAATGTACCGAGTAATGAGTCGGTTCTCGAGCGCCGCACGAGCGACCGAAGATTACCGAGAGCACCCGATGTATGACGAAATGAGCCGGCCGTTTTTGACATTTCGTTATGTTTTGTTGCATTTTCTAATTTTAATATTTTAGTAAAGTGCACCACCAGTTCGATTACCCACCAGCCGCCACTAGTGGCCATATTTTTGTATAGCTTTGATTGTTTCATTGTACTAAAGATGTTTTAATGTAGTAGTGATTGATGAAGGGTCATGGATTTGTAAGTGAAATGGAATAAGACGAGTGAGTGAAAGGGAGATATGTGAGGGAAAGAGACGGAAATATGACGAGGAATGAACGCGGATATATGATGCTTAATGTTCGAAAGACATTACAAAGAAGTGTTATACATATAAAGTAAATATATGAAGTATCACTTAACCAGACTTGTATGTAAAAGGCACCTGTGTAATAAGTTGATATTTATGTATACATGTATGTACGTAATTGGGGCCGTTCAAGTATTACGTAAGCACTATGGAGGGGCGGGGGGTCTTTGCTTTGATTATTTTGCTGACATGGGGGTGGGGAGGTAAATAATTGTAATAAATCTGCTTACATAATACTTGAACGGCCCCTATGAAGTATACTCTAACATTATGTATCCGTTGTAGGTGGAGATGGTGCCCAGTGACGGTAGTGACGTCACCACTTCCAGTGGTGGCTGGTGGCGCTCCAGGCTCGCTAGCAAGCTGGCCCCGCACCACGCGCGCTCCACGAGGGACAGGCTGAGACACATGGCCGCTAGGACCGCGCCACACGACCGTTAGTATACACACACACATAGATAAAAATATTCGTATACTAGCTTTCCGCCCGCAGCTTCGCCCGCGTGTAGTTCGGTCATATCGAGTCTCCAAAAGAGCCTTCCAAAAGTCTGGGATAAAAACTATACTATGTTCTGTCTCAAGGTCAACTCTGTCTGCACCAAATTTAGAGAGTTACTTTCGCGTTTACAATATTAGTAGGGATTTAATTATAGATATTGTAAATGTATAAAATATACATTATATATAAAATTATAATATGGCTATGTGGAAGTGTATTTTGTATAATAGGTTTTATTTATATTCTCAATTAATAAACTAGGTATTTAAATATATTATTTTGTCTACAGTAAGCGCGTGGGCGGGTTACAAACATCGATGCGATTGTCTCACACCTAGAACTCTATGCGCTCAGCAAAGAAAACAACTGCTCAGGTAAGATTTACCTTTTAATATATTATATTACTTCCATTTATATGACTTTTACCTTACCCATATACTCTTTAACTTCACTGATAATAAACTAAAAATGAGGCAAAGTATTATCATTAATGGTACAGTAACTTACTTATTAATCTTAATGTGTGTGTGTTTCTGTCCCAGGATTTCGTTCTTCGGCATGATGCAAGCTGTGAATGAATTCAACGGCACTAAAGATTCTGAAAAGGTATTAATTTAACAATAATATTTATATATAATTTAAGTACCCAATAGTTCAAATGTTACAATGTCTGCTTCTATAAGTACAAGATTCGATTCTAATATGTATAAGACAAAGTTTGATGCAAATATCTATGCTGACGTAATCCACCACTTAATGTAAAGGTATTGTGGGTTTGACTCTATAAAGTATAAACCCATAAGTATCTAGTATAAATCGACATTTATATGATATAAACAGTGTTATAATGTACTTTCTCTTTTATTCTATCTGTTGAGTTGTATCATAATTTGTTTCAGCCGCCGGTAGATGTTAAAGATAATTCAAGTAGGGAGCTACAGCAGGGAGATGGCACGGGTGCTAAGTGAGTTGATAATATGTATTAATCTTATATACAGGGTGACTGGTGAATTACTATCGATATTTGAGGACGTGGTATTTGACGATCATATATGACAAATTAAAAATTAATATAACATAAATATTAATAAACTTCTAAGTAAAGTTAACCAAAAGTTATATAATTAATTACGCATCGTATGAACACCCTACAGATTAGGTATACACACACACACACACTCGCGCGCGGCGGCGTGTTGTTGTATCAGCATGCCGCCGCACGCGTCCACACTTGGAACGTGTACACACTTTATTTATTAATATAGAATCATGTACCGAGTATGCTCCTTAAATATTGATAGTAATTCACCAGTCACTCTGTATATAAAATTTGAGACAGAGAACTTCTCCGAAACGGCTGGACCGATTCTGATGAAATTTTGAAAGCATATTGAGTAGCTCTTAGAATCGGCCAACATCTATTTTTAATAACCCTAAGTCAAGGGTTGTTCACCCTTAATTTGTTTTTTTTTTCGGACGATTTCTTTTTATAATGTAGCATAAAAAATATACAACCCAAAATGTTTACTTTTTATCACCAACCCCTATATTTTATATGACGAAACAACGTTTGCCGGGTCAGCTAGTATAATATGAAAATAATAAAAATATAGTATTTTACATTTCAACACAATGAGCTTACTCTTGGTAAGTGTGAAATAACAAGACTATAATAGCAAGAGTCATTTTAATTGAGTGTCTATAACAGTACTGAATAATGAAATCAAATATCAAAATTTTTATGCTGGACACAAAACTATAACCATAATATATATGCACTAGCTTTCCGCCTGCAGCTTCGCCCGCGTGGAGTTCGGTTATATCGCGTTTCCAAGAGAACCTTTCAAGAGTCTGTGATAAAAATTATCCTATGTTCTTACTCAAGGTCAACTCTGTCTGTACAAAATTTCATTAAAATCAGTTCAGCGGTTTAGGTGTGAAAGCGTAACAAATAAACAGAGTTACTTTCGCATTTATAATATTAGTAGGGATAATATGATACAAAAGTCATGCAACTTTCAAAGATACACCAATGACATGCAGTGTAGAAAAAATACACACCAACCCGTCTTGAGCCAGCGTGGTGATTAATGCTCTAACCTTCTCCATGTGAGAAGATGCCTTATATATCTGTAATATTTCCAGACCTCCAGACTCCTTGGACGATGCTAATTCTTTGGACCTGAGTGATTCCAACGTAACAGTGGATTTGGATGATTGTGAGTGTTATTCTTCTATGAGTTATATCATTTTTTGTACAGCCATCTCTTTGAGTAACTCAATTTATACAGTAACATATAGGAAATACTTTGTTCTTAACTATTATACACATACTAGACTTATTTTCTTGTATACAAAGCTTATACAGAAATTAATGATTAATTTTAAACTTATAATTTATTGTTAAAAAATATTAACAACAATTTTTAAAATCGAAATTATACAACGATCATCAGACATATATGTAACAGAAATATTAATCTACAATAAAATATAATTTAAATCATAATTTAACATCCTTTACGATGTTCAAGCTATATTCAACTCTAACACTATAACAAAAAGGTCTATTTTCATCTACAGTGTCATCATCTTCAGCTGAATCCCACGGCCAATCAACGTCCTCGTTGGATTCTGCCTCCGAGCTGCTATTGGCTGCTGCTGCTGCCGTTGACTCTGGCTCTTCCGGTTCCGGCGGCGGCCAGCTGTGCCGCACTGTAAAGCAGCTCATGAGATCAATAGCTTCGATAGAAAGGCTCATGGATAGAGTGCTGCAGCACTGCGACCGGTGGGGCGACCGGGATGCTAGGTATTTATATACCTAGTATACTAGTGAGATGGATGAATGTGTGTGGTATAACGATGAATTTGTGTGGTATAATGATGAATGTGTGTGGTATAATAATGAATGTATATGGTATAACGATGAATGAATGTGTGTGGTAAGTCAGTGGTGGCCTAGTGGTTAAAGGGCCCGCCTCTCGTTGCCGAGGGCGCGGGTTCAATCCTGGCAAGTACCAATGTGACTTTTCGGAGTCATATGTACTTTCTGAGAGTATTTAGACATCACTGACATATGGTGAAGGAAAACGTCGTGAGGAAATCGGGACTTATAGTTTCACAATTATAAGTTTGTAATCACCAACCCGTCTTGAGCGAGCGTGGTGATTAATGCTCAAACCTTCTCCATGTGAGAAAGAGGCCTTTACTCAGCAGTGGGCTCTGATAGGCTGATGACGTGTGTGGTATAACAATGAATGTGTATGGTACTTTAATCAATTAATTTGTTATTGTACTGATATATATATAATTTCTGTGCTGAAACAAAATTTAATCTTTATTCTATCTTAACAGAAATAAGATCACAGAAACTAATAAATTATTAATATGGTGTATATATTGTTATTTCAGGAAGCGTGTGGATGTTGGTTTATCTGAAGTGGACCGTAAGTTAATGGCCATGTACCGCCGTCTGCCGGACGTACATAGGAGACAGTTACAGCTATATAGGAAACAGAAGAGACTCTCCACGGTAAGTATATATATATATAAATGATAATCATTTATTAAACTATCAACCCTCAAGTCACGTATATAAGGAGCGTTACTGACAATCGGACACTTTATGTTCTAACTATTGTTAAGAGAAGAAACTATAAAATAATTAGTCTTGAATATTAATAAATCAGCTATTGGCTTACGAAATTTACATATGTAGTATGTATATGTGTGTTGCAAAACAATAATTAGTATGTGCACATATTTGTATAATAATAGATTTGTCGCTTTTATATATCAATAGTAATTCCTAATAACCATCCTCATACAACATATGAAAGTGTATTTACTATTATAATCACTTCATTCATTGTAGCAAACTATTAATAACTCACTAATTATTATCACCCGCCATTCAGGTGTGTACTCAGCTGGTGGGCGGCCGAGCGCCCGCTCCCCCTCCGCCCGGGACTCCGCCCCCCCCGCCCGCGCATGCGCCCTGCAGGCCGCTCTGTCCGGAGTACCACCTGCAACGGTTTAAGGAGGTATTTGAATGATATACACACATACATACATATACATGTAAAGGAAATGTTTTAAGGTTTAAGAAATGTCAATTATATACAGGGTGACTGGCGAATTACTATCAATATTTAAGGAGAATACACGGTACATGATTCTCATTCGAATTATGTAAAAAAAATAGGTACTTAATTTTTGACCAAATTTCCGTATAAATAAATAAAGTGTGGACACGTTCCAAGTGTTCCAAGTGTGGACGCGTGCGGCGGCGTGCTGATACAACACCACGCCGCCGCACGTGTGTGTGTGTGTGTGTATACCTAATCTGTAGGGTGTTCACACGATGCGTAATTAATTACATAACTTTTGGTTAACTTTACTTAGAAGTTTATTAATATTTATGTTATATTAATTTTTATTTTGTCATTTATGATCGTCAACTACCACGTCCTTAAATATTGATAGTAATTCACCAGTCACCCTGTATATATATGTATAGCTGTAAAGGATTTTTTCGCACCCAAATAACATGAGATATAATATTAAATATAACAAAATATATCACATTGATTATAGTATTTTTTTGTATTTTACATACATTTAATATATATAGTAGTCAAAGTCACCATATATGTATGTATCTATGGTAAGTGTGTATGTATATATGTTATAGGTTCGTCGTAAAGTGATGCACATGAGGGATCAGCAGTTATACTATCACCGACTGAGGATGTGGCTTGAAGACCAACTCAGGGTCGAGAGAGAGAGGTACGGGGTATAACACATGTATAGAAATAATGATAGATAGGAAGTATATCATTAATGGTCGATATTATAATACTAGTTACGCCCCGCGGTGTTACCCGCGGATTTCCGGGATGTAAAGTAGCCTATGTGTTATTCCTGGACGTCAGCTTTCTGTATACAAAATTTTGTAAAAATCGGTTCAGCCGTTTGAGCGTGAAGAAGTAACAAACATACACACTCACAAACTTTCGCAACTATAATATTAGTAGGATAATGTCATTAATGTGGCCAAGTGAGGAGTTGTACTAGTTTTGATTGATAGTTTTTTGTCACACATATATATTTAGTATTTAATTTATTACTTATTAAAAAAATGCCATAAAAGTCGTTAATACAGAAAATATTTTAACTCAAACTTTCTTCTGATAATTATCAGATTATAATCTGCTTCCAATGTAGATATGTGGAATTATACAATGATAATTACGCGGAAATGCACTATCACCGATGATATATGTATATATGTGGAAGCTACTAGATTGTGTGTATGTCTAAGCACTCATAAACTACGAAATCTCATAAACCATTTATTAAAAATATATATTTAAATATTTCAGTCATCCAGAATGCAACGTGACTCTCGTAGAGGATTTGCCGAAACGCAAGCGTCGTAATCTAAGTCCGAAGTTGCCCAAAATGAATTCAGCGCCGAAGAGAAAACTGAAACCTACCCTACATAACAGTAGGCCACATAAAATACTTCAACTACTGAAGAATAGAACAAATGAGGATATTTCTCCGTACAAAGAAATTGATGAAATGAAAGAAGCAGAACCGCCTGAAGCGTTTCCACTGAATAAAGATGATTTAAGCGACGCTGAAACTATAGTAGGGGAAAAAGAAGATCTATGCAAGGAAATGAAGGAGTGTCTAGTGAAATTCGCGAACTTCGCGCTCAAAGACAAGGAAATACCTGAAAAAGATTACCCTGAATCAATAAGTCCGCCGTTACAAGAAATGTCCCCTACTACGGTCGATCCGCCGCTGTATAATCAGAAAAATAGAATAATAACTAACAAAATACTCAGCGATAAAATCGATTTCTCTCAAGGGCCAGATATTAACGTGCCTTTGAATGCGAGGGCGCCGTTGAAAGACGAAAATAACGATGAGAAATCTGATGTATACAAATATGTGACTTTCGGATTAAAGATTAAGAAAGCTATGGAAGAATGTCAGAATATAATAAACTCGTATAACAAAGGAAATGATAAAAGGAAAGTGGAAGAACCACCGTCTTTGGAGCAGATCATTGAAGTAATGATGACGTTGGATAAGAATTCAGCGGAATTCTTGGAAAAAATGCTCTCAGAAGATCCCATAGACGAATCTATAGACATGAATATGGCTGTGTCGAAACTATCGGAATTATTGGAGAATATGATGCCGCAGACATTGGCTAATATGCCGGAAATTGCGACGAAATTATCCGAATTTGGTTCGACGGAACTTCCGGAAAACGGTTCCGCTGCCAAAAATCTGACTAACGAAGCCCAATTGACTCCGGAAACGCTGAGACAGATACGAGAAATAAAACTATCAAAACGAGACGCGGTCAAAGTGACCAAGAATACGGCGAAACGAAAAATAAGTCGCAGAATAAAAAATGACGAAGTATTCGAATTCGAGGGAGACTTAAACGACGTGAAAGACGAAAAAGATTTACAGAATCTAATAAACAATAAATCAAACAAAGACGATATAAAAGATTTGGTGTATTCTATATCAGCGCAGGTATTCGTTAATAAAGTATTCGAAAACGTTAAAGATAAAACACCAGCGAAAACAGAAGATAAGGAAACATCGAATAATACGATTAACTTTGAAATGTTCTCCAAAATGTCGACACTATTTGACAATTCCTTTAAGGCGGCTATGAGTATGAACGAATTGAGAAGCCTAGTAAAATCACGTGTCAATTCCTGGAAACAATATGTCGCTGCAAAATTTAAAAGCATACCGTTAGAATTATTGGACAACGAAATAGAACCTATGATAGAAAGGTTCTATTTGTATATACAGGAATCGGCTTCAAAACAATGCTGTAGCGAAAGTGATAAGATCATTGAGAAAATAGAGGAATTAAGAAAGAACGAAGATAGTAATGACTCGGATAGCGAGAGTTGTCCTGCTTCTAAGGAAACATTGAAGCAGATCACTAAACTATTAAACGCATTCGCTGGGAGTACATTCGATTTGCTGTTAATGAAACTCTCGAATATGCCCAATGAGAAGAAATCAACCGTTAAAAGCTTGAAATTCAAATATATAGATGTCATCCGGCGTTGCTCGGAATCCGAACAATTAGTGGCGTGGATATTACTAGATCCAGAAATAGCTACAACGGTGATCCAAGAATTAACGGGTTTGGAAGTGAGGAAAGTTGATAACGCGCCGAACTTCACAAATCTGAGCAACGAAAGGAAACAGGAGTATTTTATCAATAGATTGCACGAAATGAACAGACAATATATGGAGTCTTTGCCAAAAAAACGTCTAAGCGGCGACGAATGGCTGGTTATATTATACAGATTGGAACAATACGAAGAAAAACTAAAAGACGCCTTCTCAAAAGTGCCCCAACCCACCAAAATAGTTCAAACTCAAAACGCTAGCGAAGCGGAAATACTCGCAGCGAGAGGTCTCAGCAAGATAATCGGCAAAGCTAACGTAAGAATAGTCAAAAAACCGGAAAATCAACCGGTCAAACCGAAAAAGGAACCGGAAAATGAGCCTATCACCGAAAACGACGACAAAAAACTCAAAAACGACGCTTTGCTAGCAAAATGCGAAGCAATACTCACTTCTAAGGCCGAAAACAATCTATTAGACAGCTGCAACACTATCAAATCATATTTAACATCCGGATTTCCAGTGCCAGAGAATTATAAGAAGCACGTCATATCACTCTGCTCAACCATAGACGCTAAGCTATTAGACATAGAAGAAAATCTAAAAGATGAAGAAGATAAGACCGTTACAAATCAAAATCCTGAACTCCTCGCAAAATATACGGCGCAAGCGCTAAGAAACGCCAAAGAAGCGCTAAACGCGGTCGCCTTTGGAAACGTAACCAGAAATGGACAGACAAAGTCAGAAAGCGACGTATGTGATACACCCAAGAATAACTGCAAGTGGACCAACGACTGCGTTTGTGATACGTGTAAGGATGATAAGAAAGATGATAAGAAAAAGATTAAGAAACCAGTTAAATGTGAGAACGGGAATCACCCGCAACATGTGTGTAAAGGTAAGATTATTATTGTAAAAAATAAGGGTAGACGATAATTCTAATATTAAATCATATATAACCACTAGCTTTCACGCAGCTAGGCCCGCGTGGAGTTCGGTTATATCGCGTTACCAAGAGAACCTTTCAAAAGTCTGGAATAAAAACTATCATATGTTCTTTCTCAAGGTCAACTCTATCTCCGTACCAAATTTCATTAAAGTCAGTTCAGTTCAGTGGTTTAGTCGTGAAAGCGTAACAGACAGACAGAGAGTTACTTTCGCATTTATAATATTAGTAGGGATATAATATATACAAAGTTAACTTTATATATATATTTATATGTATATGTTTGAAAATTAAAATATATATATATATTTTTTTTGTCAGCCGGCCATGGCGTATGTTCGGGTGAAGGCGGAACGGACGCGCCGTGTAACTGTTGTTACTGCACAGTGTTTGGACATGCGGTTAGTATTGATTGGTCTTATATTTATTGATTTACTAGCTGCGCCCCGCGGTGTTTCCCGCGGATTTCCAGGATGTAAAGTAGCCTATATGTTATTCCTGGACGTCAGCTTCCTGTATACAAAATTTTATCAAAATCGGTTCAGCCGTTTGAGCGTGAAGAAGTAACAAACATACACACACACTCACAAACTTTCGCAATTATAATATTAGTAGGATTGGTATTATGAATGGATTGATCGATTGATTATGCGAGGAATGCATTGATTCAACATTGAAGATCATTGATTGATTGGCTAGATATACATTGATTCTCTTCTACCTGGCACTTTCCCAGCTTTAGCCAGGGTCTGCCTTCCATGTTGTGAATAGTTTTGGCTAATTGTTTTTATTACCGGCCGCCTGCATGACATCAACCCTCATTGGGAATGCATTAATCAGTGATGTCTAAATACTCTTATAAAGTACATATGACTCGGTAAAATCACATTGATACTTGCCAGGATCGAACCCGCGCCCTCATGCATGAGAGGGGGGCCTTTTAACCACTAGGACACCACTGGCTATCATTGATTATTTGGGCCTATATGTATTTAATGCTATTTTATGCATGGATTTATCCATTGATCAGAAATTTATTGATTCATTGGCTCGTTATGTATTATAAGCTTATATGTATTTACGTACTGATTCATAAAGGTAGTTATATGAGAAGTAAACTAAAGCATTTACTTATTATAGCTAATGTTATATTCATACAATATTATGTATAATTTCCAGCCTCCGCTGACGACCCCTGTACCAAGAAACTTTAATGAAACTAGAGAACGGCTGAGATCTATACTGAATAAAAAGAAACAGAAATGTAAAAGTAATGTAAGTATATAATGTATATACAGGGTGACTGGTGAATTACTATCAATATTTAAGGAGAATACTCGGTACATGATTCTCATTCGAATTATGTAAAAAAATAGGTACTTAATTTTTGACCAAATTTCCGTATAAATAAATAAAGCGTGGACACGTTCCAAGTGTTCCAAGTGTGGACGCGTGTGGCGGCGTGCTGATACAACACTACGCCGCCACACGTGTGTGTGTGCGTGTGTGTATACCTAATCTGTAGGGTGTTCACACGATGCGTAATTAATTACATAACTTTTTTAACTTTACTTAGAAGTTTATTAATATTTATGTTATATTATAATTTATTTTGTCATATATGATCGTCAAATATCACGTCCTCAAGTATCGATAATAATTCACCAGTCACCCTGTATATATAGGATTCTAACAAAATTATTGAAAAATATAATTTTCGTATAAAGCCAGTACTTTTAAACTAATAGATGCAAAACTAGAACACACTAATTATTTTAAACCAAAACACCTTCAATAAGTTTTATTCAGTTTACAAGCACACAAGTCGTGTCAACAAATACTTTCCCTCGTAAAAGTGAACAAACCAAACGTCATCTCTTTAACGGGTCACTTCGGGTGCGTTCGGGAGTTTAAAGATTCGGTTTATATTAAATGTGTGTTGTCTAAATATGTATATTATAATTTTATTATTCCAGGGAGAAGTAGAATCACCTACAGAGCGGTCACCGCCTCAGCCTACACCACCGGTTAGTTATATACCTTACTTAAATATCTTTACATTATATTTCCATAAAAAACAAATGTTTTAATATTTATACAATACTAGCTTTCCGCCCGCAGCTTCGTCCGCGCGGAGTTCGGTTATATTGCGTTTCCAAGAGAAAAATCTGTGATAAAAACTATTCTATGTTCTTTCTCAAGGTCAACTCTGTCTGTACCAAATTTCATTAAAATGAATTTACTGGTTTAGGCGTGAAAGCCTAACAGACAGACAGAGTTACTTTCGCTTTTATAATACTAATAGAGATATGTACTTCAAATTAATTTAATAGTAATTATTTATATTATCAGGCGTTACCAAAAACCCTGCCACCGGATTTGACGACCCAAGCGCAACAAAAGAGGCAGGCTATGGAGCAGAAACAATTAGCCGACAAAGTGACCGACAAGATGGCTGACAAAGTGGCCGACAAGATGGCGGAGCTTGTGGTCAAAGAAGAACCAGAAAATCAGGTACATATAATAATTTCATAGTCTCTGTCTCAGTAATCAAAAATATATTTCTAGTCAGGTCTGTAATTAAAAACCTTCCAACTTAAAGGAACGCATAGTCAGGTCTGTAATTAAAAACCTTCCAACTTAAAGGAACGCAATCTTCTTCTTCTTCCTGGCAATTTCCCAGCTTTAGCCAGGGTCTACCTTACATGTTGTGGATAGTTTTGGCTAATTGTTTTTACGACCGGCCGCCTGCCTGACATCAACCCTCTTTGGGAAGGCAATACATTAATAATAACTATAATATTAAATAAGAATTCTATTATTTAGAGGATATAATGGTTGAAATCCAAGGTATGAGAAAACATAGAATTGTATTAAGGAAAGTAATTTTATGCTTTGAATTCTGATATCAAACAGAAAATAATTCTTACAACCCTTAGTAAGAGTTAAAATTAACGTAAATGAATAGAGTTAACAGCTTTTCAACATGTCTATTAGCACAGACATATTGAAAAGTTTCAATATTTACATATATATTTATTTATTTATTTACTTTTATTTTTTTCAGAACCCCCCACCACCACCGTCTCAGCCAGTGAAGACGGAGGGCAAAGTTAACGCAGCGGCTGTAGAGAAAATAAGATTGGAGATTGTAAGAATATATTATACTATAAAATTCATTAAATAGAAATAATTTACTATACTAGTTTTTGCCTGGGACTTCGTCGAATATATAATTAACATGGTCCTAAAAGACTTCATGTAAAAATAGTAATCTAGGATATATAAAATTGGCTATTTTGCTATAATGATAATATATAACGATAGAAACATATTTATGTATACATAGATAGCAAAAAATGTCGTTAAAACATGTGTTTTTTTAAATCATAACTAATTTGATTCCAGCAATTCAGACAACAGTTGAGACAAATGCAACAGCAGCAACAGCAACCGCAGCAGCAGCAGCAACAACAGCCGCAACAGCCCCCGCAGCAACAGCAACAGCAAAAGAAACCTGAGCCGATATACGACCTGCCGATACACAACAAGCCGACACTGACGCCACAACAACAACAGCAGATAAGACAACAACAGGTATGGTATCAACAGATTTTTTCTACTTCGTTTAAGGATAGATTATTCTTCAATATATATTTAACTAAAAATAACTAAATTTTTCTCATAATTACATGAATTAATAATAATTTCTTTATATTTTAAATAGCAACAACGCCAGGACGCTTTAATTCGTCAGCAGATGCAAATACAACAGCAGCAGCTGCAACAACAGCAGATTCAACAGCAACAGATGCAACAACAACAGGCTCAGCAACAACAAATACAGCAGCAACAGATACAGCAACAGCAGATCCTGCAGCAGCAACAGCTTCAACAACAGCAACAGCAGATGCAACAGCAACAGATGCAGCAGCAGCAGTTGAAGCAGCAGCAAATGCAGCAACAGCAGTTACAGCAACAACAATTGCAACAGCAACAGCTCCAACAAATGAGGAGCAGACAACAGAACGTGTCTCTATCTAGTAGAGATACTAGTGTATTTTCCACTTCTAGTGGTTGTTCTGGGTTAGTTTCTATGTCTTATAATGATATTCTAAAAACCAACAAAATAGTGATGTATGTGTAACCCGCCACAGCGGCTCGTGTTGGCGTGGCGGGTGTCGCTCGGACCCGCGGGACCTGGACGCGCTGCTGCAGTACATAGAGGGACCCTCGAGACACGTGGACAGAGGGAAGAAGAGGGCCAAGAAACAACGACAGAGGGGCAAGAGGGTAAGACACACACACACACACACACACACACACACACACACACACACACACACATGTATATATTGTTAGAAACAAGATCAGAATTGAGTTTATAAAATTAATATTTAATAAATTGACGCAAAATGAAAATAATTTTATATGACTAACTTTCAACTGTCTCGATTTAAAATTAACGTTTAATGAAATCTGTATATAACACAAATGAAAGATTTTAATCACATCAACGCGTGCTATAAATGAAAATGTACTGATCTCGTTTGACAATTAGTTATATGTCGTTTGGGCATCTCCTACCTCTCATATTCCTACCATACATATAAATTAAATTAAATTGTTTAAAGTATTTGTAATTACCGTCAAAACATCGTTAACTTAAGCTATCGGTTTTTACAGCCATAGTATGGTCCCATCCGAATTCCTAGTAAACTACTCATAAACAAACCGCTTATAACAACATCGCATATAACGTCGGATATATACGGTCCCCTTAATATTTTTATGAACGGTTTTGACTGTAGTATTATTTTTAGTTATATATATATTCTTCCAGATGGAATCTCGCCTCATCAGTCAACTTCAACAGCTTCAATCTGAGCTTCAATCAGCTAGAGCTACAGTCACCGCGCTACAAAGAGCGCATGCGGCGGCCAATAGAGATCTAACACACGCTAAGACAACCATCGCAGCTAGTAAAGGAAAGAAGGGTAATGTTTTACACTGTATATCACTTAGAAATAAGACCCTTAAACCTACACCTGGGTCACAAGTCCCAGTCACTGTTGAAGCTCCTCTCACTACAACGATGGACCCGACACACGCACCGTGAATACATGGAATGATGAGAGGATTCGTCTCTCTATATATATTAAACCTACACCTGGGTCACAAGTCATAGTCACTGTTGAAGCTCCTCTCACTACAACGATGGACCCCACACACGCATATGAATACATGGAATGATGAGAGGATTCGTCTCATCTATCTTCGGTGATAGTACAAATCCTCGTAACTATCATTGTATAATTCCTCGTATCTACATTGGAAGCAGATCAGAAGAAAGTTTGAGCTGAAATATTTTATATATAAATGACTTTTAAAGTAATATTTCATAATAAAATTAAATAATTTAAACACTAAATAATTACTAATTGTGAAAGATTTCCTTAAGTGTCGTTAGTTTAGAAAATATTTCAGCTCAAACTTTCTTCTCATAATACAGGGTGACTGGTGAATTACTATTGATATTTGAGGACGTGATATTTGACGATCATATATGAAAAAATAAAAATTAATATAACATAAATATTAATAAACTTCTAAGTAAAGTTAACCAAAAGTTATGTAATTAATTACGCATCGTGTGAACACCCTACAGATTAGGTATACACATACACTCACACATACGCGGACGGCGGCGTAGTGTTGTATCAGCACGCGTCAACACTAGGAACACTTGGAACGTGTCAACACTTTATTTATTTATACGGAAATTTTGTCAAAAATTAAGTGCCTATTTTTTTTACATAATTCGAATGAGAATCATGTACCGAGTATGCTCCTTAAATATTGATAGTAATTCACCAGTCACCCTGTATATTATCCAATGCTAGTTAGTTTTTGCACTATCCCCGATAATATAATATAGTGTAATAAAAGATTATATGAACCAACAGTCAGTGTCATCTATCATGTCTCATTACTACTTACAATAAATCTGTTACGAAGTGTGGAAGACTTTATCTTTAACCTATAAGTTATTCTAATACCAATCTATATTACTGGAAAGTTTTATCAAAATCTGTTCATTATTAAACAGTAACTAACATCCACATATCGTCACATAAACATTTGTAATAGTATTATACCAAATTTTATTGATTAAGTGACAACCCTGACATATGACAAAACTATAATAAATATAATTGCTGACCCTAAATAATTATTACTATTATTTATAGGGAAGAAGCAGAAAATGAATCCGTCGCAGCAGGCAAAGATGCAAGTAGTTATGGAACAGCTGAATGAATACACGTCACTGGTTAATACTACGGCTAAGGTATGTTTATACACACACACACACACACGCACACGCACACGCGCGCGCGCGTCCCCACATATATGCATATGTATATGTATACAACGTGTAACGTAATTAACGCACACCCTCAAACACCCCAATTAGAATATAATAATATAAACGCAATGCATACACCAAATATTATTTATATGTGCACTTGCATTTTTTATTAATGAAATTAGTTATTCCAATTTCGTGCAAATAATATGGTCAACTATTCACCAACACTCCGCTGCACACGCACACACAGACAGACACAATGTACTCGCCGCGCCCGCGCCCCTCTCTCCGAGTGCCGTCCGACAGTAATAAGAAGTAGGTAATAATAAGTACACGAAATAACTACATTATGATTCTTCTTTCCATCACACTTTTCAGGCTTTAGATTGTCGACATTGAATTGTTTTTAATGTGAAGGCAATATTTTATAATTACTGATTTGTTAAATTAAATTTGTAAATAAGAATTATTAAACAGCTGATAACGCGTGATTTGATTAGACACCACAATACCTACGACAAAGTTAAACACAGTCGGCCTGTTTAAATGGTGTGTATCAAAATATTTACAATAAGTTAAAGATCATAAACAAACTTACAGTTTAATTTGCACTCGCACGGCGTATTCGTTTTAAAACATTTTCAAAATGTCCACCGCCTTGTTCAATGCACTTTAATGACCGTTTTCGCAATTGTGGTTTTATTTTAGATAATACTGCAATGTCACTTTTCACTTTTACAAAGGCGGTAATTATCTTATTTTTTAGTTCCTCGGCACTTGTTGTCTCTGTGTTATAAAGTAGCGATTTAATTCGCCCCCACAAAAAAAAGTCGAGTGGCGTCAAATCAGCTGATCTAGGAGGTCAATGGACACGTGCGTATGTATTTGATGTGTGCCGGCTATCGCTGTGCGTGCGTAGATATTTGTAAAATACTATTTTAGCCTTGAAACAAGTATCAGTTTTCTTTAATTGAATGATGATTACTAATTTAATATTTCATTTAAAAATCTTAATACCCTGGCTTACGATCCATTTTCGTTCCAATGAAGTGTTTAGATAACTGTGTGTAGGATGACTGTAATTTACTTAATTCTATCTAAATTTAAGAAAAAAAATTACCTACATAAAAAACTATAAAAATCGATCCAGATTCCGATTCTGAACAAACTACTTTCAGGGTGTGCGTTAATTATGTTACACGTTGAATATACATACTAGCTGCGAACCGCGATGTTACCCGCGGATTTCCGGGAAGTAAAGTAGCCTATGTGTTATTCCTTGACGTCAGCTTCCTGTACACAAAAATTTGTCAAAATCGGTTCAGCCGTTTGAGCGTGAAGAAGTAACAAACATACAAACTTTCTCAATTATAATATTAGTAGGATATATATGGGATCCCACATATGTATATCCAGAAATATATGGTCTAGGATCCATACATTTGGATCTTGACTATTTGTATTAGATGATTTAGTTCAAGCAATATTTATAATGCAGTTGATTATTGATTATTTCTTTCATTCATTACTTGAAAATGAATTATAAAGATCCGTTGATAAAATATTTTATATAGATCCATCTCTTACTTGATTCATGAATATAGATAATACTAGCTTTCCGCCCGCAGTTTCGCCCGCCTGGAGTTCGGTTACATCGCGTTTCCAAGAGAACCTTTCAAAAGTCCGTGATAAAAACTATCCTATGTTCTTTCTCAAGGTCAACTCTATGTCTGTACTAAATTTTATTAAAATCAGTTCAGTGGTTTAGGCGTGAAAACGTAACAGACAGACAGACAGAGTTACTTACGCATTTATAATATTAATAGGTATTGTCTCACATAACTAATTAATATGTAAAGAGAAAATTATTTATTCCTTTATATATGTATATATACTTTTACCTCAGGAACTACAAGTAGGAGAAAGGAGGGTAGCTGAATTGACGCGCAGAGTTAAAGAATGTGAGAAGGAAATAGAAGAAGCCAGGATACTACAGGGCAAGGATGTGGCCGGCGAGCAGCAACAACAACAGCAGCAACAACAGTTACATCAGCAACAGCAACAACAATTACAACAGCAACAGCAACAGAATATGCAAGAAAGACAGAAGAACAACAGTTAGTATTGAGAATTTGAATTGGAATTTTAATATAATTTATTGTAATAAGCTGTATTTTTTTTTCCATATATAAACATATTTACCTGTATAAACATATTTATAAGTAATATATACAAAAAATGCTGAACTAAAATTTATGTAGTTTTCAATATCAGATAGTTATATGTATTGACAGTGTCCTCATGTAGTATGAAGTAATGATTTTTTATGATTACTGTCTTATTCAATATATATCAGTAGAAACATTTTTACTCCAACCACATATATAATTTTATATTAATAATTATTTATTTTTAAAGTTACAGATTCAACAAGAGTGAATCACCCGCCACCCGAGACGCAACCGGTTCAGAATGGTGGGTGATGATCTAATATTATATATATTAAATTCAACGAACATTATTAACTCCAGATCTTGAATTTCTAGTTCCAGAAGTTAAAACTGATAGTAAGAAAACTTGGGAACAGGCAATCGCTCATATCAACCAATTAGCGAAAGGAGCTGCTAAAGAAAAGGTATTATATATAAAAAACATCATTTAGTAAGATATATGTATATATAATATACTAGTTTTTGCCCGCGACTTCGTCATTAATTTCTTCATTAGTAATATATGTATAGCTGACCGGGCGAACTCTATTCTGACCTAGAGGATATATATGACCAGATATTGGAGTTTATTAAGTTTTTTTTCTGATTCGATGGAACATAGGATATCCTATGTCCTTTCTATGTTCTAATCTATCTCTCAACCAATGTTCATCCATATCCGTACAGCCGTTAGAGTTATATATAGTGTAACTAACACGACTTTCTTTTATATTAATAATAGATATGTAGTTTAATATTTACATATATTTCTCCAAAATCTCCACAACACATAGCAATAATCACTGATAGTATAATAATGTACTAAAATTAATTAAAATACGTATGTGTTATGTTTTAATATTAATTATTATATGTCGTTTCAATCTTCTAGAAGAAACAGAAGGAAAGCCAGGCTCAGAAGAAAGAAACGAAACAGAAATCATCGGAACCAGAAGTACAGCTGTCTAAAAAACAGAGAAAACTGTTGGCGAAACAGCAGGTTTGTTATAAAATACAATAACTTGACTTATACTATTTAGTTATATTATACAATAATTTGACTTATAATAATTTGGTATAGCAAAGAATACGTACTAAATCCTTTAATGTATAATGTATTGTAATGATTATACAATAAGGTGACTTACAATAACTTGATATTTTAAAAATGATATACAATTATTTTTTATTTTTATTGTAGTGAATTCTTATATACATACTTTATTAGATATTTATATGTATATATAAAGCAAATGTTTTAATTTTTCAACTATATGCTAAAAAGTAGATTCTGTATAATCTATGAAAATGAATATCATATTTTAGCTAAATAATAGTTTAATTAATACGCTACAGTTAAAATTTTGTCATGATTTTTCTTGAATAATATATACAATATTTTTTAACTATAAATTGTTCTTTTTAACTTTTTCAGGCTGAAGAAGAAGCAATGAAAAAGCAACAACAAGAAGTTAAGAGCAAAAAAGATAAAACTGAACCGCTTAAAGTAGAAAATAATAAAAAGAAAGATAAAGAAAAAGATAAAAAAGATAAGAAAGAAGATAAGAAGGAAAAGAAAGAAGATAAGAAAGGAAAGGAAAATAAACAGGAAAAAATTGGTAAGATATATGTGGAAGATTATTATACAGTCTTTAAAGGGCATTTTAAGTGTTATGAATGCAAAAATAATATTAAAATTAGGAAAAATCTGGTAAATTATATTTGGAAGATTATCTATCAAATGTAGTCTTTATTTATATATTTAACTCTTTTTTGTACACCACAATTACAATATAAACAATTACAGAATAATACATACTAAAAACTAATGGTTAAACAAAAGGCGGCCTTATGGCTTATTAGCCATTTCTTCCAGACTACTTACGGTTAAAGGATTGCGTTTGGAAGAGGTCTTAAGCGTATTTAAGGGCCATTTAAGTATTATGAATGCAAAAATAATATTAAATTGTGAAATTTTTGTCCCAATCGGCTTAAAAGTTTCTAATTTAAGTAAATAACCATTTCCATTAAATCCATATAGTAATATATATGTATTTCTCAATTTTCAGTACCAGTTAAAAGTAAACCTCAAACTAAGAAAGACAAGAAGGGTCAGTCAGTAAATCAAAGTGGTCATACAAGCAGTCAGGGTCAAGTCATCAACATAACACCCGATACAACAATAGAGGTTGTTAGCAAAAAGGTTTGTGTTATAGAAAAGGTTTGTGTTATAGAAAATTAATTAATATTATCTATGGTAAAGATTGTGAACAAGTTCAAGTTAAATTTACTGAACGGATTTTGATGAAGCTGACTGTTATTTCATATATATATATTATACTAGAAGACTTCGTATCGCTCTATAATCAAGAAATATCTGTTACGTTTTTTTATTTATATTTTTGCAGTTTACCTATTAAAGCCATAAATCTCCGTGTCTTGAAGTGCGACAGAATGATTGACATATTAGTTAGTTGTCAAATCTAATGTCAAAAAAAACGTTTGTATCAACAACTACTAATAAATTAAAAATTCCTTGTCCAGCGGACAAAATTGTGAATCTAAACCATTCCCGGATCCCCTTGAATACACACAAAAAATTTCATCAAGATCGGTCCTGTCGTTTGAGAGAAGTTCAGTGACATACACACTCACAGAAGAATTATATATATAAAGATATATAACATTTAATATAATATTTCAGCCGGTGAACAGTAACGAGGCCGAAAAGCCGTCTTCTTGCAGCATTATGGAACAATTGAGTAGCGGAGTGCAGGTAAAAAATATATATATAGATAATGAAATAATGTGTGTATGTTTGTTACACTATAACATACTGAACTGATTTGGATAAAAATATTGTTTGTATGTAGTTTTAGTTCTGGAAATGATAACATTTTATTTCTTGAATTTAAATGCATAAAAATGTTATAGAGGAGCTAATGAATATTGAATATAGAAAAAAAGGTTGTGAAATTCATAAAAATGTACTTAAGTTTCATAACTGATTTATGTCTTATTTTCTGATATCAACTTGTTAAAATGAGAAACATAGAATGTACAGAGAGAGGAGCGGTTAGTCGTTATAGTCGATTAATATCGATAGTTTCGTCGTTGTAAGCGATATGTTGCTGTATCCGATGTTATAAGCGGTTTGCTTATGAATAGTTTACTAGGAAGTCGGACGGACCATACTATGGCTGTAATAACCGATGTCTTTATAAACGGTTTTTATATTGATAAAATTACTTTAAAAAACTACTATACTACTAGCTGACCCGGCAGACTCCGTACTGCCTCAATCAAGAAATAAATTATGTCTTATTTATTTTTTTGTTGTTTACCTTTAAGCCATAAATCTCCGTGTTCTGAAGTGCGATAAAATGATTGACATTTTAGTTAGTTGTCAAATCTAATGTCAAAAAACCGTTTGTATGGGAAATAAAAAAGCGCTGTTTTTAGGGTTTTCCCGGAAATTAATAAACATTTTTTCATCTTTTAAACCTTCCCTGAACCTCCGCGAACATTTCAAGACTATGATAAGATAAATCCGTTCAGCCGTTCTCGAGTTTTAGTGAGACCAAGGAACAGCAATTCATTTTTATATATATAGATTAAGTAATTAATTAATAATGAATGTCAACAGGTTGCCGATCTCAAATTACCCCCGGGTATAACACTGACAAGGGTGCAACCCGGAGAGAAAAAGGATCCACCGATTATAAAGACACTTGTGAGTTAATAAATATTATATATATAATTAATTGAAGAAAGTATTACATAATTAATTGGACAATATATTTATTTTTGTTCAATAAAAATTAGAATATTAATTGGGCTGAATGGATATGAAATCCTTACTAATATTATAAATGCGAAAGTAACTCTGTCTGTCTGTTTGTCTGTTACGCTTTCAAGCCTAAACCACTGAACTGATTTTAATGAAATTTGGTATAGAGATAGAGTCGACCTTGAGAAAGAACGTAGAGTTTTTTTTCCAGACTTTTGAAAGGTTCTCTTGGAAACGCGATATAACCGAACTCCACGCGGACGAAGCTGCGGCCGGAAAGCTAGTAATATATATAGTTATGGTTAATGCAAAGATTTTTAATGTGATTTTGATCATATTTCACAAATAAAGTTATACAGGAATAAACTGTAAAATAGTGATGTATTTGTTCGTTCTATAGTTTCTTTTGATTTCTTATAGCTTTGTAAATTAACTTTTCTATAATTATTTGATTAAAATACTAATTAATTTATATTATAATTGTTTCCAGGCGCCGCCGAGACGTCCGATAGTTGCTCCTACCGCCATTGGTTAGTAATAAATAAATAATATATACATATATATATATATATATATATATATATATATATAAGTAATTTATTTTGTAAATTAATTACATGGGTATCATATATGTACTCGGTGACTTTATATTGAATATATGAAAAAAGCTGTTTTAATATAAAATAAAGAAAAAACATAGATTTTGATAAAAATATAAGCTATATTGTGTATAATTTGTTTAAGAATATATATCATAGAATAAGAGATACTTTTGCTTAATTATTCTATACTCATATGCTAATAAAAAATAAAATCACTTTATTTCCAGAACAATATTCCAATTTTACAAACACTTATTATTTAATGACTTTACTACACTCCAAATCGACAAAATAATAATAATTGTAATTCATAATTTCAGAACCACCCAAGATAATTATACCGGAACCAACGACTAAAACAAAGAAAGGCAAAAAGAAGAAGAAATGTGATGAAGTTAAACCGGAAGCGAAGATGGTTACTCTCAGAAATCCAATGTTTCATCCAAACCTACCGCCTGTACAAATACAACAGCAGAAAAATGAAATTAGATTACCTGAACCCATTCCAATGCCGCCAACGCCATGCCAAGCTACAATCACACCTACATCAAACGGAATGTACACTATAAGAAATCCGCTAATGTCAATGATGCATCAACAAAACCTAATTCGAGGACAAAATCCACAAACATACCACTATAATTACATAAATAATTATGAACAGAAACAGGAAACTGAACATAATTTTCAGAATAGAATCATGAATCTGGCGTCCTTCACGCAAAAGAATGACGAAGGATACTCGTTGTTCAAAACTAATAATAATCAAGAAAAGAGTTTCCTAAATCCAGAATATTTTGAAACTCCGAAAGTTTCGCCGAATCCAATCGGCACTAGGCCGGGTTATGAAGATTCTTTGTTCACAACAACTATTCCGGAACCAATCGGTCCGCCGATTAGGAAAGAGGAGTATAGAGGTTATACGCCATTCGGTCAAGAAGATAGGAACGTATTTAGAAACGCCCTATTTAATGATAAAGCCGATAAGACCGATAAAACCGATTATATGAACGGCGAACTGCCATACTTTCAGCGACTTAGAGCTGGCTCGAAATTAAACAACGAAGTCACTATACATTATGTGACCGATTCTAAATTATATAAAGGACAGGTTAGTAGATAAATATGTAGATACTTAGATGATAATTATAGATATATAGATACAAGTGACGTACTTATAATATACTATAATCCTCACAATTATTATTATGACTGATTATAATTATGATAATACTGAACCATTGTAATGTATCAACATGAGTATCACGTGTTTGTAAACTATACATACTGGCTTCACACATCTTGTAACACATTACTGGAAGTAATGAACATTGGGAATCAAGACAAACTGTAGCTTGAGCAATATATTTGTATTGTAGTTATATTGAAATTAGTTCAGCATTTTGCTTTATATATATAATGGTTTTTTGTTTATTTCAGGAACACAAAGAACCAGATTCATCACTTTTCTCCCCGTGGCCAAATAACTGTAAGTATTTTCAATATAATAACTTCTTACTACATCTCTATATATTAAACTATATATATTTCATAATCCACAATGAAAACACCTAATCTGTGATTTGAATGTACTTTAATTGAAAATTTTACTTATATAAGAGAATAATTTAATATATATGTATATATAATGTATGTTTGTTTGTTTGTCAGGCCAACCAACAATGAACGAGACTTTAGAAGAGGCGCCACACACACACAGACCCGGTAAATAATGATTGTTATTATATAAGGTAGCGGGTTCGACTCTCGACTGAGGGTAGATTAAACACCGGGTCTATATATATATATATATATATATATATATACTAAATTTTGCTCGCGACTTCGTCCGCGTTAATTTCTTCATTAGTAATATATGTTTATCTGACCGGGCGAACTCTATTCCGACCTAGAGGCTATAAATAACCAGATTTTGGAGTTTATTAAGTTTTTTTTGTTTCGATCAAACAGTATTAAATATCCTATGTCCTTTCTATGTTCTAATCTATCTCTCCACCAATGTTCATCCATATCCGTACAGTCGTTAGAGTTATAAATAATGTAACTAACACGAGTTTTAAATATAGTTTTTAAATATACTTTCAAAAGTCTGTGATAAAAACTATCCTATGTTCTTTCTCAAGGTCAACTCTGTCTGTACCAAATTTCATTAAAATTAGTTCAGTGGTTTAGGCGTGAAAGCGTAACAGACAGACAGACGGAGTTACTTTCGCATTTATAATATTAGTAGGGATATAATTATTTATTTATTTATTTCCAGAGTCCAGCGTCTTTCTCCCGGATCGTTCTATAACAAACCTATCAAGTTTAGACGCTTCGGAAAGGGACATTGAATCCTTCAAGAGATTCGATTTCTTCTTCGACCCGCCGCAATACAAGCCGAAGGTTCAACTAGACGTGCGCAATATAGCGGACACTATGAGACACAATAAATAAATATGTATGTCACAAGATTACCCGGTATTACCGAGATTACCGTGATTACCGGATTACCAGCACTAGGAACGGATATTAAAATTAAGCGCCACTTATATCATTATTAGCATCAATTGTGTAACGCTGCTAACGGTTGTAAGAATATTGTTAAGGAAATGTATATTATAGCCGATTATTATGTGTTTTATTTATTAAAACCTTTTATATTTGTGTTATGAACTATTTTATATATGTATATGTAATTAGTATGGAAAAGCTAGCAATATACCATATATGCAAATAAGCACTGCACACTCTATCCATATAACAACTTAACCTATATTGTTTAATTCTTACATACATACTTTTAACCATATATTAAGAGAGAGTCAATCGAAGGGTCGCTGACAAAAAGAAAAGGTAAAGTTCTACATTACAATAAAAACCAAATCTTAATGAAGAATGGGCTTGCTTAATTTTGAAAAGCTATTTTTGAAATATTATCTATCGAATCAGCTTATAATTGCAGTTTATTTCTCTTATTGTTTTGATGTCCACCATTTTAGAAAATGTTTTTAACTTAGACTTTTAATTTTATAATTCCCTTGCCTATCTATGGCACAAGGAGGTCGTCAAAATAATAAACCAATATTGTAGTCGAGATATCAAAAAGATTAAAAAACACTGCATTATGAAATACAAATGTTAACAGACATTTAAAATGACATTGGATTCTTTATTTGTTACATCTATCAATGTAAAAACGAAACATTTTCTATCGGCCGCTGTTAACTGCTAGCGCCTCTATACAGTCAGAGCGGCAGTATGCACAATAGGGTGGGTCACTCTAGTATTGAAAAAAAAAAGAAGTTGCTAGTTCTAATAGTAATATTATATTGTAGTGTACTATAAAAAATAGTTTTAGGTAATTAAACAGATGCCTTCAGCCCGCACATGTGTTTTAAAAATAATAGATTTTGGAAAAAACACGTAAAACTAAATGGTAAAGCTTTTTATTAGAAATTACTCAAAATATTATCAAAACAAAAGAAATGTTTAATGAAAGACACATATTAACGCTTGAAACAATAAACTTAAACAAATAAAGATAAAAGTTATCAAAAAAAATATTCATTTTAATACAAAATATCCTGCCTACTATCGAATTTCTCCATAGCTTTCCTTGATGCAAGTTTTGCATGAATTATGCCGTCCCTTGCTTTTTTATCACATGCCGACATTGCAGCTTCTGTCACTATCTTCACACTTCGTCCAACCGCTTGTGTATGTATGTGTACCGTAATAAATTATAACACAACAAAACCTGGTGGTACATTGAAAGATCTTGAGTAACAAATAATTTCAGTATTACATTTGCTGATAAAAATATATTTATTTTCGATAATAAAATAGTTTACTGCCATAAAATAATTTCGCAGTGAAATATGTATTTTATTGCGATCGTACTTCTAAGTGTTTACGGTGAGTTGAAATTTCAAGAAATATTATTTTAGAGTAATATTCTATGTTAAAAATCTCAGACTAATAGTTATTTGGTTATGTCCAAATTTGAGAATAATTGAAAAGAACCTTAGAGTTTATTATATGTTTCTGTGATCAAATTTCTTTGACATTTAATATATGCATTTATTTGAAAACACAAAGTTATCATATTGTCGTAGGTCAGTCGGAAGCCCGCCATAACGCCATCAACTTGAATCTAGAAACTTCTTTACTTTTTGAACCAGGAGATGAAAATAGTACGTTATTCTTGGAAAAAATACAGAATCTTTTAGACCAAATAAGAGATGCCATATCAGCGAAACCAGTTTTTAGAAATCGCGATGATGACGTATTTACAAATTTTCTAAATAATTTTTTAAACGTACTTGCGAAATACGACGCCAAAGATCTGAAAGTATTCATCCAGAAATTGAATATCGTTTTCAGAAAAATGTTTAAAAATAATATATTTAGTGAGAATTCAAAAACAATGATACAGGAATTATTAAAAGAGTACGCATATAAAGAATCTGATGAATTAAAAAGTTACATCAAAAAGACCACAGATAATAAAAACGCGCTGCTGTTATTTGCGTTGAAAGAATTCAATAAATTCTATAACAAAAAAGACGCACACAAAATGGACGACGTTATATTAAAATTGGATAAAAAAATAAAGAAAAATATGTCAAAAATAATAAAGCAAGCATTAAATATATTATTTGTGGATAAATTTAAAGAATTCGACGAAGAAAAGAGAAATGATTTTAAAAATATTTTAGATACATTCTTGAAAAACTTTTCAAAGAATGATAAATCCAACTTGGATCTAATTGACGAGATTTTAAATATTTTTATAAAACAAACAAACGATACTTATTTAAGTGAAGAAAAGGGAAAAGAATTGATTGAGAAAAACATAATTTTAGATGACGTAGAGATATTAGTGAGAATCGAAAAAAATAATCAATGAAAAAAGATTAATCAATCTTCTACCTGGCAATTTCCCAGCTTTAGCCAGGGTCTGCCTTACATGTTGTGTATAGTTTTGTCTAATTGTTTTTACGACCGACCGCCTGCCTGACATCAACCCTCTTTGGGTATAGATTACTCAATATTCATATTAATTTTAAGTGTCTAAGATGAGACGTATCAAATATCTGATTGGCTTGCTCTATTAGCAGTCAATATTATTTATATATGTATCTGATACAGTTAGTCAGTGGTGGCCTAGTGGTTAAAAGGCCCGCCTCTCATGCACGAGGGCGCGGGTTCGATCCTGGCAAGTACCAATGTGATTTTTCCGAGTCATATCTACTTTATAAGAGTATTTAAACATCACTGATTAATGCATTCCCAAAGAAGGTTGATGTCAGGCAGGCGGCCGGTCGTAAAAACAATTAGCCATAACTATTCACAACATGTAAGACAGACCCTGGCTAAAGCTGGGAAATTGCCAGAAGAAGAAGATGTTATACAGTCGACTTAATATGTAAATTATTAAATTTTGCTAACAAATAAACCACTACAACGATCACACGTCTGTTCTTAACCCATTTCCGTACATTCTAAAATGAGCATTATCGCCTTGAACAATATATGAAGATAAAAATAAAGTATTATTATAAAATATATAAAAAAATTAAGGGTGAACAACCGTTATGACTTAGGGGAATAAAAAATAGATGTTGGCCGATTCTCAGAGCTACTCAATGCTCACAAAATTTCATCAAAATCGGTCCAGCCGTGTCGGAGTTCTCCGTCTAACACCTCGACACGAGAATTTTATATATAAGTTTTAACTCCTCTATTAAAAACATACTTAATAAATACTATTGGAAGGATTGAGTGATAAATGAAAAACATAAATTTAAAGTTATTTAATTCATATATACAAATAGTGAGATCTTATTTTATACAATATATTTGTATTAAAATATTGTTAATAGTAATATTTTCTTAAATTCACACAAACACACACACACACATCCAAGACATTGAAAAATATACAAAAATTCATATATAGTATGTATTATACATAGATTTTTACATGCCGAAGGGGCACCACCTTTGATTCGGAAAGAGGGAGAGGAAAAAGTGGGAAAGGGAGGTAGGAAAAGAGCAACCGTCTCTCTCACTCATCGGACGAAACGCATCCATTAAAGACTACTTGACGCCGATCTTCAGTGAGAGGGTGGTACTTACGGTCGAGACAACATGTTCGAGCTGTAGTAACTTGACCACAGATAGGCTCTACCATGTACATATGTATATAAAGTTCATTAAATATTTATAAATACATTAAGTACATAACTATATTATATGTAATAATTTTCATTTACCTTAAGTATAATTGTTCATATTACAATATACAGGGTGACTGGTGAATTACTATCGATATTTGAGGACGTGATATTTGACGATCATATATGACAAGATAAAAATTAATATAACATAAATATTAATAAACTTCTGAGTAAAGTTAACCAAAAGTTATGTAATTAATTACGCATCGTATGAACACCCTACAGATTAGGTATACACACACACTCACACAGACGCGGCGGCGGCGTAGTGTTGTATCAGCACGCCGCCGCACGCGTCCACACTAGGAACACTTGGAACGTGTACACACTTCATTTATTTATACGGAAATTTGGTCAAAAATTAAGTACCTATGTTTTTTACATAATTCGAATGAGAATCATGTACCGAGTATGCTCCCTAAATATTGATAGTAATTCACCAGTCACCCTGTATATTATTATTAAGAAATCAAGCTATACTATAAACTTGTCAAAATGTCTTAGTAATGTAGACAATTATTAAGAAAGAATATGGCAATGAAAAAATAAGAAACTTTCTCTCCTCTTGTTTAATAATTACTCCCTATATATATACTGCTTACAAGCTACATACTATAAAAATTTTGCAAATAAATACAAATCAGAGATATTTATACAAAAAAGTACAACTTTTTGAGTAAAATTCAGATTATGTTATGTTTTCATGCCGTTTGGACTACATAGAAGTGTAAATACAGATCGGAAGATTTTGTTTGCAAGTTTATTTAATATATAGACAATTTATTAATATTATACACAATGGATATGGAGAGACGAAATATTACTTGTGACTACTGATTCCTTTTTCAGCTTATAAATATATATAAGCAGAAGTACAAATAAATCGTACTTAATTTTTTGAAGTATAAGAAAAATCTACCACCAAAAAAATATTCATGAAATTCTACTTTATTTAGGTCACAACATAATTTTTACCCAAAAAAAAGTCTGTGATAGAAAATTTTGCTCAATTCTTGGTCCATTGAGTGTACTTTTTATTTTTTGGAAACAGAGTCATTACATGTAACACAATACTAGATCTTCTACGAATTTTGACTTTGTATATGAAATAACTCAATATTTACTTATATAGGTAAAATCCCTACTAATATTATAAATGCGAAAGTAACTCTGTCTGTCTGCCTGTTACGCTTTCACGCCTAAACCACTGAACTGATTTTAATGAAATTTGGTACCTAGATAGAGTTGACCTTGAGGAAGAACATAGGATAGTTTTTATCCCAGAATTTTGAAAGGTTCTCTTGGAAACGCGATATAACCAAACTCCACGCGGGCGAACCTGCGGGCGGAAAGCTGGTAAATTATAAAAACAATATATAAAGCATAATACGACCATCATTCATTTGTCCGAGACAAAATAATCCTACTGCTATAGTTATTTTGTAGTATCATTTGTTTTTAAAACAATTTGAGGTCTTTCTACTACTCTGGCAAAATCATCATTGCTTGATAGGTACAGACACTGAGTAGTGATTGTAAAATACTTAAAAATTTATATGTATAGGCTACAGAGTTTTGGTAATCATAACATTGTCCATCTCATTCAAAATTATCTTGATATCTTTTATCATTAATAGTTTTTTTTATAGAGATGTATATAAGTTTTTGTCAACACTTTCTATAGTAAAGCCTCAAATATACAGCTAATACTTAAATGAAGAATTATCTTATGTTCCTATAGACTTGCTACTTATTTATTATTCCAAAAATTACTCCACTGACTGTCAATATCCTATTCTTCCCTATCACAAAAAATACTCATTTTAATTGATTTTAAGTTGCATTTAACATTCACTATCACATCAAATAAATTAGTTATTAATAAAAATACATAACCATTATGGAAATATAAATATATACAAATATTATTCATAATCACATTAAGTCATCATAATTGATATTTACTCACAATAACTCATCATAACTCATATTTACTCACAATAAGTCATCATAACTCATATTTACTCACAGTAACTCATCGTAACTCATATTTATTCCCCATTAACTCTGCCTCCTCTGTGTTTTTGTCTAACATGTCTTGATAAACATGAATGCCAGGCGAAGCTCGCTCCACATCTACCACAAGCATGCTCTGAAACTCCGTGGGCGCCGAGGATGTGGGCGCGGAGTTTAGCGCCGTTCTGATAAATAAATAATATACATATATAGAATTCTAATAACATGATTAAAAAATATAGTTACCTTATAAACCCAGTACATTTTAATAACAATCAATGCTTAATAGGAACAAATCGTCTTGAAGGGATTAATTATTGTACAAAACTAAAATAAATTTTCAAACACACAAATCGTTTCGCCAAATACTTTTTAAGTGATGATATATATGTTCACTCTGATTTACAAAGATATAAACATATTTTATTAACATTTTGTTGATGTTATATTTTCTTTATAATGCAAATAATAATTCACAGAAGTTTTATAACTGTACAATATTTTTAACTTCTTACTACATTCAGTTATAACATAAAAGTATTTATTATGTATTTTAATAATATTCACCGGAAATGGTTTCCCACAGTGGTCGCACAGATGTTCTATGACGTCTTTCCGGTGTACGGCCTGCTTGTGTAGGTACACGGAGTTGCTCGTTTTGAAGACCTGTTGTAGTCGGTTAAAAGATGGTTATGTTTGTATGGGAATCATTAAAAATATTTTATTGTAGTACATTAGTAAGTAAGGACATGATAGTTCAGATGGCAAAAGATTTGGGACGCAATAAGACGGTAACTGGTTCAAATAAAATAATATATTAATTAGAATTTATCATCATCATCAGCCTATCAGAGCCCACTGCTGAGCCTCTTCTCACATGGAGAAGATTAGAGCATAAATCACCACGCTTGCTCAAGACGGGTTGGTGATTTCAAACTTATTATTAAGTCCATGTTTCCTCACGATGTTTTTCTTCGACAGTCAGTAATATTTAAATACTCCTATAAAGTACATATGACTCGGAACATCACTTGTACTTGTCAGGATCGAACCCGCCTTCATGCTAGAGGCGGACCTTTAACCACTAGGACACCACTCACTAATTTGTTCATACATATCTATGTATAATTCCTCTTATAAGTCTGTTCAGTAGTTTTCGTATAACATACATACATACACACATACATACATGTACTCCATTCCCCGCTCACCTTCTGACACTCGTCGCACGTGTACACGTAGTTCTTTAGATGTTCCCAGTTAATATGGTCTCTTAGTTTCGACTTGGTCGGGAACCTCTTGCCGCAGTCGCTGCACATGAACCTAACAACATATAAGATATCTTTATATATATAATTCTTCTGTGAGTGTGTATGTCACTGAACTTCTCTCAAACGATTGGACCGATTTGATGAATTTTTTTGTGTGTGTTCAAGGGGATCTGGGAATGGTTTAGATTCACAATTTTGTCCGCTGGACAATGTTTTTTTAATTAATTTTTAATTTATTAGTAGTTGTTGATACAAACGTTTTAATGACATTAGATTTGACAGCTAACTAATATGTCAAACATTCTGTCGCACTTCAAAACACGGAGATTTATGGCTTTAATAGGTAAACTCCAAAAATATAAATAAAAAAACGTAACAGATATTTCTTGATACGGGCGATACGAAGTTCGCCGGGTCTTCTAGTATAATATATTAACAATTTATATAATTCAGTAATCACAATCTAACGTGTCATATACTCACTTGTAGTCGTTTTCGGTGGCATGTTTCTTGCTAATCTTCATGTGTTGCTGGTAGGTCGCTATCGAGGAAAAAGTTCTGTTACACGGCACACACACCAAGTCGCCCTTCGCCCTTAAAACATTCTTTGTATCAATATAAAGAATATAGTTTTAAAGATCTTTATTTTCCAAAAAAGACAAAGTCACTTACATGGAAACAAAAAAAATCAAGTAATATTAAATTTCGTTAAGATATAATCACATAAAGAGTTGTTTTACTAATTTAATATTGAATACATTTCAAGTGGGTAGAATACAGATACTATTATACTGCGTTTGATTTAAGCTGAGCTTTACATTTGTGTGAGTGCACACGGATAGTGTAGGTGTAATGTCAAATTATTGAATGCCTCGTTTTTTTCTAGTTTTGAACCGGTTTATTCTGCTTTTACTCCGCCCCCCACCTTCCTCACTTCATCTTTTGTACTGGTAGCAAAATCAAATGTTGAAAACGCAATGTCAAGTGAAAATTTTGTATTGTTTTTTTCATAATTTTTATTACTTAATAATTTATCTTCCATAATATTTCCATTTAGACTTTTACTGGTATTGCTTATTTCATTTAATCTAGAATAGCCCTATCACTTATGTTATGTATCTATTTAAAATATAATAGAATTAAATTCTAAATATTTTTTGTATAACTCTACTTTTAGTCACTCACACAAATGCAAAGCTCAGCTTAAGTCTAACGGACTATAAAATAGTTTTTTATTTATAAAATCATGCAAAATCATTTATAGATTGAGTTTATTTGACAAACTCTATATTAATACCAACTTAGCCAAATGACTCTGTAGATGCCTCAATAAGTTTCCTCTCCATAGAAATCGCTTGTCACACTGATTACAGGGGAACTGATGTCTCGAATTATTAATAGACGATTTAATTTCATTAATCTTTTCCTTTATATTGTCCTGTTTTTCAGCAGAATTGTTCATTTCTTTTAATTTCCTGCAAAAATAATGTTGTATGAGAAAAATGTATTTTCAATATATATTGTGGAATTTTAGTCGTGGTGGCCTAGTGGTTAAAGGCCCGCCTCTCATGAGAGCGCGGGTTCGATCCTGGCAAGTACCAATGTGATGTTCCGAGTACTTTCTAAGAGTATTTAGAGATCACTGATTAATGCATTACCAAAGAGGGTTGATGTCAGGCAGGCGGCCGGTCGTAAAAACAATTAGCCAAAACTATTCACATATAAGGCGGACCCTGGCTAAAGCTGGGAAATCGCCAGGTAGAATAATAAAAATGTTGTTGAAATTCAAAAATATTTTGAATATATATGAAAATATTTATTATTCATACTAATTAGATAATTTACCTTAATTTTAACTGTATTTGATGTTTTGAGCTCGTACGGACGTGTTTTTGTAGATTGGACGTTGTAGTGAATGATAATCTGGAAGAAAATAAATTAAATGTATGAATAATATTGTATATTGTTTAGAGAGTTATTGATTTTGAACTATAATAATGGTTTGATATTTGTTATGTTCAAATTTTAATAGTGCAACTTCTTATGCGATTTACGAGGTTGCGTTAAATGTTTAACGCTCCCAGTAGCGGTGGGGATAAAATAAGAGAGCGAGATAGAACACATGTGAGCAATAAATAGTGACTTGTAAATAATGTTAATAAAGTTTGTCTTATAAAAACATTAATAATTTTTCAAAAATCAATTTCAACCCCTTCCTATATTCATTCCAACATAACAACACAATTAAATATCCTATATTCTTTCTATGTTCTAATCTATCTCTCCACCAATCTTCATCCATATCTGTACAGTCGTTAGAGTTATAAATAGTGTAACTAACACGACTTTCTTATATATATTCTACTAATATTATAATTGCGAAAGTTTGTGTGTGTATGTTTGTTACTTCTTCACGCTCGAACGGCTGAAGTGATTTTGATAAAATTTTGTATGCAGAAAGCTGACGTCCGGGAATAAGACATAGGCTACTTTACATCCCGGAAATCCGCGGGTAATACCGCGTTTTTTTAATTAATTTTTAATTTATTAGTAGTTGTTGATACAAACGTTTTTTTTTTACATTAGATTTGACAACTAACTAATATGTCGATCATTCTGTCGCACTTCAAAACACGGAGATTTATGTCTTTAATAGGTAAACTCCAAAAATATAAATAAAAAACGTAATAGATATTTCTTGATTATAGGGCGATACGAAGTTCGCCGGGTCTTCTAGTATATATATATGTTTCTATATACCTGCAAGGCGTACAATAAGGTTTTCTTTTCTGTCCGTTTTCTATGCTGTGTGTTTCAAGATGTTTCCTCAGAGATGTTTTCCACTTGAAAGTCTTTGGACAGAACTCACACGAATGTTGGACGCCGGCTGAACCTCTGGAGAGAGAGAGAGAGATAGATATATGGAGAGAAAGAGAGAGAGTATTACGATCTGCACTATTGGTCTTGGTGTGTTTATAAATGATAGCACTATCTATGTGTGTGTGTATGTGTGTGTGTGTGTGTGATAGTTAGTTGTAGACGGGAATCGAACCAAAATTCATATCATTAGGATACAATGGAATTAAAATAATTATAATTTTATATACATAATACAAGTAGCGTGTATACTTTTATTATGTCACTCAAATAATTTGGTAGTTTTTGGTAGCATATCATAAAAATACAATTTCAATATATTATTCTATTATATTTTATGACGTCTGTCTGTCTGTCTTATATCCTTACCTCGATTCATTATTCTCATCGTCATTATTCTTCAATTCCACGTCCATTCTGTAAAACAAATAATGGATATTATTTAGTAAATGTATCAAATTGTGTAGACACGATAGCTCAATTGTAAGAGTGACTTAGACGTAATGGCCTGTGGAACAGGTTCGAGTCCTGATTGTGTTAAAATATTATATATATATAATAGTTTGTTTTTATTCGTGGTTTTCATATAACTGTTTTAAGATCACAATCATATAAATTCTAATTAATATTTTTATATATAAAAACGAATAGTAAACGAAAAATTATAGTTTCAATTGAAAAAAATCATACATAATTTCAGTATTTTTATGTTATACTGGCTGACCCGGCAGACTTCGTATTGCCTCAATCAAGAAATAAATAATGTCTTATTTATTTTTTGGAGTTTACCTATTAAAGCCATAAATCTCCGTGTTCTGAAGTGCGACAGAATAATTGACATATTGGTCAGTTGTCAAATCTTATGTCAAACAAAACGTTCGCATGGGAAATAGAATAGGGCTGTTTTTAGGGTTTTCCCGGAAATTATTCATTTCTTTCAGCTTTTAAACCTTCCCTGAACCTCCACGAACATTTCAAGACTAAGATAAGATAAATCCGTTCAGCCGTTCTCGAGTTTTAATAAGACTAACGAAAAGCAATTCATCTATATATATATATATATATATACTAGCTTTCCGCCTGCAGCTTCGCCCGCGTGGAGTTCGGTTATATCGCGTTTCCAAGAGAACCTTTCAAAAGTCTGAGATAAAAACTATCCTATGTTCTTTCTCAAGGTCAACTCTATGTCTGTACCAAATTTCATTAAAATCAGTTCAGTGGTTTAGGCGTGAAAGCGTAACAGACAGACAGAATTACTTTCGCATTTATAATATTAGTAGGGATATATAACTCACCCAACACAATGCGTGTTATTATAATGTCTCAGCGCGTCCCGTTTGTTCACACACCTCTGTCCACACACGCTGCACTCGTACCTGACCGTGTGTTTGTTCGTGTGGTAATTGTACGAGAACTCCGTAGCGAATGTACATGTGCATATAGAGCATTTGTAGTTTGACGCGTTCTGAAATGGAACGATTTTAGGTGTAAATTGAGCGAAACGAACGAAACGAATGAAACGAACGAAACGAATGAAACGAACGAAACGAATGAAACGAGCGAAACGAAACATAAAATTGTCATTGTAAAATTGTAAGGTAGGGTCTAATGGCCAAGTTACTACAGCTCGAACATGTTCTGTCTCGACCGTAAGTACCACCCTCTCACTGAAGATCGGCGTCAAGTAGTCTTTAATGGATGAATATAATTCGATGAGTGAGACGGTCATTCTGTCTCTTTCCCACAATTTCTTCTGACTCTCTCTAACAATCAAGGGACAAAGCATCTACATGTCTCATAAGAAAACTGTACAGAATTTTAACTATAGCCAATATATAATCACAATACAAATAGAACTCTCACAGAGTAAAGATATGATTCTACCAACTTCTAGAATAGACCGCAGTATTACTCTTTCCATTTACATTACATCACATCCTATCAGAGCCCACTGCTGAGTCTCATCTCACATGGAGAAGATTAGAGCATTAATCACCACACTCGCTCAAAACGGGTTGGTGATATCAAACTTATAATTTGATACAAGTCCATGTTTCCTCAAATATTTTCCTTCATCAGTCAGTGACGTCTAAATACTCATAAGCACATATGACTCGGAACATCACATTGGTACTTACCAGGATAGAACCCTCCCTCATGCATGAGAGGCGAGCTTTAGCCGAGGCCACCACTTTATTTACCATTACATGAATATGTCCAAAAAGAATTCAATCTATTTACATAATTTTACACAACTCACCAATAAATGTTTATTAGTCTCATGGTCTTCTAAGTCTTCTGAGTTAGGAAAAGTCATAATACATTTCTCACATCTAAACATAGCGTTCACATAATCTTCTCCGATCTCCAACAATTTCCTTTCTTCATATATTTCATCTCTAGTTAACTCTACTTGTATGTATTCTCTTGTTTCCTGAATCAATGAATCTTTTCTATACTCATTTTTAACCTTAACTTCGATTTCCTCTGCCTTAATTTCTGTTGATTCTTCATATATATCTGACTGGCTGTTTGATATGTTGTGTAATTCTTTTATTTGCAATCTTAACCTCGGTTGGATAGGTTGCAATGGATTCTGGTGAATAAAAATTACATAATACATAAGTTATTAACGAATATGTAAAGAAAATAGGGCTCTGGATGTACAAAAAATAAATTTTAAGTACTGAATGAATAGTAGATTATAATTTTAGATTATTTCAACCAAAGAAACTTCATTAAATAATATTTTTTCCTTACTGTTATGAAATCGTTATAATCTCTATATGATTGCATGACTTGTTTCTTGAAAGATGCAAACTTCACAAGTAAAGCCGTACATTCATAACATAATTGCAGATTTTCTTGATAGGCCATCTGTAATATAATAATTTATTACTTTATTAGGTAAAAAAATAATTATTTAACAAATAGTCTGATTAATTCTATAGTTATTGGATGATTCATAATTTTTTATAAATTTTAATTTGAAGTTCTTGTGATTTCCCAGTCTTTTACTTCTTCTACCTGGCAGTTTTCCCAGCTTTAGCCAGGGTCTGCCTTACATGTTGTGAATAGTTTTGGCTAATTGTTATTAAAACCAGCCGCCTGCCTGACATCAACCCTATTTGGGAATGCATTAATCAGTGATGTGTAAATAGTCTTAGAAAGTATATATTACTCATAAAAATCACATTGGCCAGAGACAGGATCGAACCCGCGCCCTCGTGCATGAGAGGCGGGCCTTTTAACCACTAGACCACCACTTATCATTTCCCAAAGTAATCTTTACTAATTAATTAATTTGCATAATAATTTAACAGTTTTTCAACTCTCTTTTTTGCAGCGATCTTTTAATAACTATAATTTTAAAAAGAATGTAAAAGTCTTAGTATTATTTAACGATCTTTCTTAAAAATCCTTTTTTATTAAAGTGTTTCTATATTTATTGAGTTAAAATGTAATATAAGACACAAACAAACCAAAAAGGCAAATAAGATTATGCATAACACGTTCAGAATATTATTTTAAGAATAAACTACGTAATATTTTCAATCAATCTCTCGTAAATAAGCAGAAAAGCCTTGCATGTTTCGACCATAAAAAAACAGTATTTCTGTATAAAAACAACAAAATAAATGGATCAATATACATCTATAGCAAATAATAATGATTGTAGAATATAACTAATTGAAATTTTTTAAACATTTCACACAAAATTAATCCAAAATGTATATTTTACCGGTATTTCACTTATAATTTGTATTAAACAGTTCCTAGCGCTACGTTCTCGTATTTGGATCATTTTTCGTCCGCTGTTCAAACAACCACTGCATATAGAAGACATTTTGTTTTAAAAATATTAATTTAATATAATATTATGGTGTATAAATTCTAAATTCATTGTTTTGTTTGTGTAATAAAAAGAATGTCACAGATTATAAGTGAACAGTGACAGCAGCGTTTTATTATTACTTTATCAAATATATGAACAAATGATAAACATTATTTTTGTAATTTAAATAATTATTATAATGTTTACTGTTATTTATGCTGAGTTTCATACAATTTAATCATCTCACTGATTTTAATCAAAGCGTCTTTCCTGTTATAAGAATTTAAAGCCCTTTTGGGAATATATAGAAAGGTGGACTATATTAGATGAAATTTTGGATTATAGTAAGGAAAGTGAAAATTTTTAGCGTAAAAACCCTCTTATTAGTTTAAATTAGTTTTAATATAATTAAATTAATCGCACACATGTACTCAGGTTGTGAATACATTGTACTCGTATACAGTTAACACATTGCTGTTCTGTAAATGTAAACTTGTACTATATGTATACTGGTTGAGTGTTGATACAAATGATAAAAAAATTGTTCCAACCAAGTAAGACTTTACAATTAAGGGAAGTTTCTATTTCAATTACGACTCTTTGCATTTGATTGTAGGTGGATATGAAGTAGTAAAAGATGAAAGCACTTATAACTTTAATTACAAAACAAAACTGACTTTGAATAATAAAAACAGTAGGAATTCTTTGTAAATCACTTGTTTATTGTCCATTGCCACAAAATAACGAATAATTACATCCAAAATGCTCTTTAAATTACCTCCTTGATACATAACGCCACTCCACACCTCTCCCGCCAATTCTTATAGTCAATACAGCTCCTCTTTATTTTTGTTACACTGATAACCTATTTACTCTATACTAAAAGACGATCAAAATATATTTGAAGAAAACAAACGCAAGGAAATTGTTTCAATAACGATATCTAAGTGTTTCTTTAGTTTTCATTTAAAAATGAAACAATTTTTTTCAAATGTAGCTCTTGCATCATTACTTTATTTTTACAATTTTATTTTACACGAAATGTCATTTCATGTCTTTTTTATGGCTTCCCAATGAATAATATATATACATATTGGTACGGTGTATTTATTATGTAACTAGAAATCTATTTCATTTTCGTTATTAGTCTTCGTACGTGGATGAATTCTCAAAACTTCATTCTAATAATATTATGTCATAGTAACAATTTAATTCTGAAACTCCCTACATATATCTAAATAACAATAACTCAATTTTTTTTACCAATATTAAGGAGGAATATAGGGTTAAATAAAACAATATTTTATTGTTTATTATGTAATAACTTATTGTGCGTGTAAAGCGCCCCCTTGTGGGCGAAACAGGCGCCACAAGTGACACAGCGATGAGGCCGCTCGCCTGTGTGTGTGTGTATGTGAGAACGAAGGATTTGTAGCGTCTAGAAGTTAATTACAATAATAATTATAGTGTAGTATTGAATTTTGTTTTATAGGCAGACCCTGGCTAAAGCTGGGAAATTGCCAGGAAGAAGAAGATTGAATTTTGTCTTTTTTTTCATACAATAAGACAAATATCTTAATCTTTATAACTATTGAAATATATATTTGGGAAAATTAGGTAAATATGTGGAGTGAAATTTTTCATTGTAATTTTTATATAATATTTTTACAGAATTAAATAATGTGTTTTTTATAATCTTAGAAGCGTTTAAAATATACAATAAGAGGATTGAGCTGAATTTTCAAATATTTACCGTTTTTTTAGTAGTAATATATTTTTTAGATGAAAGACAGGTTAAATAACATTTTTAATATTGCTAATATTATTTTGTAATAATTATAACTCACAGTAAACGCTCTGCCACAATGGTCACAGATTTTATTCCTAGGAGGTCTTTTCTTCTCGTGTACGTATTGGAAATGTTTTTTCAAACTATTCTTGTTTTTGAAAACCTGAAACACATGAACATTTCAAGGAATCCCTACTAATATTATATTTTCGCATTTGCGAACGTAACTCTGTCTGTCTGTTACGCTTTCACGCCTAAACCACTGGACAGATTTTAATGAAATTTGGTACAGACATAGAGTTGACCTTGACAAAGAACATAGGATAGTTTTTATCTCGGACTTTTGAAAGGTTCTCTTGGAAACGCAATATAACCGAACTCCACGCGAGCGAAGCTAGTAGTATATATAAATGAATATAAGCTATTTTTTAGTTATAAGAAATTACTTTATCTGAAATAGAAAAATATTTCTATTAAAAATCAAATTAAATATCTAAAATTTTTGGTTCAAATTTTAGATTAGTAAAAGGAAAAATGCAAGGAAACGCACCCGAAGTGTCGTTAAAGAGATGACGTTTGGTTTGTTCACTTTTACGAGGGAAAGTATTTGTTGACACGACTTGTGTGTTTGTAAACTGAATACAACTTATTGAAGGTGTTTTGGTTTAAGATAATAATTAGTTTGTTCCAGTTTATTTTATTAGTTATTAAAAAGTACTGGCTTACAAGACGATGTATATTTTAAATTATTTTTGTCATCCTACTAATATTATAATTGCTAAAGTGTGAGTGTGTATGTTTGTTACTTCTTCACGCTCAAACGGCTGAAGCGATTTTGATAAAATTTTGTATACAGGAAGCTGACGTCCAGGAATAGGACATAGGCTACTTTACATCCCGGAAATCAAGTAACACCGCGGGGCGCAGCTAGTATAATGTCTGTTACCTTCGAGCATGAGTCACATTCGTATTTCGTATTATTTAAATGAACCCAGTCCACGTGTTCTCTCAGAGACTTCGGTGTGAGGAACTTCAGATCACATTCTGTACAAACGAACCTGAAATATATGAAAATGTATGTATGAGAACTGAGAAACAATATACATGACTAAACTATGAGGAATATTGTCTATAGGGATTTTTGATAAGAAAATACAATGTATTTAAAAGATATATATAATAAAGCTCTGTTTTAAATCAGTGGTTCGGAAACTTATTTTGTCTCTGCCCACTTTAATATAAATTATTTTATAGCGCTCTTATATTTCCACCTAATGTAAAACCACAACTCATATAGGCCTTCAATTATCACCCACTTATAGAAATTTGTTTTAAATCTATGAAATACTACTTAATAAATGATTTGAATAATTCATCAAAAGGTTTTCAAAAGTTTCTCAAAGTTAATATAACGGCCTCTCGTAGGCGTTTAAATAATTAGGGCCTGATTTTTTAAGCGAAACACTTTGAGATACTCTTTAAATCCATTATATACTATTAAAATAATTTATCTACAAATCTATAGTATGTAGTGTATAGTCTTTAGTGTATATTATATACCTCTTGTCATGATCCACCACGTGTCTCGAGTGCGTCTTCAGATGGTGTCTCAGACCGTGCGGTGTCCTGAAGTGAGTGTCACAGTCGGTGCAGTAGACCGGCGAGGAGTGCGTCGCGAGGTGGGCGCTCAGACCGGACTTGGCGCGGTACACCTTGTGGCACTTGTCACAGCTGTACACGCGGCTCGAGTGGGCGTGGACCGTACTGGGAGGGAGAGGGGGTAATATATATATTATATTATATAAATATGCAGTGCCGTAACTAGGGCGGTGCCAGCAGTGCCCAGGCAGAGGGCGCAGAACCTGGAGGGGCGCAGAAATGACCAGACTAGTATCTAGTTTTATCTCATGCATGGTAGCTATATACTTATATACTTTGGTAAACACCAAATAGATAGATTTATTTGTATGCACATTTGTCCATTTTTTTTTCACAAAGCTCACACCGGGTGCATAAAAACCTAGTTACAACACTGTATATATGTACTAAAATAAGATACAGTTATATTATTATAAAGAAATGTGAAAGATAACTTTTCTCATATAATGATAGTTTTTGGATATACTATCAGTGCTTTATTTTTGTGAAAACCTACGTACTAGTAACTTTTCGGCAACTTTTCACCAACCGTGATCATTAAGACGAGATGGCAATAGTATATCCGTAAAATATACAAAAGAACTATGATATAAATATAATATTAATATAACTCACTACAGATGTGTCTTAAGTCCATTATTATTAACAAACGTTTTCCCACACAAGTTACATTCAACTTTACTCTGCCTGTGTTTCTCGAGGTGATATCGAAACACCCTGTATTTGCTGAAAAAAATAATTATTATTATGATTTTTCATATAAAAAGTTCAACCCTGTATATGCTTAAAGAGTATATTAATTAGGTATCACGTTTTCTTATATATGTATATAGTTAAAAACACAGAAACAATTAATGAATATCTAAGTCAATAGAAAATCTATAATATGGACCTACTAATTATAAATGCGGAATTAACTCTGTCTATCTGTTAAACTTTCAAGTCTAAACCACTGAACTGATTTTAATGAAATTTGGTACAGAGATAGAGTTGACCTTGAGAAAGAACATAGGATAGTTTTTATCCCAGACTTTTGAAAGGTTCTCTTGGAAAAGCTAGTATAAACAACTTACTCAGTTTTATATTCGCATGTTTTACATGAGAACTCCATCTGTATGAGTCCGTGGTTGTCATTGTAGTGTTTGAGTAGCGGATACAAGTTGTTTGTTCGTTTACCGCACTCAATACATTCATATCTGGAAATAGAATAAATAATTATTAAATGTAAGGAAAATCTTATGCCAGAAAATGCTATTGTCACACTCTATGGTCTATCGGAGAGGTAGTCTGTGCAGGTAGACCGGAATGTGTGTGGGAATAGTGTGCAGTATACCGGTCTACCTGCACAGACTATCTCTCCAGTAGACCGTAGAGTATGGCCGGTATAAAAGAATTAAGATAGAAAGGAAAGAATGAAAGAAAATTTTATGAATCAAAGAAGTTATAATGATTGACAATAGATGAAGTTAAGTTGTTAATAGTTATTGTTTATGTAATAGAGCAATGATTTAGGGAATTAATTTTACATGAGACTGATAAACGCTAATTAGATTTAAAACGTTCTATTTATATCACAAAGGAATTTAATAAAATAAACCTACATATGTATACAATAAAAATAAAGTGCTCATACATATTATATAGACTTTTGTTAATATTATAAATGCGAAAGTAACTCTGTCTCTCTGTTTGTTACGTTTTCACGCCTAAACCACTGAACTGATTTTAATGAAATTTGGTACAGACATAGAGTTGACCTTGAGAAAGAACATAGGATAGTTTTTATCCCAGACGTTTGAAAGGTTCTCTTGGAAACGCGATATAATCGAACTCCACGCGGCCGAAGCTGCGGACGGAAAGCTAGTAATTTATGTTTTCTCTCACCGTCTGAAGTGTCTCTTGTAATGTTCATCAAATGATATTTTAGTTGAGAGGTGAGACTTACAAATATTACATTCGTATTCACCAGACTGAAAGAAACATCATATTTATTATGACAAAGAATTTATGGTAAATAAATATATACAGGGTGACTGGTGTGTTTGTGTGTGTGTGTATACCTAATCTGTAGGGTGTTCACACGATGCGTAATTAATTACATAACTTTTGGTTAACTTTACTTAGAAGTTTATTAATATTTATGTTATATTAATTTTTATTTTGTCATATATGATCGTCAAATATCACGTCCTCAAGTATCGATAGTAATTGACCAGTCACCCTGTATAAATATTAGGTACATTTATTATTGAAGTGAAACTTGATTTGATTTTCAACAAGGTTGCGTTAAACGTTTAACGCGTGGGAATAGAAAAAGACGGAACGAGAATAAAGGTGGGTTAATTGTGACTTGTAAATATTAATAAAGTTTTTCTTAATGAAACACCAAATATTCCTTAAAAATCAATTTCTATTCCTTCATATTTTCTTTCAAAAATACGAAATTTCACTTCTTCGAGTGACGACGTATAATTATTTTTATTAAGTATATGTCATTATATTTAAATCCTCACTTTATTATGCCTAGTCTCTATATGACTCTTCAAAGTCAACTCGTGGTCGAAAGCCGTAATACACAAATCACATTTGTATGGAAGTCTCAAATAACTTGTCTTTTTAGCCTCAACTTGTCTTTCCTCCAACATTTCCTCTTCACTCAGTAATACAATCCGAATTTTTCCCTCGTACCGCTTCTGAAGCGACGACGCATTTTTGACAGTTCTATTTTTAAATTCCTTCTTAATCTTTTTGGCGGGTTTCCGTTTTTTAATTTCGACCAATGGGAGGTGCTCTGAGTTCGAGCTGTCATATTCTATCTTGACTTCCGTCATAATCTCCGGCGGCACCTGATTGGTCGGTTTTATCTCCATTTCTATTGGCTGGCAGTCGATAGTTGAATAGATTTCGATTTTCGAATAACCGAGACCGCTTCGATTGACATTTAGAATGTTTGTTTGTGTCTGAAATTATAAAAATTAGGTCGTAATAATTTATATAGAATGTATAATTTATAAAAAATGTCTTCAAATCATCAAAAACCTATTTATAATAATTATTTTCATATATTTTTCTTCTTTTAGCAACTTCATAGAATACAATAAACGTTTAGAAGTAAATTAGAATAGAAATACTTTTAATTAAATTGAAAATTATTAATTTACAATCAAAAGAAAATGAAACGGAAAGTCAGAAACAGAGTTACAGCCTGTTAGAAAAGGATGAGATTAAATTAAACAATTATTTTATTAAAACCTTCAACGGCAGCAATATATATATTACATATTATATATATATATATATATGTATATATATATATATATATATATATATATATATATATATATATATATATATATATATATATATATATATATATATATATATATATATGGGTATAGTATTAATTACAAGTAATTCATATATAAAAGGGAAAAATTTCATTAAGTAGTTAATATAAATGTACAATGTATATATATTTGTTATTTTTTAGGCTAATCTACTCATTATTATATAATTTAACAAACTACACACTACTATATTCCACACAGTAAAAGTTTTATGCAATATTTACATAAATTTACTAATTTTACTCCGGACAGACAATACTTCTCTTAACATCACATAAGTTTTAAAAACAAGTTATATTTAAAATCAAAGACTATATATCATACAAATGAAAATATTTTCAATTCAATTTGCTCATATCGCTATACTTATATGATATTTCTTCTAAAACAATATTTTAAATGAAGATTTTATTATAAGTTAACGTACTTTGATATATATTATCCTTACCTGTTCTAATAACTTCATATTCTCCGCCACCTGAAGTCTGAATTTATCTATCTTCTTAATCAGATTGTGACAATTTAAACATACAAAAGTTTCTTTTAAGTTTGGCTGAAAATTTTTAAAATATAAACATACATAAATATGTAAGGATATAACATATTAATATATATATATATATTAATCAATTAAGTTACTAAAGGTAAGGCAATTGATACAATACAAAAACAATTATTAAGTAACAAATTTCAAAGAAAAAGTGTGTTTAATTTTTCTTTCAATGTTATAACTAAGTTACTCAAAGATAATTCACAGAAGTTTAATTATCGAGACTAAGCTTTAATATAAAAAAAAATCGTATAAAATTTATTTTCATTATTTTTTATTTCCTTTTACCAATTTACAACATGACTACTATAGCTGTGACGTTAAAGTAATATTTTTACATTTTGTTACAAGAATATATCATTAAAAATGCTTTTTATTATAATTTAATAATCTTACCTTATAATTTAATAGATATTCAAAGACTTTAGCATGTTTACAAGTGAATAAATCGATGCAAGTAACACTATTGTTGAGGCAAGCTATGCAGCATTTTGCTTGTGGGACCTCTTTTGTATAATCAGGTAAAATTAATTGCATGAAACCGGACATTTTACACAAATAATCACTTTTTTAATATATTTAAATGTTATAAACGAAACTATCAATCTACAAAAGCATCACTAAGTATGTTCCGTTTTAAGCAATACCGGTGTGGACTTTGTCAATTTCAAGACATTTCTTCTAAGATTGCATTCGTCGTATTAAATATTATAGTTTTAAAAATACAATATATTGAATAAATAAATTAGAGATTAAGCTAATAATAAATAATTAAATAGTTTTTGTTATATATTTAGAAATTATAATTACACATAATAGTTATCGAAAGCATCTGTGATTTGTAACTTTTTTAATCTGTGTCAGAGTTGACAAATAATTTTTGTTTGAAAATTTTAATTCCTATAAACACTTTTCCTTTTGTCATATCTTTATTTAAAACTAGTTTTTGCCCGCGACTTCGTCCGTTAATTTCGTCATTAGTAATATAGGTATAGCTGACCGGGCAAACTCTATTCCATCTTCAATAACCCGGTATTGGTATTTATTAAATTTCTACTGTTTCAATCGAACAGAATGATTGACATATTAGTTAGTTGTCAAGTCTAATGTCAAAAAATCGTTTGTATGGGAAATAGAAAAGGACCGTTTTTAGGGTTTTCCTGACAATTATTGCAATTTTTCTCACCTTTTACACCTTCCCTGGACTTCCAGGAATATTTCAAGACTAAAATTAGCCAAATCGGTTCAGCCGTTCTCAAGTTTTAGCTAGACTAAGGAACAGCAATCCATTTTTATATATATAGAAGATATTGTATGAAATAATATTTCAATAAAAACTTTTTGAAATAACTTTTGCCTGTCCCATGACTTTTTTGTCAAAGAAAAGGGATTATTCATTATCTTGTTTGGTATAATTTAAAATTCGGTCTTTTTTGTAATGTAATTTTGGACAAAGAATTAATACTATTTCTTATATATCTATATGTTCTAGAAAAAATTAAAAGCGATAAAAGGACTTAAAATACATAATACTAGTAACAGATTCGTTGTGTTTGGGATTCTCGTAATAAAAACTTTTTCTTGTTTTAGTTAAACATATTTTCAATAGTGAAAGTAAACGTTGAAAAGTTTGTTAAAATCCTGACAGTTTTTAAGATGATATACCATTCATAATATTTCAACTAAGTTACCGAGAATATACTCGTAAATGGAGGACTTTATTTATTGAACTATTTAAATGAATATCCACAATTACTTCATAGTAGATATCAAAGGTTTTTTTTTGGAAATTTAAAACCGGATAGGTCAAATGTAGTAATTATACAGGGTGACTGGTGAATTACTATTAATATTTAAGGAGCATACTCGGTACATGGTTCTCATTCGAATTATGTAAAGTATATAGTATCTCGGACTTTTTTCTTTTGACTAATCGTGAGTATTTATATGTACCAACCAAATCGTATTTTGGTAATACTTTTCGCGCCATAATTTACATGATTTACAGTAAGTGTTCATATTAAATTGTGTTTTGGTATGAATAATTTTTTTTTACATATTGTCTTTAATATAACTAGAAAATGTTATTTAGAGGTAATGAAAGCTTTCTACTATTGAAATATATTTTTCGTGACCGTCAAATAGTCACCACGACAATTTTGCCACCTCGACTAAATCGAACAATTTGCTACCGATTTACGATATATATTTGGAAAGGACAACGTCGTGGCAGAAACACTATCTAGGAATGAAGAACTGACAAAGCCCATAGACTTGACAGAGCTAGCGCAGTCACAAGCTGATTATCTAGAGCTGAAACGATTGATAGAAGGAGAATCATCACTCAACTTAGGTAAGACGATCATTCCTGAAACGCAAATACAGCTGTACTGAGATGACAATAACCAAATTTTACTAAGTGAATTTTTGCTGAGTGAATGTAAGCTTTGAAATACTTCGAGTATAGCTAACATTCACTTAGCCACCCTGGCGCCAATTCCACCGCTAAACTTGTATCCCAGCGATTCGTATGGCCCGGCGTACGGAAAGATTATATATAATCTATACATATAATAAAATTGTAGAAGTGCTGTCTGTACATTGAAAATTAAAATAAAAAAAATAGCAGGGGTTATTGTTGTCGATGTCGAACCCAAAAATGTAATTAACTTTTTTTTTGTCGTTTTGTCTGTTCACGCTAATCTTAGAAACGGCTGATCCGATTTGGATGCGGTTTTCACGAATATATTGTGGTATGCTTCAGTTATGCTTTAGTGTTTGTTTCATGTCAATCGGTTCATAAATAAAAAAGTTATGTCAAATTAAAGAATCACGTCGAACGAAGTCGCGGGCACAGCTAGTTCTGAATATAATTCTGAATAATATGTGAAAAAATCTCGAATGAGTTTGTGTAATGGAATAATTACAATATTTATTCATCATGATCTTAACTACTAGTATATTCAGATGATAAGACAATTGTTGTTTTTTATAAGTATTTATTAAAATAATTAATTAATAATTTTTATAGCAAATACAAAATGAAAACTACCTCTGGAATATTGCGTTTCAATTGCTGTGAATATTAACTTAAGAATCATTGAAGTTAGCTCAAATTATACGATAACATTTTCACTGGTAAACCATTCAATAAATTATATAAATAACATTATTTAATCTTACAGAATTATTTATAAAAAACAGGAAAAGCATCATAAAATTATAATACAAATAGGTGTAGCTTTTGTTGAAAATCTTATGTCTATTTCTTTTCAATTCTGTTTTTTTTTATATAAATTTTACATACAGACCAGCTTAAAGGTAATTTTGACATTTAATTTTTTACAAATGTCAACACCAAACGAGTTTTCATAATGGCGGACACTGCTTGCCAAGCTAATTTTTGTAATCGTAAATATAAACAAATATTATATTGAATACAATAACTTATATTGTACTATTAGTTTTTACCATAATCTTTAACATATGGGGCTATGGAGAGTCACCTGCATGATGTAAATATAGTACACAATGTGAAATTAGATCCCCATTTACACGATGTACCAGTTGCTCACATAAAAATGGATTCTCACTTAATGCATGAGGCGGTACCTCATAATATAAAGATGCACGACGGTTCACACAACGTTAAATTAGATTTACACGAAGTTCCTATAACCCACAGCATGAAAATGGACGGTCATATACAAGTACCAGTTAACCATATACCCCATATGAACCAAAACAATCAAATACAACAGAACGTTACTCAGAACGTGGAGAATGAACCGGAGAATCTACTGAAGCCGAGAATAGAGAAGAAGAAGAAAGAAGCTATAGATGGACAAGCCAGAGAAATTATATACAAAGTTATCAAGTTCTTTGAGAGTGAAAAACAGAACAGAGGTTACGCGTTCCCTGTTGAAAATGTAGTTAAAAGAGCCTGTGCAGCCACTGGCCTGTCTGAAAGCACTATAAAAAGGATTAAACGCGAAGGTATTAGAGCTGAAGCTACACATACTAAAATGGCTGGCCCCAAGAAGAAAAGAGTACGGAAAACTAAAGTCCAACTGGATTATTTCCAATTATGTGCGCTACGAGGCATCGTTAACAGTTACAGTATGAGAAAAGAAGTACCGACGTTAGGCAAAATACTAACAGCGGCCAAACATGAATTAAATTACAGAGGCGGCAAAGAATCTCTCAGGCTAATATTACTGAACAAGCTAGGTATTAAGTTTAAGAAGTGCGAGAAGAAAAATAAAAAACCACCGGAGCCAAATCAGACGACTGCGATTCAACCGATGCCCAATGTTATGTCTCATTTGCCGATGCAGCAAATGAAACCGGAAAACCAATGTATTTATAGCAATATGATGCCTCAAGTACCTCCTGTATCATATTGAGTTTCCTAAATATGAATTGTACATAGTAGAATATGATAATTATAAATATTTGGTCTCGACAATCAACTGAACTATGTTTTGAAAATGCAGTGCATATTATTGTGATATATTATTTTCATGACACAATTGTGTGTTGATAGAGTTTTTTATATTATTTAATTGATCATGTCTGTTATGTTAATGCCATAACAATTATTGTACATATAATAAAATGACTATATCAGACTTACATATAGCAGATAATAAAGTAATAGTTTACAATTAAATCATTATTTCCACTCGTTTTATTATGAAATGGTTTTTTTATCAATATTTATAAAACATTACGTAAATAATTTCAAAATATTTGTGAAAATTTGACATTTAAATTCCCGCCATTTTTTTTTTTAATAAAAGCGTAAGTCGATATTTTGATGTACATTGAATCATTATATTAATGATAGATTAGACCTATTGTTATAAGGCTGAGTATTGTAACATTTTAAATAAAGAGATACATTTTTAATATTATTTTTGTGTTTTTATTATAAAGTTTTTGAAAGTAATCTAAGAAAAGTATTTCCCGATAGATGAGATTTTGATTAATACCAGTAATCGTATATTTAAATGTTTTTATATTAAAATTTTGTTTCTAAATTAAAGTTAGCCAATGATATAATATGGTTAGCTATAATAAATAGTCGCATTTACGAAGGAAGAAAATCTAATTACGAAAAAGCGATAAAGCTTTCATATGTACGGTGGTTTTGTGAGCAAAAAAATTGCATGTAACTCATTACCAAGACCTAATATTTGATGAACAACTTTGCCACATGCAATATTCCTTTTTAAATCCTTAACATCATGATCTATTAATTCCCAATCAGGAAAGATCTTGAGACTTGAGTGAATATCCATCAACCGGTGCAAGTAGTAGACTTTATATCTAACTAGCTTCGCCCGCGTGGAGTTCGGTTATATCGCGTTTCCAAGAGAACCTTTCAAAAGTCTGGGATAAAAACTATCCTATGTTCTTTGTCAAGGTTAACTCCATGTCTGTACCAAATTTCATTAAAAGCAGTTCAGTGGATTAATCGTGAAAGCGTAACAGACAGACAGACAGAGTTTCTTTTGCATTTATAATATTAGTAGGGATTGTTCTTCCAATGGGGGTCTTTAAGACTACGCATTTTGCACGAATGGGCGAAGGAATTATGATATTAAAAATTCAATTACGACATGCATATACAATAAAAACTACTTTTTTTTTAACTTCAGAGAATGGAGGTACTGTCAGGTTGAGCAAAGCAGGAAAAATACTTTAGATTTTTTTATTTTAATGGGTATTAAAGTGTAGAGGGTTGTTAAAAAACAGTTTGTTAATCAAAAATAAATATTTTAAATTATTCGTTGAAACGAAACTTGTCAGCATTCCACATTCACCGCGTGGATGGCGGGTGCCGGGTCTTTACTAATTTATTATATTTTGATACATATTTGTAATATTGGCATCATTCTTTCTTTGGCTTTTTAGTTCCAAAAAATTAATTCATTTTTATTTTATTTACAACATATAAATTACAGAATACATTAATAATTTAAAAATAATAAAAATAAATATAAAAGGTTGGTATATTTTCTGTGAAATATTCTTCCTGCGGCTTGAGTATTAAGCTGTAATCGTATACAATTAATAAATTATTTATTTTTAATATTTCATATTAAAAATGATCTGATCTAAATTTTAAATATTTATATGTATTTTATTAGCGTTTATTTTGATAAACTTTAAAAACATGTTTCCATATACTGGAAGCTGAACCAATTATTTAAAAAAACTTATGTCAAGTGTTATCAAAGTCAAAGTTTGTATTATCAATACATTATACAGTCATAACTTGAATTGTTTTTTAAAAAATAACATGTTAATATAATAATAATGGCTGCTGTAAAATTGGAACAGAACAATGTAATTTGTCACGGCTGTTTGAGTGTGGATCGTTCACTGCTACCGATTGAAAAAAATATGGATATCTTTTTTATTTTGTTGGGAAATCAACGGTTTTATTCTAGCGTAAGTATTACTTGAACTTAAATGAATATAATAATGTTTTTCTATAATTAATAAAATTAGATAAAATTTCTTATAAATTAAAAGTGAATAATAATAATCCCAGAAAATAAGAACGTAGAAACAATGTTTAATTTACAACAAATCCTTTATATATTTCAGTATAATATAGACAAATGACAGCAAAATTTATAAAAAAAACACCACTAAGAAAGATTTTTAAAAGATTCAGCCATATATAATTAATTTTATTTCAAACTCCCATATATTAAGAACAATTTATATGTTTAATTTATATTATATATAGATGTTTTTCCATAAAAACTAATTATTTTATTTCCAGGATGTAACCGGTTCTGTGTATATGTGTTTCGAGTGCAGATCATTGTTACAGAAAGTCAGAATGTTCCGACAAAGGATACAGATAGCTCAGGATATGTTTTCAAAGATGTTATTGAATTGGGTGCGTTGAGATATATGAAAAATATTTTAAAATGATAATAATATAGAATTAAATGCTATTAGTTAAGTTAAATGTTTGAAAAAGTTATATACATATATATATAAATTTCTTTCAATATTTTATCGTACATATCTTTAAGAATGTTGAAAGACACTTTCTTATCATATCATGATCAAAGTAACTCCAAAGTAATAATATTTTAGACACATATAGATGAGTTATTTCTAAAAATATAGTTTAATTTAAATGTATACAAATTTTAAATTCCTTGGTTGTCATTTGTATGTAATATTTTTACACTATGTGCACTTGTGTCGAGTAAACATTAATATCATACAATTATTAACATTTTATTATGTTTTAGTGAATCATATTTCAAATGTTTTATTATGATAATAAGATATAACATAGAAATTTTAAATTCATCATATTTAATTCCCAGACACCAGGAAAAACATTATCACAATTATCAATAAGCAAAACTAACGATTATGACCTAATATGTACCGAGGATGATGATGATAGCAAAATTAAAATAGAATTTAACGATTCTGGCAACGATTATAACGTGACAATAGTTAAGGAGGAAATAGATGATACGTTAAATTTTAACGAAGTAAGTAATAATAATGGTTTAAAGAAAATCAGAAGGCGGAGGAAATGTAAGATTAGTGATACCAAGTTCACTGATGATGAGAAAGAAGGTTTGGTTGTGCCGGTTTTGATGAAACTTAACGATGTTTTCGCGTTACCCAAGAAGAGAAATGGAGTGCATTACAAGAATATGCTGGCGATATGCAGCAAATATATTGGGAGTCTAGCTGAAATTAGAAAAAATGATCTGGAGAGAGTCGGGGTAATTATAATTTATATATATATACATATATATGTATATATATATATATATAAATGAATCCCTTTTTCCCTTAATCACAGCATCAAGCGTGAATGGCTAGACTGATTTCACTAATTCTTTTTTTGTTGTATCTGTTATTATTAGGAGATGGTGTTTGTGTAAGAAAAAAATAACGAAAATTTCTAGAATATTTCACTTTTGTAATAAAGAAATTAACTTCATTCAGGTAAAAAAGTAACAGATATCTTGATTATAGGGCGGTATGAAGTTTAGCCGAGTCAGCTAGTTTATATATACATTTTTTTGTTTCTGAATATTTGTATGTGAGACAATATAAGAATAAGTTACTTATACTGTTAGGGTTATTCAAAGTTATCTATAAATTTAATTTAATATAATTTTATGTCAAGTTTAACTGCTAAAATAAAAGGTAGAGTCTATATAATATATGTGCAAATATCTCAATTTTTCCCAGCCCAGTCTCGAATGCACAGATTGTGGGGCACAGATCACAGATAGTGATATGTTATCGCACTGGGATGAGCACGGAGTACACTTGCACAGATGCAGCCTCTGTGACGTCATTTCCAGGTCTAAGAAAGAAATTATACAACACATTACAGAAGTACACACGAAGGTCTACAGCTGTAAGGAATGTGGAACCAAATGCTGGTAATTATATATATATGTATATATATACTAGCTGCGCCCCGCGGTGTTACCCGTTTTTCGGGATGTAAAGTAGCCTATGTGCTATTCCTGGACGTCAGCTTCCTGTATACAAGATTTTATCAAAATCGGTCCATCCGTTTGAGCGTGAAGAAGTAACAAACATACCCACACACTCGCAAACTTTCGCATTGTAATATTAGTAGGATACTAATAGTTAGTATGTAATAACTCATTTCATTCAGGTTTTAATCAAAGTCATTGTGGCCTAGAGGTTAAAGGTCCGCCTCTCATGCACGAGGGCGCGGGTTTGATCCTGGCAAGTTCCAATGTGATGTTCCGAGTCATATGTACTTTATAAGAGTATTTAGACATCACTGACAGATGAAGGAAAACATCGTGAGGAAACATGGACTTGTAATTTCATAATTATAAGTTCGCAATCACCAATCCGTCTTGAGTGAACGTAGTGATTAATGTTCTAAGCTTCTCCATGTGAGAAGAGACCTCAATTTGTAAAGTAACTGGAATTTAATATTGTGTTGAAGTTTAATAATAATTTGTTATGTTTCTTAACATTAATTTATGTTAAGTTCGTGGTGAAAGAATTCAGAAAATACTTATAGTATTTTAAATACCTTATTAGTTTATTAACCAACTATCTTTCCGCCCGCAGCTTCGCCCGCGTAGAGTTCGGTTATATCGCGTTTCCAAGAGAACCTTTCAAAAGTCTGGGATAAAAACTATCCTATGTTCTTTCTCAAGGTCAACTCTACCAAACTGTCTGTACCAAATTTCATTAAAATCAGTTGAGTGGTTTAGGCGTGAATGTAACAGACAGACAGACAGAGTTACTTTCGCATTTATAATATTAGTAGGGATTATCATCAATATATCATCATCATCACCATATCAATTATGTAATATTATTATCATTTCAATGATTCAATATAATTTTTGTTTCAGGAAATTACAGGAATTCAACAAGCATTACCGTAATTTCCACAAATACTTTGTCTGTGATCATTGTAATAAAAAGTTTTATAGCAAGTCTGTTATCGAGAGGCATATTAGGTATTGTATAATTATATATTCATATTATTTTGCTATTTTAAAGAGAGCTTAGCGAATATTATAGAAAATTCTCGGCATTTAGTGAAAGCGCCATCTAGTGACGAGTGGACGTAACTATTAGCTATATTTTTACTAGAACATTCGTATTGTTAATGTTTGTTAACAAGTAGAAATATTAAAGAGAGTGTTATGGTATGTTCTAGAAATAGGATTGTTGAGTATAAAAGGATTGCTAGGTCGATCTATTAAGATGCGACATAAACGATATTATTTGCGATTATAATATAGTAAATATTTGTGTTTTATATTGCTAATCAAATCTTAGCTCGTAACTTTATTATAAAAGTTTTAATGTATGTGTATATGTGTGATTTACACAGACACAACAACATATACTTAAAACTTTACCAATATATATGTACTAGAAGACCCGGCGAACTTAATATCGCCCTATAATCAAGAAATATCTGTTACGTTTTTTATTTATATTTTTGGAGTTTACCTATTAAAGCCATAAATCTCCGTGTTTTGAAGTGCGACAGAATGATTGACATATTAGTTAGTTGTCAAACCTAATGACAAAAAAAACGTTTGTATCAACAACAACTAATCAATTAAAAAAACATTGTCCAGCGGACAAAATTGTAAATCTAAACAATTCCCAGATCTCCTTGAACACACACAAAAACTTTCATCAAAATCGGTGCTGTCGTTTGAGAGAAGTTCAGTGACATACACACTCACAGAAGAATTATATATATAAAGATAACAAAGTATAGATATTCTATCACCTATTAATGCTATCATCCGCCAGATGTCGCCACATCCCCTCATCACAGACGGAGGAGGCCTACTGTGTGGAGTGTGACCGAATATTCCCGAGTCATCAACTATACATGCGACATCTAAGAACAGCCGCTGCTCACAAACCGCCGAAGAACACCAAGTAACTTTGCTAGCTTTGGTGACGTCACTGACGATATTGTATGACGTCACAGCTATGAAAGCGGCTGTCGAGTTGCATTATGACGTCACGACTACCGCCGTGCAGTGACGTCATCAAAATCCCGGTAGTATTGTAGCGTGTGACGTAATCAACAAGCCTGTAACACGACCTCTCCCATATTATAACTCTTGCCGTTTGTTCATGTGTGTGTGTGTGTGTGTGACGTCATCATGAGGCCTTGTAACACTATAGCTTATGACGTCATCACCAAGCCTGATAATACTGTAGTGTGTGACGTCACCACCACACCTGTAACACGACCTCTCCCATGTCACCTGTGCTGTTCGTGTGTGTTTGTGACGTCACTTTAACCCCCCCCTCCCTCCTCCCCGCAGGGTGCCGTGCCCGGACTGCGGCAAGACGTTCAGCAGGAAGGTGTACATGAACAACCACCACAAGCAGGTGCACAGGAGGGACTCGCCGCACTACTGTCGGGACTGCGACAAGGTACGTCACGGGTGACTGACGGCTGACTGACGGCTGACTGACGGGTGATGGAAGATATACAAGAGTGATGGAGTGTATTGAGAACTTGTAAGATGTAGAACGAGGAGGTAAACACTTGATTGATGAATGATTGACGGTGTGATAATATAGAAATTAAAAGATGATAGATTGAAAGAGCTTTTGAAATATAGAAGCTATTCAAATGGTTATAATTTAAACTATCATTGATGTAGTTTCAAATAGACACTCATTCTAGACTCTGCAGCGAGTTAAAAGAATATTATCGGTTAGTATAAGAAATCCTTACTAATATTATAAATGTGAAAGTAACTATGACTGTCTGTCTGTCAGTTAAACTTTCACGTCTAAACCACTGAACTGATTTTAATGAAATTTGGTACAGAGAGAGTTGACCTTGAGAAAGAACATAGGATAGTTTTTATCCCAGACTATTGAAATGTTCTCTTGGAAACGCGATATAACCGAACTCCACGCGGGCGAAGCTGCGGGCGGAAAGCTAGTTACATATATATGACATGATAGTAATTACTAAACGGATTTTAACGAAGAATGTATAAAGACAGATTATGAACACGATTCGCCGATTCGGATTTTATAGTAATATAGCTTACAAAAGTTCTTAATATTATGTCATAATTATTAATTTTCTATAAATATAATTGCAGTACTTCATAAACGGTTACGCCATCCGAACTCACGTCAAATTCGTCCACGAAAAGAGCGAAAAGCCCAAGAACAAGATCTGCGATATTTGTCAGCGAGGCTTTCACGTGAGTGATGTTATAAAGTAGGTGGTAGATCCTAGCTGTGGTCAAGTTACTACAGCTCGAACATGGTCTGTCTCGACCATACCCTCACAGAAGATCGGCGTGAAGTAGACTTTAATGGTTTTTCGTCCGATGAGTGAGAGAGACGGTTGCTCTATCCCTTTTCTTTGCTACCCCATCCAGTCAAACTCAAACTCAAATAACTTTATTCAATATAGAAGCATTACACTTTCTTATTGATGGTCACTTGAGACACTACCACCGGTTCGGAAAAGAAAATACCCTGACCTGAGAAGAACCGGCGAAAGAAACTCAGCGGGTTTTTTTTATTTGTCTCATATATTATATAAACAATTTAATATGAGATGTAATTTTCCTCTCTTTCCCCCTTTTTCCTAATCAAGGTTGGCAACTTCTGCAAAACTGTTGCAGATGTCTTTGGGCGATTGTAATACCTCCATTACATAGGCAGTCTGCTCGGTTGTCCCCTTTCGTATATAAAAATAATACCGGAAGTGACGTATATATTATTTTGCAGACCAATCGCGTGTTGACAAACCACCGACGCACTCACACCGGCGAGAGGCCGTTCTGCTGTGAACATTGTGGGGCGGCCTTCGCTCAGCTACAGGCGAGGAAGACGCACGAGAGAACGCAGCACAGAACGGCGCAGTAG